CGATACTCCGTACAAATACCACAGGCCATGGCGTGATCAAATCCCTCAGCTCACTACAGAACTCCGAGGAAATATGTACTATGTACGGTTCCATAGTGGGTGAGTCAAGAATCCTGACCCGACGCACGAGCGCAAACAAGCCGCAATTCTTCAAGCTCCCATGCACACAACGTGTCTGTGCTGTAGCTCCAGTACCTGGGCACCCTGCGCGCGAGGCCGATGCTTATAGGTGAGTGTGAGCGGTTAACTGCTGATGATGCTGTTGCTGTTAGGTAATTAGTGTGCGCGGCGGGGATGGTGATTCGCTAGCGGGCGACCTTGAGAGCACGGGGCATATCTTGACAGTGCAAGGGCTAGAACCTTTGTTTTGGATGTTGATCATTGTAAATCGTACTTTATATACTGCTATTTTGATATGCTTCACTTCTGCTCTTGTTTCTTTCTCTAAAGGGGCTTCACAGATCTCGCAATTGCTCAGACCCCCGCAAAATGCAAGCCTTGCAGTGCGGGGTAGAGGCGGACAGGATAGGCGAGCGCTGTGGCCTCGAAAATGGGAATGCGTACCTCCTAAGCGTAAGCCCACTCCCATAGTCCACTTTTATAGATCAGACGACTGAATTAGTATTCAGGCGGTCAACAGAAAAAAAAAAAAAGAAAAGAAAAATTTTCCGGGTGGAGCTCCGCGAAGGGTCCTTTTCCATCGCGTTTTGTTGTCCCAATGCGGAAAGGTGGACTATATTTAGGGGGGCGCTAGTCGAAGATCCTCTGGAAGAGATCATGGCCGGTATGGTAATGGCCAAGTATGGTATTGTATGTCATTTACCCGGGTCTGGACAGCTCCACTATGCAGTCCATTAGTGTCATTCTACGCCATCACGTGGCGTGATGACTTAGTCTAACCTTGGATATGTCGTAAATTGTACGGAGTAAGCTATGTACTTATTAGACAAAAGGAGGGTATTAATAGACAGCGATGAATGAATGTTTTTAGAAATTTGAAAAGCAATAGTGAAACAATATGATACGATATGTCTGCAGGTCGTCGTGGCACTTCCAAGGTCAAGATACTGGGAGTCAAAGACACAGATACAACATCGGGCACATCTCCGTGTGTCCTGTAGGGCTATGAAGTGCTTGATAATCCAAACCCGGGGTATCTTCCAAGATTCCCTACAACATCAGCACGGAGGACCCTGTCATTGGTCGTATTGGCTATATAGCTAGGTTTCAAGGGCGTAGATTCAACCCCGTGGGCAAACCCACATGCTAAGCAAAGTCCAATGCAATCTGTATACCAAGCCGAGTAGGCCATCGCAAACCTATCCGACCGGTTTAGCCGAACCGGTGCATACATAGATAGGTACGTGAGTCATTGCGCACGGCCGTTCTACGCCAGGGCTAGAGCCAACAGTGGCATCATGTGCTCCCTTTCACTGCCCTGATGGGGTCTAGCCTGGAATTTACCGATGGTTCCTTCGTGATCGAAACATGATGCCGACACTATCATTTCAGATGTGGGGTAGAAGTCGACAAGTCAGGCGATGGCAAACTCTGGGTGAGATATACCTAGGTACATATGTACATATGTGGTTTATATTGTTTAACATATATCCCAACCTTGGATGTACCTCGTATATCAGTCTAACAATGAAAGATTAGGCTCTTTGTTCTCGGCATAAGACCCGCTACCCGACATTGTAAGATGAGATGATGCCATGTTTGAATGAGGTGTCCACGGGTAGAATTGCGACTTGGCGGAATAGGATGATCTCAGAATAACAAACAAATCCATCAAAATACATAGGACCTTGGAGGGGTAAGATCACGAATGCAGTGTATTTTTGGATGTTATTACAATGTATTTGTATTGTCAGACTCCACTATGACGGCGTGTCACGCCCCACCTGCTAATTTTTTTCTTTTTTCTTTTTCTAATTGAATGCGCCGGTACCTGGCAAGTGGAAACAGCAAAGGAAAAAATGAATGAAAAAAAAAGAAAATTCAAATTTTTTGGTTTCGTTTTTAGTTTTCCACGGGTTCAGTGAATTAGCACATGATTGTTCTTGCCATTCAAAAGCGGCTGTTTGCGCACTTAGTTGAATTTCTTCTTTGTAGATCATCTTTCCCTACATACTTCCAGGGACTTATATTATGTGTTGGATTGCTTCATCGGCTTCTCAATTATTCCACCACCGCACTGCTTCTTGAACATACGAGTCCTATCACATTCTCTAATTGAGCGTCTACAATATAATTGACCGCCAATATGCCGGGCCGTCTAATCCCCAACCTGATTAGGAACGCCAGTTCACTACACTCCTCCGTCACCTCAACTCCCAACCACTCCAACTCCTCCTCAACCGTCTCCGTCAATGAGATCCCCGGACATGCGAAGAAGCCAGCCCACAAGCCAGAGCGCGCACGATCCCCCGAACGCCGACTATCCTTCTCAATGGATCACTTGATTCACCCTCTCCGAGACCATAGCAAAGATAAGCGCCGCAGTTTGGGACGCGCCGGACGTTCTAAGGAACGCTCCAGCCATGAGATGCACTCGCCATCGGCCAAGCTGGATGTCTTGATCGAGTCACCACCACTGGTCTGCTATGGCCCACCTACCAGCTCTACTGGCGCGCTGTTCTCCGGACGCTTGCGCGTCACAGTCCCTGAGTTGACTGGTGGGGTTATCTTGAGCCAGTTTGATGTACGCCTCGTCTCCAAGACAAGCACCAAGAAGCCTGTCTCGAATCACTGCTCCAACTGTGCTACTCGCACCGAAGAGTTGACTCAATGGAACTTCATCACCGAGGACCTTCACCTCAATGGCGGGGACCACGATTTCCCCTTCAGCTACTTGTTCCCCGGCCATCTTCCTGCTTCTTGCAATGGCGTGTTGGGCCAGATCGAATACTTCCTGCTGGCGCATGCGCGGAGCGTCACCGGAGAGGAATATAGCCTCAAGCTGCCTCTGGACCTTAGTCGTTCTCTGCTTCCCGGGCCAGACAAGTCCTCCATCCGCATCTTTCCTCCAACTAACCTCACTGGCCGCATTGTGTTGCCCTCCGTTATTTACCCTATCGGACACTTCCCCGTCGAGATGACCTTGAGCGGCGTGGTCGACAAGGGCGAAAAGACCCAGACCCGCTGGCGTCTTCGAAAGATGATGTGGCGCATTGAGGAGCAACAGAAGATTGTGTCAACTGCATGCCAGAAGCACGCTCACAAGATTGGCGGCGAGGGCAAAGGTGTTTTGCACCAGGAGACTCGCGTTATCGGACACAACGAGGAGAAGACCGGTTGGAAGACCGACTTTGATACCGCTGGTGGTGAGATCACCATGCAGTTCGATGCGAACATCAACCCGGCTGCCAATGCCGTCTGCGACATGGATGCCTCTGGCGGTCTGGAAGTCAAGCACAACCTCGTCATCGAGCTTATCGTGGCCGAGGAGTTCTGTCCCAATGGCAACACCCGCCTAATTACTCCAACTGGAGCCGCGCGTGTGCTTCGCATGCAGTTCCACCTCCACGTCACCCAGCGTGGTGGTCTTGGTATTAGCTGGGACGAGGAGATGCCTCCAATCTATGAGGACGTCCCCGCCAGCCCTCCCTGTTACACCAAGCCCGATGGCGCCCACAGCTTCATTGAGGACTACAACGGCTCTCCGCTCCCCGACTATACAGACCTGGAGCGCATAGACTCCTTGCGATTGGACAGCAGTTCTACTCGCTCTTCCACCCTCTCTTCCAATCGGTCTACTCACGGCTCTACGCACGGCCGGTCGCCGCGCTTTACCACCGACGATCTCGTCACTGGGGAATCGCCTGCTGCCTCGCCTATTCCCTCGCGCGCCCCTTCTCGCGCCCCTTCAATTGACTCCTCCCGCCAATAAAATATCAAAAACTTCAACATGTTTAATCAGCTATCTTGATTATCGTTCTCCATTACGACTTAACGATTCCCATGATCAACCAAAAAATTCCCCAGTCACCACACCTTTTTACGTTCTACCATAATTTCTTATTCCTTTTTCTTTCTTCATTCATGGATTTGATCCTGTTCACTTATCAATTTGGCTCTCGTCTCAACGAAGGGCCTCGTGATACCAACGACGGAAAGACAATCGGCCACGCAAAACAGTCGGGCTGCCACACATTTTCCGGACGGGTCCTGTTCCAGCCAAGTTTGCATGATACCCATTCACGCTTCACCTGTGCATAATGCTTTTTTCCTTCTACTTCTTATTTTCCACCTTCGTTACACCTCTGGATGAGTTTGGTTATGGGCTTGCATCATATCCACATCTTACTCATTCCATTCGGGTTTCAAAGGTTGCGATCCTTTTAGTATCTTGGCTCATTCAAATTTTCTCTACTCCTTGATACTTAATCAATTCATGATCAAGATCTATTAGATGTTCAATTCAATCTCAGTAATTGTACCGATTCACCAACTGCTATATAAACGAGGTCGTATTGGACTGGGCGATAGATACTATTTTAGATATCTGAGATACTGAAGTACAGAATATGTAATGAAGTGTGAGAGTACGGAGAGATTCCTTTTTATAAGTTGTCTGATTCGAAGGTCAATTTCTCTAATAATGATACATGTAGTTCTAGTTTGCGTTAAATTCAATATATACAAAAGAGACACACACCAACAGCCACTCTATAAAAACCACATCAAACCCTCCAACAATCACCACCCCTTCCACGGAACCCACGTCTCCCTAACAATATCCTACCCATCAACAACATAAAAGCATAATGCGTAGCAGCCGTAATACAAGCATGCCGAATATACAGTAAAACCTTATCCCCAACCGCAAACGCAGCCTCCACCTTCTCCCCATCTCCAAACTTCGACCCCATCTTCTCAACAAGCCTGCGCGTCTGATCCGACTCCGCCCACCCCAGAATCCCATGTTCCTGCGACATCCGCACAACACTCCACTGGGGCCGATCAACGACGACCGCAAACCCGGGGAACTCGCTCGTCTACTTCGAAAGCGCAATGATCCCCGCGTTGACGAGCGCCTCGTTGCGATCAGGATACACGCTGTAGACATCGGTGAGAATGCGCATCGCCTGCTGCGTAGGTTCCACGAGCGAGGTCGCTACTTGCTGCAGGTCGTTCGTGGGATAGTTTCCTAGCAAGACTATGTCGGTTTCACTAAGGTTTTGTGTAGTAGACTGGGTTGATAGTTGTCTCGGATCACAACATACCAGCATATAACTCTAACTCCATCCCCTCGGGTAATGCGCCCTGCAGTCTTTTCACCACATGTGCTGTAGGGTAGGTGTTGATCCCACCGATACCACGACCCACCCTCGACTTCGGTCTGGAGTACCGCGACGGCGGCATCCTCTGTACGGCATGCATATGAGTGCCCAGCATGGCAGTAGAAGCCATACACGGTGGCTGCAGACGATGACTCCATGCGCTGGATTAATCTTGGGAGGGAAGGTGAGTGTGTAGCTATTCCCGCGCGCTGGGAGCTGACGTCGATCTTGATAAAGACGGGCCATAGTGCTACGGGAGAGGATGCTTTGGAAGCGTAGGATTCAAGGAGATCTATCTGCTGCTCGCTATCGACCATCAGAATAATCTTCAGGGATTTGGTTAGAGTCTCGAGGAAGGGTAGGGCGCTGAGACGGGTAGACCGTAGAGAAACTGTTATGATTTTAGCTGATAATCTTTCACTGAGAAATAGTCATTGTAACTCACCTCGTCTAACTTGCCTCCCTTAACAAGACCCAACGAACCCCGGTGTCGATGCGACGATCCGACGGTGCATACCGTCGCCCAGCATCATGCGGGTGACCTCAGTGCACTACAAGCCCAACGCAGTTAGTACATTGCTTGAAAGTCAAGACTGTATAGAAACGGTACCTTGAGGGTCTTGACATGGGGCCGAAACTAATTCCCAAACGTTCGACATCTTCCAACAAGATCTGGGTGTTCCGCTCCAGCACGGGCTTATTTAGGACGAGAGCCGGAGTGGGAAGCTCGGAGACTAAACGGCCAATGTATGAAGTGTGATTCTGCAGAGAATAGTCCATTTCTGACAGGTTTGGCAGAAAGAACAGGGGTCTCAACGGCGGGTCTATAGGAGCCATAGTGGGGTTTATCGATAAGAGGGCGTGGGGGCATGGCAGGGTTTCCTGCGGGGATGATATGGGGATGTAATTGACGGGGAGACATTGTGAGGTGAGAGGCATTTTGAGGAGCTGTGAGATGTTGCATTGCTGTTCTTAGTTCGTGGTTTGATAAAACCATGAGGGAACTTGGATTCGATATCATGAAGCCTTATACAGAATGTGTGGAATCGGCTCATCCACAGGGATACCTTGGAATTGTATCACGGAAACATAATGAATCCCATCTTTATTGCTTGTCTAAATATACAGCCAAAGCTCTTAGCCTGTAGGAATTGCCCAGTTATCCATTTATGAATACACACAAAAGTCGATGTAAGGGTTGTAAAGACCGAATTTCTTGTAGCTTCTCAATCCCAGCTGAAGAGAGTTTGGCACAGGTAATGCAAGCACATGTGTGGATGAGAGGATTTGTGCCTTATTCGGGGTTGTTCGGGAACCACCACCGACAGAAAGCCCTATGTCTGTAATTAGCTTTGTAAGTTCGAGACCAAATCTGGGCGTTCACATAACATTACCTGTAAGCCTTCTTCGCAATGAAAACGACAAAGGGCTTCAAGAAGACATCCGCCATGAGGGTAATGATTTTCCAAAGGATGTAGAATCGAATGAACAACCATCCGCAAGTATCAAGGATTTGCGGGGCATTCGCAAGAAGATACACAAACAATTGCTCAATGCACTTCTTCTCAACGGAGGGGGACACGAGAGGAGTCATTTCGGGCCCAGATCCCATTACCAGAAGTGGCAGGCTCGGTGATCGGCTATGGGGGGTCTCAGCATAGTCCGCGAGGAGAGCGTCATGAGATGACCAACAAGGACTTACTATGAGGCGACCAACATCAAGCTGAGCATAAAGAATGGGATAGCAAGCCGGATGTATTCCCGAATCATGATGTATCAGCGTGGAGATGTCAAAAGCGAAGATGGCAAAGGGCGAAGGTGTCAAAAGGTGAAGGTGTCAAAAGGTGGAGGTGTCAAAAGGTGAAGGTGTCAAAAGGTGAAGGTGTCAAAAGGTGCAGGTGTCAAAAGGTGAAGGTGTCAAAAGGTGAAGTTGTCAAGAAGTGAAGTTGTCAAGAAGTGAAGTTGTCAAGAAGTGAAGTTGTCAAGAAGTGAAGTTGTCAAGAAGTGAAGCAGTTGTGGTTGACAGTAAACATGGGAAAGTTGAAGTGACGTGTTCCTGCCATATAACCCAGTGGGCTTCTTTGAGTAAGTGCGACTTGACATCACCTGCGGTGACCTGTTGAGCACAAAACACAATCAAAAAAAGTAAATGACAAAAGCCCCCTGCAGGCAGCGTGGTGAAACTAAATAGGAGAGGTTGTGTGTGCGATAGTTGTGACGCCCTGATATTTGAATGTTATATCTTATTGGATGGGTGAGTTATGAATTCACCTAAATTTACCCTTGTGGACCTCACGGTCTTTTTGTTGGATCCAAATCCAATGCTACATAGTCTTTACGTCGAGAGCCAGTGAGCTAGTAGCAACAGTCAATTCAAATCAATCGTTTGGTGATTAAGTTATCCATCTTAAAGCCCTTTGCCTCATCTACAGAGAGACATCGATTGCATCTCAACCACTTCTTCTCTTTCCATTGATCACTCTGGCTTCTTCATGGATGGCGCGTTAGCCAGGGAATTTGCCTGTATCTTCCATATTGCCTTGCCCAACTTCACGAGTTCCGGTCCGAAGTTCTCGACCAATGTTGCTACCGATGAGTCTTCATCAAAGATCACCTTGCCGTACTCTTCATCGGAGGCAAACGTGGCAAGCCGCCAGATTCTCTTCCACTGTTTGATCGCTTCGACAGCCACTGTGTTTTGGCTTTCAACGTTGATAGCAACCATGTAAAAAGACGATCGCTTGGCGTGGCATTTCTCTGGCTTGAAAAGCCGAACCGACCAGATCTTATGAAACATCCAAATAAGTCTGACAGTGTTCCACGCTTCAAGTCTGTGAAGAAGAACGATCATAGTGCCACCTGGTCTAAGGTGCTGGAGACCCAGAGCGAGCTGCGCGGTGGCCAGTCTTCTCGTTTCCCGGCTCTCTCGATAGGGGGCGCGTGAGTGTCGTCTCAGGACCTGGCCGTCACATATGACCAAGTCAAAAAGCCGACCTTCCTCAAGCTGTCGGGGCAAAAAATTCTCGACATCTTCATGGCCCTCGGGGATCTGGTCCATATCCATGTCGGCTGCAAGCATAGTCACGTCGAGAAATACTCGCTTGGCATTCAAACAACTTGCCAGACGGCTCCTATACCTTCCACATGAGACAGGCAAGCTGAAAGCCAGAGCGTGTGTGCCAGGGTTCCTTTTCAATGCTATCTCGAGGAATGCGCCGGGGGCCATGCACATGTCGAGAATGGCAGGTGGCGTTGAATCAACCCGTTGGACTTTGAAGGCATTGGTGGCGTTATCAATTTCGCGTCCGATTGTGTCCATAATCTTATGAAAGTAAGCAGCCGTCTTTTCGTCCGATCTATCGGCATTTCGACGAAGGCTTGCGAAGTATTCATCGCCTTCCGGGGTTTCCCATCCCTATTAGCAGCATAGTGAGAATCATGTATGTATAATAACCAAGTTCGGCATGACTCACCTGCTGTCTCAAACCACTGAATTCTCGGAACTCTGGACTCTTCTCTAGTAGGTAGGGTACAAAATATCTGCTCTTCTCGGCACGATCTCCCATGAGGTCCTTAGTCGGCTGAGGGTTGTTGGTATCAGGCAGGAGAGCGGAGGCTTCCACCTGTGCTTGACTTGAATTAATTGCTGTCATGATTTGGCAACTGAACCCAATGTTATTCCCAAAAGGCTCGATAGCAGGCCTGATAATAGGATGTGTTGGTGAAATAACACAAACAAGCTTGGAAATGGTTCACAGGTGTAATGTCGTAATACGAGATGTCGTACCTTCCATTATTTGCTTCGTTGTTTCCAAGGTTGCCTGTCACATTGCATAATGTTTACTCTGCGTGTTGTTTGACAGGTTCTCGATATATGTAGGTGTAGGTATCACACCATCCCGATTATTGTACCTGTAGAAATACACTAGGGATGACAGGAACCTAAACCAATCCTTTCATCCACATGGCATGATACAACTTGACGTCCATCTAACAAAACATCAGCTGGCAGTCAGTATGCTTGAGGGATAGAAACCTGAGCTAGCCATTCTGCAATGCTAGGTCTGCCTGGACACAGCAGGGTTAGGGTTACGATAGAATCTCTTTGGTTTCAATTTCATTGATTTGTGTTTTTTTTTAATCTGTTTTCATGTATGAGATCTCATGACTTCAAATCGAGGAAGAGCAAAGACAAAGGAGAGTTGACAACAAGGAAAGCCGTAATTGAATGACGCTAAAGATGATGAGACAAGGATATTTCCAACTCCAAAACGAAAACTCCAAGAATGTTATACATGATAAAAATGCCCTCGCATGGGACTCCGATGATGCAGTAATGAGGAATGGGAAATGAAAAGTGAAAGTTCGCCATGCCGTGTGGATGCACTTGAGAAACGGGGAAGGGAATCATAGTCCCTCACCACGGAGAAGACGCCGAAGGATTCCTTCACCGGGACCAGCAATCTGGCTCTCGATTTCCTGCTGGGAAACAAAGCAGACAAGAGCTTGCTCGTCAAGGCCTTTGTGAGGAGTAGACGGAGCATGGCCGGATTTTGAGGGTGTGCGGCGCAGATCTGTGCCACCTGCAACAGTTCCACCTCGGCCGCGACCCTGATATTCTCCAACCAAGCCCATTGTTTCCAAATTGCTGAGAACGTCTTTGAACTCGGTGGCAGTCAAGGGGTGTAGAATGTTGTCATTGCGACACAGAGCACAATATGTATCAAACGCTTGCTTGATAGTGGGTGCCGATGTACGTGACTTGGAAGGTGTGCTTGGGACCTCGAACTGGCGGCGTTTGCGTTCAAGCGCAATCAGGGAGCAGATAGCGGCTTTTTGTTGCAGGTTCAAACTTTGAAGTCTTTGAACAGTACCCTGACCAAAAGCTGCGGATGTGATTCGAGCAATGTGGGCGATGCTGGCTCGGGGTGCCGTGATGACTGTGTAGCTTGACATGGAAGTTGGTTTCGGAACACTGCCGACTTTGGCAGGCGAAGATAAATTGGTGTTCTCTCCTAGTATCGAAACATTCTCAGCCTCCTTAGCTTGCTTATCCAACTTTTGAAGTGTTTCCTGTTCAATGACGTCGATTGCCCGCTTGATCAATTCAAAGGCCTTGCGGAGATCGCCTGTCTGCGACGCTACCTTCTTGGAGCAAAGTTGGATGGCGGCCGGTTGAACAAAGGGGACAAGCTTTGGGTCGGATTCTGCCCCAGCAGGGAGCAATGAGCGAAGACGATTGGTCATGACGTTTGCGATGGATGCAGCACCGTACGGCAAGAAAGGCAGCAAGCGGGGCTTCAGGTTCTTCGCCTTTAACTGTGGGAGAGATCGGTCGGTCAAATCAAGGGCGTTGGCGATGCCAATCAGCATCAGCTTGGACTTGCTTTGCAATGACCACTCGAAAAGTGACTGCAAAACCCCTGAATCACCATTGAGCAGATGATCAATTTCGTCCAAAGTGACCAGGAACATATCTTGCCCTTTTTTAGACGGAATGAACGTAGATTTGAGGCGATCCCCCTCGCTCTTCTTGAACATATCCGAGTCCTCGCAGAAATCTTGGATGAGTCTGCTGTAGACATCGCGAGAGATTCGCATGCTTGCGCAGTTCACATGCGAGACTTTGACGTTAGAAAGATCGAGGTCTCCACAAACTTCCTGGACCATGGCACTCTTTCCGGTTCCTGGGGGACCGCTGATATAGAGGCACCCTCCTTTCCGAGACTCCACTCCTTCTGTGATAAAAGATACCAACTTTTCCCGCTCCGCATCGCGTCCTACTAAGCGGCCGGAGTTGGAGCCTCGGGCGAATAATTGCCTGGCTTGCGAATACACCGAGTTCGCAATTTTCGGAGTGGCACTCTGTCTGGGGGTCGGGGGAAGATCGGCATGACGGGGAGTGCGCGGTGTTACTGCCTTTGCTCCGACCTGCACTCGATGTCTAGGGGTGATAGGAGATTGAGGTAGATCATCTCGGAATCGCGATTTCGAAGGTGTCTTAAATTCGAACTCGATAGGTTTCGTAATTTCTTCTGCACATCCGATTAGCGCTGCCTCAGGCGCAATACCCAATTTTTCCGACTTACCTTCCACTGGTTTCGAGACGGTGAAATGTGAATTGATCTTGACCGGAGATTTGAACTGGTCATCTCGCAGGGTATGTTTAGAAGAGACATTCTCCGACACTGTCTTGCTCTCGCCATTTTCTTGGTCGGGTTGTTCGACTGCTTTCTTTACAGTTGACCTTGTTCGTCGTAACGGGACTGGAACGGTGTCTCGTTGGTGAATTCGGAGAGCAACTGTTCGGCGCTTGCTCGCGGTTCGTACCGGCAATGCTAAAAGGCGGGTGAGGACTTGAAGATAAGGAGAGGAAGGTGGGATTGATGATCTTACCTGGGTCCACATCACCACGAGTGCGCTTTCCTAAGACTGTTCCTGCCATGACTTGGAATAAAAAAAAAACAAGGTAAGAACAACAAACGCAGTTTCCGTAGGAGTTAAAAGAGGAATGTCAGGAAAGAAGGCCCAGAGCCCAGTTAGGAAGTGTAATTGGCAGCTCCACTACTGGGGCTTCATTCAACGCGCTGGACGCGTCGCGCGTAGGGATACGGCGGAGCGTATCAACCACACGTGCACAGGTCTTTTCCGAGACTTAGTCAGCCGCGTCACTGGCCCCGGGGCCCCGGGACCACCTCAGGTGTCGATGGATCGCCTTCATGTGTGTTTCGAATCGAGATGACGGAATTCTTTCAGCCTACGTGAAGCTGGACGTTCTTTTTCTGTTTCTTTTTTTTCTTCATTCCTATCAGTCTCTTTTGTGGGACCTGGTGATTTTCTGGTTTGCAGTGGTTTGCACCAAATCTCGCTCCCCACATAACACAACCTCCGAGCCTTTACCCCATTTCATACTACGCCTAAGCTTTCAGTGGCTATCCAAAGTCAATCCTTTCTAACTTTCTTCTCTAACATTGAGATCTTTCTCAAGTAACATCATTCGACACACTGCCCACCATGGAGAACGACGTGGTAGCTCAGTTCACTGAAATTACCGGCTCCACGCCGGAGCTGGCTATACAGTACCTGCAGATCACCGAGTTCCAGATCGAGCAGGCCATGCAGCTTTACTTTGAAAGTGGAGGCGCACCCTTGACTGCTGAAGCTTCTCAACCTCCTCGTCGGTCTGGGATCCCAGACGATTCCGAGGTGGTGGATATTGACTCGGACACTGATGACGATCCCCCCCAACACACCGTCCCGCCAACGTTCGATGACGACGAGGCTATGGCTCGACGCCTTCAGGAGCAAATGTATGGTGGCCCAGGCGGCCCAGATAATGAAGATGAAGTGAGAGCGCCGTTGGCGCGGACAACAGAGACTTTGGTGGGGCCCGGGGCGGACTATGACAGTGGCGAAGACATGCACGCCAATATTCTCAGCCAATTACGAGCTCGTGGAAGACCAGGTGGGTGCTATTTGTGTTTCCAAAACTTCCAATAACTTGAACTGACACTTTACTCTAGGTCGAGCCGGAATCTTCAACCAGCAAGAGTCTTCCATATGGACGGGCGGTGATGAATCTCGTCGCGAAGAACTGTCTGCCGCTACTGGGGGCGCATCGGATGCGTCGTCCAAATCCAATATGCTCGCCGAAATGTACCGCCCTCCCTTCGAGATAATGTCACGATTGCCTTGGGATGTTGCGCGCGAGGAGGGAAAGGACACCGAGAAATGGCTGCTTGTCAATGTCCAGGACGCATCAGTCTTTGACTGCCAGGTTCTGAACCGTGATTTGTGGAAGGACCGTGGGGTGCAAGATACCGTCAAGGAACATTTCATTTTCCTGCAGTACTCAAAAGATGACCCCCGTGCGTCTTCCTACCTCCAATACTACTTCCAAGGAAGCGATGTCTCCGACAATTACCCCCACATTGCTATTATCGACCCTCGAACTGGTGAACAAATGAAGGTCTGGTCTGGACCGCCTTTGGTCAAGGCCGCCGACTTTCTCATGCAACTTCACGAATTTCTCGATCGCTACAGCTTGAACCACAATGTGCGGAACCCTGTTGCTAAGCGCAAATCTGACAAGAAAGACAAGAGCATTGATGCCATGACCGAGGAGGAGATGATGGAGATGGCACTGAGAAATAGTCTTGGGGGTGCAGCAGAAGCTGGTCAGACGCTCGAAGACCCTGATGATTTGACGCGCAGTACAGACAATGTTAAGGGCAAGGGGCGGGATACCGGTGAGGAAGATGTCATCATGGATGAACCGGAGCCAGCTGCTGAAGCCTCCCCATTCACATCCATTCCCAGCGACCAACCACACACTGAACCTGCCGCGGACCCGGCCACAACTACACGCATTCAGTTCCGACACCCATCTGGCAGAGTCATTCGGCGCTTCTCATTGTCGGATCCCGTTCAGAGAATCTATGAATGGCTCAAGGCCGATCCTCCCTTGGAAGACAAGGCTGGTATCGAGTTTGACCTGAATAGCATGGGGCACAATCTCATTGATCAACTTACCACGAGCATTGCAGACGCAGGACTGAAGAATGGCACAGTGATGATTGGATATCTGGAAGAGTAATACTCTTGCTTTCTTAATCTTTCAGTCTTATCGTCACGCTACAGTGTTTTCTGAGTTTCTGCAAGGCGTTGATGGAAATGAATTGGATCCTGTGGGATCTCACCTTTGTTCCCAAGCTGGGTTTCGTCATTTCCAGGGATATCGTTCAATTTACCAGGCTCTCCAGTTGTCATTGCCAACCTTGAGACCTAGATGTGAGAGAATACATAGTACCAAAGCTTGCCTGGAAAGCATGCAATGAATCATGATAATCAAAATAGTGTCAACTTAAGAAACAGAAAATAATCATGAGTATGGAGGAAAATTGAGTAATGTGCATATGTAGAGCTGTTCTACAGATTGGCTTGAGGATAGTGAAATATTTTCTTAAAGACCATATGCTTCGTGACTACGTAGTTAACCATATAGTTACGGTCAAAGAATGAGCCTGATCAATCAGAAATATAGTATAAATTCATAAATATCCGAGATGCTCAAATGAAACATGAGAAAAGGTGGAAAGGAGAACAGGTTAGTTTGATGTTCCCAATAAGGAAACCTCTTAAGCGCATAACCCTTTGTATTGTTATTATGTCACGGGTGCTTTTCGTGCCTTAGTTTAGTCTGATCATTACTCTCAGGCTTGGTGATATCGGGAATTTAAAAGAATTGAATGTACGTGCCTACCTAGGTAGGGTCTTTCGATCTATATAATCACAAGAATAGTCGGCCACTTATGCGGCCGTGTTGAGACTTTGTTGGTAGTCTTTTGTAGTAGTCTTCTCAGATGGTCTTTTTAGATATATTTTTAAATTGGTCTTTTCGGATTCTTCTCTGTTAGTCTTTTCAGATGTCTGTTTTAATAGATATTGTCTCCCCCTTCTCAGTTTGTTAGCTTGACGGCAGAAAAAGGCGGGAAAAAAAGCATACTTTGTGGAAGGGATTGCAACTCTCATAACTGAGTCCGATTGATAGTATGAGGCCTTCCAAGTCTGAAACTCGAGTCTCAGATAATTGTACAAAGTATGTATAATTGGACTCGGAAAGCCGTAGATTCACCGCCCCAAGATAAGCAGCGGCAAAATAAGCCCCCCGCGTCGATAAACAAGCAAGGGCAGCTGACGACATGGATATCCCTGAGAAGCCTGGGGAGTGAGACGAGTTGATCGTAACGTGAAGAGTATGCCACAAACGATTTGGAATCTCACGATCACCCTCGCCGCGCCTGCTCCGATTGAACAATTGTCTTTGTTTACTAGTTGACATCTTATCAATTGTTAGCACCCAAACGAACAACGCCCTCTCTTCTCATCCTTCTCTCCTTTGCAGTCCTGGAATCTTGCGATCCTGAAAGATATTTCACAGATCTTATCTAATCGAATCAGATTGATCGGATAGCAACGTTATTTCATCCCAGACAGCCATCCCGAGTCCACTTTCAAGCACCGTCACGTACGGCCCAACCCCACACTCCATCCTTGTGATAGGCGACTGCCGGTCGTGAATCTGACAATCCTTCATTAGCCTCGATAGATTCAAGCTTGATTCATGTTCATCGTCGTCCTCCGGTGACTCGGATAAATCGCCAAAATGCCGCCTCCCATCGATCCGGAAACCATTTACACCAAGCAAACTTGCATCGGTAGGTTTTTCAATCCTTCGGCCTTGAGGGGTCATGGGCTTTATCTGGTTGCTGACTGATTCGTGATTTCGTAGGCGGTGGAAGCTTCGGTAAGGTGTTCAAAGGGTAAGTCGAGGACCTTCTATATCAACATCTTGGTTGAACAAACAGCTGACCCAATTCGGATAATTAGTTTGGACAGACGCACCGGAGAATCAGTGGCTATCAAAATCATTGACGTCGAGAATGCCGAGGATGATGTCGATGATATCATCAAGGAGATTGCCATCTTGTCCGAGCTGAAGTCGCCCTATGTCACTAAGTATCATGGCTCATACTTGAAGGGGTCCAACCTGTGGATCATCATGGAGTTCTGTGCTGGTGGTAGTTGCCACGGTCTCTTGCGACCTGGTGTCATCCATGAGGAGTACATTGCCATTATTCTGAGGGAGCTTCTGCGCGGGCTGGACTATCTCCACAGTGACCAGAAGCTGCACCGAGATATCAAAGGTACGAAGACCTCAATTGGTTTAAATGGCGATGTGTGGCGACTAACACTTCTGATTGCAGCTGCCAACGTTCTTCTCAGCGCGAGTGGTCAAGTTAAATTGGCGGACTTTGGCGTGTCGGGACAACTGTCGGCAACAATGACCAAGAAGAATACCTTTGTAGGAACTCCGTTCTGGATGGCTCCCGAAGTCATCAAGCAATCTGGATACGATTATAAGGCCGATATTTGGTCCTTGGGCATCACGGCAATTGAACTGGCCTGTGGCGATCCTCCGTACGCCGACATTCACCCCATGAAAGTGCTGTTCTTGATTCCCAAGAACCCGCCCCCCACATTGGTAGGCGATTTTAGTAAGCCTTTCAAGCAGTTTGTTGAACTGTGCTTGCGCCGAGACCCCAAGGAGCGGCCATCAGCCAAAGAGCTTCTTGAGCATCCGTTTGTGAAGCGTGCCAAACGAACAACCTACCTGACAGAACTCATTGAGCGCGCAGAGCGTTGGCAAATAACTCATCGGGGTCAAGACGACGATGACGAATATGATGGGTATGATGATAGAGAAGCCGATCAAACAGCAACCGCCAGAACCCAGGAAAAAGAAGACCTTTGGGATTTCGGGACCGTTCGTCCTGTGGGAAAAGCATCTGCACCCCCGCTGCGCCCTATGAAAGGCTCTGACACCAATGCGCGAACAAATGAGACAGAAGAGTGGGATCTGTGTGATGAGACACCCCGACAAGCCGGAACATTCCAAACCCAATCACACGCTCAAGTGACCCCAGCAAACCCTGCTTTCAATGTTTCTCCCACCAAAATCCCTCTTCCTCCCTCTGCTCCATCTTCCCCTCTCAAGCAACGCCCCTCCCAGACCGCACTTCCCCCACGCAAAGTCGTGTCTCCAGTGGTTAGCAAACCTGCAGTAGACAACCCTCCCGCGAGAGGATTGAACGATCAATACGCACAGGCAACGACTCACTACGCTGGCAAACTTGATACTGTTTCTTCAGCCAAACCTAGCTCCGCGGTCAGTAACCAGAGCACTCCTATCAAACAACTCTCCAGCATTCCCCTCCACGACCAATACCGCACCCCATCCGGTCACATTGTGCATAGACCAGCTCCACTTCCTCGCACTGTTGCTGATTCTCTGGGACACCAGCCACAGTCTCCGCGCATCCCCCAAGTCGCTCTTCCAAGACATACAGACCCACTGCAACACGCAAAGCCAGTTTCTGGACTCAAGTCTAAACGCGCACCAGCAAACATGGATGACCGTGCTATGCCCCACCGCTCCACCCCTCCCACCCCCACTTCTAGCGACCACAAGCGTTCCACCCGACCTCTTCCTGAAACTGAGCGGGCAACCGCCTGTGGAACTGTGATTCTCCCGGCCCTCCGTGCAGCCATGGACCGCCGCCGCAACCACCTCGTCCGTCTCGAACCCGGACGCAACCCTAACGACCCCCCGGCTACCCCAGAACAAGAGAAGGACTTCGACCGCAGTGTCCGTATCCACCATGGTCTGGAGAAGGTTGCTGAAGACATTGCTCGAGCTTTCAACAGCCTGCACCACTGGGATATGGAGAGACCTGTTGACATGGGCGGTGGTGTTGATGCTGTTCTCGACGCGTTCCTCGAGGAGGTCCTCGTCCGATTGCAGCCCAGTACCGACGCGTAATGCACGCGTCTGAATTGTGTTTGAGTAAAAATGAGTGTTCTCAATGGAGTTTCTAGGTCCTGTACTTTGCAACGTTTCATTCGTTGCTTTCTTTGTTTCTTGAGGCCTTGGTCTCTTCTTCTTTCATGTATGTTATGTGTAGGAGTTAACTCTTCTATGAAACTCTCATCTCTGCTCTCAGTTCTCGGTCTCACTTGTATGACCACATAAATGATTGTTGTGATCTCGCTTAGCTCTCAGCAAACAGGGGCTCACTTATAGGGGCCCTTGTTAGAAGACCAAGTGGGCCAATACTGATTTATCTACTCTGTGTCTTATTTTTCTTACTTTCATCGGTTGGCTAATCCTCATCACTACTCGTGTCAAACTGCATGCTTTATTCATATAAAATTAAAAAATGATACCATAGTGAGATCTAGAAAGAATCTTCATCCTACAACCATGAAAAGATAATCCAACACGATATCTTCATTTTTCTCTTAAGAACCTGCGATATTGTCACTTTCTAGTCTCCATCATCACTGAGTTCATCATCGTCTAGGCTTCCACCCATGGACACTTCCAAGGTTCCCATACCCTAATCATCTTCTTATTTGTCAAAGACGACAGGAACATCTTGACTTCAATCTGTTTCCAACCCTCTTCATCGGGGACTGTTTCTATCTCTTCCTTGGTCACACGCGCCATACTCTCTAACAATTTTGCATGGGTTCACAAGCTTATCCAACTCCTTCAAGCTTATTGAGATTCTTAAAGTCTAACTCAAATGCCATTTTATCATCGACTTGGGAAAATGAAAAAGAAAGCAAGTCATAAAAGTAAAATTAGCATAAGTTCTACCACCCCTAGTCTTAGAGTTGCGAATTGCTCAAGCCTAGAGCCCGCTTATATCACTCCTATGTCAATAAGCAGATTGAAGGCCGTATGGTGTATGGATGGATGGATGGATGGATGGATGTTGTACCTGTGGACACCATAACTAGTGTGTTCCACGGTTGTGGTAAAGTCTCTTTTAGAGTAAGGTTGAATTAAGTGGGCCACTTTGAGTGGGTCTGTGATCACGTGGAAGGAAATTTATATAAAGTTAAGGTTATTCCTAGTACAGCCTGGGTAGTGTAGTAGTTAAGAGCAACGTCAAACTTGGTCTTAACGAGGTATAGGTCCTCAAAATTTCTCGGTTCCATTTCTTGATGCATTGATTGCAGATCACAATACTCTCCTTGTCGTTTACATGGGAAACAATGCATTCATTCGCGCATAAGTTCAAGAATGAGCACCCATAAGTGGTCCATATTAGGACATAATTCTCCTTGAAACTTGGTGGGAGGCCCACTAGCCTCAGTCCACTAGCTTTATTCTCAGACCCTTTCTCAGGGATAAACTCTTTGGTTCATTCCTCCCATATCCAGGCTTCTAAGAGAGTGGATGGATATAAGCCTCTGAAAGCGAGATAACATTTCTCCTTGACTTCCAACGGACGTTTGGTGCTTAACTCAAACTGTAGGTGGGATAATTCGATAAACTTGACGGAGAAGGTGAAGCCGATAGAATTCTGGACATGGATCGGCAACCGACTTGTGTTGAGGTACACTAACTGACCTGCGGATCTTCTATCCAAATTAGCATAAGCACAAAATCCTCAAATAAAACCGATCTTACCGACGAAAAAGGTCGTGAGGATAAGGATAATTCACGCACAGAGGGTCGCGGAGTGAGGAAAATCCCTGTGACGGGTTTTTCTAAATTTATTGCGGTAGAAAATGGCACAGATTTTCATCTTAGCGTTCGCTCCTAACCGCTAGTACCATGCTTTTTCATTGCATGCTCTGTTGTGAAATCCAGACCCATCTCAACGCCCGGAAAGAGAAAGGATTCGAGGTGCACTCAATAGTGAGCCCAAAACCCAAGAGGGTGACAAGCCTTCTTTGTCGAGTTTACAGAATGATCTGATCTGCATGCCAGGGCATGAGTTCCCCACCGGACTCGGTCTTCACTTGACTTCGGTATTCCCCGGAGGTGAATGTTTTCGTCAGCTTTAAGGGAGAAAGCGATTAAAAAGGGCGCAAGTGAGGATGAGGTAGTGCCTCTAGGATGGTCGAAACAGCCAATCCGTCTCCGGCGTCGGAATCAAGTAGTTGGTGATGTTGAATTCATTCGCATTAGAAGGATGGCCAGCATCATCTACTGACCCAGTCGGAGGCACGGGGCCTGCGTCCGTCAATCCATGAATTGACATCGGATTTGGCACAGGCTCTGGGATTTCCAAATGAGAAGTGGCAGAAGTAGACAAGTCAGGAGCCCGGGCAGGAGGAACGCGGGGAACATTAAAGAAACCAAAAACATCGAGGTACTCGAGCTCGTTGGGGGCGAAGTTGCGGGCGGGCATTGTCAGGAGGGGTGCCCGGGGCTGATGGCTCTCGCCAATGCCATTGTCAGCGGGTGATTCACGCGGTTGACGCGAGATCAAAAAGTCCAGGTCGAATGCACATCGACGCATATCAGCGAGAATCTTGACTGTTGATGGTGTTGATCTTTCGCCGTCTATAGCGGTTGATTGCTGATACTCGTTGTACTCGTCCAGGACGCGTTGAAGGATGCTACTGTATCGCTCGGCGACTTTCCAGTATTTTCCTAACTGGAATAGAGTATCCACGAAAAAGATGATATCGGGGCTGACGGTATGTGCAATGGTTGAGCCGTGGACGAGGAGTAGGCGTGCTGAGACCCAGAGAGTGAAGGCGAAGGGCGGGCCCATCTTGTCTAGCATGTTGTGCTCTACGACGAACCTTGTTACTGATAGAATGTTTTCGACAGCTAGTAGGCACCGCTGGCTGGCACTGTATGAGGGCGTGAAGATTGGAGATCGGGTTGTCGGGTATGCTGCCGAGGAGTGCAGACGAATCACAGCTCTAGAGTAATTGACCCGTTAATTTATTGAATAGAACGATAAATATGCGGCTCACTCACGTTTGGTAGGTTGCATGTAATTGCACCCAATCGCTGTGCAGAGCCCGGCCATTCCTGGGCCCACTGAAGAGTCGGGACGAGTTTTCGTAGGCATATTCCGCTGGGAGATTGAACTCCCACGATGTTAGCTCGCTGTCGAGTTTGCGATAGCTAGCCTGCCATTCCGCGACATCAGAGAGAGCTCCGATATCCACAGGCCGTTTCAAGAACAGGTGAATCCGCGAGAGGATACCCAAGATTTCAACATAGAGACCGAAAGACCCAACGTTCTCAGCTTTACTGAGATAATCCGCACGGTCGCTGGAGCATTGGAACCACCGCGTCTCAACGGGCTGATTCTTCATAAAATAATCATCCTTGCAAGGGAGTTTGCGGTCGATATCTCTGTCATCCAAGGCGAAATTGAACGCAGTCGCCAGGGTGGAATATCGGTCCAGCAAGTAGACCATCCAGAACAGACGACGTCTACTCTCATCTTCAATCCAAGAGTCTGGTTCTGAAAGAGTGACAGCTCTCAGAGTGTAGATCGAGGGATAGAGGGGGTTGATAAGGGAAGACTTTGATTCCACAGCCAACCCTAGCTGAACTACGGATCGGGTGATCAGGGCAAGCAGCTTCCAACCAGGTGGGCCATTGGAAGATCCAACCAAATCAAGAGCTAAAATCACGAGTGCCTGAAGTGCCTTGACGGAAGAATTTTCCAGGCCATACAGGACGACCTTTTGTTTGGACGAGTCATGATAGCGCTTTCTATTCTGGTCGTTAAGCCTGTTGTCCGAGGAAAAACGCAGGGTTGTTGCCACAATTGCATACAGCACCATTCGGTCTGCCTCCTCTAGTGGCGATGGGCCAAAAAAGGTATCCAGGGTTGTTCGCCGGTGGAGGATCGGGCACCAGGAATTGATATGTTCGAAATAGAGATCTACCAAAGCATAGAGCAAATCATATGGTGGCAGATCTAGATCAGGATTAGTAAGAGATTGCTCTTGGTTTGAGTATATGTTGACGGGAACCTTCAAAGACGATTCGTTTCCTGTGTAATCATGTTGTGCGTTTTGGGTATGTAACAACTGGCCAACCGGTGCCGTTGACAAGTCATGTTGCAGATGGTTATGTGAGGCATTCTTCACAGAGCCATCTGATGGACTGTTGGTAGACACATCCACACGGCGGGAGGGTAGAGTAACAGCAGACCCAGGGTCATTGAAGTAAAGAGCCGTACTAGGACTGGGTCCATGGATTGCTGACGGCTCGGACGGAGAGCTATATGAAAGACGCCCAGCGTGGGGTAATTCGTGACCCATTGAAGATTGGCTTTGAAGCATATGCATCTCGATAAGCCGAGCTTGTGATTGGATGATATCTTCCAATCGATCTGAGGTACGAGTGAGACATGAAATAGATGACAAGCAGACTGTATAGCAACTTACCAAGTCGTTGTTCTAACTCCTTTCCATATCCAGCTCTCAGCCCAGGCTTCTTTCGTTCCCTATATTCACATAGCTGGCCATTTCGGGTACACCAGCCACAGCTCGGTTGTACTCGATCTGGGTTGGTCAATGTTAGAAACGAAACGTTTGCTTAGGATCATTTTAGGCCATACCGCATTTGACCTTTCGCTGCTTGCACAGTTCACATCTAGCTAGGGTTAGTCGGGGTTTCGTTTCATACAAACACGGGTAGCCGAGGTAATCCAGGTACGCACGAGACAGTAAGGGGGCGTTTTCGCTTCAAGGCTCTTGTGGAGCCATTGAGTCCAATATGATCGTTATCAGAATCTGAGGAATACTCTGCACTCTGATCTCGGTTTGGATCGCCAAATTGCTGATTGGAGGACGGGGTCTCCTGGGCGGGAAGCGCAGTGTTCGGCATTTTGATTTAGCGAGATAGCAATTCGCCCTATCAGGGACCGAGCATGATGCAAGGCCGATTCACGGCGAGATGTCCCAATAGGCGATAGCCTGGTATTCTGTTTTAGAATGGAGGGAGCCTTGGAATATTCTCCACGCTAAACTCAGTATTGGATCCGAGGGAGGGAAAGGAGAAAGAAGAAACAGAAATGGTTGGACTCGTGAAGGAGCTAAAGCCTCAGGCAGAAACCGGGGCACCCCGCATTCTCCGCTTTTGGTATTCCCTGATTATTTAGTTCTACTTCTTCTACTTCCTCTATTTCATTGGTATTTAATTAAAAATCAGTAAATAACAAATTACACTATTTTGAAGAGTGGCAAGAAATAGTTTATCCAGTACAAATGGTGTGCGCAAATGTTCAACAATTTTGGGGTTATCTTTTTGAAGCTGGATGTAGCGTGTGAGGAAGTCAGTGTGGGTGTGGTTGTTTGGTGTTGTGCTGTCTGTCTCTGTCTCGAGCTTTTGCATCTTCTCATGTATGGCCTGGGCGACGAACGACAGGATCCAAAGGGACGGAGTTGATCGGACAGCTTGGCGCAGCATGTCGGCGATATATTTCAGGAAGCATATCCAAGGTCCTATCAAGGACCGCTCGGTCTGAATGGGACTGGCAGCGCACAGAGATAGCAGTTGTGCGGTCCGGCGAGGCAGGAGAGGCATCTTCTGCATCTATAATAAGGCCGATATATGCGGCAATACGAATGGAATTTGCAGTGTAGAGCTCAAAGCCATGCTGTGTAGTTGTTGCCGCAACAGGAAAGCCTACCAACCCACCCAGAGCCCATTCCCTATCTGCGCGCTGTCGTCAAAGAAGGGCTTCGACAGGGCATGGCAAACTCAACCAGACTGACACGCAAGATTTCTTCATCGTCCATTCTCCGTCTCGGCAAACATATCTTGCCTGCCGGCACGATCGTAGGCGCTGCTGCGTATAATCTCCACCATGGCGAGGACGTGTTTCCGCAGCCCTTTGACTTCCGGCTGGAGCGGTGGTTGGAGGGCAGATAGGAGGGAGGGCTTATGGACAGGAACATGATGAGGTGGGACCCAGGGTGTGTGTCGGGAAGGATCTAGTAATGAGACAGTTGTATGAGACTGTTATACCGGTGGTTAGCCTTGTAGAAGGGGGGTGTTTGTTAGACGGGGCCAGGATGAGACAGAGCAAGATTGATATTATTGAGTGGTTCAACGGGGAGATCCGGGGCCATTGCTTGGATGTGGATTGGGATTGATTACAGGTATAAATAATGTACGTAAGTTTGGTTAGGGGCCGAGAGGAGATGAAGATTGAGGTGGAAGCTCAAGATCCAGAGAGGGCGAAGGATAATGCTTGTTATATATCCATGGATGTTAATATCGAGTCCACATATCTATGACGAGGCTGAGACGGGTTTCTAGGAGAATGTGAAGTACTATATTATAGCTCCCCCCCCCCCGGGGCGGGGGCTTTTCCAAGGCTTGGAAGTTTGAATACAGTAACCCTTAGATTCTTATGGAATTTTTTTCAATGGGCTTTTTATCCGGTTCACATATAGCCTGACATAAATAGAATAACATGTGTCGCAACAAATTCCGCGAGTCGGGGTTTGTCCGTCTCTCGGGTTAGCAATGCCCGAGCTCCCCTCGGCATGTGGGATTCGTTGAAATAGACGTAAATCCCCCGCAATTGTTGGATTTCTGCTTTTTATTCTTACTCTATCTTCTCCAGTGGGCAATTATTGAGTTCACGTTCTCTTGAGACTTGTTCAATTTCATAAATTATGGGTTCAACAACGGAATTCCCCCGCATTAAGGAAGTCCGCACCTTCATCATTGATGGTGTTGGCTCTGGCGGTGATTACCACAATGTAAGAGCTCGGATATGTCAATTGTCTCGATATTTCACATTCTAACTATCGACACAGGTCAAGGGAGGCCACTGGCTGGTCGACAGCAACATCTCCACTCCTATGACCAAGTGGGCACAATTCCGCGGTTCGCGAACATCATGGGGCATCAATGTTTTGGGATCATTCTGTGTGGAGATTGAGGCCACTGATGGCACCAAGGGCTTTGCAACTGGTTTTGGAGGTCCGCCCGCATGCTGGCTGACCCAGCAACATTTCAACCGCTTCCTGGTTGGCGCGGGTATGTACGCCATCTCATATACATAGAACAATGGATCTTTCTAACGAAGTATATTTCAATAGACCCCCGCGACACCAACGACCTCTTTGAGAAGATGTACCGCGCCTCGATGTTCTACGGCCGCAAGGGTCTACCCGTCGCCGTGATCTCGGTCATTGACCTGGCTCTGTGGGATCTGCAGGGCAAGATCCGCAAAGAGCCCGTCTACAAGCTGATCGGAGGTGCGACTCGAACCCGATTGGACTTCTACTGCACCGGTCCCCAGCCTGGCTCCGCAAAAGCCGCCGGCTTCATCGGTGCCAAGGTGGCCTTGCCACACGGCCCTGACGAGGGTACGGAGGGCCTTCTGAAGAACGTTGAATACCTGCGTCAGCAGCGCGAGAAAGTCGGCGCTAACTACCCACTACGCGTGGACTGCTACATGTCCTTGACTGTCCCCTACACAATCCAGCTAGTCAAGCGCTGCGAGGCTATTGGGCTCGACATTGACTGGTGGGAGGAGTGTCTTTCGCCCGATGACTTTGACGGCCATGCGCTCCTCAAGCGTGCCCACCCCACTGTCAAATTTACCACCGGCGAGCATGAGTACTCCCGCTACGGCTTCCGCAAGCTGATCGAGGGTCGTAACGTTGACATCCTCCAGCCTGATGTGATGTGGGTTGGTGGAATGACTGAGCTGCTTAAGGTTTCTGCCATGGCTGCTGCTTACGATCTTCCCGTTGTGCCCCACGCATCCGGTCCCTACTCGTACCATTTTGTCGTCTCCCAGTCCAACAGTCCATTCCAGGAGTACCTTGCCAACTCTGCCGATGGCCACACAGTCGAGCCTGTGTTTGGTAACCTTTTCTTGAACGAGCCTATTCCTATTAATGGATACCTTGACGTCTCTGTCTTGGACAAGCCTGGGTTTGGTCTGGAACTCAACCCCGCTGCTCCCCTGATTCCTGCTGCTGCTATTCTTACGCCGGCACCCCAGAAGTCCCTACGCGCACCCGACAACGAGGAGGCGGCCAATGGCTCTGCATAGATGTTGACAATTCAGCGGAGTTCTTTTCTTTCATTCTGTCTTTTATTTATTTCACATTTATCACCTATTTACGCACTATACGAGAGTCATGTACATACACATCGGATTTTAAGATCCTTTAAAATCCCATCTCATGCCCCCTTCTCATACCAATTATCATTTAAATAATACAAGGTTTGCCGTGCTCTACGCTTATAGGTGGTATAGAAACAGTTCAATCAGTAGTACTCTAATGTCAGAAGTATATGTAAAAATAAATTGCGTTGCAATAAACAAGAGAGGACGGGCCAAGTTCAAATCTCTTTTGTTCAAAACTCCAAATCCTCTTGTACAAATCGTAATAAAGAAGCTTCCAAAGGGCCAAGGATCAATAAATCCTTTCTATACTTGCTGGCCGATCATCGGTCCATTGGAAAAGAGGAAGTATGTAGCCATATTCCCAGTAAGAAGGATACCATCCAGCTGTTTCCCAATCAATGATACTAGCATTTGATATTCCTCAGTACTAGAAGCGGGTTTGTTGACTTTTCTAACAGGAATGTTCTCTCTGTATGGGTCTCCATGAGTGAAAGTTGGCTGATGCCTATTGACAACAGAGGGAAGATGTGGTGCAGGAATGGAAAGCTTCTGCTCAATGAAAAGTAGAGCGTACCCCTCATTTTCGGTGACATATGGCCCATATTTGACGACGAATAGGTCCCTAACAACGACAAGATGTCCGCCATAATTCGTGTCGCGAATGGTGGGGAGAATTTTCGTAGCCTCGTCGATTTCTTGTTGTTCGGGCAGAGAGCCAGGTAACTGATCTGGTTGTCGGTAATATGGTAGAGAAAAAGACATGTCACAAGTTTGTTTTCTAGTGTCCAAAGAACTTCATATGCGTCAGAGAATTGTTGTCAGACCAGACGGTACTGAGGGTGGGAGGAACATGGATGACAAACAGAAAAGAACAGCCCTGCGCATGGTCACAGTTAAATACCGTACTCCGTTTGTAGTCTGAGTTGGAAAACCTGCTCTTCCTTACTTGAGCTTCATCAAAAATAAAGGAAAAAGAAATAGAAACCAATGCTATTTTCTACGGGGCCGAATGTGAAGATTAACCTTGGAAGCGTTCAAATGTTATATCTTACATTCTATCCTGTCTGTCCGAACGTATCACCAAGATGGCAGTAGAGCTTTGGTACTGCCACTTTGGAATACTCCAGAACATGAAACAAAACACCCAAACAAACCCCAAGACTTTTCTCCAAACACTTTCATCCAACCACTCTAATTGGGGCTAAATATTAGGGGGCCAACATGCGGGGGCCAGTACATACCCACCACTAAATGAAGGCCTACAATTTGGCAAACATGATTCTCATTCTCCACTGTGATACATTGGCGCCAAGGGGTACTGCCCACAAACTACCGAGATGTCTCTCCCTAGGCCTGCTTTTGACTCTACGCTAAGTCCCTACTTTCTGTATCAATTTATCTGCAACATCGAAAAAGACATATCCTTACCAGGAAATGAAGATGCCCCCCAAATCCTTACAAATGCGGTCTGCCTTGTAGCTTTGGACGACGTCATGTTATGGATTGTCGTTAATTTTAGAGCAGGTCCCTGGCGCCACCAAACTTTGTATTTATTAACCCTCCAGGGCTGGAGGAACCTTGGAAGATCAACCTGCTTATCTCATCCATCAACGCCCAACCCCAACTCCTTTTCTTCCCCTCTTCTGACCTTCTCAACCCCTACTTTTGAGCTTATCCTGGTAATGAAATGGAATCACTCACACCGACCAAACAACCCATCGCCATCCGTCCAGAACATGTTGCTTCATCGACCACAACAATTCAAGTGAAGCAACATAGCGCGAGCTGGTCCAGCGGCAATTTCACAATTTCAAGCACTCCAACTGCTGAAGAACCTCTTTTAACCAAGCTCTTTACCGTCGACGGCGATGTTGCCTCATGGTCTCAGCGACGACATTTCTGCGATGCCTCAGGTCTTCCCCTTTTTGAGATATCTCGGAAAAAGGCCGGGGTAACCTGGTATATTCATCGTCCCGGAGAGAGTAGCAGTAAAGGAAACGAGCCAATTGCTACAGTTGTACCGCAATGGAGCGCTCTCAAAGACAAGTTTGACGTGCATCTTCGGAATGCTGCTGCAAATGGAGAAGAGATAATACTGGAGGTTCGCGGACAGAATATCTGGAAGTCCAAGACAAATGTTTATCACCGTGGTAATTTGGTGATGATTGTAAAATTGACGGATATCGCTGCGGTGTACCTACCCGTAAAACGACCATCATGGGAAGTGGTGGTGGCTGAAGGAATGGATCTTTCGCTGGTAAGATGACCTGCCCAGATGGTCTATCAGTTGACAGTACTTCTAACACTTGATAGGCTTCAGTTATTGCCGTTCTTCTAGCTACAGTGTTATACCAGAGCAGTGAGGCACTATCAAATACCCTTACGAACTCGAGTTACTGATTCTCCAAACAGGCGGCAAAGGAAAGGCACCGGTGAGGAATGATGGTCCCGCTGAAGGAAACAATGCATCAACTTGAATATGAAAAATGGACCAAAATTGCCATACCTAGGTATTGGCTCGGGTGGGAACCAAGAATACCATTGAGAAATACTCCACGTTGGAACAAATATATCATATATTTGGAGATACACCAACATAGTTCGCCGCTTGTGCGCTCCGTTTGGGCTGCACAATTTCCAGAGTCTAAGGTTTTCCTGTCAAAATACATTCTAATGAGTCTGAGTTCTTGGTACATGCAGTACTAAATGAAATTTAGCCCAATGGTGCACTGCAAAAGACTAGGATTCCGAGACAGCACTCGAACCCACTCCCACATATATAGGCACCACTGAGGCGGGGGCCGAATGGGGCCAACTTGCGTGGAACATACTTATCTCAACTCATATTATGCATGTATCAAGGGAAATTATAGTGTACGAGGGGGATTAGTAGTGATCGGAATGGAACCGACGCCTTATAACACCAGGGGATAGAAAAGGAGCAAATGAGATGATACTGTGGTTTCGCAAAGACCAGCTCTAACAAAGGTTGCGCTTATAATAAAATAACCGAAAATATCAAAAGCAGATTCTCCTAAACAGCTTGACCCCTCCAAATTTCAATTAGGCTAATCAGGAGTTCCTCTCCTGTCTCGGCCATTTTCCGGAGGTGGGGTTTCCCCACACACTCGGGGTAACATCACCACGAAACCCCGAGCTTGTCGAGAAATCACCCACTTTGTGCCCCAAGTGAGAATTGGGAGAATTGCGAAGGACACCTCTCCATTCCAAACATCCTCAATGGCTTTCCCACAGTTACTAGTTGGTAAAGTCGCCGCCATCACTGGGGGCCTCACAGGCATTGGACGGGTAGGGTCTTCATCTCCGAATTTGAATGGGAATGGATTCGGAAAAACAAAAAAAGAAACACACACTAACTATATTACAGGCGATTGCCCTTGATTACATCCGCCACGGAGCCAAAGTCTCCATCAGCCACATCGGCGGCGCAAAGGAAGACGAGCTGCTAGAAACACTGCGCAAAGACGTGAACGAGATCGAAGCCGGAGCAGCCAAGACCCGATTCCTCACGGTATCCGGCGACATTTCGGAACCACAGACAGGCCAGGACTTCGTCGCAAAGACCGTCAAGGCATTTGGTCGACTAGATGTATTCGTCAGTAACGCAGGCGTATGCCAGTTCGCCGAATTCCTAGAGTGAGCTATATCCCCATTCCACCCCTCTTCTCCTCTCTAACAACCCCGCCAGTCTCGAACCCTCCCTCCTAAACCACACAATCTCAACAAACCTCACAGGTGCATTCTACGCCACCCAAGCCGCAGCCCGCCAAATGGCACTGACGCAGTCGCCATCGGGCGGCTCCATCATCGGCGTGAGCTCCATCTCCGCTCTGGTCGGCGGTGCCCAGCAGACACATTACACCCCCACTAAGGCCGGTGTGTTGAGTCTCATGCAATCGTGTGCGTGTGCGCTTGGAAAATATGGTATTCGGTGTAATGCGCTGCTGCCGGGGACTATCCGGACGCAGCTTAATGAGGAGGATATGAAGGATCCTGTTAAGCGGAGTTATATGGAGGGTCGGATTCCGCTGGGTAGACTGGGTCAACCGCGGGATTTGGCTGGGCCGGCTGTTTTCTTGGCTTGTGAGGAATTGAGTGGTTATGTGACTGGTGCGCAGCTGCTGGTTGATGGTGGATTATTCGTTAACCTGCAATGAGGATGTGTATGCAGTTGTTTATTTTGATGGAAGTTCAAGCTACTTATTCATGTATATACGTATTTCAAGCTCAAGTGTCTTCCAAAGTTTGCATCTCTATGCTTCATAGTATTCGAATCGCTAGATCTCTATACCATAAGCATGCAAGGTAACAGATCCCCATACACCGCTCTTTTGTTCCTCAGACAATCCCCTCCGTTCCAAAACCTCCTCCACCACATGTCTCCATCTACCCCAAGAGACATCATTCCCACCACCGCCAACATTGCACACCGGCCAGTCCGATCCAAACATAACCCGGTCCGCCCCGAAAGCGTCAAAAACAACATCAGTCCATGGCTGTACGCGTTCAACAATTGCCCCAAAATCAGGTTCCGGCTCCGCCTCTAACGGTAGAAGCTCCGAAAAAGCCCCAGAAAGCTTCATATAAGTCCTAGGATTCGCCCTCGCCATCTTAGTCACAAGATCCTTCCACTCAATGAACTCCGGATGAGAGCGAATATCATCCGACACCAAACGAAGGTTAGGCTTGCACAAATGGTCTATAGCAGTCAGCAGGAAGAACTCCAAACCCATACCTCACCAAAAGAAGAAAAGAGAAGAAAATAACATACTAATAACAATGGTAACCGCCTCACCCCCCTCCAAACCCCCATAAACCAACCCCATCATCTCAACCGCCTCCCTCAACTGTCCCAACCCCCCAGACCTCGCATCAACCCCAAGATCAAAAACAAACCCCTCCCTCCCCAACCACCTCAAGCTCTCCACAAACCCAGTCCCCAGCATCGTCCCTTCAACCTTATCCTGCACCAAATACCTAACCCCCCTAACCTTCCCCCAAACCACCTCCCCAGTGCGGCCGCGAACCTGCTCCATATACGCGCTCAGCACATCCGGCCCGCCGGGCACAGGCGCCCACGGCACAATCCCAAGACAGAGGGTCTTGTCGTGCGGGACGTGGCCCTCGCCTGGGATCGGTGTGCCGAGGGCTATGCGTGTGAGGAGGGAGACTTCGTCCAAGGCGTGTTGCCAGCCGTGGTTGGGTGGGGTTGAGTCAGTTATTGAGGAGAGGCGGTCTGTTTCGAGGAATATGAACCCTCGGAGGAGGGACGGGGTGTTGGATTGTGTTGTTGCGTGGCGGTATTCGTTTACGCTGTGTTGGGTGCCCAGTGGGTTGTTGGCGCTGTGCCAGGAGAGGGTTTTTAGGTGCGTTGCTGGGAAGAGGTGGATGTGGGAGTCCACGATGGGGATTTGGGCTACTGGTGTCATGGCTTGAAGTTGTTATGTATTTGATGTGTTGTGTTGTTTTGTTTTGTTGCGCTTGGCTTGGAGTGTTTAGGCTGTGGGGTTTGGTCAAGTTGTAGATTGGAAGATTGGGATGCGGGGTTGGTGATCCGTACAAAATACTTTCGGTGTCTGGCTTCGAGTGGTTTTTTTTGGCGTTTATAGACCAAAGTGATAGTTTCGGGGAGAATGTTAAGATCCTTAAGTCATGCAAGCTAAACTCGGTGGTTCTTGTCCCGAATCCAGAGCTTTGTGGAGACAGTGATTTCAGGCATAAAAAAGGCCCAAAACAGGTGTTAGCTATTGAATTCCATGTAAATTCTACAGAACTACACCGTCAGAGAGTAATGCAATATAGAGGACAGAAAGAGATTCATATGCACGAGAAAGGATCAGGAGTATACATACACCAAGTGGATAACACCACGAGGGCAACAAAGGGAATGCATCAGGGAACATAAGAGGAAAAACACAGTAACAGTAACAGAGGCAAGGTAAAAGGGATGTGAAGAACAACCCCCTCTGTAGTAACACAGCAGAGGGGACAGGGTATGTATGCATGCATGCCTCTTAGGCATGCAGTAAAAGTTCAAGTTCAAAAGGAGAAACAAAAGACAAGAAAAAGTAAAGGTGACGTTCCAAATTGCAACTCGCCAAGTCGTCTTCGCCATGATCAGGGAGCAAGGAAGATGTGAGTGGAATGTGATGCTAGAATGCATATTTTCCCCTAGCACGCCGATATACTGCTCCCAGTTCGATCTATACAAGGTTTCCTCTGCATCCACAAATCCTCAAAGCTAGTCATCCATAGGCTTATCCTCCAGAGTGACTCTGTTGGGTTCACTTTCAGCGATGCTACTTCGGTTGCTGTCTGTGCCACTGGCCCCGACAGCCGAGCCAGTGGGGAAGCTAGACAAGCTACCAAGGCCTGGCTTGCGGCTGGATCGAGCGCCAGCAGAGCGGGACATAGAATTGCGCTTCTCGAACTCAGTAGATGCTGCAGCTGGGGTAGGAGTAGGGGTTGGAGAGTCATCGGAGGCTGTTTCGGCAAGAGCAACAGGAGGGGGGCTGGGGGAGCTCGAGTGGGCGCTGGTGCTGGCAGCAGCCGAGGCAGGAGACTCGGTATATGTGCCGTTGGTAACAGTCTCGGCAACTTGGGTGTTCACCGTAGGAGGTTCCTCAGATCCGGCCTGGGGAGCCTTGTTGGCCGGTACATCTAGACTAGTACCCCGGGTGGATCTGCGATCTGAAGGGCTGTTGACGTTGATCGGGAACCGGCCTATCTCCGAAGCACCGCTCGAGCGGTCACGTCGATGCCGTTGGCGGTTGGCAGGACTGGTTGCCCGGCTGCGGTTGACAATGGCTCGTTGGCGGGCCTCCATCGCCGCACGCCGGTTACTCTCGTCCGTGCTGATGGCGCGTGGACGGTTGGAGCCGGAGCTGGTAATTCCGAGCGCACTCGATTGGCGCTTCAGTTCGCCAAAGATTGAGTCTTTGTGAGCAAACAGATCGCGGATCAGGCGGTAGCTGTGGCGCTCGTTCATCGTCAAACTGCTCTCGATGCGAGGGCGGAGAATACAAGGGGAAAAGGCCTGTGCCAACGAAGTGATGTATTCTTCGTCGGCCGAGGTCAAATCAATCAGGCGCGTGAAGTGAGTCATAATGGCATCAAGCGTAGCGATATTGACGAGGCGGAGTTGTCCAAGGGTGCTTTGCAGAACCTTGATCCGTCCTTCTTCCGTGGTCTCATGAGCAGTGGTGGAATAAATCGTCTTCACGATCTCGTAAACTTGTGAGGAAACCAATGAGTCTGCCCGGGGATTAGCATAAACATATATCAAGCCACCAAGAGAGCGACAAACCTGGCAATTCAAGAAGGTACAATCTTAGAACGCTTGCAATAACGGGAATTTCGAACTGAGGCAGCACCTCAGCATAATCGGCCTTGCTGTTGTTCAAAACTTGACGAAGCTTGTGCGTCGTGCTTAGATCAACTTCGGTCAGCCAGATCATTCGCCGTGTTTCATCGCCTTCGAGTTCAGGGTAGCCTGTAGGATTTGTGAGCGTTTATCCATGAATCCGAACATATTCCATGAATTTCTTACGGTTATCTAGGTAGGTCAGAATGGTGGTCACCAGGATCGGAACACGTTTGCGGTCGGCACGGGCTCTAGCTTCGAGGTCGACACCAAAGTTTTGTTCTGGTGGAAATTAAAATTAGCAACGCTTCATGTCTAGGCCATGACCATGGCTGTACCTTCAACGGAACCATAGTAGTTCTCGTATGCTTGGATCTTAGGTACGAATCCACCAGTGCGGTAATTCTCCAGCAAATATCTCAAGTCACCCAGGGGCTGAATTGTCTCCTGATATAGCATCATATGATCCACTGTGCTTTGCAGGTTGGGAATGACATTGCTGATCGCGCCCGAGAAGTCAAGAACCACGGCCTTGATGGCCTTGAGGCGGTCCAGCTCGCACTGCTCCATGTATTTGAGCTGGCCAATGACTTCTTCCTCCAGCCGGCAGCGGATCTGGTCAAGCTTACGAACGGCAACCTTGTACCGTTCATCGGCTTCCAAAGCCTCCCTTCGGAGCTTCTCCGAGGGTGTCTCGTTCGGGTAAGGGTTGTTGAGGGGATTCCAGCCAGACAGTATCTCAGAGACAGATGCAATAGGCGAGTCGCTGCCGTTGCCATCCTCGCTTGATGCCACTGAGGTGACACGCATGAGAGGCTTCTTTTTTTCTGGGATACCGGTGAGTTGGAAAACCTTGGGACGCCACTGATAGTTCATCTTGGAGCTATTGGCAAAGACATTGCCCATATTTCCAACCAAGCGAAGAAGACCGTTGTCTACCATATCCTGACCAATTATCTCCACTTGAGCGAGATTCTCGGCCTCCATGTAGGTTTGGATATATTGCGCAATATCCGCGCCGGTGGATACATTCAAATAGGTGCCGATAATGGGAACCTTCGCCTCGCCAAGCTTGATGTTATCAAGCATATGGGAGAGAAGTTTTTTCATGTGGTCCGGCGGGAAGACTCGCTCACCCAACTCGATGGGGTCTTCGTCGGGCTCTTCCTCGGTGGGGAGGATGATCTTCGGGGGAGCTTTGATCTTGGGGCTGGACTCAGGGTCTTGGAAAGCAAGTTTGTTCTCTTCTTCCAGGTCCTCAACGACACGACACTTGTTGAAGTAAGTACTGCGCAACTTCCTTACCAACTCCGCCTGCTTGGTGTGTTCCTTGATGCGGGACTGGAGGAGGTCATGGGAATACTGAACACGCATTTCGTGCTGCTCGCCCCAACGCCGGAAGGGCGATACGACCAATTCACGGATATTGTTGGCGATCTTCTGATGGTTCTTGGAGGCCTCGACCATCTCGGTGCGGATTCCTTCGTATGCCTGTAACGAGGTTCGCGCGACGTCAGTCTTCTTTCACTCTGGTCGAGTCCATGCGTCTGAAACAAACCTTTCTGACACTGGCACCATCGTCCTTGCCGAATCCCACTGCCGTCATCCTATCCACGCTCGGTGCAATGTCTCCCATGCGGAGTCCATACTGCTCTTCTGCATCTGCACGCATGGACGCAATGGCTAAAATCTGCTTGTTCTCCACAACTCCCTGCTGCAGCTTCCCGTACAGTACTCCCAGACCCGAAGCATAGTCGGGGGTCCAGAAAGAGTCCGCGAAACCGGGCATTATGGCGGCGGCTAAAAGGCTGATTCAGGCCGTCAAGCGGAGACACGTTATGATCGGCGTAAGAATGGAAAGCGATCCGGCAGGTGACACCGGTGAATTCGTATGTTCGGAGGGAAAACGGGAATCGTAAAAGGGTGGAGAAAGCGCGAAACTGAAAGTCAATCGGAGCGAATGGACGTTGGGCGGCCACTGGGGCTCTGGGTTTGCGATATGATCAAGGACACCGAAGGAAGACCGGCCGGCTTGGTTGTCAATTCTATATCCAGTCTTGACGCTGGATGGGACTGCGCATAGACCGAGACACCAATGACGAAGCAAGGAAGATCACTTTGGAATGCGAGAGAAAAGAGTGCGCAGGGTGTTAGGCGCCGGGATTGCGGAAGAATTCGAAGCTAAAATGAGCGAAAGCCAGGCCAAGCGAATTGCGATGCAAGTCGGCAGGAAGCTGGCAACAAAAACAAAGAAAGACAGAAACGGGAAAGATGAAGATGGAGATGGACTAGATGGAGTTCATGGATTTCCAGATCGTAGGGCGTCATGTGGCTCGTAATATTACGGGGATTTGCGTACATCTGAGACCAATACCGCCTAACAAGAGTCCTTGGGCTTCCAACATGGCTCTAGTCCCCACTGTCTTTGAATCCACTTGGGCTATTTTTGGTGTTGAAAATTACGCTGGGGTGGTAATTGGCCGCAAATCTTTAAATTTGGGCGTTTTTTTCCAGTTGTTGAAGGAAAAAAAGGGGGGGCTGGATGTGTTCCTTGTTTCTTTTTTGTTTACAATTGAATTGCATTGACATTGCATGTGGCTGTGAGCCTTGTCCGAAGGTAATAATGTACATTCTATCAAAATGTATTACAGAATATAGTGCAATAGTACATACAATATATGTGGCACCCTACCCAACAAGCCGTTGATCATGCCTACATGTAACTTCCCAGGTCAAACGCTCCCCCACAAGTATGCCAAGCCTGGAGGCTCGATATTATGATCTGCGTTAATATACTCCGTCCTCCGTAGTAGTGTGTTGTAGATTGTCAAAAGGAGTTTATGCCCATTGAAATGTATGAATGTTTTGTATGATATTCATAGAAAAATTATGGTATCGTGACTATCTTTAAACTAGCTTCCAAGCTGAGATGCAAGATCAAGATGTAGTACATAGGGGGAGATGTTGTCGAAAGCAAAAGAGAAGATAAAACACCCGCTTAACAGAAGAACTTGTAAATCTTCTTCCACTTGGGCCATTGTCTTTGTTCGGCCAACTCCTGCTCAACCAAATGCTGGACATCAAGGTCACGACGACCGGTGACCAAATCCACCTCGGAGGTGCGAACAAATTTGGTCTTGTACACCAGCTTATAACCAATGTAGCAAATCAGAACCACGGGGGCGGCCAAGTAGACAGAGAAGAATTTGTAGACAAGTTGCCCAGTGGTCATTTCTTTGTAACCAATGGGGGCAAAACCAACCCAGAACTGGGCAATCAGCACGAGACAGTTGAAGATGAGACCGATCCAAGAGCCAATGACGCCGGGCTGGGAACGGAAAGCCAGCTCATCCAAGCTGTGGCCCTGTTTCTTCCACGCTTGACGGAAGAGGATGTGGGCACCGCACACGGAACCCCAGGTGAAGATAGATGACAGACCCGAGATGGCCATCATCCATTCGAAGGCAGTAGTCTGCACGTCGGAGGCGGCGAGGTAGCAAAGCAGACCCAAGGCAGATGCAACCAGAATGGCGGGCAGAGGACGACCCTTGCGATCGATGTATGCCAGGAACTTGGGGGCTTGGCCCTGCTCAGCAAGGGCAGCAAGAGTACGCGAGGATCCATAGACGGAGGAGTTTCCGACAGACAGGACCGCAATCATGATAACGACGTTCATGATCGAAGGCAGAGCCTTGATTCCTGCGTTCTCAATGGCAATGACGAAGGGGGAGGCCTTGGCGTCGGCGGAGGAGGAACCGCTGATAAGTTTCGGGTCGTCATATCTCACCAGGAGACCGACGAGGGTAAGGGAAACCACGTAGAAGAGAGCAATACGCCAGAAGACCTGCTTCACGGCAGTGGGAAGGGACTTGCGAGGATTGGCGGTTTCGGCGGCGGCAAGACCAACAAGTTCGGTTCCAGCGAAGGCAAACGCGGCATTGACAAAGACACTGCAGAGACCCTTGAAACCGTTTCTGAATGCACCTGGGTCGTACCAGTACTTGGCGCCGATGTATCCACCTTCGGGTCCACCACCGCAGTTGAGGATGATTCCAAGGATACTAATAGTCAAGTCAGTTAGACGTTCAAGCTTCAGCAAACAGGAGCGTAACTTACATGAAACCAAGAACGGCAATGACCTTGATGATGGAGAAGACAAATTCAGCTTCACCATATCCTCGCACACCGAACATGTTGATTGAGACGATCACAACCCAGAAGATGGTTACCCAGGCGGCATTTGAAACACCTGGGTTCCAATAATCGACTGTGATTGAAGCAGCGACGATCTCCAAGGGTAGGACAATGAGCCACTGAAGAGCGTAATTCCAACCCATAGCAAAACCCCAAGCAGGATCCACGAAACGAGTCGAGTAATGGGCGAAAGAACCGGCAACGGGGAAGAGAACTGCCATTTCACCCAGGGCGTGAACTGTACAGTAAAGCATGCATCCAATCAAAATATAGGCGATCAGTACCGAGGCTGGGCCACCGACGGCCAAAACAGATCCGGAACCAACGAAGAGACCAGTACCTACATAGTAAATGGAATTAGCGAGGCCGAATGAGATGAGAGAAGAATCAGTACAGAATGAACGTACCAATAGAACCACCAATAGCAATCATCTGCAGATGGCGACCCTTCAGGCGACGCTGCAGCGGGGAGTGAGCAGTGTTATGGGCAGCAGTCTCGACATCGAAGCCAGAACCATCAGCTCCAGCATGACCGGAGACAGTGTGGTTGGGGTCTCTCTTGAAACTGTCCATGATTCGTTGACCGATGCCTCCCCGCGTTGGAGATGAGTCGCCATAGGCTGGGGGAGCATCCGCTCCAGTCTGGACGGTGCTCTCCTCAAACTTCTTCTCCTCCATGATGCGTATGTGAATAGATTTCTCTTCTAGGGGTGGTTGGGGATATCCAGAAGAATAGAAAGAAGTATCTGTTTGCTCGACCTGGGGATTCTGGAGAATTTGAGGTCTATGAACTAACACAGAGGTGAAACAGGTAAAAGTTTGACTGCGTAGGAGGGGGAGCGAGGGTATAAATACAGCCAGGCCAATTTCAGATAAAAGCGCATATAATTATTTTTACGTTCCATATAATCAAATTAAATTCAAATTAAATCAAAAGCACCCAACCTTGGGAAGTCTATCTGCTTGCGCTTAGACCAACTATGTAGAGTTTCGCACTAATAGCATTTCCAACTCCAATCTTCTGATAACCTTGGCATGCTCTTACGCCCGAGTCCGAGAGTAGGGCAAATTAACTTCCTTTTTATTTAATTCAGATTTATGTCAGATCCATGTACTCCGTACTCCGTACTCCATGAAATGTTGTTCGAGGCTATGAGTTACACATGATTCATGCATAGTCGCGGAATAATGTTGCAAACGGTCAAGTTCCCAGAGCTTTTTCTGGAAGATAAGCCCTTTGAACTTGGAACCCCCATAATGTTTCACCTGACTATCTTATTGTTTTAGACCAAAAAGGTAAAAACGAGTTAATTATTGTAGGATGTGGAACCCTGTCTGGTAGACGCCACTCCTTATCTATCTCTCGCGTGATTTAGCCTGTCACAACGGGAGGATCTCACATCAGTCATGGATGTCCAGTATCTACATCTACCTAGGTGGCTTGACTATCTTCCGAACTGGCTGACTTGTATTAAATGAATAGTCATGCTGACAAGTCTGGAACGACTTTATCACCAGGGCTATGAATATTCTCCGTATCCAGGTGGACAGGGAAAAGCCAAGCTTCTTGGAGCCCAAAGACGGCAACTCCCCAGATCCACTAAACCCCATTTGTCAGTCTCTCCGCACTCTACCCGTGGACGATAGTCGATCGTTGCCCAATCAGATGAACCTCGGGAGATAAGAGCACCTGGCACAACATCCCTTTCCCCCGGCCTGGGCCACGCTGCGTCCACGGGTGTTTCCAAGGTTCCTAATCTCGCCTTCCTTCTAGAATACTTTTATCTGTGCGAGCTGATATTCTAAGTTTGGACAAATAACCTTAGAAACATACTACGTAATATTACTCTACAATATACTAATGTACTGATCATTGGACGGAAGGGATGATCCTTTTCGTTTCTCACCCCTTGCCTATGGGAAGGGTTCCCGACGGACCCCGTTGCTGTGGCATGCGCTATGGGCCACAGGAATATGCGTGCAATGCCATATGGCTAGAGAAATTTGCCCCACTGAGGCTTGTTCGCAACCTTTCACAATTGAGTTTCTCTGGCATTCACCTCGGTATAGTCTCTTGGCCTGTGTATGTGGTAAGAAAGGCAGACAAAAGCTTGTGGATATTCCAAGAAAGAACCACCTCGGTCGGGTTCGCCACTACCACCCGACATAAGACGAGCTCTAGTGGTCCCATGCGATAAGGATGGTTGCCATAAAACTCTGTGCTTAGACGTTTGCGAAGCGAGGGTTTCTGTCTGGCTCGTGGCGGTCTGCCACTGATATGCATGGAAGCACGGGAGAAGCAACCCAGGAAGCCAAAAGGGTGTGCTGGGGAGATACTATCATGTGGTGTTTGTTCATTAGAGACTCGTGTAATGATTGGCCTGGTGTCGGCGCATTAAGCAAGATCCTCGTATTTTTCACTGGGCATTGTGCAGAACACATCAATCAGGAAGTCTGGTAGGCCCAAGATTATGCCCTCGCATCTTGGGGCCGTCCAATAGACTTTCGTGGACCTGTAGCTGGATTCGGGCATCCCCGTCAAAGAAAACACTAATCACATTTGGTGGCTAACGAATGCTGAGTTTGAGATCTCCAGGTGTTCATAATCGCATGACCTCTGAGCTCGAGAGAAGCTCTTTTTAGCCAAATCGAAATGTGAAAACGGGCCCACCAGTTTTAGTCTTATCTTGCATGTCTGCATTGCGGGTCAAGTACCTCACCAGTTTCTTAGATAGGGAAATCCACACCGTGAGACTTGGTTGGCCCCTGAAAACCAGTCAGATAATAAGGGGGCAAGAAAAAAGGCGCACCATGGTTCTCGGCCTCGAGCTGAATTGAATTGATGCTTGACTATCAGCCACTCAAGCCTTCCCCAGCTGATGGCGCGCAGTAGCAGATTTTACTGGCCACGCTCCCGCAACAGATAGCCACGGTAACATCCGGCTGGATTGGCATTTGTGTTTCGGTGACTGGAGCCAAGGCCGACCGATTGTTCTTGAGGCTAGGTCAGCGGCTGCGCCCGGATTATGGTCCAATGTACAGAGTACATTGTATAACATTGCTGCCTACCTACATAGGTAGGTTCCCATGTGAAATCTGTCAGTTAGATCTGTAGCACAAAGTTAGCTCTTCCGTGGACACTTCCGTGGACACACCCGTGGACCCTTCCAATGTTACTTGTCGGGTTCCAAGGTTGAGGATCAGGAGTCCACGGGTAATACCCCGCAAAATGTCCTCTGAAGGATCGTCGGAATACTCTGTGTCAACATTTCGCTTTTGGGGTGACTCAAGCCGACGAATATCCCCAGAAACAAGCACAGGCCAGGTCAAACAGCACGCAAGCGCATTCGGATTTTCGCCACCGCCATGGTACGACCCGCCATTACCCCAGGTTGATGTACAAGATACATTATTCTCCGTACATTTGTTCTTAATATTCCATTTCGGCATGTTCATTATTCCCGACGGCCAAGTCGGAGCTCCCCATTTAGGTCTATGAGGTGCTTGGTATTCCATAGTTTGTCTCACTCCAAGACTCAGCTAAAAAAGAAAACCCTCGTGGTGAACACGACGAGAATTAATCTATCCAAATAAGCAGGCCCCATTGTAAATCCGGAGTCGACATTAGGTGCATATAAAATGCGGGGATTACAATCTGTTAGGTAATGGTTTCCACATAGTCAACTTTGAAGTCTGGGGAAAAGACGGGACAATGAAACATGCTTTCAGGAGGGAATTCGGGGTAGTGAAAGTGAGTACTCCATACTCGAATAATATCCATGAGTATCCGTAGACAGCTGGTACTGCATCTGCAGTCTGCTGGAATCCCGTGTGCGCCTCGACCCCTTTTCCTGTTCCTGACTAAGGCTTCCACTTTTCCAAGGTCTTATGGAGCTTATCTTGCTTTAAATTGGCTACTGAAAGTATCCTACAAGATGTATGTTATTGTAGGCTGGGAATAGCTCTCGATAGGTAAATTCTATAGCATACAACTAGTATTAGGCCAGTCTATGTCTAGATCTACGGAGTAGGTGTAATAATAATATATATCAAATAATATACCCCAGATGATCACATCCCAGTTAGCTACTCGTTAAGGTTCGCCACCATCATTAATCTCCACTTAACAACAGTCGACTGACTAGCGATTTAACACACTGAATGTGGGGTAGTGAAGGCGATTTGGAGTTCGCTTCTATACATCATACATCATGATATCCACGGGGAAGAATTGCCCGATCAGCACGCGCCAGCGGCCTCTACTCTTATTGATGGAATGGTTCCAAATCTTGTTAATAGCCGGTTGTAAACTGTAAATAGCGCGCGGCGACCGGGGTTAGCCGTTGATACCCTGATTTCAGGTAGAGACGACTTGTGGTTGGAGAGCTTATTTTGGACCGTTGTTGCCCCGAGGTCTTTTGTGGGCTAGTCCCTGCATGCTTTATCTTGTATATCATTGGAGGCTAAAGCTAGTCCCTTTCAGCGGACTGCAGGGTAGAATACGCCCCTGGATTGTGGCTACCCATCACTGCGATGAACATCATGTTAGGCGAATAACATTCTCTTGGGTGTTGTTGACAACAGCTTCTTTCTGATCTTACTCCAATGCTGAGCTACGCGATACCTGAAACGCGGGATAAAGGGGGGAGAGACCAAAAGCACGCTTGGCATGGAAGTTCATTCATTCAACGATTTTGTTCTATCTCGTTGCATTCGGTATCATTAATACACAAAGTTTTATTTTCGTCACGGCAAGAGCTGGGTATCTCAAGCTCATGAGCTTGCCACGGGGCCTTCACCACCGGGAATCAACTGGTTGAAGAGTTAGTAGAGCACACAGATGGCCTCAGGGCGAGTTTAATTTACCATGCAGATATTGTTTCCATTCAACAGGAGCTTAGGGAGCTTGATTTGGGCACCGGTGTAGTCGCTGAGAAGGAGTTAGTCCAGGAAGCGATCACAGCAGCAACTTCTCGAGGATTTCGACAGTGCTTAAACAGAAATTTGCAAAGTGAGATGGAGATCAATGAGCACTGCTCAGGGGTGTAGGAGCCAAGGCAACCAAACACGACCACAGAAGAAAAAATGGTAGATGAAAGCTAGAAAATCAGAAAATCAAACCACGTACAACTCTGTCACGTCTTCCATAACCATGTCTAAATCGAAATTAGTGCCTGGTGAGATCGTCATTTTTTATATAGGGATACTCACTGACGTAGTCATCGAATCCGAGCAAGGTCCCGGAGAATTCTTCATAAGCATTAGTATGTTGGTTTAGTCTCATTATCAACCATTGAATTTTAGCTGACCTTTGTCACCCTTCATGACAACCCAAATCCGGGAGCCAACACACTTATCAATGAGCTCTATCAAACGAGTTAGCGGGGTCATGGCTTTCTTGGGTGATTAGGCACGGACCAAGAGGAAGCAGCTGAGAAGCCATGATGTCGGAAGACAGAAAATATTGTCGCTGGATAAATCTTTTCTCGGATAGCCTCTTGATTTAAAAACAAAGGTGATCGAGAATTCCGCGTGGGCAAGATCGATATAGAAAAGGACGTGATCGTTCGTCGCTCGGCACCTCTAATGATCCGGCCCGGGCGACTAAGCCAAATAAGGTTTAGAGGCAACTCTGAAGGTTGATTTGCGCGCTTGGAGCTCCGCAACAATGGAGTGCTATCCTGACCCTCAATTGATTTTCTACTTGCAGTTTCGTTGATTGTCCGTAGACTGAGCCACCACTTGTTGTCCATCAAATCGATCATATTTGATTGTTTTGTGAGGCTTCAGGCTGGTCCACTATGCTTGCCATACATTATGCCAATGAGGCCGAATCTCTTAGCAAGTCGGAAGACCCGATCTTCGATTGCAAAACATAGCGGTCACCTCAATGGCTCCAAATCCGATGGGTCACTGCGATGGGGACTGTTCGAGCTGCGGCGGTAAGCACGCTCTATTGTGTCCAGCTTCAATAGCTGTTTTTCTAACTAAACCACAGTGGCCCCGGTACTTGCGCACGATCTGTCCCAAGGCTCCGACATGTGTCTTTACCGAATACAAGCTCCTCGTACATCCCGCTCGTGACCTCCCAATCAATACGGAACCTTTCCAATACCACTCGCAAAGATGGCATATGGGATGACGACGATGAAGTCCCAGAGCCAAAACCCGTGCAACGAGTTCCAGGCCGGCCGGCTTTTGTGCGCCCTACCCAACATCGAGACCTAGCCAGCTTGATTCGATCGAGAGTAGACGGGAAAAATCGAGTCGCTCAACGTCTGCGCATTGAGAAGGAGTTCAATTCGCTACCTTCATATCAGGAACTGGTTGGGAATTTTATCCAATTGAAGTACAAACATGTTGATGACCTTCTTGATGAATCCATCAAGACCAACCTAGCATGTGAAGCCGAATATGGAGCTCTCTCATCAATATTTCAAAAGCAAATCAATGATGTGCTCTCACGGATAACAAAACAGGCTCTCCATGCCGAAAAGACCACTCAAAAATGTGTGAATGAATGGAAAAGCTTGTCAAGCTTCATCAGAGTGCGAAGTGTAACTATGGTCTCAGACACCACGGATTCAGTTCTACGAGCAGAGAAGGTCACTCAGAAGTATATCGCTGAAGTGATTCAACTGTCATCTTCCATACTGGGATTGGACCGAATACAGGCTGCTGTCACGAAAGCAGAGAATACCGGTCGAATGATTGATCATGATTTCTGCTGCATTGTCTTTGGTAGAACTTCAGAATGGAAAAGAAAGCTGGAAATATCCGCCCAGAAGATCTATGGTTGGCAGAAGTGTCTTCGTACGGCTCAAAAAACACTCCTACCACCTCTAGTCAACATTTCAGAGCTTTCCATATGTCGGTTGAGAGATACTCTCAACGATGATTACCTACAACCCCGGTATACCGCAAGAAGTCGAATTGATCGGGTTCTTCATCAAAGCGAACTGGTTCAGAAGACCTACGATGAGTTGCGACTGAAAAGCCATAACACACAGATTTTCGCCATCAGGGCCCTTTGCATGGCGCTTCAAGAACGCTCGAACCTTCGCCCAACCGATAAATGGGTGTTTGGCCAGTACAAAGAAATCCTTGAGCATAGTGATCGCGATGTGAGTATACGTGCGCATAATTACCGTGGAGTCTGGCTCAGAAGGCAAATGGCTTTGCATCCACTTCGACAAAGTGAACTATGGAATTTGCGGGATTTCATGGCGGAAGCTACGTCCGCACGTTCTCCTAGAGCTACTGACAGGCGGGTCTTGCTTGCGCTTGCACTAGGTGCGCCCAAGAACTCACCGGAGAGTCAGTACTTACACAAAAATCCACTCATCATATCCAACAAGATCTATCTCGAATACAAGGGTCTTTGGATGCCAAAACCGGCACGCAGCCCTCAGCTAAATATCTACTGGCGACAGTTGGATGTAATAGCGCCACTGCTCATGACTGATGTTCTCATATGGAGGCTTCAAAATGAAGTTTGGTACCTTCACCACAGCCTTAGAGGCGATTTCGGGGCATTGTGGGATTGGGTCCCTGAGCAGACTTTGTCGCATACTGTTTCAAAACTAGCCGACTGGTCCATTGATTTCCAGAAACATCGCAGTGCTCTTCGACAAATGACCTCTGAATACAGGCATATAAACTGGCTGCGTCTTCGATCGGAAACCTTGCTACACTCAATGGGACAACCTGTCTATCTTGCTGGAAAGTTTGAAGTCCTCAATCCAATGAGCCAGGATATCCGTGGCTTTAAGCAATGGGCCGATCGCCTGGGAAAGGTCACTTCTGACGCCCATATTCCCTTAATCGCCATTCGGCAGACGCGAACGGATTGGGAGTCCATCCACAGCGAGATTGAGCGCAACATTGGGGGGGCTGCTTCCGTAAACTCCCACATTTTAGAACTGGGTTCTTCGACCAAGAAACTCAGGCGTAAGAAGGGACGAGAGGAATTCGCATCCCCCAAGGCCAGGGCAGCTTTTATCAAATTATCTCAAAGCCGTCTTTCAAGATATATCAAAGGGCAATTGTCGCGCCATTCCGAGTCTCCGCCTGCCAGTCAGGGCAATCAGGAGTTCGGTCAGGTAGAGATGCCCTCGAACCATTTATTGAACAGCAGAATGTGGAGAATGAATAGGAGAGCCGAACTACAGCATGCAGCTGAGTTAGCTGCTAACCAAGGCAGTCAAGAGGAGAGCCGCCTCGGACACAAACCATCTCCCAATCCTTCGGCAAGAAAAGCCGAGGACCACACAGCAGAGGGCAAGCTTGTATCAAAACCACTCCCACTCGATGAGCCTACCGGTCAGGACAATCAGGAGGACAGCCAGCTCATCTACAAGCCATCACCCAAACTCTGGAAGAGAAAATCTAGGAGCCTTGACGCGCCCGAGTTCAACCCGTTCCTAGCGCCTTCTAGCCAGACAAATCAGGAGGGGAGCCAGGCTCTTCCCAAGCCACCACCTATACCCTCGAAGAGTGAAGAGGTGAGCCTCAGCACGGAGCCACGTCTTGATGACCTCCGTCCACCAATTCCAAGAGGAACCAGCAATGGACTCCCAGGCACAATCACACACAACGGACTACGACCGGCAATTATGCTTCCGAGGAAACCATTTGCTAAACCAGAACCAAACGATGGGAGAAAGTATAGCACGAATGCAATTTTCCACAAAACACAACTTCGACAAAGCAGTGGTGTCAGCGATGATTCCCTGTCTGAACAGCCACTTGAAACCCCTATGTCTTCGGTCCCAGATACTACGAACGGACATGAGCCGGGATCTGTTGAAGAAAACAATTTCACGGGTGAACCAATTCCATCTTCAGACATTGGTTCCAGTGCCAACAATCTTACAACACCCCAGTTCTGGAGCCATAGTTCACAGCAAAGCCCCAATGGCCGGAAACTCATCGTGCATTATTGCCGGTCCCTTCAAAGCACCGAAGAAGCCGTGCAACACTTCCTCGCAAGCAAAGTCATTGGATTCGACATGGAATGGAAGGCTCAAGCATCCGGCTGGGATAGCATTCAGAGCAATGTCTCCGTGATCCAAATCGCAAACGAGGAACGTATCGCCCTCTTCCAGGTTGCACTCTTCAAGCCTGCACGTTCTCTGGATGACTTAGTTTCCCCGTCATTGAAACGCCTCGTTGAATCTCCTGATGTCATTAAAGTGGGCGTTTCAATCAAGGCAGACTGCACGCGGCTGCGCAAGTATCTCGGCATCGATGCCAGAGCCACCTTCGAGCTCAGCCATTTGTACAAATTGATCAAGTACGGCAAAGACAATCCCAAGTTGGTGAACAAGAGGGGCGTCAATCTCAGCGAGCAAGTAAACGAGCATTTCGGTCTTCCTCTCGAGAAAAGTGATGATGTCCGCTGTGGTGATTGGACTCGGGCTTTGAGTTATCGTCAGGTTCAATGTGAGTACTTAGAGACCTGCCCAATTTCTCTTCTTGAATGCTAATCTTCTCTTTTTTATCTAGATGCTGCTACCGACCCGTATGCTTGCGTTCGTCTGTTCCACGCCATGGAGGCGAAAAGACAAGCCATGAACCCAATGCCGCCTCGTCCCGCGTTCGCTGAACTCAACCAGCCCATTGTTCTTCCACTTGGACAAGCAGTCAACAGCGAGGAGGATCCATTGATCTAACTATATAGATATGCATACATGTACTTACATTTGGTCCCCTAAATACCCCGGTCTTTTTGTTTTGCATTTCAAAGCAGATGTTTGTACACGTTCGATGGGAGGTCTTTTGCTTTCTTCATTTTTTCCTTTGGTGTAGTACTTTGTGTCTTGCCTCCTTAAACGGCGTGGAGTTTGATTTGATTTATATTTACATTCTACATTGTACCTGGAAATGTATAACTATTAATCGGCTGTTCCATGTCAGCTTTGGAAGATTCAATGGAATGTTACAGTGCATGGAAACCATACTCGAATGAAATAGAAACAGGGGGTATATATTTATCCAAAATAAGTGTATACACATGTATCGGCCGCGCCAATCTCTTCGGCGATGATCCATGAAGATCATGAAAGCACTAGCCTAGAACTTATTACCTCAATTAACCACATAACTACCCTCTTAGAGGAAGCACCTTAGACAGTAAGACCTCCTGTCGGCAGAGCGGGCACTCAGGCTTTTCACGAACCCAGTCCCGAACACAAATCCAGCAAAAGACATGTCCACAGGTAGTAACACTAGGATCCTTGAACATTTCCAGACACAGGGTGCACTTCCGCTGCTGACCCTCGGGGATCCACGAGACAGCGCCAGGATCCTCCTCGAGATCATACAGAGGCACAGACGCAGGAAGAAGAGGAATAGTAGACGGGTTCTGAATGGAAGCGAGAACAATCCCACCCTGCGAGGCAGACTGACTAGCGTCCGCAGACAGGCTCTCGTCTTCATTCATGCTCGCGCCGAGTTTGCGGGCGTGTAGGAATCCCTGCACGGTGATCTGGAGAACAAGCAACACACCCAGAACCTCATAACCGATGCGCTGCTCGTTGTCGTCGATCTTCTTTGTGAAAACGTAACGCAGGCTCCAGAGTCGCTTGGAGAGATGGTAGTACGAGCCCGTGAAATAGAAGGTCGCAATGCTCAGCGCATAAATGGGCGACAGGGATGTAATGGAGTCCAGGTGTTCAAGGATATACTGCTGGATGCGCAGTTTCGTAAACAACGGCCGTTTAGTCGGGGTAGTTGAGAACTGGGGCTTGTTGAGCAGGCCAGCCTGCTGCGCCGCTCGCAACTGCTGGCGTGCGATGTTGCGTTCGAGCTTGTTGCGGATTCTCTGTCGCAGTGCAGGCAGTAGCCGCTGCAGTGTCCACGGTACTAGGATGCTGCTAAGGATGTATCCCACGCGACGGCCGATTGACGGTAATTGAAGTGTGTCATCTTCTAGTTGTACGAGGTCGCAGTATTCTTCGCCTAGGGTGCGGTTGCCGATGGCAGTTGTTAGGGAGAAGTAGAGGAGTTCTGTGAGGTGCTTGATGGCGTCGGAGTGGGTGTGGGCGTATCGGGCGCCGCGGAGAGCCCGGACGATCCCTTGGGATTGTTGAATTAGGCTGCCTGTAAGGAATGCATCCTTCTCATGCGAGCGGATGATGTCCGGTGAGGTTGCGAAAGGGTAGAAGTGTGAGGTAGATGAGCCGAGGGCTGTGTTCGGGGTTGATAGAGAGAGATGGGAGTCGTCGTCCGCCATGACAGATTGTAAGGTGTTGATAGGGATATTAAGATTGGGTGTGACTGTGGATGGTATTTGTTAACTTATTGCATCCCCAAGACGAGTCACAGGTTCAATTCCCCGGCTTTCGTAGCTGGTGGAGATAACAATTTCCCCGGAGTCGTCCTCGGGTGCGATGCCTCGGTATAGAATCACATCAGGTGACTTCCAAGGTTGTCCGTTCTACAGTAGATCACTGTCACGTGCCCACCAGCTAGATTGCCACCTGGGCACCTTACATAATTTTAAAAGTTTCAATACCATGTAATCTACATCCTCAAATTACGATACGACGCAAGCGTCATTGGGCCCACTGGTACTTTCGAGGTACCTGGGCCTGTCGCAGATGAATGCGGGAGGCTTGTAGTGGCTAGATGTACCTGATTTGGTACCCCTTTCTCTGCAGAAATCCAGGGGTGTTCAATGTTCTTCAACAAAGAATATAAGAACTATATTATGATGGCATGGATACGTTGTTATTCTTGGACGTAACTACATATGTAGTTACGTCGTAATTCCCTTTAATCTTCAGTGTTTCTCCTGAGATGTGCATCTAATTTCTCTAATTTCTCTAATTTCTCTAATTTCTAATTATACCCAATTTGACGCTGTGGGGTTCCAGACCATCCGCGGACTCTGACTAGTCCGGGCGCGTATTCTCCTCTCCACCCCGGCTTCAAACTGGGAAAAGTCTCAACTTCCGGACTTTCAACGACGTCGACTCACCCCTAGTCATTCTTTTTTTGGTTCCATATCATAAGGGTCCTTGTTGTTACTTTAGCCCTTTTTATTCCTGTGGTCTCCCCCTTCCCTCCCCTGATCAATGGAATAATGGCGGTTGACCAACATGCTCAATTGGATGCCTTTGGGCTGATCTTCCCATTGCCGCTACGTATAGCTGCCCTCTTGGTCGCTGGTAGGTGACATTCCTGTCCGATGGGTTTGAGTCCTGATCAGGCGTGTGCTAACACAAGGGGCTAGGTTTTTGGGGATGGGGTATCAACCTTCAATATCTGGCAAAAGCCAACATCGTAAGTGGCACCCCTCACCTCTAGGGCTACCCATCGTATTCTCCACGGCTAATCAGAGTCCCATACTTCCAGGACGTTCCGGCGCTCATCAAATATCCTGCCCACACACCCTCCTCGCAACGCCCACATCACACCGCCGTCTACCGCCTGGCCACATGTTTCACCATCCCACTTGCCCTGTGGTTCGTCGTCTTTTGGCTGGCCACCCGCCGGTCCCCTGAATTGGTGGAGCGACTGGACTGGATCCCGCAGTCGGTGTTCATTATCCTCCTCCTTATTCTGATCTGGCCCTTCAACCGCGCCTCCCGTTCCGGTCGAATCCGATTTCTCCTTACCCTGAAGCGGATCAGTATTGGTGGTCTGGCCGAGTCGAAGGATGGCAAGTTTGGCGACATTCTGCTGGCAGATGCCCTAACTAGCTATGCTCGCGTGATCGGAGACCTGTATATCAGCTTCTGCATGTTCTTCACCGATGGCATCGCCGCTACTTCCAAGCCCAACCGAGCCTGTGGAAGTGAAATCGTCGTTCCGATCATCCTCGCTGTTCCCAGTTTGATTCGTCTTCGTCAGTGTTTGACTGAATATGTTCGTGCGCGGCGGACAGTCACCCGGAGAGAGACGCACAAGGTAAACCAGCACTTGGCCAACGCTCTCAAGTATGCAACCGCGTTTCCTGTCATTTGGATAGCCTCCAAAATGCGCAACTACAATCCCTTGGAGCTACGTGGATATAGCGAGGTTAGCATGATGCGCCTTCTGTAAGATTGGATTCCTCATCTGTTGTCTCTATGCCTTTCTCTAACACACCACAGATTTATCGTCTCTTTTATCAACTCTGCCTACTCTTTCTGGTGGGATGTTGTCAAGGATTGGGATATGACTCTCTTCTCCTCAGAACGTCGCGACAGCACCCATCCATACGGACTCCGCCGGCATCGCTACTTCGGATCCGACAAGATATACCACTACGTCATTATCGCGGATCTGCTCCTTCGTTTCTCATGGCTATGGCGCATTGTCCCAGGCCTCGGCTGGATCCCGGAAACCGAAAGCGGATTCTGGCTGCTCATGTTCCTCGAAGTTGTACGACGTTGGATGTGGGTATTCTTCCGGACTGAAGCTGAATGGAGTATGTTTTCCCCCTGTGCAACCGCACTCCCCCTGATCCCAACCGTGTAACCCATGCACCGCTATCCTGGTTTTTCGGACAATTCCACTCACGCTTTTGTGCCCTAGTTCGAAACACCCATGGCCCAGGCCCAGATGACGTCCTTCTCGGCGAATACAACCACAAATTCGACGCGGACTAAATTTCCCCACGCCTTTCGTCTTTGATCATAACTTCAAGCGATTTGGAACGTGGATGTGATACAGAAAAACCCTCCCTCTCAACCCAACACAACGGTTGAGTCTTCAGGCATATTTTGCCCCTAACCAAACTCCAAATATCCCTACCCAATCCAATACTAGAGCAGCGATAGACGAGGACTGAGCTTGTCTCTTGTTTTTTTTTTGTTTTTCTGGCGTGTGTGGAATCATATCATTATCATCACACGCCCTTGTACGCCTATTGTTTTCTTTTGGGGGTTCAATTCAGCTATATGTGTGTGTAACCTCATGCACAATGATTTCTTAGACTCCTTCGACTTGATCTCTTGGCTTGCGGCAAGCATGAATTTCTTTTTTCTCTGGATTTCTGTTTACTCTTCACTGTACCAATACTTACCTAGGGTCAACCTGGTCTGACGTCTGCATCTACCCTACCTTTGTTTCCCTCTTTACATATACCATTTATCCTATTGGATCGCAATCCTGGTCTTTGATTTCTTTTCCTTTCTTCTCGGCGTTTAACTGTCGAGAAATCTAATTGGTGTTAGTGGCTTGTACTTATAGCCTTGGGGTTTTGGTTATTGGCGAACCTAATGATTGAAGACTTGAATCCGGCTTATAGACACATATCCAGACTTTGTTAGACGATGCCAATTAGAGTTTGGTGTCAGCAGAAAGTTGAAGCATTAGAAATTCTGCTGCATTGTCTTGCAAGCTTCCCAGGCTTCATGGCCTTATTACTAACTCATAACGGGACACCTGGGCATGTGTGAAATGGGCCCAGTGGAACTTATAATCTTACTGATTCGGAGCGGAGGGATAAACTACGAGCTTTGGTCTAAAGAAAATAGTCCATTGACTTTTAAAAACTAACATGACAAAGACAGACTCGTTGACTTCGTGCAAATATCCTCCCTAGACAAGATGAGACATAAGATATAGAAACACAACCACAGATAAATATCGGGATAAATATCCAGGCGGACCAGCCAATAGGCCTTTGACCTATCCATGCTTCTCTTCCGCTGCCATCTCCTTGCTTTTTCTTCCACGGCCACTCATGCAATTCAGCTTCACCTCACTTCACCTCACCTCATGTCACTCATGTCATACACGCTTGTTATACGTTTGAATAGTTCACAGTAGAACATCATCCACATGTTGCCGCGCCCGTTCATATAACATCATACTAGTCCCAGGGGGGGTGATATGAACCCCTCGAGAAGCATATGAGGGCTAGGATTGTACATCAATCCTTCAAAGGTCCTTCTTGATGATGTGGGCCTTGGGAAGGGAGCCAGCGCGGTCGATAGCCTGCTGGCGAGCTCCAGAAAGACCGTGCTGACCGGCGATGCCCTCAACACGGTGGGTGGAGTTGATGTTCTTAACAAGGGTGAGCTGCCAGCAGGTGGCACCACCCTGGCGGGAAGTGATAGTAGAGGAAGCAAGGAAGTACTCCCAGATCTAAAAAGAAGTAGTGGTTAGTAAGAAAGCGAATCGATCCCAGAGAGACCAAAGACTCAGTGAGAGAATCGTGGGGAGAAACTTACGCGGAACCAGCGCTTTCCGTACTTGGCCTCGACCTTGTCGCGGTTGCCCATCCAGTTCCGGTACCAACGCCAGAGGGTAGCAGAGTAGTGCACACCAATGGTGTCAACAGCCTTGACCTCAAAGCCAGCGCCCTCAAGACGGTCCACAACGAAACCGAGAGGAGTACTGGCGTCAGCACCGGGGAAGACGTATTTGTTCATGAAAAGACCCCAAATCAGGTCCTCGTATTGCCAGGACTTGCGGAGACCAGCGATCTGCAGGAAGAAAGTACCGTTGTCGTCGAGCATGTCATAAACCTGAGACAAGAAAGAAGAGAGGTGGCGGACACCGACGTGCTCAGCCATCTCCAGACAAGTGATGTGTTGGTATCCACCGTCAACACGGGGAGAGTCGCGGTAGTCACTGCACAGAATGCGGCTCTGGTCCTCCTCGATACCAGCCTTGCGAAGACCGTTGTTACCCCAAGCGGTTTGGTTACGGCCAAGAGTGATACCGGTAACGTGAGCGCCGTAGTGGACAGAGGCGTACTTAGCGAGGGTTCCCCAACCGCAGCCGAGATCGAGGACCTTGTCACCAGGCTTAACACCAATCTTTTCACAAACAATGGCCAGCTTATTGTCCTGGAGCTCCTCGAGGGTCTCCTCCTTGTTGATATCACTGATAACACCGGAGGTGTAGATCATGCGTGGGCCAAGGAACCAAGCGTAGAAATCGTCACCTCGGTCGTAGTGATCACGGACCTGCTCCTCGTCTAGAAATGGTGTTAGAATTGCCACCGGACCTGCATGAAGATTTGCTTACCCTGAGAACGAGTGTGCATCAGCATCTCGGGGATGAAGCCAAACAGGAAGTGCTTGAAGAGACTAGTGGTGAACTTGAAGTTGGCCCAGTCGTGACGGTACTCGAGGCACTCCAGAGCATCGCCCTTGAAGTCAACTTCACCATTGAAGTACATCTCGTAGAAGACCGCCATGGGGATCTTGCTCTTGCCGCGGTAGGTAGCACGATCGTGCTCGCTGTGGAACTGCAGGTAGTGCTCGACAGGGCGGCCACAATACTTGGCCTTCTCGGTCTTGCGAGGAGAAACAGAAGAAGAGACAGCCCAGAATGCCACCAGGATGGGAACGGAGGTGAAGAGAGCAAAGAAGATGGTGGTGTAGAAACCTCCACCAACCTGGCGAGCCAAATACCAGGGCACAATGATCTCCAAAGCGATCATCAAGCCATTGGAGAAGCTGTCGCTGCCGGGTGAGTCGGCAGGGACTGGAGCATTCTTAATAGCCGGGTACTGAATAGGAAAAGAAGCAAATTAGGTCCTGGAATCATCAAACACCCCCCACGGGTAGCTCCTGTGCACTTACCAGGGTAGTCGGGACACCGCAATCGAAGGCAGGCTTGGTCTGCTCGGGGGCAGCCGGAGTCTCGATGTATTCGAACTCCTCGGTGGAGTCCGGATGAATGGTCGTCATGGCGAAGCGTCAATTGAGAGGAATGGAAAGGGAAAAGGAGAGGCCAGAGAGTAAATAAGAAGATATGGGCAATTCCGGGGCGGTGTGAGCTAGACTAAGGTACCTGGAAGTACGTGATTGGTACCGGCCGTTCCATGGGCGGGCTAGCTGAGAACCTGGTACCCGCCAGGTACACAGAGTTTACTCGACTCCCGTGTCCATTGGGTTCTATTTTCCCACTGACGTACGATGTAAACTATTATTGCAGGGATTTAATTATGTAGCTAGAGGCTAGCGGGTCTTTCTTATCCACAAAATTCTTTTGAACAGCCCTCTGCATGACCCAACACCCAGTCATTAGCAGCGAATGCCGAGGAATCACACTTTCCTAGAATCCGGTACTGTCTACGTGGTCCCTAACGGACATGCATGTGTGGCCTCGCCTCTCTGTGGCTTGGCAAAGGATCATCATGAGAGTGGAGAACGCCTGAAACAGTATGATCCGCGGTTGAACGGCAAGCTATCCAGTTACAAGTACATTAACACTATTCCATAACGCCAGGATCCTTCGGCTTCCCGCCAATTCCTATGAGCCAATGCCGATCTCCATATGCCAAATCAATAATCATAGTGAAGTAAAATTGTAATCCCCTTTCGATGCTGAGTATCTTTCGTAATGGACCCCTACAGAGTGAGCTGGAAGCTCTGGGCCTCATCATCTTCGTCAAACGTGGGCAGTGGTTCTTCCGGTTCCTGGGTGATCTCGTCCGGGGAATCGAAGCATCCAGCAGCTTTGCAACGAGTCCACATTTCCGAGTCCAGCGGAGGGGGTCCATACAGCTGCATATAAGTTTCGGGAGACAGGACTTGAGAGCTGGAGGGCCTCTGCGTTTGGGATTGCTTCTCCCGTAGGGTGGACGACACACTGCGTCCCTTAGAATAGCCAACGGTCGTCCGAGAGTTGACTGCAGCAGCAGTGTTGCGCATGGAAGAAGGGTTAGACGGGACCCTGGCGTGCCTCTTGGGCATAACCAGTGACGATGCCAACGACGCCACCCGTGGTTTGGGGGTTGAAGCCACTCGAGGTGCAGCAGTCGGCTGGGATCCGCCAAGCGCAGCGACAGCGTCACGGGCTCGAAGCGTCGACACACTGCGAGTGTGTCGTGTGGTTGTAGGTCTTTTTGATGGGATCGCATTTGGCTGAAGTGCCTTTACGGACTCGCTCTCACTGGAGCTCTCAAAACCAATGTCCTCGAGTTGTTTCATAATCATATCATCCACCATCCTGTCACACGCCGCCGAATCCTCCTTGAACTTGCGCTGTTTTGCTGTGAGTCCATCACTGCCAACTTGTTGCTTTCCGTAAACACTCTCCAAACCCAGAGCTCGATTCTTCGGTCGGAATTGGGGGAATGTAGTATCATATGTCACATCGTCTGGAAGGTCCGGAAGATCTGTAGTTCGTCAGAAATATGCTTTGGGGTTTGCAGCTTTAGTCGAGCTTAGCGTACCTCTAGGCTTCGGCGGCATGTATTCAATATCCGGTACATCATCCACAGCGGCGTCAATGTGGACTTTGGTCTGAGCTTGCTGTGTCACTGGAGCAGCTTTTCTGATCTTCTGGGCAGTCGACAGTCTGCGGTTTGTCTTCGGTTGCTTGGTGGTTCCTCCAAAGGGCGCAGGCGTCTGGAGGTTGTTGGCTTTGAGATTGGTCGTTTTCATGCCCAGAGGAGCGCGGTCCTTCACTATAAGCAAAGAAAACAGTCAGTCATTCTCCAACGGTCATCTCCAAATCTCTAATTTTCGCGAAGCGCGCGTACCCATCGGAGTCATGAACGCGTTGTTGCCCGGTTTTCCATTCTCCTGGCGATTCCCATTGCCCTTCACCGTGCGATTTCCAAATGCCAACGGGTTGTTCTCGTCATTTCGTGGCTTGCCGGGGGTCTTGGGTGCTAGCTGCTTGCTTTGGTTCAAGGGCTTAGCTGCCGCGGCAGTCTGGTGGGTGTTTACCAGGTTTTCCTGGTCGCGAAGAGCCAACATAGTGGCGAACTGAGACTGATAATTCTCATGCACCGTATCAAAAAGATTATAGTCGCGTCGTTATCAGGTTGAGGGTGATAAAGAGCCAGAACGAGTTCTAGATGCAGGTGTTGTCGAGTGGTTGCCCGTGGAGACGCGGCGATCCTTGGGCGGTGATTGGCGTGGAGCAAGAGCGGATGTGTACCAAACCATACGACGGTTACGCAGTTGGTACACAGTAAGTATACGGTACTTCCCCTGTAGTGGAGCTGGTGCTTGTTCTGCTGGTACTGTCTACTTGTTCACTCGTCAACCATTATTCCTCCCCTTCTCTCCCAAAACTCTCCCCATATCATCTTCCACCACCCCATCCAACACTCGCCCGGTTTCTCGCTGAGCGAAAGCCTAACTACTCTTCCTTTCAACCATACATATTATCTTCTTTACTCCCTTTTCAATACCTTCAAAATGGACAAGATCAGAGAGGTAAGTCACCAAGACCCCTGCCGGCGGGGTAGCTTGACTGCCTCCCAAAATCACACAGCCCCTCGTCATATGCATATATGCATACCACCCCCGATATTCCATCATTTCCCCACTGGAAATTTTGCTAACGCGTTGGTATTTATTTTAGCGCATGGTCGCCCTCCGCGCCGAGGCTGATGAGGCCCACGAGCTCGTCGATGAGCTCAAGGCCAAGGTCAAGACATTGGAACAGGAGAATTTGTCCAAGGAACAAGAGATCACATCGCTCAACCACCGTAACCAGCTTCTAGAGGAAGAGGTTGAGAAGGCAGAGACCGCCCTCAAGGAGGCTAAGGAGGCTGCCGGCCAGAGCCTCCAGCACGACACTCAGAACGAGGCCCTTCAGCGACGGGTGCAGCTCCTTGAGGAGGAGGCCGAGGAGAACGACAAGACTCTGCGGGAAACAAACGAGAAGTACGATCAACTACCGGTTCGTTAACAGTTAGGTACTAACATTTTGGGCACTCAGGCTCCGCCAAACCGACATCAAGGCTGGTCACTACGAGCGGAAGGTGCAGGCACTCGAGGACCAACACGCCAAGCTGGAGCAAAGATATGAGGATGCGATCAAGGAACACAGCACTGTGAAGAAGGAGCTGGACGACCTTGCATCCCAGATGGCCGACATCTAAGCTGGCCCAAACCGGTGCTAGGTGCAGGATATCGGGAAACATTTGGTTGGATACAAGCTTCATTCTCTGGTTTGTCGACTGCTTTTTCATGCTGTGACTGTTTGTGTTACGCTGGTCCCAACTTTATGGGCCAGATACAGCGCTTTTGATAGCAATAACTTTTTATCATGCAACGTGCACTACGGTGTCTACCATTTCCTGCATCATTGCATTTTCCATAACGTGAAACTCCTGTGATCCGTAAAATTGACTAACCAATAATTGCTTGAAGCCGAGTATATGCACAGTGATGTCGTATCTCTTTGAAGATGTGGTTTCCTCATTCCTCTGCTCCCTTTCGCGCCTTTGCTCTCTTCGCTTTCACAGCCCGCTGTTTTAACTGTGTTTGTTTGCGCTCAACCTTGGTCTCGTAGCGGAAGTTCCTCTTCTTTTTCCTGGCTGCTTCTGAGGCTGCACTCCGGGGCTTTCTCTTCTTGGCTTTTGTGTCATCCTCTTTCGACTCAACCGGGTATTTTTTCTCTTCTTCATTCTCTGAGTCCTCCCCCTTGGCAGCCTTGAGCAGACCCTCACGGGATGCATCCATTTCTTCAACCGTGACTGTTGTGTATTTGTCCTCGTCGACGTATTCGGCTTCGTAGTCGACTGCTGGAGGCTCTTCAATACCCTCCCAATCTTCCTCCTCTTTCTCGCCCTCCATTCCGCCAAGATCTCCAGCATCCTCCTTCATACGCTTGAGTACTGCTTTATGCTCCGCCATTGCCTGTTCGAAGTCTTTTTGCGATCCTCTCGAATCTAGAAAAATTAGTGGATGTCTTTGGGCACAAATTAAAGCCTGTCGAACCTTCTTTCTTGCGTCTCTCTTCTCCTCTTTGTATCTCTTGACGGCATTGTCTTGCGCATGCTTGGCTCGTTGCACCTTGCGTTTGTGAAAGCCAGTCAAGTATTCATGGCGGGACTCGTCGTCGAAATTGACCTCTTCAACTTTAGGCCCAGCAACAATTTTGCGCTTTTTCGAATCCCTTTTTAAATCCTTGGGCCCCATGGTGAATGAGAATCTCAATGTTAGGTATACTTGAATCAAATAACAAGTAGACCTTTGTATATCGTAGGTTGTGTTGAAACTGCGTCAAAAGCAAAAAAAAAAGTTGATATGGAAAGCTCAGGCGGGTCGGGGCTCTCGACCGCCTCCGAGGCCAAGTCGGACACCTCCCGTTGGCAACATCATCGCCAACCTGACCCCATCCCCACGACAAACACAATGCATCTCAGCAGGTTCGGGCTATTGGCCCTTGGGGCTGCTGCCGTAAATGCTTTCAGAGATACTTCACCATTCTTCCTCGCCTCAACTTCTGAGTATGCTTGATTGAACCTCTCCCGCTGCAGTTAACTAACCGCTCCTCCTTTAGGGTCCTGACGAACTCCGCCTACATCCAGACAGGAGCTTCGCTTTTCGAAAACCTTTCCTCTTCTCTCAGTACCTGTCCGTCGGATTACTATGTTGTCGTCTACCAGCCTGGTGTGCACAGTTCCGACTTCTCGACGCGAAAGTCGGCACCCCGCTTGGGTGCGAAGATGCTCGGGAAAGACAGCTCCATCCGGTCCAAGATGAGCATCAACGAGGTCGCTGGCTTGGTAGAACCTAAGGAGATCAAAAGCCTTTTGGAGACGAAGTGCAAGGCCCAGACTACCGCCGTCGACGCTTCCTGTAAGTTGCTTTGGTGGCCAACGATGGCCTTCGCAAACCCGCGAAGAACGTCAGAACTAACAACGTGAAGCCGGATCGTACCCATCATACTTTGAGCAGGGTCCCCGGATTATTGATGTCGAATTCCCCATGCTCTCGCTGGACTCGGACCGCGCACAGCAGCTTTCTGAATTTGGTACGTATGCAGTCCACCTATGCCCTTCATTGTTACTAACTCTGCTAGATGGTTTCCTTGCCGATGTCATTGATCGACTTCCTTCCTCATCCAAGTATACTATTCTCTACATCACCTCGCCGAGAGAGTTCCCCGAGACGGATTCCGTTATCTACGAAACCGCTGGGGATTCGTACCAAGACTCCCTCCACATGGAGCTAAAGCGGGACTTCTCCGCGCATGGCAGTGCCTCGAGCTCATCAAACAATTCCAACTCTCTTTTTGAACAGTATCAATACTTTACTCCAGGTATGTATCTACCAATCCCACCTTCTCTCTATGGACTATACTCACCCTTTTCCAGGCATTTTCATGGGACTCATGGCTACCTTTCTGTTCCTCGCGATTTTGTATATTGGCATCGGTGCTCTCAGCAGCCTCGAGATTCCCTATGCCGCATTTGAGAAGGACACCTCGGCTGCTGTGCAAAAGAAAGCGCAGTGATTTGTAGCGCTTTGTTGGATCATGTTTTTGAAATACACCTCCATTGCTGCAATTGATTTTCTTTTTTTGTCGGGGGTTCAGGGACAATTATCTCGTATTCCCATGTATGATATTACATATTCTCCCAGTTTTCCGAATGTTAGATTTGTCAACGTAAATGCGCACCTGGGCAAGTGCCTGTATCTTTTTTTGGAAGCTGTCAGGTGACAGTCTCGGTCTTGCCTAAGGCACCCCTCTCCTTTAGCGTTGGCGTCTTTTCGGTTAAGAAGGCCTTGCCCAGGTGTCTTGTGGTCATCTTCGCTCACTCGTTGGCCTCACTTGAATAATAGTCATTCGTTTACGAGAGATTCCTAACGCCTCACAGCATATGAAAATTACATTGTGGATCACCTGCAGCCTGAGCTCAGCATCCGCCAATCTTTCACGAGAGACGAATCGCAGTTATTTCTGAAATCAGCCGCGATCTTAGCCTTGCTACATACCCAGACTTCATTGATGAGCTGACAAGGATCGATAATCTTCTTTGTTCCTCGCTGTCGTTGGGATCGGCGCCTACTCCAAGTGACCCGCACATTGTGGAGAAGCAGCTGATAGATTGTTTACGCCGCCATGCGAGTTCTACCGCAAGGGCTTGGGAAAGCCAAGCCGTCATTCCTCCTGCTACTGTTTCTGGTCATTGCCATCGCTGCTCAAGTGTCTGCCGTACCGGCGGACGATACAACAACGGATACCGGTGCCGCTAAGACCACCGATGATCGCTCCACCACTCAAAGCACCTCTAGCGTGAGTGAGACAACGACATCTTCAACCACTTCCAAATCGACGTCAAGCTCTACTACCAGCACCACATCCTCTTCTTCTACAAGCACGACCATGGATACAACCACCACATCCTCCTCTTCCTCCTCCTCCACGACGTCCGACAGCACTACAACAACATCATCCGTCTCCACGACAACGGACTCGTCAACATCCTCCTCCTCTACTACAACCGCCGGCGCTGTTGTGACGATACCACCAACAGCGAACGCCCCATATATGCAAGAGAGCAATGCTCCCGAAGGCACAGTGTTCATCGCCGTCGGCGCCGCGCTAGGGCTGATCGGCCTAACTCTGCTCGCATGGCGCGCAATGGTCGCATGGTCCGTAAACCGCTCAGTGCGGCGCGCCGCCGTAATCCACGCCTCGGAATCCAAGCGCCTCCTACGTGGCAGCAGAAAGAAGCGATCAACCCCCTACTCCGCCGCCCCGGCGGTCGAGGTATCCCTGGACAAACTCGGCGCCGCCACTCGCGCAAGCTACAAGCCCAACCGGGTCCCGAGCGCCAGCAGCGGTCTTTTCTTTTCGCCTACCGCTGGCGGTCCTACTGGATCGCATCACAATCTGCACGCTACAGGAAGTACGGGAAATCGTGCCTCAACATACCTGCCTGCTGGATACTACGCTGCTGCCGGTAGCTCCAACCCCGCGCCAAGTGGAGAGCTTCCATATTCGCCTACTGCTGGCCTCTCGTCGCCTTCCCTGCCTCCTGCTGGTGTCTACCATGATTCCCATAATCAGCGCCACTCTCATGTGGGTGCCTCGACGAGTTCTTTGAACCTGAACCAGGCGCCGCAGGGTCGTGCTCCTAGCGCATATCTTGAGGATTTGTTTGAGAGCCATGCTCCTCACAGCTCTGATTCGGGCCGTCGGTAACGCTGCTGGACTCTCAGCATACTGGTCATATGAAGGAATGATATTGGCGAACTGTTTTTGTTGGATCTACGTTGGGATTTCTTCCTCTTTTTCTTTGCCTTCTGCTCTTCATCTATTCTCTTTTCCATTTTCATTTCGGGTTTGTTTCAACTCGGCGTTCCATTATCTCTTTCACATGAGGTTATCTGCTTCTCCATTTTTTTCTGCGTATTATTAACTATTTCTCCCTTGTCAATACAAATCAGTAATCCAACCATGGACATAACTACAACCCTATTAGTATTTCCCTATTCTTGCAATAAATATCTATTGCATTACATGTAGGAAACCATTGATCAAAACTTGTGTTTTATTGAGATGCTAAATCATGAAATATCGTTAAGCCCCACCGAAAAGGGCGAAAATGAAGGGGGCAAAAAAAGCAAAAGTCACCAAGCCGATTCATATTGACAAAACACACCCTCGGAAACCAAGAATATGTGCTTGAACCGTGGGACGGGAGTATGGGGTATCTACGGGCTCAAAAGAAAGCGAACTAGTCAATGCGCTTGTACAGCTTGGCCTTGGAGCCAGCAGACGAAGCTCCGGCACAACAGGCAGCAGGCTGCTCCTCGGGGTGGAGTGAAGATTTGTTGAACAACTGGGAGGATTGCGGGACGTCAAGAGCCGGGTTCTTGTTGAAGAAGCCATCGGGCTTCAGCATGACGCTGATGCGCTCCATCGGCATGACGGGGAAGTCCTCAATGCGGGGATTGTGGGTAAGACCGAATGCTGCAGGGGTTTGTTAGTTATACAGTACAGATCAAGTCGGGGGGAGGAATGCTTACTGTGCCAAAGGACGACGTCTTCGTTCTCTGTGTTGTCCTTACGCTGCACCCAAGTCTCCACGCCCTCGGCGCGGCGGCTTTGATTGGTGAACTCGCCTGCAGCGTACAATTCATCGTCCTGGTACTTGGTGACCCAGATTGGCTTGGTGGCAAACTCAGCACGGCGGAAGCCGTGGGCATTCTTGCTGACCAAAAGCATTTGGCTGGGAGCTGCCATAAGCTTGTATGCAACAGGCTTGTAAGTGATTGGGTTGGTAATATTGTCGTTGCGGATCTTGAAGACGCGGTGGCGATCCACGCTGGTGTTCGCTGTGCCTGCCGTGTGCATCACCGTAGACTCCGAGGTGTAGCCCACAAGGTAGGGATTCTTCTCGTCTTCTGGCATAGGAACGCTGTCCTCGTAGTAGATAGTGTTCTTAAATCCATCAATAGCAGGGTCAATCCGTAGGGAGAACATGTGCTGGTGGAAGGGAGCCATGACACCAGGGCCGACGTTGGTACCCCAAGGGACGGTTTGGCCGTTCTCGTTGTCGAATGGGACGGTAGACAGAATGCCGGTGGCCCGGACTTCCAATTCGACATTGGCGGCTTGATCAAAGATGTAGTTGAAGATGTACTCATAGTTGGCCACAGTGCAGATCATCTGTAGGACCAACTGGCGGTTGCGCACAACGGTAGCAGCACCGGACCGATAGTTCGTGTGTTTGTGCTGTAAACCGTTATCTTGCTCGTGCATGCAAATCACGTTCTTCAGCTGTAGTGGGTTGCCTTTAGAGTCGTTGCGGTAACCATCAAAATACTTGATATGGCCAAGACAGTCACATCCAAGAGCCAACTGATTGGCATTCATACCAAAACCAGTGTCGCCGACATCAAACGCCTGCTTACGGTGGTAGGGGGCTCGGGGATCTAGATTCATGTCAGTTAGATCCGCTGAGAGTTAGGGGTGATAAGGGGCTCCAATCCCACTTACCTCCATAGGGGACAGTCATCTCAGAAACAGCCAAACGATAGAAGAGGTTTCTGTTGTCATATGTAACATTGTATATAATCAATCCTTCGCGAGCGTTGAAACCGACCCTGAAGCGCCACTTCTGCCAGTAGACGGAGTTGCCATCCACTGAAAAAGAAGGACCCTCGGGCTGTTGTACGATATAGGGCTTGAGATCCGTGCGAAGTGGCTCATCCAAGAGGTCGTGGGCGTACTGGACTGTCTTGACAGGCTTCCAAGGCTGGGTAGAGGTAGTTTCGAAATCAGCACCGCCGGGCAGGTAGTCCATACGGATCAACTCATGAGTGAAACCGTCAAAAACTGGTGAGAATTTGCAAGGCAGAGAGTAGTGATTGTTCTGGGGGTGATCCACTTCGACCATGTACATGAAGCATTGGAAGAGCCGTCGGTCCTCGTGTTCACTGTCTGTGCCATACATCCAAGGGTCATTGCAGACAGTAACGCCCGCGGGCAGTTGCAATTTCTCGATCTCAGCCAGTACGGCGGGGTGCTTCATGCACATCTCTTCGATTCCGGCAATTTCGTCGATATCAATGGGGCCCTATAAAGCAGAACTTCTGGTTAACCCCATTGCTTACTTCGGGGAGAGGGCTCTGCTTACCTGAACCTCCTTGGGAAGCTCCTTGGCATAGACAATGGTGCGCTTGTCGGCATTGAGGATAGCCTTGTAAAATGCGCCAGTGTCCAGGCGGTGGAAGAGCACATAGAGGAGACGGGCCGGAGGTGGGGGCAGCGGGCGCCGTAGACGCTCCGCTTCGATGTATGCGATAACATCCTTCTTGATAGGCTCATTGACATCAATGCGCTTGTAGCGCAGAGAGACGCCCGGGAAGGTCGCCTCGAGGATACGTACGGCGAGCTTGATCTCCTCCGGTGTGATTGGGTCGAATGGGTGCGGGCCGTGGTTGGTCACCATTTTGGCGACGTTGGGGTACACTTCCGAGGTAAAGATATGAGGGGGCTGTGAGATGTATTAGAGAGGGAATGTCATACGAGGCCACGGAGAAGTGAGAAAAGACAAGTGAAAAAGGCAAAAAAGGTTCACATGAGAAAATTAGACGCAATGCTTGCACTTAAATATCTCGTCGTAATGGGGGGCCTGGGGATCTTATCGGGTTACATAAGGTCTGGCTGGACTTGCCTGATTGGGAAAGAAACCAGGGCAGTTGGAGAAGAGTCTTGGCTCTGGAAGATTAGAGCAACATGCATTGAACATGGATATACAAGGCAAAACTTATAGCGAAAGAACTCCGCTCAACCTACTCAAAATACTCTTTCAAATTTATCCCAATGATCTAAGCTACTATACCTTGTTCTCTGTCGAGATAGCATGTGAGGAGATAATTTAAAGTGCGAAGTCACATGACCTTTAATCCACAATTGGCATGGCACGTGAGTGTGGGGTCAGCGTGAAATTGTCCTAATTAGGCTTAGTGGACTTTGCTATCGATAACTCTCCGAGAAATCGAGCGGGTTACTGCCCGCAGCAGCGCATGCTTGTCTGAATTTGTCCAATATTTGCGATAAGCATGCCGTCACTAGTACCTGTTAGAGCATCTCCGTACCACCCAGGCGCTCCTTGACACTATGAATGTCTTTCCTCTGAATGGCTCAGCGCAGTCGTCTTCCACACCCAGCCAACCCACTTCCGCCCCGAAGAAGGGTAGGGCACGGCAATCAGGCACGGCATGGACTCGCTCAGGATGCATAACCTGCAAAAAAAGGCGGAAGGCCTGTGATAAGACCAAACCAAGGTGCGTGCTAGGATTTGACCTTGAATTATTGCAACTAATTTGATCAGTTGCAATAATTGTCTCAAGCAAGGCCGGACATGCGAGGGCTATGGGTCTATGTGGGTAGAGCCACTAAGTCCATCGGCGCAGGTATTCTCGCAGACGGAAACTTCAAAGCGCCGACGGCTCAGTGCGTCCTCGCCGTCTCAATTCCCTTCGCCTGCGCCGTCCCCGTCCTCGGATACATGGCTCGAGACTCGTTTATCCTCCGGTCCGGGGACTTCCCCGGGCTGGTCTGTTCCATCTCCTCCTCGGGAATATATATCATTTAAGGCAGCTACCAGTCCGGTCCAGGATGTAGAGGAATACAGTCCTGGTGCAGATATTGATTTGCATAGCTCTGTTGCGGTGATTCCACAGCCTCAAGGATATATCAGTCATCTCTCAACACATGAGACTCACTACCTCCAATATCACATGGAGCAGGGATCTCGACTGCTAGCAAATCTAGAGAGCCATGATAATCCTCTTCGGTCGATGTTGATTCCCAGGGCAATGTCATCACCTCTGCTGATGAAGGCCGTATGTGCCGTCTCTGCTCTTCATCTAGCAAATCGCTCCCACGGCTTTGGGGCACATACGGCTGCAGTCAAATACTATAGTGGAACGCTCAACGGGCTCCGCACAGCACTGGACAAGTGTTCTGCGGAGGCGTTCCCTGACGATGCCATGCTGGCAGTCGGTCTACTATGCAAATACGAGATCGTGCGTGGTAGCGTCAAGCAGTGGGTTGTTCATCTCAATGCATTGCAACGTCTAATCGTTTCACGCGGTGGATTTGCGTCAATGGATCGAGATGCAGCCGAGTTTCTGCGTGGACTGTATGTGTGCCAACCCGCAACGTACATTACCGAACGCTAACATAATATATCAACATCTAGATTCGTGTATGCCTATCACATGGCCCGGATCAGCAACCGCAATTGTATCACTTTCACAGATCTTTCTGTCGACAGTGATATCGGTATCCCAAAATTGGATATATATATTGGATATACCGAGGAAATCCTCAAATTATGTGCACGCATCGCAGAGCTGCCTTCCCTTCAAGCTGATATGCTGGCTCTTCGACTCAGCATTGCATCGATGTTTGTCTCTCTCTCTGGTTACAAAAGATAATCTTCTCGAACATCCGCACTAACACGCCATCCTAGAAATGAATCTCTCCTCACCTGGTCTCACACTTCAACCCCCTACATAATTCCCCAAGGGACATCACCAGCAACCCTAACTCGGCTTCAACTCGTAGCTGAATGTTTCCGCGACGCAGGATCTGTGTACCTCCACTCAATCATGGAGCGTATTAGCAGAACCCCAGATAACTCTCCCACCACCAGCCCTGGTACCATTGTCAACACCCAGCTAGAGGAGAACCCATCTCTCTCAGCACAAGACTGGGTTCCTCTCATCTCCACGCCGAAAAATGTCGCCGTCTACCGCTGTCTTGGCCGCATTGAAACTTTCCCGCTGGGTGACCACTGCGAGTACTCGGCGCTCACGTTCCCGCTCTTTATATGTGGGTGTGAGAGTGATGATGCAGCGGATAGAGAGGTCGTGCTTCGCTCGCTGGGCAAGCTACAGGATAACTTTGGGATTGGGAATGTTAGGCGTGCAAAGGAGTTATTGGGGATCTTGTGGGCGAGACAGGATGCTAATTTTGATGCTCGGTTTGCTGGGATGGGTCGCCAGACAAATGTGCATTGGTTAGATATTGTCGAGGAGCTGGGGTGGGAATTGATTCTTGCTTAGGTAGCCCACGGCAAGTTTGGGTTGCAATTTTATTGTATATATATTTATTGAATGAGGGATAGAGAGGTTTATGTTTGAATGAAATGACATGGATATCCGATTGGTATGAATTATAACTAAAAGATATATATACTACATGTAGGCGGTGTTTCTTAAAGTGCTCTTCACACTTCTATATCATATAGCTAGTATTCATCTTAGAGTAGTTCAATTAAACTACATAGACTTCAATGTTTCATTGGAGCCTCAAACTACATGGTTTCAAGGTTGGGTGTTGAGAAACCATACTATGTTTATGTTTATGTACCTTTTGTATAGAATTGCCATACAAAAGATACCTTATCTTTACAATTTGGGGTCCGGGAATACCCGGGAATATCCGGCCTCCACACGTGGGTAACCCTGGATCTTGGTGGAGACAATCAGAGAGAGGACAGCCCTCGGGACGGAACCCGGAGCTCTATACAATTCCGTATATGGTAAATGGTACTCCGTATGGAGTAGGAGGCTAGAGAAATGTTATCGATTGTGACTCAACTTTTTTTTCCCCCGCTAGGCTATATTGCTGGCGTTGACGCCAATCAAGCTCATGGTCTAGATAAATGTCCTCGCTTGCGAGGTACCCACTCTGGCCCAGAAAATGACTATGACCCAGCAAATCGCGACTGGTGAGATCTATTGTGACAGCTTGGAGGGCGATGGCGTGCTAGGCTATCGATATTAATGGCCCCAATTCCACAGCCTCTTACAACATACTTAAGCGACGGATGTCTCTTCTGTGGATTTTGAACTCGAGGATATCTCGCTACTCCCGTCAAGATGACCGCTCCAACATCATCACCAGTAGAGAGCGTCTCGGCCGAACTCGAGAAAAAAACCCCCAATGTTCAGTCTACGACAGGCGATGGAGCACTGCAGTTACTGGAAGCTGGTTCGCCGAGCATTCTCGATCCCGCAGCATCTAGACGACTGTTGCGCAAGATCGATTTGTATATCATGCCATTGATCTGCATCGTATACTTCCTACAGTATCTCGACAAGATCGCCATCAGCTATGCCAGCGTCACGGGGATGCGCGAGTCAGCGAACCTCCAGGGCAACCAATTCAACTGGGTGTCGAGTATCTTCTTTTTCGGCCAGCTGGCATTCGCCTTCCCCACAATGCGCGTGATGCAATCATTTCCCCTGGCAAAATACGTCGCCGTCAACGTGACTATCTGGGGCACCATCTTGGCCTGCATGGCCACATGCAAGTCATTCGCCTCCCTGATGGTCTGTCGCACACTTCTGGGCGCCGCAGAAGCTTCTATCGTGCCTGCTTGGGTAGTCTTCACCTCGCAGTGGTACCGGAAGGATGAACAGGCTTTCCGCGTCGGTCTGTGGTTCTCCATGTGTGGATTCGCGCAGATGTTCGGCGGCTACGTCGCATACGGCGTAGCAACTCACATCGGCGGGGATCCTAGCGCCTCTCTGCGAGGTTGGCAGGTGATTTTCCTGATCCTGGGCCTGCTGACCGTGGTGACCGGCGTCCTCTTCTTCTTCCTCCTGCCTGATTCCCCTCTAACGGCGGGATTTTTGTCACCGGAAGAAAAGGCCATGCACGCGGAACGTCTTCGGGGTAACGGACAGGGCATCGGAAGCAATGTCTTTAAAAAAGCCCAGGTTTACGAAGCCCTTACCGACCCGCACACCTGGCTCTATGCCTTCTGGGTCCTGGCGGCAAATGTGCCAAACTCCACTGCCACGAGTTTTGGAAACATCATGGTAACGGGAATGGGCTACACGAAAAAGGAAAGTCTTCTTCTTGTGACGCCCATGGGTGCTTATGAGGTGGTGGCGCTGATTGGCCTGACCTATCTCGCAATGAAGACACAGCGACGATTGTTCTGGTGCATCATGGGCCATATCCTGGCAGTTGTGGGAGCAATTTTAATGGCGACAACGGACAAGGTGCCGGCCCTTATTGGATACTACCTCACCGGAGGTATTCCACTCGGGTGGACGACAATTCTTGGGCTCACCAGTACCAATGTGGCTGGCTCAACCAAGAAGATCACCGTGTCCTGTATCCAGACGATTGCTTACACTGTCGGTAACATCATTTCGCCACAGACCTTCCAGGCCAAAGATGCCCCGGGGTATTTGCCGGCCAAGATCTCTATCTGCATCTTGTATTTCATCGTCACGCTAGATCTCTGCCTTATCTGGTGGATCTCGCAACGGGAGAATCGCCGACGTGACCAGCAGAAGGAGGCATTGGGTGATGCGTACGTCGTTCAAGAGAATCACGAATTTTTGGACCTGACAGACCGGGAGAATCCGGAATTTCGTTATGCGATATGAAGATGGGTTTGCGCCCTTGGCTTGCGAATTTGCAACAGGCCCAGGACACATTTCTGTACTTCTGTTTCATCTGACTTTTGAGTCGCTAATTTTTATTAATATTAGACAAAATATACATATCTTACATTAATTATACCAAAATAGTGGATGCTCGTATTTAGGCTGATGGGTCCTCGTTTTACACTACAACAATAAGGATATATAAACGCGTGCTTTAGGTAGTAAGTCGCGGAATTCAAGAAGGGATGATTGCATACATGAATATAGAACGCACGATCAACTCAGCCCCATGTTCACCTCATCGCTGAGCCCCCATTCCCTTTCCGCCCTTTCTGTCCCACCCGCAGCTCGAGTTGACCACCGGTCGAGATGATCCTGCGAGTTCGCCATCTCCTTTTCACGCAAACTGGCGCTGTCACTAGTTGCCACACTTCCTTCGCGGGCATGAGATGATTTGCGGTAATTTTTGATACTGATGGGCCGCGAAGCGTCTGCTCTATCGGCTACGATAGATGTATTTGAGCCCGTGGCACGCCCACTGTCAGCGGGCGGCCCGCCAGGGGAGGTCTGCTCTTTGTCCTTGGTACCGCTAAACCAGCGCCGACGATTGGATTTGGAGGAGGTGGATGGCGCGATGCTTTGTGCATCGTCATCGTCGTTCTGTTGTTCTTTCCCCTTTTCCAGAGCCTGCGTGAGCCCGGAAATGGTTTCTTCGGAGGAATTCTGGGTACCTTGAGGTGAGAGGTCCGCTAATTCAGCGTCACGGTACCATTTGCGTCGACGGGTATAGCGATCCCATCCGTCTTGACCACGGCGACCGTCATTCCACTAGAGGTCTGTTAGAAGATAATACAACGAAGCTTATAGAGAGAAAGCTCCAACCTTGTTATCATAGTAGATCCATCCTTCGCCGGTTGATCCCTTCGAGTCTGATTTTCCGTTGAAGTTGTCCGCTCCTTCGATGCGCCACTCACTTCCCTCCACCCAGCGCCATTTGGCATCTCCTGTTTGAACTTCTGGTAACTCGAAAGAATCTTTGGGATTCACTGCATTCATATGCTCATCTGTCCAGGCATCACGTTCTGCCGGGAACAACGAGTAAGTCCACCCGATACCTAGCCAACGGCGCTGATTCTCATAGACAACAAACGTGAACCGCACACCTGCGTTGTTTCCGCGCCGCCGAGTTGAGATATTTAAGCCTTGCTTTTGGCCCTGTGCTTGGGCTGGGGCCTTTTGTGGATTGCTCGGGGTATCGGCGACGGAGAGGCCCGTGGCCGCGGCACAGAGCCGACGCACGGCTCGAGACCGCCACAGAATGACACGCGAGACCCTGGCGGGTCGGGAATGGTAGGTCAAAGCGATAGTGCCGACAGCCATGACCACGCGGCGTGTGGTAAGTATGTAGAATGGAGGTAGAGTCAGACCGATCCAGACAGGAGTGACCAAGAGGATACGGATGAACAGAGCCGTCAGCGCAGGTTTGGTAGTCGCCGATGTGGGAGTGCGCTGGGTGGATAGGAAGTCGGTGAGGTCGAGTAGAGGCTCGAGGAGGATATTGCATCTAGTTGTGAAGATGCGAAGGGTTTCAACAATTTCGTCAAGACTCTTTTGATGACGCAGTGAGCTATCTGGGGCAACTTTGGTCTTGTGCTTTTCGCCTGTTGATGTAGTTGATGACAGAGGCGAGTAACGACGTCCATACATGCCGAGGATCAACGCCACCACGACCAGGATCGGTCCTGCCCAAAGAACGATGGCATCGCTATATAGCACAATAGTCCAAAAGGTAGCCACTAGCAGAAAGCTCTGCCACGGGTCTCCAGAAGTCCATGTTAGGAGACCTGCAAATTTATTTAGAGGAAGTAGGAATGGGTGCGAGTAGGCTAGGGCTCGAGTGATAGCCGGTGGTGTGGCCACTAGGAGAGGTGATTTGCGATGCACGATGACACTGGAGCGTTGGCGTGAGGTCAGGGCCGAGCCGGTAATCGTTGACGGGGAGAAGGCTGCGACCGTCGGTGGTTGGGAATCCGACTGGCCATGATCCTGTGCGTTCGATGAGGGTGCCATGGAGTCTATCCACGGAAGGTTCTCTGTTTTTTTCCATCAGTGATCGGGTGTAAGGAGAAGTATCATCAAATATCATACCTAAAGCTGCCATCCAATTATGGACAGGTCATAGAGGGACAATGAACTCATCGTCTGGGGTAAGTGAGGATTTATACGATCGTTCATGTTCGGTCCAAGAGGATCTGCGGGGAGATCGGAGTTATGGACATGTGACTCTCGGTATATCGTGTGAAGGGTCTTTGATATTCGTTCTTTTATTATTTTTTTTTAGAATGGATGTATAGATGATAGTAATAAGAAATACTTCATAATTCATAGTTTATCTTAAATCCCAAATTAAAAAATGATCTATCCATACTGTTATACTATTGTTCTCTATACTCATGCCCGTGCCTGGACAGGTCCCGACGCTAAAACCCGTAGCCGAAATTTTCCCCTTCTCTTCTTTCTTCCTTCAACCTATAACATCGTGATCGCCTCCTCTACGGCACTTTCTCAATGGTATGTCCATTGATCTCCTCATTCTTCCCATTCCCCAAATTAAAACTAATAATCTCCTAGGCTCATCGCATCGTCTCTCAAGTCGTCGTGACCGGAGCCCGGGTCTTCGGCCGCGCCTTCGCCGAAGCCTACAAGCAAGCCCAGGCATCCGGCAAATACGCTGGCCAGCAAAAGGCAGCCGGCAAATCCACTTCCACCTCGAGCGTAACAATAGATGAAGCCTGCAAAATCCTGAACGTCAAGCCCCCGGCGTCCGGCGAACATGACCTCGAACATGTCATGACCCGATTCAAGAAACTGTTCGACACGAACAACCCCGAAAAGGGCGGCAGCTTCTACCTGCAAAGCAAGATTCTGCGTGCACGCGAGCGGTTGGAAATGGAGTTCCGCGAGGTCGAGCGCAAAGCCGCGCACGACAAGGAATTGAAGGAAGGCTGGAACCCCAAGGTTTACAAGGATAAATGAACACGACAAAATCAGTGCGGTTCTCCGGCTCACCAGGCCTCCGGTTTCCCTACGAGCACATCTACGCTTTCCTGCGACAGAAGCCTCCGACTCCCACCGGCTTCTTTGTTTTCGATCTGCTCGTCTTTCTTGTTTTGGCATAGCATGGCGTTTGGGTTGTTGGAGAAAGACGCCTTGGTTTTCTAGATTGGGGTCTTTCTCTCTGATATTTTAAGATGGCCCCCGAATCCCCTTCTCGGGCATCATCTCCGGTCGGAAGTGGAAGTATCCATCTCCGACCTTCTCATTGACCTTTCGGTCTGTGTATATCATCTGTGATGCGCCGCGTTCCGTTGACCCCCTTCTCCACTCTCACTCGGAAAGGATTCATGTACAATAGCTATATACTTGCATTAACTTGTGTAATGTCCGATCTAGACTCATTTACTGTGCATTCTTCGTACGTACATCGTGTAGTTGTCGGAATCTGCACTCGACTGGTTTTCCTTTTTGCCACCGCCGCCTTGAGAGGAACACAGGAACATCTTCACGTTGTCTCTGTATCTACTTATATCAAGGGGTCATTTGAACCACGCATCTCAACTAAAACCCACAAATGAGAAGTTGTAACACAGAGCCGATCGGATTGTTGCCACATGTCCCGATCTGGGGGGTAGGCAATCCCCCTCCATGGCGCCATCCGGAGCGGAGCCCACGGGGAGTTCTTTTTTTTTTGGAGAAAATATAGGCACTGCACTTACGCTTTGACAAGACTTTACTTTACCAATTAACCAATGTCCAATATCCAAACATCCATAGCCAACTCTTCAGCATTGACAACATTGACCTTCCAAACCACACACCATGCGCCCCTCCACCCCACTGTCCGCGACACTGCCGCCGCTGATTATGGGCACAGCAACCTTCAACTCCCAATATAACGCCGACCCTTACGCCCTCCCAACAACAGAACTCGTCCAGCGCGCACTGTTACGCGGCGTGCGCGCCTTCGACACATCCCCCTACTACGGCCCCGCAGAAGAACTCCTCGGCCGCGCGCTCGCAACAGAAACCGTGCAAACCAACTTCCCACGGGAGACATACCACCTCCTCACAAAAGTCGGGCGCGTAGCCGGCTCATCCTTCGACTACTCGCCACCATGGATCAGACACAGCGTGCGACGCAGCCTGCAACGACTACACACAGACTACCTGGACGTAGTGTACTGCCACGACGTGGAATTCGTGACGGCTGCGGAAGTGGTCACAGCGGTGCGGGAGCTGCGCCGTCTCCGCGATGAAGAGGGCGTGCTACGTTACGTCGGTATCTCCGGCTACCCGGTCGACACGCTCAGCGAGCTGGCGGAGACGGTTCTCCGTGAGACGGGCGAGCCGCTCGATATCGTTATGTCGTATGCAAACTTCACTTTGCAGAATACGCGGCTGCACTCGCATGCCTTGCCTAGGCTGCTTGCTGCTGGCGTTGATGTTGTTCCGAACGCATCCCCGCTCGGTATGGGATTGCTTCGTCGGGACGGCGTGCCTATTGGCTCGATGGGAGATTTCCATCCCGCTCCTAATGCCCTCCGGAGTGCTATTCGTAGTGCTTCGGACTGTGCTTCGCGGCATGGGGAGAAGCTTGAGGTTGTTGCGATTCGGTATGCGCTGGAGGCGTGGCTGCGTGTTGGTGCGCGGGCTGGCGGTCTCGGTGCGCCGCTTGCTCGTGCTGCAGACTCTGATCCTGGGTTCTTGTCTGCGGCCAGTATGGGCACGGGGAGGAGGCTTGGTGTCAGCGTTATGGGCGTTAGTAATATCGCTGAGCTGGAGGAGACTTTGCGCGTGTGGCACAGTATCGTTGATGGACTGGAGAATTGGAATGAGGATGACGACGCTTCGTATTTCGATACTAAGTTGAAATCAGCTGGACCGTCGACTCCTAGCCTAGATGTTCCCACGGCGTCGAATATCCTCACGCCCCAGGAGGACCTTATCACGGACCGTGCCTGGTCGCATGCACGCGGAGTTCATATCTTGCAGCTGGCACGAGAAATTCGGAGTATATTAGGTACAGAATGGGTTGATTATGTCTGGGCCAGTCCGTCACCAGACTTTGTGAATTTGTTATCTGAGGAGCATATTGCTGCTGTGCACAGGATCGAGGCTGAGGAGAGAACAGGACGGAAGCCATCTCTCTCTATATCTGATACGGCTAACAGGGAGGATCCTATGCTGACACCACCGTCAGATGTGGAAAAGCAGCTTGCATAGAATCAGAAACAGAACTTCATGAATGCATCGAGATACAGCCCTTACGGCGTCTCCCAATGTTTTCTCGTATCTCCTATATGTATTTCCATAGATCTGGGTTAGACGAAGATTTGCAGGCAGGAACCTTGGAAGGGACTCGGCAACACGTGGAGGGCCAACCTTCCGATAGCGGAAAGGCAAGTTCGACCCGCAGTCCCAAGCCCGGTAGCTCCTGATGCTCCAGTCCTCTCCCAGAAGTCGCATGTAGCGCTCTCTGGGTGAGAAGGAAGGCATCGGAAGGATAGGGCAAAGGGAAAAGCAAGAAAGATAAATGCCAACAAACATAGATCCACGTTGGGCGCGAATCCATGATCATCGGGGGGTTTCATTGGAATCACTAACAGCGTCCCATGTAGGGACCAAAGAACTGCATGAACTAGGTGCTCGTCGAGGTGGACCCGAGAAAGCATTAGACGTTGAGGCATCGGATCGATTTGAACAGATGGTGAAAACAAGGTCATCCAGGGTTTGAGATTGTCGAGGCTTATCCACATTGAAACTAGCTCTCAATCAAATAAGATCGAAAACCGACTTCAACAATTAGACAGCCCTAATCAATTGAAACCGAGGGACAAGTCAACAGATTCTGGCGAAATCGAAGTCCGGGAGAGAATCCTAAATAGTAAGTCACTTTTTTCGTCTCAGGCTCAAAGAAGAATGCTCTTTCTCAATTTTCCACCAGTTATTCGCTGTGCTTCTCGCATCGAGAAGGAGAAGCACACAGCTTTGCCGAAGGACACGAGAAGATATCACCGATCCCACCATACTGCCATTGCATACATCCCTCCTCTCTTCCCCGTGCAAATCACCAAACCATTCGAAGTAAGGGGTATCATCATACAAAATAAAAAGCATACAAACAGAAACCAAAAGAAAGTCGTTGCGGGCGTGGAAATCGAGACCCAAATTTATGCCGAGGCGAGAAGCTTCTGCTCTCTGCTGTCCAAGTCCGCATTCATCTGCTCATCGGTCTCGTAACCTGCATGGCGGCGAGCTTGGCGGAGGCTGAGGGTATTGGGAAGTTTCTTGAGGTCGGGCCTCAGGCGTTTGAGTCTGGCAGCACGCTCCTGACACAGCTGACGTCTTGTCTCACCCTTCCGAGCTTTGGCAGACTTTGCTTCGGCAGACTTTGCATCGGGTCCAGGCGCTTCATCAGAAGAAATATCTTCTGGCTCCGATTTGGTGCCCTTCAACTTCGCCTTGGGCTTTTTGGCAGGCTTGCGAGCTGCGGGCGCTGGCGGCGGAGAGTGGGCTCCATCGAGAGGAGGGGGAGGAGGAGGGAGGCTCCGTTAGCAGGAGGGGATCCCGGCGGCGGAGGCGGAGGCGAAGGCTCCCTGTAACGAGCAAACCTCTCCTCTGTCATGAACACCTGACGGAGTTGGAAGCGTTGCTCGATGTAATCATCAAAGTTCGCCGCAATGATGGGTTCAAGAATGCTCTTGTTCGATCCTTGGACAAGCGCAAGATATTCCATGCGATTCTTTAGAGCAGTATGCGCATTAGAAAAGGCTCGGAGAATCAACCCAATTTCCTTGGTGCCACCTGAGATGTCGTTGTCTCGGTTATTGGGATCTTCGATTGTAAGACGATCGGGATTGCCGAAATAATAGCCCTGTTTGACATGATTAGCTGGCTAGTTGACAGTAATGCGAACCAAAATCCACTCCCACTCACCTTGTTGAAATAGCCTGGAGGGTCCATCCGGATTGCTAGTCTATCATACGTGAATTGTTTCCCGTAGAAATTGAAGAAATCAAGCAAGATGGTTCCTAGGTTGGGCTGCATATGGCCCTGGGGCAGATGCTGGAGAATACTTGTCACCAAGCAAGTGATGGAGAAACCTCCTAATCCACCAGTCGGGACTTCGTTGAGGCCGCGGATCAGCAAGAACTGCTTAATCACGGCCAGGATAACTGGCATCATCGGGTATTGGGTTTTCCATTTCTGGAATGTCTCGTTGGCAATCAAACCACTGTCATTGTCGAAAGACAAATCCACTCGCAATCCGGTCAGCTTGTCCACGTACTTGAGAATCGGTACCCGGGCGGAAGCAATGCATTCAATCGAGTTAGGAACAGCGATATTTGTGCTCTTAAGGAAAGCCGAAAACGCGTAGATTTGACCCTTCCTCTCTCCGAATGTTCGAACTCCCGTGCGTAAAAATGTGTGAGAAAGCAGCACCAAATCAATATCAGCCGTGGGGAGGTAAAGACCCGAGGCAAAAGAACCAAAGGCCCGGATTGAAACGTTATGGTATCGTTGTTGGAATGCAGTCTCCAATCGATTGACAAGATCTGCACGGACGATATGTTCGAATTCCTGTGGCTTAGCCCAGTGGTAGAAGCTGAGAATCTCATTATGCAGCCTGGCTTAGATGTTAGAAAGAAAATGGAAAGAGCGCGAAGGATAGTACTGACTGGGTTCCAACGTGCAAGGAAGTTGGGGTGCCCTCAAACCAAGGCGTGCCTGTCTCTGGGGAAAGTGGTTTCCATTGATCGATAACGGAGCCATCATAGTTGAACCTGCTGGCAGGCTTTCCGGTCTTTCGGGAATATCCTTTGATCTCATCGTCACGGGTTCGCTTTCGGCTCGCGATGGCGGGGTCTAGAACTTCCTGTGCCTTTGGCCCTTTGGGGGCGTTATCAGGAGCGTTGCTCTGAGGAATTTCTGGCTCGAATGACATGCCGAGAGAAATGAAGTCTGAGTTTTGCTTGACTGCATCGGTCTCGTCTGTCTTTGCGGCAATGTCAAGTCTCGCCTTGCGAATCAACTTGACCACATCCACCCTTTTGTTTGTAGTTTCGGCCGGAGGAGGTAGCGCAGTGTAGGGATCGGGGTTCGACCATTTAGGGGCAGAAGGAGGGGCTGGAGCAGTGTCTTGAGGCCCATCGAGACCTAGCGCACGTCTCTTACGCGGTCGCTCGGTATCGGATTCATCAGACATGTCCATTTCTGCCTCTTCACTGTCGCTCAAAGTGGAAATCTCGGCAAATTTGAGTTCAGGCTTAGTCTCGCCCTCAAGCCGTTCGGGCGTGCTTTCCCTCTTCGAGGACAACAACGGTCGGTCCGACGTGGCAGGTTTCTGGTACCGGAAAGTGAACTCATGTCGCGGATTAGGACGCGAGCCACGATAGTTAGAGCTTCCTCTGAACTGGAATGGAGCGGATGGAGGCATTGGCATTTTGAACAGCTGCAGTTAAGCAGCAAAAATGCAGACGCGTGGAGGAAAGAGAATCAAGTGTTTCGAGTTTCGACGCGAAAAAAAAAGATCTCCGAAAAAGTCAGGCGGAGGGAAGGCGGTGACGGACTTGTCGCACCTTCCACGTGTGTGTCCACGGGTTACTACCACGTATACGTGACATTCATAGATTCATTCATATGTAGGTTGTAATATCTTTCAGTTGTCGATTTCTAGTTTTTCATTGAATGTATCTTGAGGCCCTCCTCTAGAATATGAATCAAATCATGTTGCACTGCCATCTCAGCAAAGCTGATACGATTTGTTGCCCATTCCAACCAGTCCTCAGCTCTGGCACCATTTGCCAGGAGCAAGCCCACACTCACATCAATTAGCAGTGGTCGTTCATCACAATGCCAAAAGGCAGTAGCCCCACAGCAGCTGCAGAATTCCCTGTATACCCCGGGTGAACTTCTATGTCGCCGCATGGTCCCTGCATCGAACATGAGTGGTGAACCGTCTGCATTGAAGATGTTGGATTTGGGCACAAATGCCCAGGTCTGGATGGGAAATCCACTGCTTCGTCGACAGCTGTTGCAGACACAGGTTCCTGCAATATATTTTGTATCACCATCTCGCAACCACCATTTGATATCGTCAGGATTTGCCCCAGACCCGGTGTAGTATGGAACCAGGAGATCTGGCCATGGCGAGGACGCTTGTAAGGACGATGCATCGGGCTTGGTGATATAGTACTCAACTCCTCCACAGAGGCAACGTGCCCGCAAATGCTGGCTTGTTGATGATGTATATTCCACTGGGTTTATTGATTCACGGTTGGGGCTCTCGTTGCTGGTTGAAGTATGTAACCTGCAGCCTGTGACGGTGGACTCCGTTCCAGGAAGCAGTGCACTGAGTCCACCGTCACCAGTATCGCTACTTTGCCAGTGCTCAACCTCTCGGACCGAGGGAACGTTCTTTGCTTCCAACAGACCTGAGGCAACTAGGAACTGTCCCCAAGGCTGCAAGCAGGCAAAGACGTGGGCACCACATGTCTTACAGAAAAAGCGGCTCACGTGGTTGGACTGTTGGTATTCTTGGAGCCCATCTAGATTCGGTGGTTCATGCTGGAGGAGATAATACGATGAAGATAACTGCCCAGTCACCAGCCGACAGTCATTGCAATGGCATAATTGGAGTTTGGATTGGTCGGTAACAGAGTCCAATTGGATAGATAAAGCTACACTTCCACATATGCAAGCGATAGGAGTAGTCATGGTTTGAGGATGCAAGTAATTTCGAGATCGTAAGCACAGCTCTCGAAACCCATGCGTTGGCTATGTGCGTAAGCGGGGACATAAATATGCTCACAAGTGTAACGTGGAACAAGATGCGAGCAATGAGAGAATTCACTCAAGTGTCTGACCCTCAGACTTAACATATCCCGGAAAGTCACGAGTATATAAGGTCCCGGCCCCATCCCTCCCCCTCTCTCCCCCCACCTCGCCTTTACAACCAACACAACTCCAAAAGCTTCACCAGTTTTTACCACTCCAAACATACAAAATGAGTAAGCATTTCCTGTTCCGTCCATGTTGTTATATGTGACTTCACAAATCATGAAGAACCGCGCTTTGCCTTGGTCTGATTTTCGAAATGGCGGGGTCATAGCGGGGTTGTCCCTCGTTGTATTTCACCCATTTTCTTTCAATGCTGACCACCATGATAGGCGATCACGGATGCAGCTGCGGCTCCTCTTGCCAGTGCCCTGCCGGCGCTTGCAACTGCCCTGTACGTGGTATTCCCTCCTTCGATGACGTCTAGCTGACCCGACCCCTCAATCTGTTTAGAAGAAATAAATCACCCATATTGGCACGATGATTCGAACCTTTCAAGGAATATGAGCATGCAGTGAGACGGAGGATATCTGAGTTGGGCAGCTCCTGGTTGTGTTCCTCAGGGATGCATGTCATGTTAAAAAAATAGGAGCACTCGCCATAGTGAATGACATGCGGCTGCTTGACATGCGGCTACTCGACCACTTTTATTCTTTGTAAACCAAGTACCTTGTGGGCATCAGATCTAAAACTCGGGTCATTCAGATCGGTATGGGTCAACCTTGCGAGCTGAACGGCCTGTCCGACATAGATACCCGAACAGCCTTTTGGGCGGAGAATAGTAGACACCTAAGATATATCTACAACGTACATGACATCAACGGAGTACCTCGGTACATACTTAGATTAAACCACCCATATCAATGCAGAAACACAGCTTGGGGGGAGTAGACATACCCTCTGAGACGAAGGAGCTGTGCGAGTGACCGCGAATCTTGTTTGATACAATATCAGGCATCCTTCCCAACCCAACCACACAGTCCACTTAAGTGATCATCCCATCGTCACAGTGACCAGACACGGAAATACCCTTCCCACCCTTTCAAGTACGGCTTCTACGGCCGTGTTTTGCCGATGCGGCATTTTCACCATCTCCAACATCAAACGTTTCTATGCTGTAGATCCCAACACCTGGTACCGCGCAGAGTCGATTGCAAGAAGACATAAAAAGCGGGACTCGATGCTGCACGAGTCCGAGAAGAGTAGTATCGGATCGGAGCCAATCATAATTATGCATGATGCACCTCGGAGAGGGTCTGTGATATGCTCTGGTAGCTTCCAAGATGCAGTCTCTCCACTTTCTTGGTTTCTGGCTGGTTTGTTTCTGCCTCTCAGTGGGATCCCAAGGAGTCTGTGCCCTCATGAGGCCCAAACACACGATATAGGCGTTCTATGCCACGTAAATTGTACAAATTGAGATGCCTCTCAAAGTTCGTGTTATCAGATCTCGCCTCTTGGTGTATAGTATACACGGGTTCGTTTTTTTTTTGAATAGATATTACTAAATGTAATATCTAAATGTAATATCTACTGACATGATCTAATGCCGGTCTCAAACCGACCTCGGGAGCTAATAACCCCAACAATGCAGGTGCAACTCAAAGAGCGTCTCGCCCGTCATACAATTTGGGTACACAAATACCCCGAAAGCAATGAGAAAAACAAAGCCGAAACACCCTGACCTGGCTCCACCGAGTGGATGTGAACTTGCATCTCAGGTAATCCAGGGCTGCCAATGAGGCCGGATAGCACCCCTCCTCCAAGGTCCCCAATCCGTGCAAACACCGCCTCATAGGCTGCCACGACGATAGTCGCACCCGAAACCGCTGCAGGCGCCGGAAATTGCATACTTGGCCATTACTTGCTGGGCGTTCTCCATCTTTTCTTTGAATACGACGTTAACCCTAGTTCGTTCTAGCACTCACAGTCCACGTCTCGTGCGCATGCTGTACATATGACTGTACCCATGAGATAATAAGAGGCCCGTCCCGAAACCAGTGGATCAAACATGGCATGCAGATCTACATCGTACCCGAAACGTGGCCGTCGTCGTGGCATGATGATGAAGGTCTTAATTTCAATTAATACACTAATGGGGAAGGTTGCTACTGCCATATATTTGCTATATTCAATGCCTTATATACATCCACATAATAGCCCTTCATATAGCATGTATCATATGATTAATGAGGTACATATCTAAGTCCAGTCGAGATCTAAAGACAAACAATTTACACATATAATATAGGCAGAGATGACCATATCTGGCAAAGCGTAAACAACGCATGCCATTGCTCCACAAAATGAACCCTGCACAATTCTTAGTCTCCAGACTAAGCCAATAGACCAGCCATATTCTTCACAGGAACCCGGCCCGAGCACAATGCAATCTGATCTACTCCGTACATAACCTGATTAACCTGATCATGTTGTACTCACCATACTACCGAGCAAACACCGAGAGAGATAACAGTTAGACTTCACAAGAAAATGTATCGGAGACTAACTCATTCACCGGTCTTTGCGCCATATTTGCCCGAGAGGGGCTTCAGACTTTAGAAATTTACATCATAGCAGAGCCCGATAGGCTCCGCTTTATTGGCGAGCGGTAGAGCAACCTGGCTATAGTACTTTTTACAGCGCATAGCGCGTGAAATAGGCTGAAGGACATGATAGGTGGTAGCCGAGTTGGGGTTAGGAGGGGCCATGAGTGGGATGCAGGACTGGGCTGATTTGACTCGACCACGGCGATACGATGGAGTGTGAACGGGGCGCCGCGACGACGTTACTACGTCTTGGATTAGATGGAGGCGCATGATAGATGGGAAAATAGAATTATGCGCCGCGCTATTATTGATCGGGATAAAGTAGCAGTCGTGGATTTCAGAGGTATAAAGTTGGGCTCATATCCTTCCCCTGTTGGACTTTCTTTTCTTTCTCTATCCAAGCCATCTACATCCAAGCCAAACACTACTTTCAAGCTTCTTTTCAAGGTTCTTTACCTACCACATCTATATTCATCATGTCTCCCTGCACCTGCAACTGCTGCTCCGGCGAGTGCAACTCCTGCTCTTGTGCCAGCTGCAAGGTATGTCATTGCTTGCTCACTCCCCTGTCTTATAACCATTACTTAAGTGGGATGCGGCCTCGAGGCGAAAGATATACTAACTACCCTTCTAGCACTAAGCCAGCTCACAGGCCTTCACCACCGCCATCTTCCTCCAATACAACCCATACCAGACCCGGGCTCCCACTGCTGTCAAACTAGCTGGGGTGCGGTATCCTCATTGTCGAGCTTATGAGATAATTCCATTGTGATTGTTCATGATCGAGATGATTGTATGTTAGGATCTGGGAATAGGGCCTGGAGCCTTGTGGATGGGGTGTTAAGTTTATAGGTTGAGATCCGACCTCGTGTATGTTCTTGTGATTTAGTTTTCAGCCAACTATAAATGTGGTTATATTATTATCTGTGATCTCTAGTAGTATCTCTATGCTCCAGTAAATGTGATTTGAGCCTGCTCATGTAACGAACCGTCCACCCCGGGGCCTATGTAGGCATCTTTCACATACATTGTATCGAACCCCGAACCTCAGTCACTGAGAAACAAATGCTTATAATACCAAGGAATAAGAACAAAGGTGTACAAAAGCGCTCAAATTGCAATTCGGTCGAACTAATGCGATGCATATGAAATAAACATTCAATCCGTATGTAACAGCAGATCTATATGGATCTAACATAGCCGTCACAGCTCGTCTTTCGAGCGAGGCGCACCATTATCTGCCTCTTCACCACCTGCACATGCCGCCGGCGAGGTAACAAGCATAGAGTACACGCACTTCTCCTCTTCCGCTGTCTTCAAGATCTTGTTCTCCTCACCGCACTCCAAAATGACCTTGGTGGACCGGTTAGGTCCATTCCAGCAAGACTGGCCGCGATTGTACTCAATTGTCATCTTCTCGACATTGACGACGTCGCCAGCCGCGTTGACTTCTTCCACGGTCGTGGTTCCAACATTTGAGAATTTGCCCATGGACACGGAATTGCCTCCCTTCCTCTGATTCTGCTTGGTCGACTCAAGGAAGCAATGTTCGTATGTGTATTCGCCCGCATCCTGGGTGATACATACCCCCTGAGTGCGCGGAAGATGGAGCCAGGGCCATAGTCCTGCTCAAGGTCGGCACGCTGGTCGCGTAGCTTGTTCTTAAGACTTGTAACAGAGTCTTGCGCGGCCTTGAGGGCGTCGCGTGCCTGGGTCACGGCCTTGGATTCTGAGGAAGACTCCTCACCGGCCTTGGGTAGGATGCCCTTTTCTTCAAGGTAGCTCTTGACAGAAACAACTCTGTCTTCAATGAAGCTGACAAGAGATGGTGGGAGATAAGCAGCGAGCTTGTACACTACAGTGAACCGTTAGTAAGCTATACTAAGTGTCACAAGAAACCAGGGAATAACTTACCTAGATCTGAGTCATTGCATCCATCCTCCTCATTTTCCCAGTGCTCCCAGTTAATGCCATTTTCCTCGCCGTCGGCCTTGGCAATTTCGTCCAAGTCGCGTTCCACGGCACCGTTCGCACCCTCGGTGCCTTGCTCACGAGCAGCGTAGTCCTCATAGCTACGAACCGCACGTTTGACACCTTCGTCATTGAAGTTGGGGTTATATTCCACCTTGACTTTAGCCAGAATATCCTCAAGCTCCTTCACGCGCTCGAGGGCTTCATCCCGCTGGCGACGCACATCAACCAACGCATTACGGAGCTCATCAACACGGCCCTTGGCCAAGTTGGCAAGGGCATTGACCTTGCCTTTACCCTTGCCCTTTCCAGTATGGACCACCTTACGGTCCTGCTCCTCGGCGAGCTTCAGATCAGCCTCGAGGTTCTGTTCCTTGATCTCAGAGCCCTGAACCTCGGCCTCTAGCGCAGAGATATGATCCAAAACCTCCTGCTGCTGGCGACCAGCATCAACAAGAAGATCCTTCTTCTTCCTCAGGGCAGCATTCATCGACTTTTGGTTCTGCTCCTCCTGCTTCCGCCATTGCTTGCCAATCTCCTTGCATCGGTCTTCACACTTCGTGCCCCCAACGCGAGCCCACTCATCGCTACCATCACAGCACTCCTCGTAATCACAGATACCATCGTTGATACGCTGGAAGGGAACGTATGATGGCCGGTGGCCCTTGTTTTTGCAGTAGAATCCCGGGAGGGAGAGAGCGGTGTCCAAATCACTATTCCCCGGCCGGTCGGCTACCGTTAGCGGCGAATTGCGCGAGATATGTGCGCAGGCAGACGTGCCGGGCTCGTCGCTTCCGTCGGGACAGTCACAGTAGTCATCGTTGACGGCCGAGAAAGGGATTTTGACCGAGGGATTCGAGATACAGGTGAATGTCGTCGAGTCCTGGTAGAATTTGGCAACTAAGAATACTACATTAGTATAATTTCCAGAGGGAAAAGGATCAATTGCCAATTATAGATCACTGCTACATGAACCCGCTGCAGAAACGCTAATGGAGATCTAGAAAGTCAGGGTTCAGATACTCACATTCTGGGCCCAAGCCACGGGGACGGGCAGGCTTGTCACTACTAGCCTGGGCCACCGACCCAGCGGCAGCCAGCAACAATAACGACTGAGGAAGTCTCATGCTTGAGGCATTGAACTTTGTTTGTGGAGGTGCGGAGAGCTTCTGGCCAGCTGTTGATAGCGGGCCCGGGCTGGATCTAATCTCTGCTGAGTCAGCACGCTATCTTGCCGACTTTATCGTGGCGAAGTGGGAGCATCTTACATCAACCGCATCGCAAACATGGGTAATGACGGTGGCAGGTGAGTTACTCTGTTATAGAAGGGCTACAGACTCAAGCTTTCTAACATAAGGCTTTCTAGTATTCCGACTCGCCGAGAGCTCGTCCGCGAAGCAGCTCGCGCCCCGAGCACTGCGCAGGTAAAAGAGACCCAGCGCGAGCAGCAAGAACACTCCTGGACTACCTGTCCACTCTCACACAAGTCCCTATCCCGGCCAATTGTATCAGACTCAGTCGGGAATCTTTACAACAAGGACGCTATACTCCAGTTCCTGCTCCCCGGCGACGATGTCGAGGGCATCAGCTCCAAGGCCGATTGCGAAGAGATCCTGTGCGGGCGAGTGAAGTCGCTCCGGGATGTGGTCGAGATGAAGTTCGAAATCGATACCGAGCTCACTGAGCACCCGTCCGGCCGTGCTTATGCGCCCCGCGAGCGCCGCGAGGGCTGGATCTGCCCGATCACCGCGAAGCCGTTGGGCCCAAGTGTGAAGTCTGTGTATCTGGTGCCGTGTGGACATGTATTTGCGGAGGAGGCTATCCAACAGCTTAAAGGCGACAAGTGTTTGCAGGTAAGCATGACGTCTTGGATACAAAGCGGAAATAGTGGCTGACATGTGTGCTAGTGCAACGAATCCTACACCGAAGAGAACATCATTAACATCCTTACGATCAAAAAAGAAGACAAGCAACGTCTGATGGCGAGAGGCCAAAAACTTGCTGAACAAGGCCTCACGCACTCCCTCAAGAAAGCTCCCGGCTCAAAGAAGCGCAAGAAGAATGCCACCGCCGAGGGTGTGACTGATGCTCCCGGTACCATAGAGCCTGCTGGCTTAGTAGTACCTAAGCAATCCTCAGATTCTAAAAGCCGAAGCAACACTTCCACGCCGGTGTCAAATACTGCTTCTGGAAATGGAATCAAGAACGCTGCTACTTCTTCACTCACTGCCCGTGTGTTAGCCGAGGAGAACGAGAAGAAGAAGCGCCGGAAGATGATGGGTGGGAATGAGAATCTCGACAGTCTTTTCACCAAGAAAGACGGCGGGTCCAAGAATCGTGATTTCATGACCAGAGGATTTTCTATATCATGATCTGAGTATGTTCTATCTTCCTGCTGCGCAGAGGTAAACACTAGGCCCGAATAAAGTGCCTTCGCTTTTTAATGCGACACAAGGTCGTGGGGGGAGTTTTATTTCCGGAGTTTGCATGGGTTTGATGTTCTTCAATGATTGATGGTGACTACAGCTTTGTATGCTGAAGGGTAGACAATCGTACATTCCAGAATTAACATGTACAATCATTTGAACTCACTTGACATGATGAAACGAACCAAGGACTAAAAATGCATTCAATCAACAACTTTAATGTACAAAATATTGCTCTCAGATAAAGGAAAAAGGTGCCTCCAACATTCTACAAACAGGAAGAGAGGCCTAAGCATTCACCTCGGTCTTCTTAGCCTGCTTCCAGGGCGGGGGCTGTTTCTGACCCAGGCTCTTGGTGATCAGACCACTCTTGTAGAGCGAAGAAACAATAACCTTCTTGCGGCCAAGATCTTCATCGTTGTCATGACGAGTCTGGCGGATGTCGAGAATCTTAACGTTAGACAACTCAGCGGCGCCGTTCTTGTCCATAAGCTTATGGAGAAGCACAGGCGTCAATCTGGTAGTCTTTTTGCGAAGTGCCTCCTGTGCGCGGAAGACATCTCCGGTAGTGGCGGAAGAGGTGATAATGTGGTCAGAAATGTGCTGAGACATCAATTTGGAGAGGCGGGCGAAGAACTGAGATCTGGTTGTTAGTGATATTGGTTATGAAAAGGTCGAAGGGGGAATACGAACAACAAACTTGACGTTTCCATCAGCCAGAGACAGAGAACTGAGGCTGTTCTGCATCTGACCCTTGGACTCTGCGCCATACACGCGGTTTCCCTGCTCGCTAGCTATCTTCAATTTCTCCTGGAAAGCGATCTTGTCGGCTTCGCCTTTCACAGCCCCTGCTGCCTCGCGTAGAAGGGATTCCATTGTTTTAATATCGGGGAACCGGAGACGGTCACCCCAGTTACCAGACTCGCCTTCGATCTTAACCGACTTGAGCTGGGCTTCGATCGCTCGGCTGGTGTGAAGTTTGCTAGCAACGGTGACTTTCGCCCCCAACATTTGCATCAAACCAATCTCCACGGCAGCTTGATGCGCAGCCTTCATGTACGGTAAAGGTCGTGAGTTGTGGTACCATCTGTTCGATCAGACATTGTCAGCAAATCCATCGAGACATCAAACCAGGATGTAGAGGCATCGAATTGGAACCTTGGATCGAACATACGGTTTGACTCTATCGGCAGCCCCTTTCGAACCCTGAAGACGCCATTCTTTCTCCTTGAGATAACCAATCCTGGGCATTCCCTCCCAGGTCAGGTTCTCATCAATTTCTTCAGATCGTGCTTGACCCTCTTCGAGACCGAATGCTTCCTCTGATACCGGCTCTCCGGGACTCATACCAGTTCCAGGCATGATCTGACTTCCAGTGTAAGGATCTTCTGGGCCTGGAGGTTTGTCGGTGCCCCAAATCTTGCGCCGAGCGCGCTCGAGGATTCCGGGGGAGGAGTCGGAGGCATAGCGGCGGGTTTGACCGAGTGGGGAGATACGGGGGGTGGCTTGGATTCTGCAGCTGGAACAGATGAAGTTTGCCTCCCGCAGAGGGAGGCGCATTGAAGGTCGCATTGTTGGGGTGGGCGCGAATGCTGTTCGAGAGCGTCGAGCTGGCGGAGTTGGCCCGGACGGAGAAACAAATTCAAGAAAGGCACGGGTCACGTGTCGGTGATCTTGATGCTTGGCATTTTGTTCATTTCTCCTCAAGGCTAGGAGTTTGACATTGCAAATCAATTATTTACGCAAATAGAATTGCCTATGGTGCTCTGCTCTATATCTTTTCATTGATTTCTTTTTGAATGTACACTCGATGTTGAATGAGAAACATTCTTCGATGGCTATTCCATGTCTGTACAAAAGGGAAAGAAAAGAATCATTTATAGTATGCGAACTGTATATACACATGCATCGCTGATATCATACTATTAAGCAAAAAAGACGGAAAGAACATTTTGTGAAAAGCAAGTGAAACGATTTACTCGCGGACAAACATGCCCGCCATACCCATACCTGTACCAATGCACATACTAATAACACCGATCTCCTGACCACTGCGCTCCAACTCAGGCAGCAGAGTAGCCAATTGACGAGCACCAGTAGCACCGAGGGGGTGACCGATAGCAATAGCACCACCGTTAGGGTTAACCTTAGCCTGGTCGATACCAAGCTTGCGCACGCTGTAGAGAGCCTGCGAGGCGAAAGCCTCATTAATCTCCCAAACACCGACCTCAGGAACCTCGACACCAACAGCCTGCAGAAGCTTCGGGATAGCAACAGCAGGACCAACGCCCATCTCATCGGGGGCACAGCCCGCGACAGCAGACGCGACCCAGCGCGCCTTAATAGAACCAGACAGACCCAGCTCTTCAGCGGTAGAGCGACGCATCAACAAAGCAGCAGCGGCACCATCACTAACTTGCGAGCTGTTACCGGCAGTGCTGGCGCCGGTAGGCGAGAAAGCGGGCTTGAGCGCACCGACCTTCTCGAGGGACAGGCCGTGGCGGATACCGTCGTCCTGGGAGACTGTCACGTCCTTAGCGGGGGCATCGGGGTTCGCGGCGTCGAGGGTCTTGGTAGTGACGGAGACGATCTCAGAGTCGAAGCGGCCTGCCTTCTGTGCGGCTGAGGCCTTCGCGTGGGACTCGACGGCGAAGGCGTCCTGGTCTGCGCGGGAGACGCCGTAGCGCGACGCGACGTTCTCAGAGGTAATGCCCATGGGCATTATGCAGTCGCGGGCGTCCTGGGAATAGGACTCCTTCAACTCGGGCCAGAGGACTGTGGGGATGGCGCGCGAGCCGTAGTTGCGGGTCATGGATTCCATGCCGCCGCCGACGCCGACGTTAATGGCGCCGGCGCGGATGCCGTTGGCGATGGTTGTGATCGCTGCTAGGCCGGATGAGCACTGGCGGTTGATCGTGTTGAAGGGAACGGAGTGAGGGAAGCCGGCGTGGATCTGGCCCATGCGGCCCGCTTTGGCGCCGCCTAGTTCTTGTAGGACGGAGCCGATGAGCACATCGTCGATCTGGGCCGGGTCTAGGTTTGGGTTGGCCTTTAATGTTGCCTGCAGCACGCTGGCGAGGAGCTCTTCTGGGTAGGCATCCTTGAAACCACCCTTCTTGGCGCGGGTGACGGGCGTGCGCAGAGAGGAGAGGATGACAATGTCATTGGGGGACTTCTGGAGGACTTGGCGGAGCCCGCGGGGAATTGGAGAAGCCATGGTTTTGTAGGTTGGTTGGAGTATTTGAAATTAGTTGAAAGTTGTATACCGAGTTTCAAGGGTATTTCCGGTCTTTCTCGGCGCTGTCAGTTTCGACTTTAATATCATGCTCTGGGATAGTTACTCACATCTGTACAATGGCTAAAGTATGCAAGAAAGAGAAAAGAGAGAAACCGGCAACAACTCCATCCAAACACTCCCTGGGACACCAAAATTACTTATAGGCAAATGCCGGACAAAATTCCGGGGTCGGAAGTAGTTTGGTCCCCCAGTACCGTTGCTGAGTGGTCGCGGCACTGAAGATCGGCTAAGCGGTTTCCCGCGAAATGTGGGGAGAAGTTGTTGGATGCTCCAACTTCTACTTGTATATCCTGGTATTCAAAGTTTATTGCCAATGGGCTCTACAAAACATATCCGAATATTGTACAATACTGAATAATCCAAATGACAGCCATGCAGCTCCGAGCTGGACATCGGGAGCCCATCGGATGCTTATGTCAGCCATTTCGGTTCGGCACTTTTGGAACCGGAAAGCCAAGCCGAGGATAAGGGAGACATTCCCGAATTTGATATCTTGGGGTTAAATTAGAGATTCTGCGATAAACTGATTGATATCCCTAATGAGGGACATATGAATGGTTCCCTCTGCTGATTACTCCATGAGAGCCATCTTTGCCAGGCAACTAGCCTCCAGGTTGTTCTCCTTGGGCACAAGCCAGAACTTAACCTGGACGACCATCTCAACCATGATGATACCAGTTTCAACCAGCTTGAACATATCAGCGTTGGCCACCGTGACACCCTTGCAAGTCTTCCATCCGTTTTTCTTCCACTTGGGCAGCCACTCCGTCAAGCTGCGGATGAGGTACTCGGAGTCTGTTTTGATGACGAAGGTATTCAGCGGCATGAGGACCTTGCCCTTGCGCATCATGTTGCGGCGCTTCTCGATGATGGAGGTTGCATTGCGCAAGGCTCGCAGGCAGGCGGTCAACTCGGCGATCTGGGTGGTGTGGCTGTGGTCGTCCTTGCCTGGAATGGGATAGGAGATATTGCCAGCGTTGCCGCGTCCGTAGAATACTCCGATTGCCGAACGTTTCCTGTTCTTTTCGGTGAGACATTCTCCATGAATGGCGATGATCAGGGAGTCTTCGTGGCCTTCGTATTGTTTGCAGTCCAGGCATTTGCGGGTTGAGGTGGGACATGCAAGACAGACCCACGAGCCGATGTCGATTTCCATTTCCTGCAACTTGAAGCGAGCGGGATATTCGTTCTCGGGACGGAAGCGGTGGTCTGCAGCGATTATCTCTCCGTCTTTCTTCTCGGGAGAGCCAGCTACGTGGTGACCGTTTCGCTTGGTGCCTGGACCATGTGCAGTGGAGCTGTGCACGCAGCCCTCCATTCCCTAGCCATAGCTATCAGTATGTGGAAGATAGTTTTTGTACAGCGAGGATAGGTGAGGTAGGTGATGCCAGTGTGATCCTGAGGTCAGGACCAGTGCTTACCGGAGATGCATGGTGGGCTTTCTCTTTCTGGGGTATCTGTGACTCTCGGGGCACGCGGGCCAATTCAGTCGCCTCAGTTTCAAATTCCTTGAGCTTCTTTTTCTTCGTGCTCATGCGAACAGGAACAGAGTATGTGGCAATGGAAGGCATCGTGGCTGAGATGCTTTCCGAAGAAAGATGAGAAGCGTAGTCAGTCAACCACGAGTTGAAGGCGAAGGTGAAGAAAGAAAGGAAAGATAAAAATTAGGAGGGGCAGTTGAAAACAAAGGTGAATAGGAGATGGAAAGAAAGAGAAGGACAATCGCAGTCAAAGCAGGCAGAAGAGCAAACGTGAAAGAGAGCGCACCTGCTTCTTGTCAACACTTCATGTGGTATATCTCAGCAAAATTGTAGGTTGACCACTTATGAGGATTATAGAATTAAAGGTCATAAACACATCAGAAAAAAATTGGAGGTCTACTTTTATAGATTTTATATTTAATTGAAGTAGGACAAAGAGCTGCAGTCTGTCCCTTTTTTAAATCGGAGAACAACCCCCATGCCATTAAACCAATCAGCGCTGTAATGAAGGCAAGCCCAAGAAAAAGTACATAGAAGCAAATATCAAAGGAGAAGGGAATTTTAACTAAAATACTTCGATAGAGAGTCGTTGATACTATACGGTGCGTCGAAAAAAAGCACCAGGAAGGTGTACCTCGAAGGAGCGCATGATAAGTGTGAAAACTCTACGTGGTTGTAACAACTTAGTGCTGTGTTTCTGGCTGGCTTGCATGTCAAAGGAGAGGCGCTGTGTAATGGCGCCTGGAGGATAGCTCACCTGGGCATAAATTGGAAGTTGATAGAGCTACCGAGTGCCCATAATCTGTCAATAAAGGGATCTAGAGATGGAGAGGTTGAGGTGCATGGTGCAATACATAATGAACTGAGTGGTTCAAGCTAAAGTAAAGACTATGGAAATTGAACACGAGGCCTCCGGGGCTTGAGCGTCGTTCATGTCATCCACAGGCGTCAAGTCGAAGTCATTTCGTTCAGAGAGATCATGAGTCGGGCTCATCAAGAAAAGATAATATGGTTAATATGACCAGGAGTCCGGTGATAACATTGAGGGCAACCACGACGGAAGCTGATAATAAAGCGCGGCTTCTTGCGAGGCTTTCCCTCGGGACGGCCGAAGTACTGGACTCGAGTGCGGATTCGAGGGGCTGGGAAAGCTCGTGGGTTGAAGTGAAACGAGCGAGGAGACCCCGAGGACTGGGAGTCCGAGTCCGTCATAGAGCTATGTCGTACCAAGTCTGGTTGACTATAGCGAAGCCATCCTCGTTGACTGGACCGAGTGTAGGGGAGTGGCCAGTTCACATTCACGGTGTTCGATGCTTCGTTATTGGGGGTGGAAAGACGAGGGTTAAACTCGACTGTGGGCTGGGCATTCTCTTCGATGCCAGAGAAGAGGAAAGGGCGCCGAGTGGGAGTGGTCTCGGATGGTTCGTTGATATTCAACGACTGGTTCAGGAGGGTGTGCGGAATTGGCGATGGCTCGCCAATCTGTTGGACCAGGCGGGGAGATAGATTATTGCCATTGGCCAATTGGGGGAGTGGTCTTGGATGGTTCATTGATCTTCAGCACCTGGCTGAAGAGCTTTCCGGAATTGGCGAGGGCTGGCCATTCTGGGCCAGAAATGGAGACAGATTATCTCCATTAGCCAGATGGGTGGGCATGTTGGAACATTTGAGCTTGAGGGGCGCCGGGCGACAAACTCTCTGTCTTGAATTAGTGGGATAGATGTAGATGGATTGTACATATTCATGGATGTACATGTAGTTGACTTACCTTGGCCTTGGAGAGCTCCAAGTCCTCGAGGGTTCGCTTGGAAGTGGACATCATTGCCCAGGCGGTACTAGTATGAAGTAGAGTTCCAGGTAACCATGGAAATGCAAGGGAAACTTGTTTGGGAAAGAACGTGTCAGAAGGGAAGGAGCGTTGGAAGTACAGTAGATTATATAGTGGAAAGGGGGGATGGCTTCATTCTGTTCTGAGGGGAACAATAGGAATTAGCTTAATTAGATTGTTTTATTCAAGAATCCTATACTCTGTAATGTAGATGAGCTTAATTGGGCTGTGTCATGTGATGTTTTATTGTTCTATTCATTGTTATCTGTTCTATTGATCATTACCCGATTAGGTCATTTCTATATGATTTCTATATGATTTCTATATGATACATAACACTTTGACATTTGACTTGTCCAATCACGTAGTACATACGAAAATGAAGGGGCTTGGCCAGTATGACAATATTGGAAGTACATGACATGATATGCAGGTCAGCAGAGAGAGGGTGGTCCTGTCGGTGAAAAAGCAGTGGGACGTGTATAACATTCTCTGTGTGGTCATCCCTGGTCCGGTGATTGGATCTCTCATAATATGCACTGGACAGCCAAGACGACTAGATCTAATTCCCCCGTACAGAGTACAGCTAAAGATACAAGTACATAGCAAAATGCAGTTTAGTTTAATGTTTAAAACCAATAAGCCTAATACTAAAATAAAAAACAGAAGTCCATAAATAGTACTCTCTCAGTACAAAAGGCCTCCCTTGACCCGTAAAATCTGTCGGCCCACTTTTGCCTCTTATTTTTTGTCCTTTCCTCCCCCCAAAATCTGTGAGTCATTTCTTCCAATTTAAACTTGGATTTTGGTTCCTGAAGAATCATCTTCTATAATCTTTTATATAATTTGTACTAATCACCACTAGTGTTCCTGGAACATCATGCCTCTCATCAACACTACTGAAGTCAACGAGGACACTCGTGGTATGTGGTGCTCAGAACCAATTGCGTGTGATACCTAAGTACTAGATACTGACGGTCTTGTTGTTAGTCCTCGGATACGACCCATTGCTGTCGCCCTACTTCTTGCAGAATGAGATCCCCGCGGTGAGTCGATTTTTTTTTTTCTTCATCACCCCGCTCTTTGCGGGGACATGGCAAAACCTCCAAGCGCACCAACTGACAGCAATTCTCTGTATAGCCCGCTCGTGCCATTGAAACAGTCCGCGCCGGCCGGAATCAAGCAGTTGAGATCATCGAGCAGCGCGATGACCGCCTGCTAGTCGTTGTCGGACCATGCTCCATCCACGACCCCGACACCGCACTCGAGTACGCCCGCCGCCTCAAGGAGCTTTCCGTAAAACTGGAGAAGGACATCTGCGTGATCATGCGCGCCTACCTGGAGAAGCCCCGCACAACAGTCGGCTGGAAGGGACTGATCAACGATCCCGATATCGACGAGACCTTCAACATCAACAAGGGTCTGCGCGTGTCCCGTAAGCTGTACACCGACCTGACCAGCACCGGACTCCCCATCGCCTCAGAGATGCTGGACACCATCTCCCCACAGTTCCTGGCAGACCTGATCTCGCTCGGCGCGATCGGCGCCCGCACCACCGAGTCTCAGCTGCACCGCGAGCTCGCCTCGGGCCTGTCCTTCCCCATCGGCTACAAGAACGGCACCGACGGCAACCTGACCGTCGCTGTGGACGCCATCGGCGCCGCCTCGCACCCCCACCGCTTCCTCGGTGTCACTAAGCAGGGTCTGGCTGCCATCACCAAGACCTCCGGTAACGAGCACGGCTTCGTTATCCTGCGCGGTGGAAACAGAGGCACCAACTACGACCGCGATAGCATCCGCACTGCCCGCGAGGCTCTCCGCTCCAAGAAGCAGCGTGAGGTCCTCATGGTCGACTGCTCGCACGGTAACTCCAACAAGAACCACCTTAACCAGCCCGTCGTCGCCAAGGAGGTCTCTGATCAGCTCCGTGAGGGTGAGACTGCCATCATCGGTGTCATGATCGAGTCCAACATCTACGAGGGTAACCAGAAGGTTCCCCCCGAGGGACCTGAGGGTCTTCTCCGCGGTGTCAGCATCACTGATGCTTGCATCAACTGGGAGATGACGGTCGAGGTGCTCGAGGATCTCGCTGATGGTGTTCGCGCTCGTCGTGCTGCCCGGAAAGCGCAGCAATAGAGGATTCTCTTTTCTCTAGATGATGCCCTTCTTGTCTCTGATTTTCACAGCCCTTCTTCCGCGGAGGGGAGGGAGAACGGGTCTGGCATAGATACCTCGTTTCGTGTGCCTGTTTGTTTCTTTTTCTCGGGTTTTCAGCGGTTTCCTTTGTACCTTTTTTTTTCCTGCTTGTTCCTTGGGAAACCCCCTTGGGATTCATGTGTGAATGTGTAGTCGGTGTCAAAAAACATTTATGAGGGTTTTGCGTTTCGCTGGGACTGTTGAGGATTTCATTAGTATGAGTGGCCAAAAGTTTAGGAATGTGATCAAAGGCTGAACCTCTTCATTTATATTTTTCCAGGGTCTACCCTCTCCTTATAAGAATCCCTTAATTTTTCCTGCTCCACTGCATGCATGGACCATGTGTGGTTTCTTAGCCCGCGGCAAAGCGCTTCTCCGGTGTTGAGGATGGGTCCCTCCCTCTTTGGGGATTAGTGCGCAAACTTAGGGTCTGTTTCGGTGAAACACATTGTCAAGAAGTGATCTACTAGCGGGTAGTGGGGTGGTATGTAGTATCTACATTTAGTAGTTATACACCATAGTAGGTTACATTGTAGGTGGGATCAGAAGATGGAATAGAAATGAGAGCAGATAGAAGCAGATCTATGTACTGTACACGATATACATGGAAGCCCGACCGTCCACTCCCTTCGGAGTGTCAGGAAAGACTATACTGACTAGGAACACATTCCAGAAAGATAAAAGAAAACGCCGTAAACCCCCTGGGAGAATGGAAGCAGGCCACGAGAAAAGATCGCGGCTTGCCATGCAAGAGAAAAAAGTATTGCAGATGGCGAGAAGTGAAGATCGGCGGAGGGAGAGATATGAGTCCAGATTATGTCCACTGGTAGATGATGAAGTCAGATCAACATTGCATCCGAGGACAGGTTATGCCAATGGACCCATCCATTCCGTCCTTCTTTCTTTTTGTTTGCTTGGTGAACCAAATGTGGACACCCTTCTACCGCCCCGTCAACCAGCCAGTCCAGCTCGATGTCTTGGTCTTCGCAGCTTGTTCCACATTCTCAGCCAGCACATCCAACTGACCGGGCAAAGGCGCGCCAGTTTTCGCCGCAGCAGTGTCCAGAGCTTGCTTGGCCTGCACGGCCTCCATAACACTGCCTTGGGTCTTGTCGGCACCCTCGATAGCCAAGCCTGATGCAGATGTTGGTGCGGTATTGGCACCGCTGTCTTCCATGTTCAGCTTCTCGAAGAGGAATCGCTTTGCCTTGGCCCAGGGCTTCTGTGCCTTATCCTCCTCGCGTTTCTGCTTCATAATTTCGCCGATCTTCTCCTTCTTCAGGAGCTCCTGCTGCTCGGTGGTTGCGGTACCGCTGGCGTAGGCGACCTCTGCCTCCTTGAGAGTCGCGAGTTCCTTTTCGATCCAAAGCGTGCGTTGGCGGCGGTTATAGAGGGTGAGCGAGATCATTGAGTAAACTGTAAGAACACCGCAGACACCTAGTATAACGCAGAAGGATTAGTATAAGTCCTGTAGGGGTCAATTGGGGGGAGGGTGTCCGTTGGTTGTCATCGATGACTCGGACTTCGGAGGATCGTATGTTGTTTTGCTGGTGTTTTGCACATCATATTCCACGGGGTAGGAAACATACCGGACGCGGCAATCAATGAATAAACCATTCCCTTGTGCGCTTTATTGGCAAACTTCCGCCCAGACTCAATCCATCGATCCGCACCGCTTCCAGCTGCCTGTGTCTTCCGAGCAGCCCGTGCCTGTGCTCGCAGTCGTTCCACCTTCTCCTTGGGTGTTTCCGGTTGGCCATTCGGGCCAAGTTGCTGTGGTGATGACTTCGTGCTGGGGCTCTTCTTCCCGATGTCTGGGGCTTGGTACGCGCCCGCGGTCTTGGAGTTGGCGTAGGGCCCGGTGGCCGTGAACCGCGTTGCGTCTGCGGCGGATCGGGACATGTTTGGAGTTCCCGGTTTCGGGGGGGAGACCTCAATATAGGGATGAGAATCAAATTAATATTACTGGAAATTGGCCGGAAGCAATTGGAGGGCCGTGGTGGGGTGATGGAGCTGGAGGCAGTTGATAAACCGGGGGATTTGCAGGTTGAAGGTAAATTTTCAGCACGGGAGATGCGCCAAGACATTCAAACAGCTTCAACTGATATCACTTTCATCTTCTTTTGGTCCTTTCTGCCCTCCCATTTTGGGGAGAATTGTAATTCATATGTTATCAATAAATTATACCACTTACTATTTGTGCAGATATTGACTTCTCTCTAAACACACCTCTTCTCCATCCTTGCTCTGCATATGTATCCTTCGTCCGACCATCTTTGGAACACTTGACATCTACATCGATCTTCACTCGCCACCCTCAATCTTTATCTATCAATTAAGACTTCCGGGATTGATATATTGATTAGCAATTTTTGGAGCAACCTACACATCTCCTAAGATTCCATCGGGAGCCTCTAATTTCAATATGGGAGACGGCTCGTACAATGCCTCGGACCTGAACTCAGTCCTCAGCACCTTGTCTAGTCTAGCTTCCCAGGGCCAGGGCAGCTCTAACCAGCATATACCAACACCTAGCAATCCGCCAAAAACCACACCGTCTCAATCAAAGCCCTCGGAGGATCCACGACCGCCGCAGCCAAAGATAACGAGACCGCCCACCACTTCTACCTCTGCACCTGACTCGTCAACTATCACAACTTGGCCTGCAGCACTAAGACATGTGATGCACACAGTGGGTCAAAACGAAGAGACTCAAGCGCGCATCCGCGGTGTGATCCGAAGTCAACACCGTCATGAACAACAATGGTTCAACGCCCGTGAGCAATTATTGAAGCAGCAGCAGGGTCGCCCTGAGAAACAGAGGGAGCTAGATGCAGTCCTGTGGGTTTATCTCTAAGATACTGCTCTGCAGTATTTTACTATTGACTTGATCACTAATGCTAAACAAGGAGGTCGATTGGTGCCCCTGTAAAAGAGGAAGATGGCTCGGTATGTTCTCAATGCCTCTGTTAATTATTCGCACTGACTGATTGTTATTAGACTGAAAAGGAGTTTGCCGCAGAGATTGCAACCTACGATGCAAAGGTTCATAGGGCAGCCGTGCAAATGGCAGATGCTATCATTGCCGAATTGCGCGGTCTGGGTATTCCATTCTTTACGCTTCGGAAGGAGTTGGTTCAAGATACCCCGTCCAACATAGAAGTCTCACAGCCACGGAGCCAGACCGAGTCCACTGGAACCACCTCATCGCCAATTGCCAAGTCTGAGCTTGTGAAGTTGCAGCAACGCATGTTAGAATTGCTGGAGGATCTGTGTAGATAGTGAGATACTTCTCGGCATCCGCGATCTATCTTCGATTTTATCCTGTTTAGTTCAAACAAGAGTCTTCGTAATGGTCGGCGAGAATGATTGGATGACCGTGGAAGTTCTTGATTTGGATTATATAACACGGAGTGCATCCCGAGGTCTTTGAAACCAGAAACTATATTGTATGCACAACAAAAACATCCTTCGGCATATTTCTAGGCCAAGCCATACGCACAATCACTCCCGATGAAGCTAATATCATCAAGCAAAACATTACCGGTAACTGAAGAATCCTCCGAATCACAAGCAGCGACAATACTCAAAATCTCATTCTCTCTCTTTGGCACATAGCTCCCAGCGACCTCCGTCCACTCCCCAAAATTGAACAGCTGCGCCGAGGCGATGCTACCGACTGTTGCATTGCGGCCCGCGTACACATATACCGAGCAGTACGATGAGCCGGAAGGCGATGGAACCTGAGCCTGCACACTGAATTTGTACTCCGTGTGAGGCTTGAGGTGTCTTAGGCCCTGGGAGATGGTGTTGCCGCGGTTTCCTACTGCGGTTTGGAGATTGCTGTGCATTTCACTTGGTTAGTACATGTATCTGATCCTGTAGTTTGGTTGTACTGGAGACAGAGAGGGAGATCCTTACAGGTAATAATCACCACTGTATGCAATTGTTCCATTGCTTATTTTGGCCACGTTCACGGCGGATGCATGCCATGGAGCCAGGAGGCCAGTTTCAAATGAAGGATTTGACACGGCATTACATGCGGAGAGAGCCATGATAGCTAGAATGTCGAATTAATGAGAATTAAAACAACTGTGAATGGAATCGGAAAAGAAAAGACTACTCGTCTGCTTTTGTATTGCAAGTTTGTCAGCTTATATTTGAGACACTTCTGCGGGATTTGCCGACGATCTACAAATAGGACTCCATATACAGTCATTTTCAAGCCGATTTTGTAAAAATAGCTCGTATTGCGGTTTTAAATAAGCTTTGAGAGGGTCTCTATACTCTGACAGTTGGAACCTGGCCTGTTGATGATGGGGCCCATAATAATATTACACATGGATCGGTACAGATGCTTAGCATGGGTAAGCATGGGCCGTCTTCCAACATAGTGGCGTACCAAGCCATAACCCCCGCATTTATGCTAGTTATTATATCGAAATACTAAATTATATAGGCTGTCGCAGATAAAATGTTCCTCGGTAACGTTAAATGAAAAGCTCTTCTCGTTCCCCGTGGCTTCGACTTGCCCGTTGCGTGACTCTCTAGACCACGGCAGGTTTCTGTAAAGACTGTGCGATAGAAAAAAGACAAAAAGTACCAGCGTGTTTGCAATGTTACACGCTATCGGGTATTGATCGTTGATTTCCATATATTCTTCGATCTCAAGGGCGCTGAAGACGATCACAAAAATGCCGACGCAGGTTTCGGCGACTCGTCTACAGATACTGGGACTGCCGGGCGGGGACATCACAGCGAAGGCTAGTTGGGTTGATCGATTGAAATGAATTCGTAGATGTTCAATTGAAAGATACGGCAGAGAAGGAGGACAGCAAGGAAAGTAAGATTGCAAGGCAATATGACCGGAAAGTTTCATACGAGCTGGACACTGGGGCATTTTATATTTTATACAAGCAGAGCCGACAATCGGACATCCGGGGCTATTGCCCTAACCGGATGATCCAGGTACATCATAACAGGGGGCCGATGCTAGGGTGGGGCTGAGAATGCGCGATTTTAGTTTGAAATCTACTCCGTACCATCCACTACATACATATACCTAGCTTGCTAGTGCTACTGATCATTTGTCAAAACATGCGACATGGGGCCCCGGGGGGCGCCCAGGGGGTCCGGTCCGCCTTGGCTGTTCAACAACCTACTTTGTACGTTGTACTTCGATGTATACACGGATATCTCAAGTTCTCAACGGCAGATATAGTTGGATTGAGACATAAAAAGTTGTAGCCCAGCTTTGAGCGGACCTGTGAATGGACAGCGACATTCACATGAGATCGGCCTGACAGGAAGCAGTTCCTAGGTCACCGGGGCGATTATAGCTCTACCCACAGCTAAATCGAGGGTATACACAAGAGGGGCAAAAGTGGGCGAACCTTTTCCTCTTGGTTCTCGCATGATCCAACACCCGCGATACATTCTCGAACTTGCCTACCCACTGCGGTCGTAGCACCATCTGTCAAATCCCCAATCATCTCACTTGTCCTAGTTATCGATTGTCGGTGTCATATATCGTTCAGGAGTGTGTCTATTCCAGGAAAGCTAGAGGCAATCACGAGGGATAAGAAGAACAACGCTGTATACTTCCGGTATCTCGTTATGTACATAGATACCCAATGCACAGAAACAGAAGAATATTCAGCAGACAATGAAAGCCCTATAAATACTGACGATGGCACGTCCAGCATAGCTAGCACAAAAACGCACCAAAAATAAACGGCAAGGAAAAAGATACAGCCATCGCCAATATCAAAGACCTGTTGCCTGCCCAGGTGGAACCTTGGAAGGTTCTTGGCGATGACAGACCCGCTGCTCTCTCAACCGATCCAATCTGAAGTTCTGAGTTACCCGTTGTGAACTACAGCATTGAAGTGGCTGGAGCGTAGAGGTATCTATCTCCTACATAATAGGTAGTAGTAGAGATTCGGTGAATCTCAATTCAAGGGACCCGGCCAATGAGAAGTTGAGTGTCATCGATCTACTCCCAAGGTTCCAAGGTTTCGAACAACAATCTCCCCATTCAATATCCGCACACCAGAGCAGATAGACGACACAAAGCTGCCCGTCAGTATACGCCCGACGCAAATACAGTGTGAGATTCCCCATCATCCCTAGCTAGACTTTTCCCCGTTTCGCAAAGTGCGTAACGACCTGATATCTGCCCGTGATGAACTCGACGATGGTCAATTATGCGTCGAGATCATGGGGTTTGGGATGTCTCGACGAAGAGCTGTAGCTTGCTGGTGTGGGGGAGCCTTCAGACCCGAAGAGTTGGGAGATCACGGAATTCTTAAAGAAATGGCCATGGGTGATAGGCGGAGAGCCGGAGTTGATTGAGTCAATTGAGTCTACGAATACTGGCGGAGAACGCGAGGAGAGGAGATTATTTTTCGTTACCTTTAGCGACCCTTGAAGCTTTTACCGATCATCATAGGCATGGAGACAACATATAATAAACTCACATGTCTTCAGTAACCCAAAATGTGTCATTTTATGAAATCGAAGAAACCAAACATACAGGGTCAGATTATCCAGAAGACATGAACACCCAGTCCTCTCGAGATGGCGTTTGTGTGCGTGTTCCTTGTGTTGGTGTCTGTAGTCGTGCTCAGTGAGCACCCGTGGACCTACCTAGGTACCTCATCCAGCTTATGTAATTATCGGGTGATACCCAAGTGACCTTGTGGACCTGAGCAAGTGATTCTACATTTGTTCATCTGTCCATATTTCCATTTGTCCTATGTTATCTTTGGGAGAACAGTTCTACTACTTAAATAAACACTCCAAATAAATCTTTATTGATTTTTCTTTGATCTGGAATCTGGAACTGTCGGAATGCCTCGGCTGACCGCTCGCCAAACGCCGATAGCCCCGGGGATTGAAACGTCAACCCTTCATTCTGTCATTTCTTAGCATGACTCCAACAAGATCAACAAAAACAAGCGGTCTAGCCTCACTGGCTTGTACTGAGTGCAGAAAGCAGCATCTCAAATGTGACGCCAGTAAACCATCATGTTCACGGTGTGTTCAAAATGGATTACTCTGCCAATATCTACCCTCCCGACGGGGCGGACGCAGGAAATCACGACTTGAGAGTCCATATCAACGCCACCCGCAACCCCATGTCAATGTCAGTTCTCCTTATTTGTCTTTGTAGTTTTTTACTAAATTAATCCTAGACCCGATATCAGTCTACGATCCCTGTTCTGCCAATAGCCCCTGCACAGACAACGCCAGAAAATCCTTCGGCGCAGGCAGGCAGGCAGACAGGACTCGATATTCCCACTGAGCCGGTCTCTTGGCCAGTGATGCTTTCGGGAAATGCTCCTGTTCAGCAAACTGTGGAACCAGCAAGCAAAGTGTCGCTACGTGATGAGCGCCTGCCTCGGTTGTACTATGAAAATTTCCATGTCGCCCATCCGATCTTGGTGCCCAGCTCCTTGTATCATGACCACAATTACCCTCACTTCTTACAGCTAGCTGTACATTTTGTGGGGTCTCATTATATTGCGTCTATTCCGAGCCAGCCATACAAAGAACAAGTCGTTGCTGAGCTGAAGACAAACCCTGATCGATCGGCTTCCATGGTCCAGGCTTGGCTACTATATTCTATTGCTCTGTACGCCCGCGATGAATGGGCCGAGGCACAAGATGCCCTCTCTAATAGCATTGATATTGCTTTGGAGCTTGGCATGAACCGTTGGTCATTCGCTTCATCCACGAACCCCGAAAGATCTCTTGAAGCCGAAAGCATGAGACGAACATGGTGGGAACTATACGTCACCGATATATTCATGGCAGTCCCGCTCAAAACCACGACATTTCGATGTAGCACTGTGTCGCCGGAGGTGGCCTTGCCCTGCGAAGAGTCAGCATACAATTGTGGGGGTGATATTCCGAAACCACGTATGATGATCGAGTTCAAGCGGAGGATACTCGCGGCAGAGGATACTGTCTTTTCATCCTTTAGCTACCGAATCGAGGCCACGACAATATTATGCCGGGTTCTTGTCCTGAACCGACTACGCGACTGTCACCGCGATCATCTCCAAGCTGTCGAAAATGCACTCGTGAGCTGGATCAATCACCTACCGCCCAAAAAGCTCGACATTGTTGATTCATACGGCAACGTTGACGAAATGATGTTTCAAGCACATTTGACAATAGCCTACGCCGCCATGCTCCTACATCTACCCCGAAGCGACCTTCCATCTGTATTATCCCAGTCTCAGCCAGATGATCGCTTCTGGCCCGGCCTGACTGGCCAGCTCTCATCAACATTCACCCGTCTCGTCCATAGTATCAAAGCAACAGAGGCCTCGAGGCGGATCTCAGATTCCATATCTGTTTGTCCAAACGTCTCGAAGCACACCCCCTTCATCATCCCCGCCTTGGCCCTTTGCGGACTCATCCAGCTCGCCACATCCACCAGTCATTCCGAGGAGTGTTTCGACCATCACTGCAACCGTGTCACACTCATTCTAGGCTGTCTCAAAAGCACCCAGCGGACATGGAAACTGGCCGAGTCCTTGTACCATGCTCTTCGATCTTCTGCAGCGGAAGTCTTGTCGGATTCGATGGAAAAATGGAATGCAGAACCACTACATCGATTCACCCCGACAGCCACAACGCCTAATGACCAAGAAAGACCCAGCTCCGGTGCCAATCCTGCTCCAGTCATGCCAGACGGACATGATTTCATGCCGCCGGAGTTTTCCCCGGGATTCATCGATCCAACTTGTTATAATGCTTCGTTTTTCAGCGCTATCCCTGACTTTGATATTAATTAGATCGGTTATACCCGGGAGCCAGTATAGGAATTCAATAAATTTGAAGAAAAAAGAAAGAACTTATTACGCTCGATGCCAATTTTTACCTAACGGTTTCTGGGGTAAACATCAGCTGGCCTCGTCATGCAGAAAGCTGTGCATTAGGTCTTGGCCTCAATTAAGTAAATGCTAACGATACGTAATAACGATAGGGGTCCAAACATGAGTTCTTAAATTTCGTAGATATCTCAAACGCCGATTGATTGGGGGGTTTTTTTCTGAGTCGCCGACGGTGACGTCGATCACTTTTGATTGGTCCGTTGGAATCCCCCGGTGTTCCATTCGGGAAGCCACGCATAGCACCAACATCGTGTGCGACAACCGGGCATTTCTTGTGAATATAGAAATAGATACGCCTGTTCATAAAAAAAGTCTGGTTTCTCGAAGTAACATCAGTGTTGCAAAATGGTATCAATCAAATGTATTACAGATTCTGTCCGTTGTTATACCCGAAAGTAGTTCATATTCGTTCTACAGTAAAAAAGGCCGATAGTATGGAGTATAATCCCATGCGCTTTTCACTCACACAATGATACATCGGGAGATAAGGCCAGGATACTCACCGACTATTCCTGCATTGGGTCTGCCTTGCTTGAATATCCGGTGATAACCGTGATAACTATCTGTGTGTTCACATTCGCAGTTAATGGCATAGGGATCTGCTTTATGCTTAAGTTGTTCGCCGATGCGTTGATCTACAAAGTTACAAAGTCACATTAGTATGTACATATGTACATTTGGTGGACTACGAGTCTTACATCATAAATCACATGAGAGTACCAGGTGGTTGAACCGCAGCTGCATGTCTATTGCGTTGGATATTCTCGCTATGGCGTTATATGTGTCAAGTTTACCCTATCCACGGTCTTTTGAATTGGGATTTGAAAACTTGAGCGAGATGAAAGAAATCTATCCAAAAACTAAAAAGTCAAGTCTGAAAAATATATAAATTGTTTTATGTTCTACTCAATTCTTGTAGGGGAATACAGACGGCTGTAATGTGAATAGAGCCGGATTTTACAGATTCTAGCATTCTCAAACCTTCTCCCTTTTTGTTTAACATGCATTACTCGTCAAAAAGTACATGTTCAGGCCTCTGAGTAGTTACTAGTCATCAGGCGAGACTGTAATCGGTCTGGGGCGCTGGAATGCAAGGCATTGGATCAATCGGCGATTGAGATCCATTTTTGTGATTGAGATCGCACGGGGGAGAATCCAGGGGAAAACAGATACGAATTGGTTCCAGAGATATAACTCATCCATGGATCCTCTTTGTAACTTCTCATTACTTTCCAACAATATACACTCTTCCAACATCACCAAAACTTCCATCCGCCACAATGTCCGCTGTCGTTCCCTTACTCCCGCTTGGCACCAGCCTATCACTAGGCAACAAGCACTACAAACCCCAGTACAGCCTCGATGATCTCATACAAGACATCAAGATCTACCTAGGCGAGAGTGGCGGTATTTCTTCGGCAGACGTGGACAACGAATATCTGATCTCGTTGGCGCAGAAGTATATTTCTGATCCGAACGACTGGGCCCGCTTTTTCTACAACGACACCAGCAAGAATTACACCCGAAATGCTATTGAAAACATTAACCAAAAAGCAAATATTGTAAGTTCCATTCTAATCCTAGCTAGATCAAGTCAACATTGGAGCCCGAGAATTAGAGACTAACTCATTCCAGCTCCTCCTTGTATGGAACCCCGGGAAAGGCTCCCCCGTCCACGACCACGCCAATGCACACTGCATCATGAAGGTCTTAGCTGGCACGCTACAAGAGACCATCTACAAGGTCCCCAATCTGGACTCTGATCTTCATGGTCCGTTGGAGATCAAGTCTGATACGAGGCATACCATGAATGACGTCGCCTATATCTCGGATGATATCGGGCTACATCGCGTTCATAACCCGAGCAGTGACCAAGTTGCTGTCTCTCTTCACTGTAAGTGCTTGACACAAGATTGAAATGGGAATCGAGTATTGACGAGTTTCTTTTAGTATATACCCCGCCTAATGCTGCCGACTATGGATATAATATCTACAACGAAGTGACAGGCAAAGCGAGCTTTGTACAACAGGCTCAAGCCGTTCCTCAGAAAGAATGACAGCATCAAAGACGAGACAAGGTGGTGGCCTGGTTCGATGTATTCCTTAATTCTTTTTTTTTTTTGTATGCGCCGTTAGCCTGTCAGATACCATGATATTTCATTTCGCTCGGCGCTGGCGCTGGCGAGGCTGTTTTGCTGATTTACTTAAGATTATGAAGTCATTTGACTAGTTATTTCAAAACAAATTCATGAAACTCCCAATATATCGCCAAGTTAGTGCGAGTTGATTTGAATGGTGTCGTTTCACCATCTAGACTAACGAAATATTATGTAGTAGGCCATCATGTAGTAGATCCAACTTCCCATCGGGTTCCGGATAAAACCGAACTCTATGAGACCAGTCGATTGTGGATCATATTGAGGCTCCCAGGTCTATTCTCGTGGGAATCATAAATTGTCTCAATGTTGGGTCGGGGCTCATCGGTTTTTGCGGGCTTTGGACACACGGGCTCGGCGTTCGGGCTCGGGCTAGAGGTGAACCACGGAAATTGGGGAGAGTGATATATTAAGCTAGTTGATGTAGGTCTAATGCAATGATTCAAAGATTTCGTTTTCACCATGTTCAGAACTCGTCTCCCCCAATCCATAACAGCAAAGTCGGCCACGGTTGTCGCTTTACTAGGCGTTGGAGCTTATTGTGCCCAGTCACGTCTTATGTCAACTGCCAATGCAGAGTCAAATGAGCCTCCAAGAGTCTTCTCAGGATTTGGATTTACCACCTTGCGCCTGAAAAGCACGAAAGATGTAAATCACAACACGAAACGCCTCGTTTTCGAGTTTCCGGACCAGAACGCCACAAGCGGATTGACATTAACTTGTATGGACGCGAATCATAGACAACTTCCCATTAAGCTTATATACTAACATGCGACAGCGGCACTCCTCACCATATCCCGTCCCGAAGGGCGCTGGTTCCCCGTACTACGCCCATATACACCCATCAGCGATCTAAGTATGAGCAATAACCCCAAGCCCCGACATAAGAATAATCTAACAAAAGAACAACAGATCAAGAAGGTCAGATCGAGTTCATGATCAAGAAATACCCAAACGGCAAAGCGAGCAGCCACATCCACTCGCTTGCCCCAGGAGATACCCTCACATTCGCGGCGGCACTCAAAGGACACGCCTGGACACCGAACCAATCCCCGCAAGTCTACCTCATAGCAGGCGGGGCCGGTATTACACCAATCTACCAGCTTGCGCAGGGCATTCTCAATAATCCAGCCGACAAAACTAAAATCAACCTCGTCTTCGGCGTCAATACTGAGCAGGATCTGCTTCTACGAGAAGAGCTGGAGAGCTTCAAGACGCGCTTCCCGGGTCGCTTTGACTATATTTACACAGTTAGTCACCCTGAGGGACAGAATGATGGCTTCAGGAAGGGGTATGTTACTGAGGAGCTGTTGCGGGATGTTGTAAAGGCCGATGGTGATGCGAAGGTCTTTGTTTGCGGACCTCCTGCTATGGAGGATTCTTTGGTTGGATCGCGATCCCAAATGGGTATTTTGGCTCGGCTTGGGTTTGCAAAGGGTCAGATTGTTAAGTTTTAGTTCATGGCTCTTCGTGTTCTATATATTCAATGTATTATACTTCATAATCAGGGCATAGGGGTTCATGCTTTGCTCCTGACAGCTAACATATCTACAAATTAAACTTAATGCCACATAGATCAGTTTTGTATCCGCGCGAGTGCAAATAATGACGCGGCCTCCCGAATTAGGAACATACGTCATCAGCCTCATGCCGCGCCACATGTTTCATTTTATGAACTCTTCTCTCTGATTTAGTTGTATACGTAGGTGTACTCCATATGAGCCTATCCATAATTATCTCTCGCATCTGCTCTACCAGCACATTTCCCATTCACCCCAAGGGAAGAAGTCGCATATGTGTGATGATCATGTACCTGCGGTGTGGACCTTGGACAAAGAACGGGATACCAGGATGATATGTAACTTGATTTTGAGGCTCACACTATATAAAGAGACATGGGTTTCGTAAAAAGAAATGAAATCAACCCGAATGTACATGCCGGTTGTGATATTACATAGAACAAAAAGAAAAAAAGTACAGAAGTCAGTTCGAGTCCCCAAGGAAAAACAGTATGTAAACAACCCAGATATATGCAGAAACGTCACTCAAGCACAGCCTGAGGATATATATGGCAAGAACGGAATGAAAATAACGCCAGATGGGGGGTATGATATGCATGGAACGATCATGGCCAGAATGGTATATACCAAATGGCCTCAGCTAGCCCTCTCTTTTTTTTCTGTTCGCTTCGCGGTCCTTGGGGGTTCAAATTCGCAAGCCCGGTTTGGTAATGTTCGCGGGTAAAGATTCGAAATAATGCAAATGCGAAACGAGGCAAGATGTAGTGCTAATCATGGAAGATTAGAAGCGACAAAAAAATGTCAAAACATTCAAGACCGCGGGTTGGAAGTGAGGTGTATTTCTTCCACGGGGAGACCCTCCTCAGAGGGGACGTGCTGGTAGCGGCCGATGCGACGGGCGCGGATATGCCGCCAGAGGGCGAATCCAGCTCCGCCCAAAGTGCCAGATACAAGGAAGAAGATGAGGAGACCACCGATTCCGCGGATAACCTCGTAGGCCTTGTAGACAGCCCTCGCGACCTCCTTCGCGTCAGCGTATTGGGCGCTTAAGCGGTCACCGGAGCCAATGGAGGTACCATTGTTGATCACTTCGGCCGCTTTACCGCCGGTGCTGTCAGCGGAAGGAACAGAATCCGTGTTATCATTGGCAGCGACGATGATTGAAGGGTCATCAGGACTAGGGCCGGAGTCAGAACCGGCCCAGCCGGCCGCTTTCCAGTTGGGTGGGGTGCCAGTGCGCATGATTTTAGAAGTGTGCATGACATTACCCTCGGCATCGATGGCTTCTGCGGAAACAAAGTCCATATAGCCATCGGTGATGAACATGGTCTCGAAGTCGGTTTTGTTGGCGGTGCCGATGAGCACGGACTGGCCGCGGTCGTAGGCCTGTGCGTAGAACTTCCACTGAACGACATCGGTCGCGCCGTTCCAGCTGACGTGGATGATGGTCGTCATATCCTCGCCGTGGGTACCGTAGGCGGATGCGACCAGGTCGGGAGGCGTCGTGGGGCGACCAGTGAACTCGCCCTTGTAAGAGCGGTAGGTTGAGTACCGGTCTGATGCAAACTGGGCGGTCATTAGAAGGTCGCCGTTCGATGCGTGCTCACTTGAGTAACCACGCTCGCTCCATCCGATAAAGACGTTGCCGTTGGGAAGGGGGCGAGCGCTACCACGGAGTCGGGTGAGACTACCATCGGGGCGATTAATCCGCTTAATCACCTTTGCCGTCATAGGGACAACATTTGTGTCTAGCTCAACGAACAAAACGGAGGAGATCCTCTCGTCGGAGCCACGTTCGTCGGAGGCATTGTTCAGGAACGAGATAACGTGGCGAGTGCCGTCCGACGAGACAAATTTGACATCGTGCTGCTTGGAGAAGGTGAAGTCCTGCTCGAAGTCGCTTTCCTGTCCACCCAAGCGCCACAAGACGTTTCCATCCTTGCCAGAAATCAAGTAAATGGTATCTGTGAACCGTAATGAGATCAGGTAGTCACCGGCCTTGTTCTTGTCGACTGCATTGATATGTACGTAATCCCAACCGGGCGATTCAGCTGGCTGATCTGAGGAATGGAACATGTTCGACTCATGCAGAGCAATCTTGTCAAATGAATCCCACTGGACCAGAACCTCGCTGGTTTCGACATCCACCTCAACAAACCCACCAACCGTGACCCAACTCTCTTCCGTTGGGCGTCCGAAATCAGTCAGGCTGATGAGCTGGGAATTATATGTGCAAGCTAGGGCAGTTTTTCCACCATCCATAATGTTGAATTCGTGCATGTTGAAATCATGGACATCGCTGAGAGCCTGGACCTCTTTTTCCACCTCATAATGGTTGTTCACAATCGCGCCGTGGCCCTTCTTGGAATTGTCGTATTCCCATCCCACAATGAAGGACAGATAAGGGTCGTCATCGATGTTGTATACGGGCTTGAAATCGAAGACATTATGATTGTCGTACAAGGGTGCTCCAGCCCAGATAAGGACCTGTTACGCCAGAAGCAAGTCAGCTGGTGCTTTTTGACCGGGGTTCGGAGCCAAGACATACGCCACTGTAGTCGTAAATGTAGGGTCCGACTTGGTATTGTTGATATTTCAGGGTAGGTTGATCTGGGGAGATTTGCCCGTATGGCGCAACGAACCAGTATCCGGGGGCCAACCGCTCGCGGTCGTAGTATTCAATCTCCCATTTTAAGGCTCGGACCTCAGGAAGCTGGATTTTGGCTATTAGAACCGCTCGATTCCAACAATGTCAAAGTTCAACCCACCGTCACAAAAGACATCAAATCCGAGTCATGACGCTCTGCAACAGCATTACCCGATAACAGAAGTAATGCAGCCCAAAACATGGTTAACTTTTAAAGAATGGCTAGGAAGAGTAGATCTTCCCTTATTAAATAAAACGAAGGTAAAAAAAGGAATGAATGGGAGCGAAGAAGATCGCTACATAAGAGCCGATGCTAGACACCAAAACATTCAGACGGTCGTCGTCAGATCAGTAAGAGCGGGGGGCGAACGACAGCGCTAGGCAATTAAGAGGATATAAAAGCCATTTAATTAAAATTAGGAAAATTAAGAAACGAAAAACTGCCGAGAGAAGCCCAAGAGAAGCCAAAGAAAGAAGAAAAGGGCGCCGAGCAACGTAATGAAATGTCTTGGCATTTGTTTTGGGTGGAGAAGACATGTGCCATTGCCCTATAAGGTCTTCAAAAAGGACTACATCTCGTCCACAGCGGAGTTCTTCTCCTCTCGTATATTTTTTTCCGACGTGGATATGTATGTCCATTTATTCAGTCTCTGTTGGCTAAAACTGGTATGATGGCGTGGCCTGCATGTCGGAGTCGGTCTACTTTGCCTGAAACGCCATACAATCGGATTTTCTCCGGCCATTTTCACCGATTTGATTGACAGTACGGAGTAGATCGTCCAGGGGGACATCTTGGCATTCTATCCGAACCTGGTCAAGGATACGGAGTAGAGTTGTCAGGGGTTTCTCCTATTCCCGCTGCTCCATCAGACTTGATGATCGGCAGAAAATCCTTATATTAGAGATTTTATCTGTACATATTTACAGTTTTCCAGTTCGCTTCTGATCTTAAGCCACAAAATACACCTTAACCCCACGAACCATTTTTGAATTAAATTGCTGTGTTTTGTTCTCTGCATTCTATCTTACTCCCGAGACGCCTACTCCTTGATGGGTGGTTCGGCCAGGGTATGAGGCAAGTCAACTACCACTTCCGCACCCGCAATAAGCTCTCAGTCCCAAACAGTTCCTTCAGCTATAGGGCTGGCGGCAATGCCTGCCGACAAACATGCTCAAGATCGAGCCAAGATAGATGCGCGGGGCCATCATGCATGATTTCGTCAATGGCCAGCGCCCACGCAAGGGGGTTGTACATGACACCCTCGTGAGTATAAATCCAAGCGGGCTTCGCAGCGCAAGCCGACTGGAGGTTGACATCACTGACGCGGACGCCGCGCAAGTCGCTCAAGATAGCCGAGGCGTTGGTACCAACCATGGGCTGGACTATCTCGAAGGTTGAGTAGACCATCGTTGTAGGCACATAAGCGGAATCGCCTCTGTGTGTGCACAACGTGCGAATAAACCTACGTTCATATCCCTGCTGAAACAGAGCCGGTGTGCAAATCATCAACTCCAGCGCCGGGTAGACACGCGAACCCTCGACCGTACTGTGGAAGTCTGGGCCGATGGCGTATGCAACATATTCGGCGTTCACCTGTGCGTCGGAGAGCGATGTCAGAGTCGAAGAATCAAGGTTGTCAATATATCGTAGTACCCCGACATCTTAGATGCTTATATGTAAGAAAAAAAGCGAGTGCCCAGGTGATTTTCAATTGTCGCGCCTTCCTTCTTGTCGTCACTGCCAAACTTGGCACAATGGGTGACCGTCTGACAGTTTGACAGCCCTGGAGTATTCCAAATCACAAGCTTCTCTTTCCTCTTCTTACACCAAACAGCAGCCAAAAGAGAAGCAAAAGACGACCAGGGATCCGCCATTGCCACAACTTATCGACACGCCATCTCGCTTTGACCAATGGGACTATGTTCGTTCCTAAGCTTGGCAGCAAGAGCTTTACAACTCCTTCTACGGGTAACTACAATCAAGAGAGGGCCGTTCACGCTTGCTTGTCTTTTTAGCCGGGTTGGATGCGATGCGCGAATGGGTTATGCCTTCGGGTCGAGATTGTGACTCTAGAATCCCCTACCTCACAAAACCTCGGTCGAAACCTTTCTCGTATTGAGTCGGAGCCCACTGAAATTGGTGATGACTTGGCTGATTTGTACGAAATACCCGGGGAGCCAGCGAGAAGATCGATGCAACGCACAAGGTCTCGTCTGCTCCGCTATTGTCCAGGAATACCTTGGGACGGACAATCCGAGAAAACAACACAAATGACGGAGAAGAGAATATCGGCCGCGTCTAAAAGGAGGTCCTGGAAGCACCAAGTCAGACGCTGAACATGACATCAAATATATCAATCCGCTACACAAGTGGATTAGTTTTGAGCAAGACGTTGGCGCCGCGTTGAACCACAAGACTAGCACCGTCACACCTCACACCAGCATCTACGAAGAACCTAGTACTCCTATCTCACGACTGGGGTTGCTCGTGGTCCTCTCTGTTCTATACCAAGATCCAAGCATAATTGCCATGTCCAGATGTGCGACCATACGGTGCACTTTTCAAGCTGATTTGAGCCATGCACGGATACACTGCCGTCGCAAAGGGAACGACGTCAGTACCACGGGATATAGTGTCTTGTGAAGCGGAGGTATACAAAGTTTTACAGCAAGCCGGGAGATCTGCAATACAGACCGAGAATGGACTTTTAGCTTTCGTATACAGTCAGTCACCAATGCTGATTCCAATAATTAGATTCAATAGCCAAACCCACCCTATAAAAATCCCTCATCGGTTGCACTATAGGTAGTGGTCGGTGCTTCATAATGCTGTCTGTTGATACTTAGTACTACAGTAAGCTTGAGCGGCCATGGTTGGTTCTCGTAATGGAAGAATGGGTCCATCATAATTCAGGGCAAAGTGATATATTCCATTACTATGATCTTGCCTACATATGAACTACCCCTGCCTAAAATAAGAACACTGTTGCAACAACAAGCAAAAGATTCTACCAATCCCCAAACCCATCCCCCAAATCAAACCTTCTCAATATCAAACCGCATCTGTATGTAGGGTATATAACGACCTCCCCAAGTCACGATCCTCGCAATGCGTCTCGTTCCTCGCGGGAAAGCCCCCAGGACCAAATACGCCACACCTTTGGCAAGCCTCGTACCCAGCAGAGCCTGATATTCAGCGGTATCCTGCTCCCAGACACGCAGTCTATCATCTGGCCAGCCAAGACCATTCGCTGCAACATAGAGGCTCTTCTGCACAAATAGCATAGTCTCAGGGTTAATGATATTACACTGGAAGACATACTTCAGATCCTCGATAGGATGTTCATCTTGGTAAACTGCCTGCGCAATTTGCGCCCAATATGCCGAGTCAGGCCGGAAGCTATCCATGGCGAAAATTACGCCTGGCCCTGTTTGTAACATGTTGTCATTCACCCAGTACTGTCCGTGCGATACTCCGGATTTCCATAGTACGATCTTGCGGTAGAGCTTTTCTCCCGAAAGCCCCAGTTCGACGGTTTCTTCGTAGATTTGGTCGGGTGGAAAGTGTCGTTTTTGGTGCCGGATTCCCCATCCCGATTCTATCATGTTTTGCATTGTGAGCCGTGAGGCGCCAATTGGACAGTTTTGGTTGGGATTCCTTATCCATGAAGCCCTCATGGCCCCTGTTGTCTGGAGGTTGTCATACTTCAATGGTGGGGGCAGTTCCCCCGGTGGTTGGTCAGTAATAGCGTCAGACATGACCAATCAGCGGAGTGTTTGTCGAAATGCGGTATTGAGTATTGCGCTTCTGAGTTTGGGGGTCGAAATTCACCGCTAAACGTGGGATGAGAAAGAAGATGGAATGATGGACTGATGCATCGTTGATATACTTTTCTTTTTATCTACAGCCAGGCAGAACATATGCCAACTGTGGCATACTACCACTAGAGAAAAAGGGATAGAACAATGAAAATCAGATGTCACTAGTGGGAGCTGAAAGGCACACAAGGAACGGCGGGATAATGTAGGCAACGTTGTCTTGAGGCATAAAGGGTGTCTCGGAGACATCTGTGACTGCGATACTCTGCAGGGTCAAAGATGCGGAGAAAGACATTGTTCACAAATATTAGAATGAATGGACCATATAGGATCGGTATATAGCCATTGATTATAGACATGGTAAGACATTGTGGGGGCTCATTGTTGTTCTAGGGGCTATCAAGAAACCATGCAATTCTTGCGTGCAGAGCGTCAACTGTGCCAGAGTTATTCTTTTTACGCGAACTGTATATCCCTAATCAATCAGGTATTATTTTATTTTGCTTTGTTACAGTGTTCGGATGGTGAGCGACTCGATGGCCATGCTGATCGGTGTAGATGACCTACAACATGCCCAGATTGCGGAGTTAGTCAAGAACAAAGTTTAACTACATGGGAAACCATGGATGGGACTGCTCTCCTAGAATAATGAAAAGTATTGTCTCGCTGATGGTGGACTTGCCTTAGGGTAGCTCGCTACGCCCCCATGTTGGGCACTGGCTTGATCCTTGACGATCGTTTCGACCTGCTGACCGGTCAATTTGTGCCGTAGGACTCTAAGAGGGAATATTTGCCGTGGATACAAGGAATCCTACCTTGCCCTCATGTGACCCGCCTCTGAACTTGGTGTAGACGAAGTCACCTTCAATGATATCGTTGCCTTTCTTGTCCTGTATCTCCTCGACTGACATAATCACAACTTTGTTGAGTCCTAAAGATGGCACCAAGAGAATACTGAGTTTGTCCATCACTAGGTTGCCTCCCGAGGTCTGGCTTTTGCTTTACTAGGTATGATGTGATGATTGCAACACAGGTGATGTCATGGCAGTTTACTGGAACATCGCCAGCAAAGTCAGATTTGGAGATGTGAAACAAGCCGGAATGTTGATCCTTTTGAGGCCTTGGAAGGTATCATCGGGATTAATAGTGGTAGGTGGTTGACACCCCCGGGGTCGTGGACAGCATAGCATATTCAACGCTACGCGGTTGATGAGGCTCAAAGGGAGGACCCTGTTACCTGCCGTGACAGGGTGACAGGGGCAAAGTCTAGTTCGATACATCAAAGTATTAAATACATCATGATTTTATAGTTCTAGTGTAAGATTATAGGTGGAACTAAGAAGGAGAAGCATATCCGATGAGATGTACGTTACAATGCAGAATCGAATGCTCATATTAGGATATTGGATCGGATAGCATGTTTCAGATTCAGATTGCCAAGACGTACAAAAAGGGCGAAAATAAGCTAGAGAGATGATTTCCAATGGGAAATAAAAGAAGAGAGGTGAGTTAAGTAGAAGATTTAGTTCCACATGTAACGGTCCCCCTCCCAGTTGGGCCGACTACCACCGTTGCACTCAAGGGGGTCATTGAGTATGTATGGGTACATTAGGAATGCCTGTGCTCCGTATTATATTTATTATATTCTTTATGATATTCTAAATAATTTGGAATACTTGTTATTGTACTCCGTATGTGAGCTTGAAATATATTTAATCTGTACACTATAACTGTCTATTAATACTGACTATTAATATTATCACACTATTCTGGTGCTCCTATAAAATAATGTATTATGAAGCCATGTAACTCCACTCCACCTAGCATCTAGTACAGGTGGTACATATGGATATAAATTGTATATGAAGGGTATAGTATGAAAATGGATTTTTAATGGATTCTTTAATGTGACTCTACAATAAGAGCAACACTCCGTAGATTAATCCAATCTATCTATCACCTGCATAACATAGAGATAAATTACCGTTACAGTACAATACACACATGCGCATTGCGACACCGCAAGGGCTGCTTCTCCCAAACAGTTGCACTCGCGGTGACACTGTCAACTCAAGAATGGGCCAATGTTGATCCATGCTTAGGGTCAACACCCTTCTTTTCCCTCTTCTCTTCTCTTCTTCTCTCTCCCTTCCACTTTCTCCCGGTGGGGATTATTGCTTCCACACTCCCACCGATCCACTCAGACACAACTCCAGTGGGAGTGTCACATCGGCTTGCCCCCCACAAACCTTGCAAGGTTATAACTTCAGATCTTTCTTCTTTTATCTCATATGCTTTATGATCATCCATACTTCAACATAGTGAACTTCGATCCCTCTCTCCCGGTTCGCGACCTCGCCTCTCCTCCATCTCCCTTCCCCGACTATGTCGGCACCACTAGTCAAGGTGCTACACCGATTGCAAGAGCTATTCCATAACGTGGTCGCCGCACTCGAAAACATGATTCTATTCCCCTCATTCTTCCGCGACCTCTCGCGACGCCGCCGAAAGACCTTCCTCGGCGCCCATTGGAAACGCCGCAGCCTCGACGACTTCGCCGAAGAAGTGGAGACCTCGTGCTCGACGCCGCTGTCAACACGCAACATGATCGACATGTCAGAGAAGATACGCGCACAGTTTCGGGAATGTTTACAGACTAGCACCTGCTGCATGCTTCCATCCTACGATACTGCGCTTCCCGCTGGCTCGGAAAAGGGCACATATCTCGCATTGGACGTGGGCGGATCGACATTTCGCGTAGCTTTGATTGAATTGAATGGACGGGATGAGGAAGTGCGCATCTTGAAGGTGTCATCTGTACACATTGATGAACAACTCAAGATGCTGGAAGGGACACAATTTTTCGATTGGATGGCAGGGCAGATTGAGACCATACTGCAGGAAGTTGGAACAGACTACGGGCGTGGTGATGTACCACTGGCGATGGGATTGTCCTGGTCTTTCCCCATTGAACAGACGTCGCACAGCAGCGGGTTGGTGATCGAAATGGGTAAGGGCTTCAAGGCCTCCAATGGCACGGTAGGCAAAGAACTGGGTGATCTCCTTATCCAGTCATGCCGCAAGCGCAATTTGAACGTAGAAGTTGCCGCTATCGTGAACGACAGCTCGGCGGCTCTGCTATCGCGTGCCTACGTCGATCCCAAGACCCACATGTCTCTCATTTTGGGTACCGGTACCAACATGGCGATTCACTTCCCGGTGCACGAGATTGGAACGTCCAAGTTTGGAGTCCGTCCGGAGGGCTGGTTCGACCACGCCAAGCATGTTCTCATCAACACCGAGATGAGTATGTTTGGCGGAGGCGTGCTGCCTATGACACGGTGGGATGACATACTGAACCGCACGCATCTGCGTCCCGACTACCAGCCCCTCGAGTACATGATCACAGGTCGGTACCTGGGCGAGATTGTGCGTCTGATCATTGTCGAGGCAACCGAAACCGCCCGCCTATTCGGCGGCGAGCTACCACACTCCATGCGTGAACCCTATTCCTTCGACACAAGCATCGTCGCCTGCCTCGAGGGTGACTCCTCCACCTCCCTTTCTACCTCCGCCGCCCTCCTGCAAAAGCATCATACCTTCCACAACCAACCCTCCGTTGAAGACCTGCGATTCATGCGCCGCATCTCTCAGACAGTCTCCCGCCGTGCCGCTGGATACCTGGCGACAGCCATCCACAGCATGTGGTGCCTCCGTAACGAGGTGGAATTCCCCGCACCCCTATCCACCGTCCACTCTCTCGTTAAGGAATCCCCCGCAATCACCGTCATCGAGAGCGGACACTCGGATAAGAACCTTTCCATCGCCTGCGACGGCGCCGTCATCAACAAGTATCCCGGCTTCCGTGCTACCTGCCAGAACTATCTGGATCAGTTGACCGAGGAAACGTATCCGGGTGCCGGATGCTCCATCCGTCTCAACCCGGCGCCTGAAAGCGCCATTCTCGGCGCAGCTGTGTCAGTTGCCGTGTCAGTTGCTGAGAACTCCACTCGGCTATAAATCTGCTGGTTCACACGAGTGATGCATGAGCCCTACGCTGAGCATAGATCTCTAGCTGTCTTTTTCGTTGTGATTTTTTCTTTTATAATGTCCATTGGTCCATCGGCGCATGATATGTGATGGGTTTCCGTCTGGACCTTTTTGTTTTCTCATCTGCATGGGCATTTCTGGATGGGAGTTATGAAGAGAGCGTTTTCCCCTTGTTTTTCCCCTTTCACAGTCGAATCCTTTAGCATCAACAAGGAGTTTCTGACATCGGTCTCTCAATAATGGTTTTCTGGGGTGTTTGATCCCGGAGTTCGGTTTCGTTCTTCATCTCATCCTTATTAACGGTTTTACGTTTTCTCGAATTCAAGAAGGCACATTTGATTTGTCCATTCTTTCCGTCCATTTCCCGAGCTAGTGCGTTCTTTTTTACTTCACCTCTATGTGGAATCAAGCCTATAATATGGCATGAACTGGGTCTATTATAGTTCTTTCCGGTTCTCTTTGGGCTCTTCTAGCATGCAATTCTGCAGGGCCATCCCCAGAAAGAGATGAATGGCAGCAAATTCCTAATATATGTCAACTGCCCTACAAAGCCTACACCTCATCTGGACAAATAACATGTTACCATTACCGCTGACAATCCTTTAGTTTTGGTTCTCTCAGCTCAAGTTCCTGCTACCAAAAGTGGCATTGCTATTTAGCATCTATACCTGCCTATGTCTACAATACAAAATATAGCCATACCTACATTTAAATCTGTTACAATCAAGCAACACGAATCAGTCTAGAGATCACTCCTACCAAGTCACATAGTAATATACCCGATCATAGCCTTAGTGACATCCTTGGTATCCTGATCGGATACAGTACCCTTAACATTGGTATTGGGAACACGCAGCTACGATCGATGTTGTACATCATAATAGTTAATGTTGTACGGAGTACATCCGGCCTGTGTAGTGTAACAGAGAGAAATGGCGCGGCTTAGAAGTCTCAAATGAAAACAATCTGCTGATATGCTAATAATCAGGACACAAACATATAAAATGTACATAAAATCTAACGGCTCGTATACCGCCGCACTACTCCATACTACCATATTTTTACTCAGTGCGAGTATAGGCCTGAGATTTGTTGAGGATAATCTCAGCCAAGGCCATCAAACTACCACCAGACAACAACTCCAGAACCTGCACATTGGCATTAGCCTCACGGGCAATCCAGTTACGGATCTCAATAGCCACCAGCGAGTCAAGACCCAACGAAACCACTGTAATTGAGGGATCCATATCTTCCAAGGAGAGAACAAGCACCTGTGCTAACTTGGCAGCCAGCGCCTCGTAGCACACTTTCAAAGCCTCCTCCCTAGATGACGCAGCCGACAAAGTGACATGCAGCGGCACAGACGGGCCATCACTCTGTGAGCTGCTTCCCAGTGTGCGCTTGGCAGCCTCATATAGCACGCTGAATCTCGCGTCCTGGACCCAGAAGTTGTTCTCGAGTGAATCCAGTCGCAGTCCTGTGATGCACTGCCCAGAGCAGGACTGGTCGAGATCACCGGTTAGAGCGGCTGCTATCAGCGCCAGGACTTCCGACTCGTCGATGGTCTGCCCGCCGATATTCTTCATTACTTCCTGGCGCCGCTGGGCGTCGGTATCGGCTAGGTAGCCGACGTCGCTGACTGCAGCTAGGTCGATTGATGTTCCTGGAAGGCCAAGGGATTTGCGGTATTCTATGAATCCATCCAGGAATGCATTTGCTGCGGAGTATGCTGCCTGTCCGCGATTGCCGACGATGCCGGCTACCGATGATAGGGCAATGAAGAAATCCAGTGGTGAATTGATCAGCGTGTTATGCAGATTCCAAGCTCCTTCTACCTTGTTGCATGCTACGGCCGTGAAGTCTTCAAGAGACATGTTTTCGAAGAGCATGTCCTAAGTAGGGTCAGTAATTGGGGATAGATAATGTAAATAAGTCCTTATAGCAGAAAGCTTACACGAAGCACCATCGTACCGTGAATAACTCCACGTATAGGGGGAAGGTCTTTCATTTCTTCGTTAACCAGAGCCTCGACAGACTCCGGGCTGCTGACATCGCAAGCCTTGACGACAATACGCACTCCCAAGGGAGCTAAGATATTAATCAAAGCTTGAACCCTGTCATTAATCGCGGCTCGACGAGACACAAGAACAATGTTCTTTGCGCCCTTCGAGGACATCCACTTGGCGATGCTTCGGCCTAGACCGCCAGTACCACCAATCAAGATGTACGATGCATCAGCTCGTAGGAGAGTTGGACTAGTCTTAGGAGCCACAGCCTGAAGAATTAATGATTAGACTTAGAACATCTATTTGCGGATGTGTTTTTGTTTACCTTGACTTGGTCACCTTCATGGGGAACCACCACAATCTTACCCATACTCTTGCCGATCTGTAGAGCACGGAATGCCTTCTCGATATCAGAAATCGGGTAAGTCGAAAGTGGTAGGACGGGATGCACCGATCCCTCACCAATCAACCGACAAACGTCACCCAGGAGGCGCTTCATCACCTGCGGCTTGAACTTGCCAACCTTAGTGAGATCAACCGACGAGAATGTGACGTTATGCTCAAAAGGTTGCATATCAAGGCGAGTATTCTTCGTGATATCAGCCTTGCCAATCTCGACAAATCGTCCGAACGGTGCAAGGCACTCCCAAGTCTCGCGCAAAAGATCACCTGCTAGTGAGTTCACGATGACGTCCACGCCAACCTCACCAGTGGCTCTGCGGATGCTGCGAGCAAAAGATGCATCACGACTATAGAAGATACGGTCTTCGGGAATACCGTATTGGTTCATTAAGAACTGTTTCTTTTCGAGTCTTCCGACTGTAACAAAGATGTCTGCGCCGATCATCTGCGCTAGCATTATGGCGGCTTGACCGACACCACCAGCACCAGCGTGGATTAAAACCCGCTCGCCGGGTTGTAGTTGACCTAGGTCAAATAGAGAGTAGTACGCAGTACAGAATACAACTGGCACTGTGGCTGCGACCTCAAATGACATGTCGGCTGGGATTTCCGCAGCGCTGGTCGCAGGGCATCGTGCGTAGGTCGAGAAACAGCCCTCTAGCATGGCCATGACTCTTTGACCAACCTTGAAATTCTTCACATTTGATCCTACACTGGAAATAACACCACTGCATTCAATTCCAAGATAGGGCTGTGCAAGCTGGCCCATAGAGGCCACAATGTCTTTGAAGTTAAGACCGATTGCTTTGATTTGAAGCTCGATCTGGTTCTCGCCTAGTGGTAGGGGATTGTCGTCTACAAAGTAGAGGGAATCTAGAGCACCTGGATTGCCGATCTGGATCTTGAAGCGTCGCCCCGGTTGATTGAATGGCTGGGTTGAGATTGTCATGTCGTGGGTCTCATTGTGGACAAAACTATTAGCAGCATCATCTTCCACTACGCGTTGGACAAATAGCTCCAAGCCTTTGGCCTTGAACTCGAGATCCTTTGATGGCTGGGTCCCATTGGTGGGCCATAGAGCACTAATGGCTGCCTGAATAGGCTTCTCGGGATATTTGATGTCCTCAGGAGCCAACCCGAGAGTAGCTATCCTGGCCATGGTCTCCGAGCGCAAGGTTCGAGTCAAGCCGACTGTCATTTGAGCATCGGGAGAATCAGTCCGGTAGACCCAGAGCACAGTTCGAGCATTGAACAGCGCCTTCTTGAGCTCCTTAAATATATCCTCGGCCAGGTATCGTAGAGAGCTAGCTCCAATCTGAAGTAGAACAAGATACTTTTGAGAGAAGTCCATTTCACCAAAGGTTCGGATATAAACCTGCCAGCCAGATTCGTCGGACAGTGCATTCCTCAATTTATCAGCGATACCATCGGCTTTGCCAAAGTGGGTGATGAATAGATCGTGCTTGGGTATGATAGCATTCCCACTCGCGTGCGCGTTGTCTTTCTGCTCTGTGTTTCCATTCGTGTTTGTATCCCCGTAGGTATAAGTATGGCTATCAGATACTGCAGGGCCATTGCGATCTTGAATCTCTCCTTCAACGGCGTTTTCAACCTCCGCCAAGGGATGCCAACCAATCTTATAGCACAATTTGCGAGTGTCTTCACGGTGAGTGTCTGGATTTCTGAGGGGGGTCATTACCAGACCCTCCATTGTAATAATGGGCTCTGTGGAGCCCTCTTGGGTGGCAAAAAAGTCAAATTTGGTCGGTTCAGGGAAAGGCAAGCTGGGACTACCAGTGCAGTAAACTTTAAGGTATTCACCAGCGGTGGTTGGGACATTAAGACCGACTGTCACACGTTTGATTATTGTCGGCATGTAAAGCGTGTCCAGGTCCATTCGGCCCAAACCCTGGCCAAGGAGGGGCCAAAGAAAATGTAGCAGTCCGTCGAGGAATGATGGGTGGACAGTCAATGGAGGTTCAAATCCCTTCGGCATGACGCTGCGAGTATCTCTAACGTGCAGATCGCCAAACGAGTGGTGAGGACTGGAGTAGCAGTTATCAATATCCTGGAATATAGGACCATACCCGGCTCCTAGATCATTAAGAACCTTGTACATATGGGACATATCGACGTAATTAGTAGCCGATTCCTGAATTCGGGCAATTTGAGCTTCCATGTAGCTGGTTTGAGTCTCGAACGAGCTCGAGATCGTAGCCGCCTGTTGTTTTGGATCGGAGCGAACCCGCACCTGACCAGTACAGTGCTCTGTCCATCCTCGTTTTGAGGTCCATGAGCAGACACGGAACTCATCCCAAAGATCGGATGATCCACGAGTACCTTCAGCATAGGGACGGAGAGTAATGGTGGTCTCTGCATCTGTGTCATCACTGAGTACAAGGGCCGAACCCACAACGACCTCCCTCAGTTCAAATTGAGAGATCTGGATATCAGCTTGCTCCGCGCGTCGTCGAGCGGCCTCAATGGCCATCACCAACTATTGCACAATCAGTAAGCATAACTTATATAAAGTAAGCATTCATCAAATGTACATAGCCTGCCATGGGGTAAACGACCATCCCCTGCATCTTGTGGTCCCGGAGGTAGGGAATCTCATCTAAGCGGATTATATTCCTCCATGTTGGCTCCAGATCATTTGAGTAATTTGCCAATACTCCCAACACATCGTTTCTGGCACGATCTCTGAACGCATGCTTCTGTGGAATACGGGCAACGTGCCAGTACCGACTTCCATGCTGCCAAGGGTAGCGAGGCAAGTTACTTAGGAACCAACGGTTTGCCGCACTGGTCTTGGGGAAATTCACCCCTGTCATATTGAGTGTAGCACCTCTCACGTAGGCAGCAGCGGCGGCATCTAAGACCGACTCAGCTACATCCACTTTACGAACAATAGTCGGTGTATATCTAATCTTTGAGACGGTGGTACCCAAGCTCTTTATGGTATCCATGATAGGGCCCTTCAATGTAGAGTGTGGACCAATTTCAACAAGAAGGCTCGGTCGTTTTTCATTGTCCGACACAATCTTACTAAGAGCGTCAGAGAACAACACCGGTGATGTTAAGTTCGCAATCCAGTATTCTAGACCAAGCTCGGAAGGTTTCGCGAGGCGCCCAAAAACAGAAGAAAAGAACGAGGCTGTTGCCGATGGGAAGTGCTGGATATTCTCAATCGCAGCCAGGTAAGCGTCGGCAACCTTCTTCATATGGTCGGAATGGTAGGCAACGTCAATCTTCAATTTTCGGTTGAAAATTTGCTTGTCTTGGAGAATCTTTTCGAGTTCATCAATTGCGAACACGTCCCCCGACACGGTCACGCTAGAAGGACTGTTCACGCAAGCGACGGTGGAGTAACTAGATAGGGCCTTCAACATAGGCTGAATAGCCTCGCGACTGGCGCCAACGGCAATCATGGTGCCCTTGAGGGACGGGAACGAAGATTTGAGTAAGGAGGTCATTTGTCCACGCCAGTAAGCCAAAGCCATAGCTCCCTCCAAGTCATAAATCCCCGCAGCGTAGGCTGCACTAATTTCTCCAGAACTATGGCCAACGACTGAATCAGGACAGATCCCCCAAGATTCCAGGAGATTGACTAATGCAATCTGAAGAGCTGTGCAGGCAGGTTGACTCAGATGAGGGGAGTCAATCTCAGAGGTGGCGTCCTTTTCCAACTCTTCAATAAGGGAGAACTCAGCGCCGAGATCTCGTAGGCATCGATCGGCTCGTTTGATGGCTAACTCGTAGACAGGGTATTCATGCATAAGAGGAACACCCATCTGTGCCCATTGAGCCCCTTGACCAGTGAAGACAAACGAAACTATTGGGGCACCTAGAACCCGGGATGGGTTGATCTTCAGTTGAGCAAGACGGATTCCAAGGTCATCTAGCGAGGTAGCAGACACGCCAACTCGGTATGAGAGTTGGGACATCTTATTGCCTAGAGTGTAAGCAACGTTGCCGAATAAGGTCTTTTCAAAAACTTCGGGATGTTGTTCGAAGTAGATACCGAAGTCTTTCATCCTAGTGCGTAGAGACTCCTTGTCATTGGCAGAGATCAAGAACAGCTTGCGTTTTGGGTCCATGTCAATGTCCCCAGCAGCTTCATCTGGAGCTTTGGATGATAGTGGTGCCTTTTTAAGAACGGCATGTGCATTGGTTCCTCCAAACCCGTAATTTGACACGCTAATGTATTTCTTGCGAGAAGGCCAGGGCCGCGTCGTCGTTAAAACTTTCATATTCCAATCGCTCATAGGAATATTAGGATTCGCTTTCTTGAACTCGGCGTTCGGAAGCATCAACTCTCTATCAAGCATCATCGCTGCTTTGATGATGGCAATTATACCACTGGCGCCCTCCAAGTGCCCAATGTTGGATTTGACTGATCCAATGTAAAGCGGGTTTCTCGGAGTCCGATTTCTTCCAAGTGCTGCATGGACTGCTGCAGCTTCGGTTGGATCGCCGGCCTTTGTTCCAGTTCCATGCATTTCTACAAACCCGCATTCGTCTGGGTTAAGGTTGGCCTCTTCGTAGACCCGCCGGATTAGCTCTTCCTGGGCCTGGGCATTTGGCAGCGTAATTCCCTGTGTTCGTCCATCTTGATTGACTCCTGAATTCACAATAACAGCCCTGACGGGATCTTTGTCGCGCAATGCGGCATAGAGGGGTTTCAGAATTATGACACCAGAGCCCTCGCCTCGCGCGAAACCGGATGTGGCTCTCTCGTCGAAGGAGAAGGCTTTACCCTCATCATTGAACAACCTATATAATTCCATACTATCAGATGGTACGGTCCCGAGCTTGGCTTGGAGGACATGGAAATGCTTACTGCGACAGAGACATAGAAACCCAGGTATCTGGTACAAGGTTAAGGTGACAACCAGCAACAAGGGCTTCCTGGGACTCCCCGTTTCGCAAGCTCTGTACTGCATAGTGGAGTGCAACAAGCGAAGAAGAACAAGCCGTGTCCACTGTAATACTGGGCCCTCGTAGATCGAAGAAGTATGAAATACGGTTGGATTTCAGTGCGGCCGCACAGCCTGTAGCTTGGTGCATGGGAATAGTCTCGATATCACGGAGGTTATTGGGCTCGTAATCACAGAAAGTACCACCGGCAAAGACGCCCACTTTCCGGCGGGCAAGACTCTCTTTGGGAATGCCAGCACTCTCCAAAGCTTCATATGTGCACTCCAGCAGCAAGCGCTGTTGAGGGTCCATGGACGTAGCTTCTTGGACGGTGAGGTTGAAGAAGGGAGCATCAAAGTGTGCAATGTCCTCGTCAAGGAAGTAGCCTCCCGTTGGGTTGAAGGAACCAACCTTGGACGGGTTAGGGTGGTGGAATGCTTCGACAGAGATGCGGTCTTTGGGGATGGGTGACCAGCCACTTCGAGCTCGGGTACATAGTTCCCATAGGTCACTGGGAGATGTAACTTGCCCTGGCAGCCGGCAGGCATACCCAATGATGGCGATAGGTTGGGGCGTTCCCTGTTCACCATAAGACGCACCTTCAGAACCAGCACCGTTCATGCTTGCCATAGTGAAAAGTGCAGAAGGTGCAATTGTAACGCGAGTCTAAAGGATCTAAGGGGGCCACATAAACATCGGGGAAATCGGGGGAACCGACTACCTGGGTGGCTATGGTGTATTATATAGTGTTGCAAATACCTCACCCCAACTCGTCTGATGCGGGTCATTTTGGGGGTGTACAGCTCAATGAAGCTGTCTCTGCTCCGGGCCATCGATGCTCTGCTAGCATTGGGTGATCGGTGGTTATTCCCGAATTGGTGAACTTGATTGAAATGTTGTACCGTCCCACATTATTCGACATAGCAATTGTTTGTAGTTGGGAAGTTGATGTTCGGCGGAATATCCCGTGCTTTCCACTTGTACAGCCCGAGCGGTAATTTAGTTCCTAGTATATCTTGATGTCTATATTTGCTCGTTGCCTGTTCCCCTTGTTCTTTGAGTATATAGGCTCTGATTATATATTCCCCCTTTAGATTGTTGCAGGTTGATACAAGATGAGGTTCTTATGTCTTCATGGCGCCATTGGCAACATCGACGTAGGTGATGGGAGACACTATCATAAACATCAATACTAACTTCTTTATCGCAGAATATTAATATTCAGCTTGGCAAGTATTATTTGGATTTGAGGACTCGAAATGAGGATTCATTGACAATATTGCAGATCCGCTGGTGAAGCAGATGGCCATGGATGGTTTCGCTTCGTTCCACTATATCAACGGTCCTGTTCCTGTGTCTCCACCGGCAGGTACTGTCCTCCCGAGCTCAAACACTGGACCGAACAATCTGATTTCCATAATCTCCTAGGGTTCGCGGAATATTTTGGTATCGGGCCGCATTACCGGTGGTTGGAGGATGGAGGAGCAGCAGAGGACTCTATGATCTCTCGTGTTCGAAAATCTCCGCATGGTTCGTCTCCCGAGGACATAATGAGAGCTTTGGGCAAGGACTGGGATGGCCATTGGAACAATCATCATCAAGTCATGGAGTACCTCTATGATATACTGGAGAAGAATCCCGATATCGAAGGCATCCTCGGATATAGTGAGGGTGCTACGATGGCTGCGAGTCTCATCCTGGATGAGAATAGAAAATCTCAGGAGACTGGCCGTACTCGTCGCATCAAATGCGCGGTTTTCTTCACCGGCTGGCCCCCTCTCTCCCCTGAGGAGGACGTGGTCCTGGCAGATGAGAGCGACTATACTCTGGACATTCCGACGCTTCATGTGCTTGGTGCAGATGGTAATTTGATATATATTGTCCCCGTTCAAACGATATACTCACTATGTATCTTTAACACAGACCCTTACCGGTACGGCGCACTAGCCTTATTCAACATTTGTGATCCTGACACTGCAGCGATGTTCGACACTGGACGGGGCCACACGATTCCTCGGTCCGGTCCGGTCATAACAGAGTTGGGGAATGCCGTGCGAGACTTAATCCACAGAGCGTATCAAGCGTAACACAGGGCGGTGATTCATGGGAAGCACAAAGCCCTTCTGTGCGCGGTGTCACAATGTAAGGCCCGTCGAAGAATACACAAATCCGGACCTGGGGGGTTCCAGATTCCAAAAGTCCGTATTCTGCATGATAGTTAGACTTTTAGCCTTGATATATATAGTTATCTAGCGTTGCCTCTTGTCCCCTTAATGGAGTGAAGCCGATCCCGGGTATCGCCCAGTTGGGATGGTGTGCTACCCACCAGCTGTTATTGTAGCTTCTCTGAGCGATAACATTCTCTCCAAAACAGCTCATGTCGCAATTGGAAACTTGCCTACTGCGATTTCACTCTCTCAACCCATCGGTATAGTTCCTCGGGTGTACTACCGTTCTCGAAATTCTGGAAGCTCTGGCTGATAGAGCTCGAGATCAAACCCCTAGCTCTAATATCCAGCCGAGATGATAGGCTTAAGGTTTGGACAACGATTAAGCTGAGCTATAGCACCATACTCTAACCCGAATATGTACGAGAAATGGCCAAGATGGATATCATTCATATTATCATCTGCAATTAGAATTCGAAACAATTCCAATCACATATGAACACTTCATCATACCGCGGCCTAGCCAGCCCCCTGAAGTAACGGTACTATGTAGGCTCGGAGGGTTAATAAAGCAACCGTCAACAAAGTCGGGCATTTCCTCATTCGACACCGAAGTTATAAGGAAGAAACAACACACGGGGAAGTTCAAATTGTGGCGCTATCTCTTCGAGAAATTATCAATGACTCTCGGAACTCGAGCGTGGCTTCAAATTTTACAAAATGTGTGACGTGATCGTGAAGATCGTTTGGGCACTGTTAACTGCCACCTTGGTGTTAACCCAGACCCATGCGCAGACTGTATCAAAAGATGAATGCGCGACGGGCGTTCATGCCATTATCGCCAGGGGGGAAGGCGGGGGCGATGATCTGAATGTGCTGAGCACTCTTTCAGACCTGATCCTGAAGCAGATCCCCGGCTCGACAACCCTCGGCTTACCCTACGATCATGAAAACGTCTTAACTAACTCTGCCAAACTACACACGGTTCACGACGGTGCAGTTCTGATGCAACAGTTTGTGCAGGAGTACAGCGAAAGTTGCCCACAAACTAAGATTGTGGTAGTGGGATATTCAATGGTGCGCCAATACCAAACCCACATGTGATATTCTGTCCTCCTAATACGGCAATCAAGCACGCAAAATGCTAAAGTTTATTACCACCCAGGGAGCAGTTCTCATGATGGATTCTCTGTGTGGAACTAGTGAGATTGGATTATTCTTCGTCGCCCCTCTTGCGCGGTTCTACAACTCGACTAGTACGTGATTTCGAGGCACATGTCAGAAAACACGAATCTAATCAAATATCTAGTTATAGCTGCGATTGCGTATGGTGATGAAACATACATTCCTGGCATGCCGTGGAATCTGGGTAATTGCGCACTGGGTATAGGCGTGGGTACACCAACTCCAGAATCAAGTGCGGAATTATAATCTAAAGCGAATGAATCAGCTCCTCCCCCGCATGAACTCAGCCTTGTGTGAACCATTTGCTAGCTCAATACACAGCTATTGTGATTACGGTGTTTCCCAATGCTGCTCACCATACCCAGAAGACCACAATGCAGCACACCACACTTACATATGGAAGTACAATGAGGACGTCGTGGACTTCATCAAACACCGTCTGGATAATTATGCCCGCTTGACCTTGGAAACTGCCAATAATAGTAGATAGAAGAGAAATACTTGTTGATCATAGGTGTTGACAATCTCAAATACAGGACTCGGCTGCTTTCCGAACTATAGAGTTGGCAATCAATACACAATCACAGCATCCAAATTTCCTGGAGGCGACATTCTTAGTGTGAATCTCAAAACTTGAAAGTATTCCCCAATATACTAATTTCTACCTCCGAGTCTCGCAAAACGGTCGACGTCAAACTTGGCCAATCTATAGTGAATATCTAAGAACTTAGTTTGCTGAGCTCATGTTTAGATATACAACAAAATCACATAAAATTGGCACACTCGCAAATTCTCATTATCAATGTTAACTACCAAGTGCATACGTACATACGCGGTGAACCCTGGCCACGTACCTCGGCGTATTTCTTGAGCCTGGTTTGGCACAGCCGTTCCACCGTATATCAATAATAATTATGGTATACCACTAAGACTACACAGGTTTACGATATCTTAAATGAAGGGATACTACCCTGGAGCCTAAAAATTGGGTGGCCTAAAAGTTGGAACTGCAAGACATAGTACCACCTAGAATCAACCCCCTCTACCTAGGGTAACAATAGCAAACAGCCTGGAACTATAAGTATCAGATTATTGTTCTATGCAAAAGCTGAAGCTTTGGTGTTACATATATACTAGTACCAAGGTATAACCCTAGAATGATTTCAGGTCTGAGTTTCACGCAGTTGGCCCCTTGCTCTGTTCTGATTCAATCTAATTCAAATTCAACTTGTTCCTCCATTGTACAACATGTAGACTTCTATGTAGCAGGTTTCTTAATTAGGAATTTGACCTGCGTCTAGTTCAATTCCGAAGCTTCTTTGGTCTCGCATGTAATACCCATAGTTATATGATTCTCCAGCTCTAGTCTTGCAATCCCATCAATAAACAAATCATGTTCCTCTAGTCTCGAAATCTTCACCTCGGTGTCCACTTAGTCTAAATCTCCCCATAAAATGAGTTGGTCTATATTCAAAACTTAGTAAGGTGGCCCTTGCCGGGTAGTATTTCATATAACGCTTACAAGTTCAAATATATATATCATGTGTGATTGCATATTTTGTTCACGCGCAAAGCTTTTTAAGCAGCCTGGCACAAAGAGCTTCTTTGAATCTAAGAAGGCTATAAACGGACAAGCATGAGATCTTATGTTGTTCTAGCAAGGCGACATATATGAAGGTGACCATTGGTATTGCCGTTCATGGCTATTCGCCCTTTCCCTTTGATTCAGGCTCTCATAACGTAGATAGGCAATACTATCTGGATTGAACTTAGTTATTATTCTAAAAAAAAATCCGATAATCCTATATCACCTAGGTGTCTATGGAAGCTCGGGCTTCTAGTACGCAAGGTGCGTGAAGGATGACGCCTTGGCCGTGGAAGAAACTGTGGTCAATCTTAATATACATTTCCAGCATTTCTATTGGCTATAAATGTATACCTAGGTATGAAGCCGCTGTTATTAATCTTACCTAATACCACTCACCACTGAAGCTGAGGCTGAGGCGTACACATGCAAGTTGTACACAACCGCATCGAGGTATACAGATCAGCAGCTAATCCGGTTTCGGCGATCCCAACTCCTTTTTTTTTTCCCTCTCCAAACAACCACAAGCCTCTCTCTTTCTCTATGTTCTCTCTAGCCCGTCAATTCTCCGGAGTCCGCTCCAAGCCTCTAGTCCTCACCAGCCAGAAATTCACCCGATCGACCCAGGTACCCCACCGTCTGTATTCGAACCCTCCGAGATCTTCGCCGCCACGCGCACCCTCCGCCCCTCAATCCAGCCGCTCCAATTTCCCAATCATCCCCATCATCCTCATAACTGCCATCAGCTCCGGCGCCTACGTCTACCTCGTCAAGTCCCGCACCGGCGTCCGCACTTCACGCCCAAACTAGCTTGAAGTAAGTCCGTTCAAGGCCTAGCCCGTACAAAAAAAAAGCCAACTAACGTCCGTTTCAAGTCAAGTGCTGCCCCTCCACACGCACACCGACACACCACTCCACAAACACTCTCGACTCCAAACCCAATCTTAAACCCCCTTTAACTTCACCTCACCTCCCTTAACCTCCCAACCACAAACACAACCACAAACACAACCAACCACCCACAATGGCCACCCCCCGCTTCTCCACAAACGACGTAACAGTCGTCTTCTTCCTCGGCGGCCCAGGCAGCGGAAAGGGCACTCAATCCGCGAACCTCGTCAAAGACTATGGCTTTGTCCACCTCTCCGCCGGCGACCTCCTGCGCGCCGAACAAGTCCGCGAAGGCAGCCAGTACGGCGAGCTGATCCGCGAGTACATCCGCGAGGGCAAGATCGTGCCTATGGAAGTGACCGTTGCGCTTCTGTCGAATGCGATGGCCGACTCACTGGCGACTTCGCCGCCTCCGGCTGGTACCAAGGCCCGGTTCTTGATCGACGGGTTCCCGCGCAAGCTCGACCAGGCTGTTTTCTTCGAGGAGACTGTTTGTCCCTCCGAGCTTGTGTTGTTCCTCGATTGTCCTGAGGATGTTATGGAGACTAGATTGCTCAAGCGTGGTGAGACCAGTGGTCGTGATGATGATAATGCGGCCTCTATTCGCAAGCGCTTCCATACTTTTGTTGAGACTTCTATGCCTGTTGTTGATGATTTCCAGAAGAAGGATAAGGTTGTTTCGGTTAAGGCTGATAGCTCTGTTGAGCAGGTCTATGAGCAGGTTAGGGCTGGTATTGAGGCTCGTGGTTTGCACCCTCGTTAAGCGGGGTTCTTGTGTTTGTATCGATGTATATAGATAGTGTCGGGGTTCAATTTAGGGGGAGAGTTGTGTGGTTTCCTTGCTCGACTATGAAAATAGAGTATAGAAGAATTTAAGCATTTTTAAACTTGAGCCTTTTGTTTAGATGGATGCTTGGCCCCCTGAAACCAACGAAGTTGTCAGTTGACTACGGATATGAACCATGATCAGTTTAAAGAAATATAATATTCTTTAAGCCGGAATAAAAAATAGAACAAAAGAAAAGTCATCCCTCCGGAAAACATAAACAAGACTAAGATTGACATGACATGACTCGTGGGGTCCCAAACATCCAACGGGGGCAGTAAAAATCCCACCCTACAAATTGGCCAGGGAAAAAGAAATGCATGAGGAAAAGACAGCGAGATTTCCCCTCTATTAACTGAAAGATTTTTGTGTGTGAACTTTTCCATTCATAAAAAAAAGGACACATCTATTCGGCACTAGCCTCAACCTCACGCGCCTGGGGCTGCGCGGGTTGAATGCGTCGGCGGTCACCGTTACCGTTGCGGTTGGCGTTGGCTTCTTGGTCAGCCGCGGCCTGGATACCCTCGCGGGCAAAACGCTCACGCTCGGAGCGGATCACGCTCAGAACGCTCTCGAGGGAACGGCGCCAGACCATCAGGCGGCCTTGGACCTCGGACCACTGCTTCTCACCGAAGACGCGGTAGGTGGCGCGGTGCACAAGGAACTCAGACTTCAACTGGGACAGTCTGCCCTCGACGAGGCCAGCACGAATGGTGTCGATGACCCACATCTCGACATCGGAGGCCGGGACGCCCAGAGCAGAGGCGATAGTGGCGTAGGGGAGCGAGCGCGAAGGGGTGGAAGATGCCAGCGAGGTGAGAGTGAGGAGACGCATCTTGGTCTGCAGGGCATCGGCGGACTCGGCGAGCACGCCGCCAGAGATGGAAGCGAGCGGGGTGGCAGCGACGAAGGCCTCGTAGGCGTCGAGGGTGTCCGAGGTGAAGATCTCGAGCAGCTCGAAGAGGGTGCTGTCGCTGGAGCGCAGGGCCTGCACGGCGTCTGATGCGGTCAAGGGAGTGAAGTCGAAGACGGTGGAGCGACGCAGAGCGGTAGCGAGTGCGCGCACAGCCAACTCACGGCCCTCGGGCTTACTGACGTCGGCAGGGTCGATGGTCTCGAGCGCTTGCAAGATGTGAGTCTGGGCCAAATCCTCATCACCGGCAGCGGTGGAGGCCTCGGCAATAGCGACGTGCAACTTCCGGGTATCATCGCTGTCCAACTCCCAGGCTGCGAGCCATGTGGGGAGCTGCGAAGTGAGCTGGGGCCTGAGGGCTTCAAAGGCAACTCCAGATCCAGACTGGCGGATCACGGCCACAACAGCGAGGAGAACGTGGTACCGGCTCGAATCGTTGGTAGACAGAGTGTTGAAAATGGTGGTGAGAATAGAGATGGCGAGCGTAGGGCCGAACTGAGGCGAGGTGGTGATGGGCTTAGCGAGATAGGTGCAGATGCGAGGAAGGAACACGTCGGCGTCGGAAGACTGGTGAACGAGGTGGACCAGGAGGTTGTAGGCGGAGGTGATCTCTGCATTTTTGTAAATCTATGTTAGTTTTTGTCCATCAAAGATCTAAGTGCAGGCAGATTCCGACTATCTGCAGATCATTCGACACTTTTCGCCCACTTACCCTTCTCGGGGGCACTGTTCAGAGCGGTCGCAGAGGACACGAGCTTCTTCAGGACTTCATCGCGCTGCTTAAGGTCGGCCTCGCCTTCAGACTGTTCCTGCTGGCGGAGAGGTTCGAGGAGCGGGGCGATCTCGGACTGGAGGCTACCCTCTTTGCGGAGGGCATCGATGTACTGGGCAAACTCGTCGGCGAGCTCGGAGAAGGAACCCTCAATGAGGAGGGTATTGGTAGGGGCGGGCATGATGTTGGATGTGAGAAAAGGAGAGGAAGAGAGAAGAAGTTCTTGATGGTGGAGTCTATCGATAAGTTGAGAAATTTCAGTGTGTGCCAAAAAAAGTCTTGGCGAGAGGAACACCACAGTTGAAACATCTCGACTGATCTTTGTTTTCTACTTTACGACTTCATTTCGAATCTTTTATTTAGGTGAAATATTTAGTATTTATACTACAATCTTCACTACGCTGATTTTTCTGGCCAATGGGTCTGAAATAATTGGTGGTATTACTTTTAATCGAATAGTTCATGCGCGAAATCGTCACCTGCGCAGATAAAAAAGGAACTCCAACCCAAAGCAAAACAAGAAAGGACAGGCGCCACGTTCATAGACATGTGGACAATCATAATGGGTCAAGACTAATCAGAGGGGAATCGAATGTCTTGAAGAAAAAAGAGCAAATGGCATCGCGATGAGTTAAGGGATGCAACAAAGAGGGCGCTATGCGACCCAAACCATCAAGGGGTGATTAACTGCCCAAAGACCGAGTGAAAATGGTTCCTTTACAGGACCATGCGTGCAGCAACGAACATGAGACCAGCCATCAGACCAGTGGAGTACTGAGTCAGGTCACCCAGAGCGACAGCAGCGTTGGTGGTAGTGCTTGCAGGAGCAACGGAGGAAGTCTGGGAGCTGGAAGACTCGGTCGCAGTGGCCATGGCCAGAGTGGTCGAAGACATGGTTGAAGAAGCGGTGGTGGTCACCTCACTTGCGTTCTTGCTGCCACAGTCAGCGGCCTGCTTGCAGGCGCGTTGACCCTCGACATCGTCGGGGTGCGAGGCGATGCACTGGATATAAGTGGCCTGGCAGACGAAGAAAGGAACGGTCTGCGAGTAGGGGGTCACGTCGGGGACGGAATCATCGCTGCAGACACAGCCGAACTTCAGGGTGCTCTGTTCAAACCGTTAATCTCCTGGTCATACAGATGCGATACAGAGCAACGTACCGGGTCACACGAGTTGAGTTTGGTGCCTTGCTGCTGGCAAATATCAGGACAGGTGTTGCGCTGGGCGGAACAGTAGGAGCCTACTTCATTAGCATTCTGATGTTTAAGGACTGTCAGGGTACATACTGCGGTCGGCACTGTCGACCAAACCGATATTGAAGCCAGCGGGGAAGGTGTAAGTGTCAGTGGAATTGCCAGCCATGACGGATGTAGCCAGAGCCGAAAGGAAGATAATTGAGGAACGCATGATGAATAAATTAGATATGCTGGTGTACAAGGAGAAGAGAAAAGAAGAGCAGTTTGAGGAGAGAGAAGAAGAAGAAGCAGAAGAAGAGAAGAAAAACAAAGAATGGGCAGGTACTTTGTATCCAAGGTATTCCAAGGTATTTTCAAGGTTTATTTTGGTTTTGGAACCAAACTGGAAAGAACTTCCCTGGACTACCATTTTTACCAGGGTAACCCCCTATTTGGCATACCAGGTGGAGAGTTATATCACTAGTGTTATTGTTTTATGTTCCTAGCTAATAACATGAGAATTATTCAAGTTGCACAGGCCCTGTTTTTCCTTTTTTGATATTTTTATTTTTTTGCTATACGCCTGAAAGAGTCGGCAAAAGGTTACCCACCTAAAGGGTCCTTGGCTGCGTGCAACTAAGCCAAGTCGGGCCAAGTTGCCCCTGCCGCTACAATCCGTACGAATCAGAGGCCTCCAAACGGAGATTGCAGAGTGCACTACAATGCACTTACAATGCACTACCACAGTGATACAGGGACCCTTAGATAAGTCGCTTGTGGTTCCCCGGTCCAAGGTTCCAAGGTTCCAAGGTTCGTCTGTTTACCCTCGCATTCTTGTCCGAATTCTCCCTTACGGTCAACTACCGGTTACATGCCGGGGGCGTGAGACAATGCATTGTCTGTGCTCGAGAGCATGATTGGTTCTTCACTTCAAGGAAGGGGAATAACCATTTCAAAGCTTCTTATGCTCGCTCCACCGCAAATCAACTTTTCGCAAACCCATTGGACCGTGCTAAATGAATTGACCCAATATATCCACGTGACTGTTTATCTTGCCCTGATCGGTCATAGCCGGAGCCGAGGTTAAATTATGCAGTTGACACCCGTTGGCGCCCTAATATACTGCTGAAACTGCTGAAACACCTTCATGCCAGGTCCTCTATCTACAACCCGCCTAGACCAATTGACCGCAATATAATCCCAAGACCAAAACAACAGCGAAAAAAAAAAAAGAAATGGCTGACCCGGGCCCCGCCATCGCGCACCTCCGCACCAATTCATGGGCAAACAACCTCATCTCCTCGGCCGACTATACACCAATCCAAACCGACTCACGGCGCCTAAAGCCCACAACCGGTGAAGATGGCTACTTCGCACAAACCCTCAACACATCTACCACAATCCCCCACTGCCTAACCCTGCAACGGTGCAACCTTACACCCGTGCCTGCGGAAGCCCCAACCTGGCTCCCCGCAACAAAACAAGATGCCGCATCCGCCACAAAGCCCACCCCGGGCCTGAACCCTGCAGACATCATTATGATCTTCGATCTTAGCAGCCCCGGTCTGTCTGGTCACCCATCCACCGTACATGGCGGCATTGTCGCGACGCTGATTGATGAGGCCATGTCCCTCGCTGTCGCGGCGCATACCAATGCGCCCACTGCGCTCAGTACGGCTGAGGATAACCCACGCGGGAAGATCTTTACCGCGCAGCTGGATGTCAGATATAAGAAGCGGGTGGCTACACCTGCTTTGCTGGTTATTAAGGCGCGAGTTGTTGGCAGAGTCGGGAAGAAGTTCTGGGTGCGGGCGCAGGCATTGCAGGAGGATGAGGAGGGTGCTGGGGGACATTTGGAGTGGGCTAAGAGGAAGGTTGTCAAGGCTGATGCTATGGCATTTTGGATTGTGACGTCTGACTCGAAGTTGTGAGCGTCATCCTTCTCTTCTTTTCAGGCTCAAAGCTTGAAGTATATAGACTGGGAGATCGACTTTCCTGATGTACATACGGGGATTTTGATCCTGTACATACAACACCCGATTTTGCACATGTAGAAGTAACCAGCTAGGTCATATATATTATATAGAACATAGATCTATGCCTGGACTGAACACACAGAATCTATTGTTTAAATGTATATACATCTATGAGACGACTATCTACAACTTCTCCATCTTCCTGGTTCCAACATTTCGACTAGCACTAACAACCAACCCAACCTGCGTACTCAACGCGATAACCTCCCCATTCTCATCAAGAACTGTAACTTCCAAATCCGTCCGCCCATCTCTAACAACCTTAGTAACAATCCGACTATAAAGCCACTCCACCCCCTCAGCAGGAAGGTGTTTCTTCATATCCACATTGAGCGTAACTGTGGGGTACCAAAACTTCGCCTTCTGTTCCGCAAGCGAAGTCCCACTCTCCTCCGCCGCAGCAGTAGCAGACATAGTATCAAACCCATCCAACGCCATGGGAAACATATCAATAAGATACGCCACTGCAGCCTCGGTCCAGCGACCATTCACATCACCCCCAGGCCGGAACCTAGCCCACTGATCAATACCCATATCCCCCGAGCGCTTCTGCTGCGTCTCTCCAGCCCCAGGACCAAAGAGCTCAATCTGCGCCGCAGCCTTACGGAACGACGCAAAAGGCGCCTCGAGCTTCGTCCAAGCGCCGTCAGTGCCCGTCCGACCCAGCGCGGCCAGATCAACGGACCCGTCTGCGCGCGAACCCGCCGCCGGAGCAGGGTGAGGCTTCCACCCTGTGTTGGCGCTAATGCCGACCTCGGCGTCCGGCGGGCTGACGGTCACATAGCCAGCGACCATGGTCTCCAGCTGTCCGGGTTTCTTTTCAGAGGGCTGCAGCAGCTTGATGTGGATTGTGCTTGTGCGCGCGCCGATCTTGACGTCTTCGACTTCGAAGGTTGCGGGGCCTGAGGCTGTGCGTCGTAGGAAGGAGAGTTGGATTGAGATCGGGGACGCGGCGCTTTTGTATTGCTTTGGGTGGGCGTGCGCGAAGTGCGTTAGGGTTAGTTGGTAGATTACGGCTGTTGTGTAGCCGCCGTGCGGGACTGAACGGTGTTAGCTTTTGGTCAATGGGAGGTGAGGTTTATATGGGTTCTGCTATACCGGTTCCAATGCACCATTCTGGTCGGAGGAAGGCGCTGTATTTGTTGGGGCCTTGCGGGGTGACCTTGATGGCCTCTTGGAAGGATGGGTTGACGGTGGACATGATTGCGATAGTGTTTGATATGTACAGGGTTTAGATAGAAGGGTCTAAAGATCTAAGCAAGATCATTTATATGGTTTTCTGATATAGAACCCTTCCCCACATATACCAAGGTTAACCACATCGGCGAACCTCGGCATATTCCCCAGACCGTGGACAGCCGAGAAGCTGAGTCAGCCGCCCATTAGCCCGGGCCCGGCCACGTGGGTTTTCCCAAGGTTCCAAACGTCATTGAAACCAGAAATATATAAATGCATCTAGAGCGATTCGTGATGTAAGAGGGCTGTGCGAACAAGAAGAGATCAAAGTTAGCAGGTCCCTCTGATATAGATGAGACCTCGCGATAGGTCCGATCGGGAAACAATCGAGAAGATGTTCATGAATTCCGCTACGCGACATTACTTGGCGGATCTTGGCAGCTCGCGTAAAGGGGCCTGGGCTAATCAAATTTCCGTTCAATATAAAGAATACGAAAACGAAGTAAATCCAATTATTAGCGTGTTCGTTAGTACTACCTACATATAAAACAGCTGACCCCGTTCTGCAGCGAATTTGACGGCAGAACACAGATGGATCACCATATCACAGGTATTGCACTTGAATATAGCTCTCCAAGGCTATCATTTCAGATCACTAATGAAAAAAAATAGAACGATCGTATGGCTATGTTGACCCCAACTTTCCAAATCCAGGCGGCGAAAGGGACACCCCTGTGATCATTTATGGCTACACGCCTTCTATCGCTCTAGCAGCCTTCGCAGCCGCGTGGTTCTTCCTTCACTTCGTCTACCACACGGCACAAACTATCAAGAACCGCAGCTGGTGGTGGATGACCTTTTCCGCTGGTCTGATTTTCGAGGTGATAGGGTACATTGCACGATCCCTCTCCGCTAAAAAGGATCCTTATCACCTCATCTACTTCATCCTCAATTACTTCTTCATCGTTGTTGCGCCTGTATTACTTGCCGCTGGTATCTACACCATTCTATCAGTACTGATCCCACGAGTAGGGAGCCAGTATTCATTCTTACCCCCGAAGGTCATCCTAGCCTTCTTCATTACTTCGGATGTCATCTCAACAATCGTCCAAGTCGCCGGTGCATGTCTCATTGGCATTAAAGAGTCGCGCCGGGAAGATCCCACAACAGCGAACAATATCCTCCTGGGCGGTCTCGCATACCAGGTCTTCGTCATGACTATCTTCGTCATCGTGGCGGCGAGTTTCCAGTCCCGAGCTCGACGTACTATCAGAGCAAACGGGCTGGAGCTCTTCTGCTTGGCTTTTTCCATTTCGACCCTCATGGTTTATTTCAGAACTATCTTCCGTCTTGCGGAAACTAGCCAGGGTCTTATGGGAGAGCTGCAGACCAATGAGGTATATTTCGCATGCCTTGAATTCGCGCCTATTGCGCTAGTGGCTCTTCTCTTTGCCATCTGGTATCCTGGCCGCTGCGTAGGTGCAGCGGTGCGAGTTAATGATAAACCATAGCTTTTGAGATTAAAGCAAATATAATGTTTCTTATGTCCTAGTCTGAGAGAGGCGCATATCCTTAACTCGTACTTCTCACAAACGCTAAAATAGGAAAGCCCTACCCGTATTTTGGTACCTGCCTATGTTGGCAGAAGGGCACCTTCCTGGAGGAGATCAATACAAGACAGAAGCTTCCACCAAGGACTCACTTCCGACTTCATCCATCTCCTTTCCCTTCATTTATCCTCTCGATGTGTTCGCTGCCCGAGTACCGAAATTACTCGGTCAGCGATGCATCCAAGGCACCTGGCATCTCGCCCCATTTGGCAGCGACCATAACCTTGACTGCTATAGAAAATTCCATTTCATAAATTAAGCCTTTTTCCGCCTTTTTCCGCCGTCTAGCTAACAAACTAAGAAGGGGGAGAAAATATCTATGAAAACAGACATCCAAAAGACAAAATGAGAAGAATCCGAGAAGACCACTGAAAAGGACCACTAAAAAGACATTTAAAATGACATCTGAAAAGATAATCTGAGAAGACTACTATAAAAGACTACTAAAAAAGACTTAACAAGGCCGTATAAGCGGCCGACTATTCCTGTATCTATATATTAAAATGAAGCTTTTGACACTATAGTCCGTACAAATTCATATATCATCACTTTTTAGGTGGTATATAGCTCTCAATAAAGGTTTTTTTTTATAGAAAGTTCCTTCGAAATGTCCCTTGATTAGTCCGTCAGCCCACTTCACAGGCCCTGGCTGACTTTGTAGCGTCGTTGATGGGGTTTCGGTGGCATTCTTTTATGATTCAGTAGGCCTTGAGAGGGCTAACGCGACCACACATTCCCTAACATCAGCTCGACTTGCATCATCTCTTCAAAAGTCAACACTGATAAGTTTGGCGCGTTGCATCCTATTACCACCACCATACCACGTCAAAGGTTCGTGCGGCCCTAATGGCAGCAGAGAATAGGGAAGAGGTGGAGTTGATTCTGGCTTGCCAACCCAGTTACTCTAAGCCACACCAGCGCGGACAACAACAGTCATACTTGGTTTGATTGACATCCATAGATGCTTGACATCCAACTTCTACGAAAATACATAGTTCAATACACTTGCCCATATCTCTTATAGCACCATATGCTCTTGTCAAAAGGACTACCAAAATAACTGAGATTTAGCTCTTCACAAGGAACCACCAGGAACCTTTCCTGCTGTTCCAGTCATATATATTTTTTCTTTTCTAAAGTTTGACCCGAAATTATTAGAAGATGCAATGCAAATATGTCTTCCTGCAGAGCCTCCATGTATGTACCATCTCAACTTGATCAAAAATGCGCCGCAATAGATGTATGCCAGCACCAAATCATAGTTGCTAAAGAAAATGAGAACTCCGGTCCGTTTTGCTATCTTCGTGTATTCGTCTTCGCATGTTCATATCCTGTAAATTTGAAGTAAATCAAATTGCTCTAGATCACTCTTTCAATGGCAGTTTAGTTTGGCCGTGCTGTGCTGCCAGTTGTTGCAGACAAGAAAGAACGCCTATAGAAAATTAGTCAACTGAAGTAACATCCGAATATCATCCCAAACTTACCAGTAACTCCCTGTGTCAGGGTGGCCTTAGCCTCCGTGCTACGCGAGCCCAATGTGACAGTCATAGCATAGCCAATGGCCTTTGCGTTGTGCAGCTTATTAGCCCACCGAAAGACAGGCTCATCCTCACGGTCATCGCCGATAACCAACAAGAAATCAGGTCTGATGACACCCTCGCTTTTGTCGACATTTGTCATGAACCACTTCCAGACCAGTTCGGCCGCAGATGCCTTGTTGGTGTGAATAGTCTCCACGATCAACGCGCCCTCAACGGGAATCGCATGCACATCCAAGTTAGCACACGCATCGTTGATATTGCCTGCACATTCAGCAGCAGATCGAGCGGCAACTTGGCGGTCTTCGGCGGATCCGTGGTGGAAGACGAGGGAGCAATGACGCTCCTCGATCCAGCTACCCTCGACACGAGCGTGGAAGTATTCTAGGATATTAGACACGGATGCCTTCCATGATTTGACATACTGCTTGTCTGCAAGTTGGGTCCAGGAATCGGCGTTCGGCTCGCGCACGAAAGACCCGTTCTCGGCAATCAGTCCCAAATTGTTGACTTGTCGGAACAGCCGTTCCATTTCCTCAGGCATGCGCGCGCTCATTACGTAGACAACGTTGGCGGGGTCTTCGGTCAATTCATTTAGGGTTGTGATTGCGCGCTGCGGCGTGGTCAGAATGATGCTGCGCGGTGATCCCCAAGAGGCTAGCGTGTCTTCGTAATCGATGATCATGAGCCGTTGCTTGGACTGGCGATACTGTTCGGTGAGCCGGGAGACGGACAGTCGGGGCACTGCCATGATTTCTCGCGAGGATTGCTCGTTCCAGACACGGGTTAGTGTTTCGTTGAACGATTTCACCCAGTTGGCAGTCGAGTTCTTCAAGACTGCACGGTGGAGTTCCTGCCAAACCTCCTTCCGTTCCTTTTCATCGCGAGTCAGTGCTGTGTGAATTGCTTCGGAACACTGGCGGTAATCCCAAGGGTTAACCAAAAGAGCATGGTTTCCAAAAACAGACGCGCTGCCAGTGAACTCGCTAAGAATTAATGACCCGTAGGCTTTTTCGCCCCATCGACCATCCTGGCAGTAGACAAACTCATGACTAGTCAGATTCATTCCCTCGCGTAGGCTGGTGATCATCAGGGCATCTGCCACAGTGATGAGAGCAAGGTACTGCGGGAAGGCTAAGTCTTGTTTGAGGAATACCAAAGGCTGATGAGCCAGGGTCGAGTGTGTGGAGTTGATCCGCATGGCAATATCAGAGATAGTCGCTTCCAGCTCTGGTTGTTCCGTAGTGCTGGTTGCGACTTGAATCAACACAACTTTATCAGCCCATTCTGGGTAGGTGTTGAGAAAAAGCTCATAGCTAAGAAGTTTTTGACGAATACCCCGAACGGAATCAATCTTATCGCGCGAGACGATGAGACGCTTTCCATGATAGCGCTCCGAGATTGTTCTGACCCATCGCTCCACGTCCGTTGCTTGGCGGCGCTTATCCCAAGAAGTTGGATCGATGCCGATAGGGAACGTGCCGACGTTGACAAAACCGTCTTCCAATTGGATTCCTTCGGGTGTTGCTTCCACACACAAAATCCGACTGCATGTCTGCAAGAAATGCCGGCAGTATTCATCCGTCTGGAAACCAATAAGGTTGGCACCAAGAATGCCCTGGAGGAGCTCCTTGCGTTGTGCCAAGCACTTGAAGACCTCCGACGAGGGGAAAGCAATATGCAGGAAAAACCCAATCTGTGCATCTGGCACCAACTTGCGAAGCATAGCTGGAACCAGTAACAGATGATAATCCTGGACCCAGATCGCATCACCCCGCTTCCAATGCTTAGCAATGCCATTTGCAAAAGCCTGGTTTAGCTTGACATAGTAGATCCACGAATGGTCCTCGTAAGCTTTGCTCTTCGGGTTATCTGGGATCTGATAATGAAAGACCGGCCAAAGGATGGTCTTGCAGAAATGCGTGTAGTGCCCGTCGAAGTCGCCGTCATTTACAAACACCGTCAAAGACCCATGCTCATCTTCCAATTTCTCCGCGATGTCTCGCCGGGTGTGAGTTGCCAAGGCGTCAGTGGGCATACCCAGGGTGCCTACCCACATCATGTTATCCAAGCACCCGGCGTCTGCTGCGGATCGCACTGCATTGCGCAGGCCACCATTGCCCTGCTCCGCGGTCTCGATAGTCCATTCAGCTTTCGAAAATGACAATTTTCGGCTTGCATTGCTTGCCTTTCTTAGTCTCGCGTGGGAAGCAATAGTCTCGATCGCAGGAGGCCGCTGCGGCACTGGTTCCTTGTCGGGGCGTGGATCTTGGTGCTTGAGAATGGATGGAGACGGCGACAAAACCGCCACTGGCTTTGGCTGATTGAGTGAGGTTGTGGCACCCCATATCGGGGAATGGCCCTCACTCTCCGTGAGGAGCCGGTTATCCTGCTCGGCGGGCAAAGGGAACGGGTACCCATTTTGCTCTTGCTCTGTCTTGGCTACCTGGGCAGCAAAGATGCGCTCGTGATCCGTTGTAGCCCCTGGTGTAAGACCCGGCGGTTTCCCTGGAGATTTCTTCTCGAATAGGCTAGCCGCAGAATTGGGGATGGGTGTAATTCCCTCAATGGTGGGGTTCGTGGACGGAGGACTTAGAGGGGGAGAGCGGACGCGCGAATTGTTGATATGGAAATCGACAGTGTAGGGCAAGAATCTACATAATTAATTCATCAGTTAGCCATATATAGACCCAAGGTTTAGTAATAGTCACATACAGAGATGCTATGAAGACAGTCATGGTGATTGAGCCCAGCCTAAGCGGATAGGCAGAAGGATACCAAAACACAATATGAGAGAGATCTTGACGATAGCAATAGGTAGATATATGCGATCAAACGAGTGGTTGGTGTCCTAACAACCGGGGGCAAGCTGAAGAAAAAAAAAAGGTTAGTTACACGATGTGTTTCTCATGACTACGTCATGTGAAGGTGCCAAGTGGTGGAGAAGCAAGTTTGGCTGTGGATTGCCAGGACAAATAAGAAGAAACAGGCAGCTCTAGATGCTGAAGTTAACTTGGAAGATCCTTTTCAAACCAGAAAGATATTGAACCAAGGAAAGACGCCAGTTCATCCATCGCCTCACCATGAGCTTACTGCCTCGTACCAGGTTTACCCCACTTGAGGGTCGGGCACCGGGTGTTCCCTGTACGGTATTTTGCGGTATTTTACTTACAGAACTGTGGCAGATCTGCTGTGATTGGCGGAATGTCTGTCTGTCACCTGACATGAGGTAATATTTCTCCCCGAATCCGTTATGCGTGTTGGAAAGTTCATCCACTTTATGCCATGACCTTGCCATGACCTTGCGTCTCACCTCCGCTCCGGTATCTGGTGTCAAGAAACGCAAATCCTCTGTTCCCAAACCCCGTGCCTCGCCATTTGCCGCCCATGCGCGCCGCAAACCTACATCTGGCGGGGGTAGCCTAAAACCGACTGCAGATCTAGGTTTCGATGATTCGCTTCCAGATGTAGGCGGGTCTCATTTCATATCGGAGACTGCACCAGTTCATAATGTGCTGCAGGCTATTCAATATATTCGTGATGGCATGTTCGAAGAACTTCCGGCACGCGCCGGAATGAACAGCACGCGCATCGCAGAAGTCCTCAATCTACGCCGATCTTTACCTCCACTCGCCTCTGTGGCCCATGTCCATACCCTCTTGGAGGCACCGACACAGGTGGAAAGGGATATCGTCGAGCAGATTCAGACGGGTCGGATTCGACGACTCATTATACCGGGTCGAGGCAATGATGCGGCAGGACTGGGCGATTGTTTGGTGCTAGCAGAGGATTGGGACAAGCTGGTGTGGGAAAGCCCGGCATTGGAACAACCAGTCAAGGGTAAGTTTTTCGAGTCAGGATTCTTTGGGCATCATGAACTGACGAGTTTGTAGAGAAATTCCTTGATATCCTGAAACGTATTGGGACCTCCTCGGCGATATCGCAGGGGGTCTTTACAACGGATGAGTACAGGGCCTTGCTCCGTGCCGGCTTTATTGTCTCGTCGTCATCTTACACTCAGGGCACATTAAGTATTGCATCACTTCCTAATCTACCTCAAATGGCGACCTCGTCAGCAAGTCGAAGCGAGTCTATCTCACACTCCGAGCGCCCCGTACAGTCAGCTGCCCAGGCTCGTGCGGCAACTCTGTTCTTGTCTCTTCCTAATACAGGAACATATCTTCGCTTGTTGGGTTCGGGTCGTGCACATCTGCTCGCTCTTCTCCTGCGGTCCGCTTCTGGCGAAGCCCCTCTCGGTCTGTTGAAAGATCGATGGGATGGAGCTGTTGAGACTGACAAGAGTTTCCATTTAGCCAAGCGAGCCCGTGGTGAGTTTGCAGGGATTCTGCCTGGTAAGACTAGAAAATGGAAAGAGCTATACGGGATGCACTTTCGATGGGTGCTAGAGGAAGCACTAGGCGCGGGACTTGTGGAGATGTTTGAGACTGGCAGCGTTGGACCTGGGATCCGCTGTCTATAGTCTCTCTATCCTTTACCTTGAATTTTGCGCCGGTATAGATTAATCAATAGGATCATACAGCTATTTGACAGATAAATTCATCAGGTCTACCCAGAAAATAGTTGTGTTCACCATGAGTCGTCTAAAAAAGCAACCTTCAAATTATCACATAATCTAGATCTGTGCAAACAAATAAGAAAGACATAATCTTGCCAAATTTTAATTTTCTTTCTGGCTTGTATTTTCTTCCTACTCTCCACCTCTCTCCATCTGCACATCTACTTTCTTCATCGCCAAGCCTTCTTCCCTCCATCATGCCGCTAATCCAACTAGAGCCACATCTGTTCACCAGCCTCCCCCGTCACCCAGATCTTCAAGGGGATGACAACACCCCAGATTTACGGGGGTTCATCCACGCCACCCTAGTTGAAGTTCAGCCTCTTCTTAACCAGTTCCCGTCAACATTGAAACCAGACTGCAAGCTGCGCTCTTCTCCGCCCTCAAAGGCACAGGTGAAACTTTCACGAGGATGGCGAACACTGCAATCCCCCCAAGAGGGCTCAACCCCCAAAAAGGAATTCTGGGTCTGTCGCCAAAGCGACCACCAAGACTCTAATCGTCTGCCTGGAACAGTTTCCCTCTGGGAATTCCACGACGGGTTGCGATACAACCATGCTGAGCACGAGATGGAGTACACACCCAGCGTGACGAGCGTAAAGCAACTGCTGAAGTGGAACGAGCCGAGAGAATGGGATCTCAACGAACCAATTACAGTCGGAGACATGAACTACAAGCATTTCGAGGTCGAACGTATGTATTAAAGTCCCCGAACACAGCTCATACACAAGGACAGCCCACTGAAACCCAAGCCCAGTCAATCTTATTGTCCACAGCTTCCATCCAAGCGCGCTAATCCGGCCGCGGGCCTTCATCTCCTGGACTATGTCGGCGACCTTCGCCAGCACACACCCAGCAAGCCAGTCCAACCCAGGCCACGGATTTATGACTGTACAGATTCCTTTCTATTTGACTAAGCCAATCATCCCGGGATCCCAGTACGAGGGACTCTACGCACAGATCATGGATGCCGTCCCGCAGCGCGCGGTCTTCGCTTACTATGCCAGTCTCGAGCGGGTTGAGCGTGTGCCGCCTCCTACCCCGCTAGCTTCCGGTCTGCCGTCTGCGGCGGATTCGAATAACCCTGCTACATCTCCTGATCGTTATCTTCGGTGGACTATGTTGACGACTTCTGAGGCTGGTGGAAAGATTCCTAAGTGGGTTCAGCGGAGCTGGACGCTGGGTGGAGTGCCGCGGGCTGTTGTTTCCGATGTGGGATTGTTTATTCGGTGGACTATCGAGCGGAGAGAGAGAAGATTGGAGCAGGATTCTCAAATGGGGGAGGGCTAACTTGTTGTTGGTCTATCGAGTGTCTTTCTCTACTTTCACTCTAATGTTATCTCAGATGATTTCAATGGCTGTGGATTATGATCATCATACAGAAACCTCAAAAGGCAAAGGCAGATAGGTACAAAAGAAGAATTTGTTTCTTTGTAAGACATCTGAGCTCATGGGATCACACTGTGTATGTATCTTTCAAACATATATTCTCAATAATAATTTCACAGACAAGCCTTACCAACACCGAAAGCCTGCAACGCAGCAGATATACCAATGACAATGGCAGTGTCATTGATACCATGCTTAGCGTACCAGACAGAGCTAGCCCATAGCATGACATTCGCGATCCCGGCGATGGCTTTGCTCAGTGTGTCCTGGAGCAGACTGGGATCTCTCGACCATTGCCAGTGAAGAAGACCTGTTGAGGATAATGATTAGAAGTTGACTAGGAGAGATGAGACTATGAACCTACCAGTCAATAGAAGGAAACCACTTCCCTGTTAATAGAAACCGAGTAGGACAGTCAGTATAAAGCAAAATAGGCGTGATTGATATTGACACGAGACAAGGCCAATGTTCAACGCACCTGGTACCACCCCAGAGTCCCACAAGCCCACGGGTTCGTGCCTGCGATAGCTTTGAATCTTGGGTCGGCTGTCCATTGTCTGCCCTTGATCTACGTAACAATCAATATGGTTCATTAAGGGGTTCTGGGGTTCTGAGGTTGGGAAACAATACCGTGTGTCCAATGGAAAGCAACACAAAGGATGCGGCCGATGCCTGCAGGAGTGTGGGAGACATTGTCAAAGTTGTTATGTGCAGAAGGAATTCCGAGAGTTGTCGGTTCGAGATGTGTACGGAGTACTGGTTGTGGAGTATATGGCTCGAGGGTCTTTGAAGTGCCTCGGCTCAATTGTGGGGTGTGAAGATGCCCCTTATGACGCGATGGGTGGGGATATATACCGGAGACATTATATTTTATTATACTATCCTACTTCATTCGTCTTTACTCTCAACCGAAGATAAATACTTGATATCTATGAATATATATTGAAGAGGGGAACGCTCTAAGTAGTATGCTCTTTTGGCATACAGGTCGATTCAGCACTCGTAATTCGGCCATACCAACCGGAGCATATAAAAAGAATCGGGACGGTAGTCGAAGAAGTGAATTTAGAGAGGTGTAGGAGTATGTATTTTCAATCTATAACTATCTACTACTTATAACCTCTATATATTAGCAAGTCTGTCTATCAAATTATACTTTTCGGCTTCCCAACCAAATTTTCATCTATTTCATTCTGGTTTTCTCTATTTTCGGCGTGTTATGCCAGCAGCGGAGACATTCTGCTCGCACAAGATACCAACTTTCTTTGGCGGCTTCATAAAACATAAGATATAATAAATCTGTCCGTTAGGATCATATGAACAAAGGTGGCTGGTGAACCGCATCCGGATGTCAAATTGAGAGTGGTAAGTACTCATACTCAGTGATGAAACAATACAATACTGCATGGCCCATCACCACTTGGGGTGCATACTGATAAAGTTTTTGTTTATTCGTACAGTATCCGTCATCCAGTGAGAATGCATTTTGCTAGAGAGCTGTTCCTAACATGTTGTTTCAATCCAAGGAATAGCATAATCTATTTTACTTCAACTTCCTTTCCATACTACTACATTCAAGCCGATGATTGTCTCCCCTTTATGCCTCCAGAGCCGATGCTGCGTTGATTAATAATTCAAACTACTCACCGGGGCCCGAGGTCCGTGACCGGCTTCATATAACTTGCAACAGTAAATTCAGATCATTAGAATAACACTACTTTAAAATTTTTACGATTCACTAGAGAGTAATTGCTGTCTAACGGTATGATTGATATGATGTCCAATGCCGGCAGACGTGCTGACTAGATCGGAAAGATGAAACCATTTCGCCTCTATCAGATCGACTCTTTCACTCGTGAGCGGTTCACCGGCAATCCCGCTGGGGTTGTACCAGATGCTACAGGCCTTTCCGATGTGCAAATGCAAGCAATAGCGCGGGAAATGAATGTTTCCGAAACAGCCTTCATCTTCCCCGACAATGCTTCATCGGACATGACAGTGAGGTTTTTCACGCCTACAACTGAAGTTCCAATTTGTGGCCACGCCACCGTTGCTGCCCACTGGGTCCGCGCTTACGAGGGTGCAGCAGACGGCACTTATAATCAGAATACCGGGGCGGGAATTTTGCCAGTAGCGATTGAGCGCGGCAATGGCGGCGCAACACGAATATGGATGACGCAAAGGCCTGCTGAGTTCAAGGCGCCCGTTGAAGATACGGTAAAGGATGAAATCCGTTCTGCTCTGGGTGTTGCAGAGCTCTCGGCGATCGGGCCCGTTCAAATCGTTTCTACCGGCCATAGCAAAGTCATGGTGCCGCTACCTTCAATTTCCATCCTGCAGGGACTGAAGCCGGATCTTGCCGCGCTTTCTCGCATAAGCGAGCAGATTGGCTGCAACGGCTTCTTCGCTTTTGTACTAGCGGATCCAGCTGAGGACGTCTTCGCGCACGGTCGGATGTTCGCTCCTGCGATCGGCATCCCAGAAGACCCTGTAACGGGTAATGCGTGTGGCCCTCTAGGCGCTTATCTCGTCCAGCACGGGATTGTCGCTTTGGATGAGGGAAAGAAAGTTGAGATTACTGTGCGTCAAGGCGAAGCCATGGGTCGACCTGGCCTCGTGAATACGGAAATTCGCCGCGTGGGCGGCACGCTCGGGGTTCGCATCGCAGGCGAAGCTGTTCTTGTCTTTGCTACGACGCTTGAGTTATAGAAGGCACTAGTCCACTGCGATGGCGAGATAACTTAACATGAATGTTTTATAGTTGTGCTGTGGACCGGGTGTCGGAGTATAACTATATTCAAAATACAAATAGGTCTAGGTTAGGCCTAGGTTGAGAGGTTTCGACCTAGACCCAGACTGGGTTGGGTTTTGGTCGAGACCGACCTAAAATGGGTCGTGCGGAAGTCGTAAGTCTTATAAACGAGGGAAAGGAGCAAGTGATATAGCTAAGTATTCTATAGTGACAATTATATTCCGTATACGTAATAAACATAGCGACTAGAATCGCTTAGTCTACTAAATAGTAGTTGATCTATCCGGCCTATCTCCAATAGAGCGAATAACATCTAACTAGTTAAGAACAATGCTTATATAATAAAACTGCAAAAAGAAAGGAAGGGCAGGTAGGACTAATACGTAGTGAGCACTATGTCCCCCACTACAATATATATACGAGGTAAAGGGGGGTTGTTGACCCCTGGGTTTGTCTGAAAATGCAGGAGAGCAATAAATTGGCTAGACCATACTATAACCCCTGTCAAGAAGATGATCCGCAGCAATACTCAGGCAATAATCCTTGTAGAGCCCTGTTGCAGGAGCGTAAGTGAGAAACCCCAAAACTCGATGATCGGTGTTCCAAATGGCGGAACCACAAACACCGTCCACCAGGTCATGAGCCGAGTCTTGTCCCATATAGCTCCATTCAGTTTTGATCCATAATTCCTGCTCTTGGTCGTCAGATGGAACCCGCATGATATTTTTAGACATAAGCTGGCCATTGACAAGGCCGAAAAAGGGGCTATCAAAGAAGACCAAATCCTGCCGTTTTATTTCTGCAATTCGAATGAAATTTCCGAGGCGAAAGGGACTTTCTGTCAAGGTATTTCCAAATGGTTCATTCACGAACTCTACTCCATAACGGAGCTTCATCAATGCGATGTCCGTATGAGGGAGCTCTGTGGTGATTTCGCCGATCATTGAGCCACCGGGATATGGATGGCAAACGTTTTTATCGAACGGGAACCCATGAGCAGCAGTGGTCATATATGTAGAGCCCAGAAGGTCTTTGACGAGGACACCCGAGGACGAACGCATTGATTCGCCTTCGGGATTTGGGACGGAGCTGACCATCACGCCTGGTCTTAGCGTAGCGTATTGAGAATCATCCGGTGTCATTCTGTGAAGGATGGGCGGAAACCCAGTCACCTCGGGCGAATTCGATCTCGCGTTTAGCGTACTGGTATTCTTCTGACAACTCATCCATTGAGCAGATAACGCGCGAGGTCTATCCATATGGTGCTCTGAAAGATATAAGCAGGTGCAACGGGCAAAAGAGCGGGGAATGGACCTCAGAATGCGATCCATAAGAACCTCATCCTGGTCAATTTGTTGTTCAAGAACTATGACGACAACGTAATCCCACACTTGAATTTCCGTGATTGGGATTGAGCTTTTGCGAAAAAGCGGCGTAACAAATCGGATATTGGATCCAGTGAAGCATCATTGTCCCTGAGGTTGAGATCTGGGGAGATATGAATCCGAGAGCGACTGCGGTAGCGAAATGGAATGACCGGTCCCTCGTCATTTGGGTCATCTGTCAAGTAGCACAGAACACCTGCAACTCGTTTTGGCCAGGGTTTTGGTGGCAGTACTTGGACACGAAAAATCAGAACCCTGTCATCACATTCAACTACTTGCGTGGTGGGAAAAATGTCCACCAGTAACTTGAAATTCTGACTAAAGAACTCCGATGTGGATGCGCGAAGGTGAAATGGGAGGATGATCTCGCGAGAATCCGCTAACTCCAGTCTTGGTGAGATGAGACGCACCTCTTGTGTGAATGGGGAGGCCATTATATGGTACGAAGGAACAGATCAAGGAGAGTCTTGAGGGTATTTTAGAAAGATGGATGGCGTAGGAGGAAGAGATAAAAGCAGATGGAAACAGCACAGAGGCGATGAAATGCGGTTATGACCAGGCAATGGATGATGAGACGGATGGAGAGAGATGGGAGTCATATTAAGGTAACCACCCACTGGGGCCATCCGTGGATCCATGGATATATGGGCATCTACAAGAATTTAAGGAAGGTGCAGGGGAAGTATAACTTGAAGATATAGTCACTAAAGTAGTCTTTTGTTGGTCTTTCTTCATGTCTTTCTTGGTGTCTTTTTTGATGTCTTTTTTGATGTCTTTCTATATACATTTGCTACTGGCACCTAGGCAATGCAAGGGCAAGATATGTTCGCGCAACATGACGTAGATGTAGAACAAGAAAGATCAAATGCGTCTTACTGAGTCTAAACAAGATCGTCTTGGGTGTTCCACAGCTTCTAGACAATTTTTGTGAACGTTATCGTGTATGTTGAGCGTATTTATATAGGACATCCAGCGGCAACACGCACTCGACCTAGCGACTGCCAGGAAAAGGATGCAGTACTACTTGAACAACTTGACGCCCAGCCAGGAGCCTTTGTCGACGCTTTCCAATCTTAAGACCAAAAATCACCTCTACTCCGTGGCTACAGAGGATTACTTCGTCGCATAGAAAAAAAAAGAGAAACAAAGTCTAAACTCCTTAAACAGCTGGATTAGAACCAGATATCTCAATCGATATTAGAGCACAAGAATGACGGGTTCGTGTGTACATACACACCCATTCTTGCCGACTCTGGCATCGATTAAGAGTACATATGTATGTATTCTACAATTCCTGGAGCGGATATGCCTCGGTCTAGAACCAACCCTTGTCAGGCCTAAGGGCATATACATAGTTCGCTCCTGTACAGCGATAACATATAGACGATGAAGCTGCAAAAGACCGAGAAAAAAGAAAATTGAGAATAATTACAATGCACATCGTAAGGATAGTGCCTGCTCCCCAATGAGAAGCATCTACCTATCAACAATTATGTCGTACCCATTCATCTGATTGAAGAGTATATTATCACTAACTAAGTCGGGAATAGCAGCATTACAAATAAAAACTCCAAATCCAGCGTAATCCATGCACATATCCAAACACAATCACATGATTCCATCTTTGACATGGAATCGACAATAGGACACAGGGGGTCCAGGTCGCGGTTCGGTGAGAAGCAACATTTGAATGTTCTCCATTCCATCGCGATGTCAGACCATTTTTGTTTGATACGCCAAACTCCTTCGGCTGTTCAAAAAAGAAGAGGGGGGAAAAGGACACACTTTGCAGCGCACTCCAAATATGAATAAAGTAGGCTAGAACGGAAAGGCTCTCCCGGGTGATATGACTCCGGTGGTAAAGGGGAAAAAAAGGAAAAAAGTAATGGGGCATAGAAAACACCGACGCCGGCGACTGTCGGTATGGTGATCGTGAGGGCATCAAGTTTGACCCTCGAAGGAGGATGGGATAATCAAGACGTATGGACAAAGGGAAGAAGGAGGGGAGGGCATAACAGCCAGTTCACGTGGCTGATGGTCAGCCATATCGTACACGCTAGAACCACACCCAAGAACGTATCACCGCGGTCCAGAATTATTCAGGTTTACTTCCACCGGAGCCGGGGGCACCGAGTTGGACGACGCAACGTGTGCCCGTAAAGTGGCAACTTCAGTGCGCAAGCCTGTCAACTCATCGTGCATTGTCCGCACGTATGCCCAAAGCTTATCGACTTGGCTGGCCTCATTGGAATTGGCATCCGGCCCATCGAATCCCTTGAGATGAGATAGACTGTGGGTACTGGAGTGGCTGTGCGAAGGAGTGTGCTTGGTTGCAGCTTGCATGCCAAATCGAGCATCCGGGGAGGTCATACCGGGCGGCGGAGGCAGCTGGGGCGCGCCTGGCTGCGGCAGAGGCAAGCCTAATGTAGGTGGTGCGTGGTTCGAAGATTGATTCGATCGCCCGAAAGAGGACTGCGGGTGTGGCAAGGACTGTCCCATACCGGGAGAGTGCGAGCGATGTGGCGGTGCACTATCATGTTGCGATGAGAGAGCGTTCGGGGACAGGGGCTTAGGGCTGTCACTGATACTGTTGGAAGGGAAGATAGACGAGCTCGAGGTGAGTCCAGCAGGCGGGAAAGTCATGTGTGACTGCGAAGCTGATGTTGACACTCCTGATCCACCATGATTGGGTGGGGGTGGGAAAAGGTGGCTGGGACGACCGGCGGCAATTGGCGGGTAGGTATTTGACTGGCGGGAGTGAATTGAATCAGACCGAGCAACTGTATCTGCCTCGTGCTTGCGGATACTCGGCATGGTCATTCGTCGCTCGTCTTCTTCGTCCATGCGCTCAGGCTCTGCTGTGTACATCAACCCATCCATGTCGTCGGGTCCGCCAGTCGTACCATCGCCATACTCGTCGTCTGCCGCAAAGCTGCCCATACTCGCGCGTCGACCTGCGCAGCCCCCCTGTCCTTTATTGTGCCGAGCAAGCGCATCACCTCGAGCGAAACGACGTCCACATTTAGGACAGATGTGTGGTCGCTCGCCAGTGTGCAGCTTTGCGTGGCGCTTCAAATCGTGCAATCTTCGGAAACGTGACTGGCAGGTTTGACAAACGAAAGGCTTTTCCTGGCTGTGGGTGAGCAGATGGCTCTTGAGGTTATGTTGCCGCGTAAATTCTGTCGCGCAGTATGGGCAGCGGTGTTTCTTCGCCGATGGAGAGCGAGGACTGCCTCGATTGTAGCCTGCGTTCGGTAGGCTCAATCCGCGACGCGGATCATTAATATTACCCGTAGGCATCGGGTATGAGAATGCTTTGCCATCGTGGTCGATCTCGGAGTCATCGCGCGACCGTCGATCTCCATCCTGAGAAGTGGATTCTTCAATAGGACCAGGGCTAGCTACCGTCGAGGAATGCATTAGTGAGTTGTGATGATGATCGTTCGATCCGTAAGGGTCCGAGGGCGATTCGGTCGCGTGCGAGTCGATTTGCATATTCTCCGGGGATGCATGGACTGAATGATCATGAATCGGGGCACCTGGCGACTTTTCGCCTGCACCCAGAGCCTCCCGGGCCACCTGCGAACTGTTTCGTTCAGCGTCCTTCTCATGCTCCGGTCGATCCGCCGGTACTGATGTTGGACTTGTCATCGGAGGAAGTTGATCTCTTGATCGCGAGACGTGTAGGCCGGCGCTGGCAATCGAGCTCAGGCTTTCGGGTTTGGAGGATTTAAACAAAGAGAGGGGTTCCGAGCTAGTGATAGTGTTTCCGGATAGTGAGTTGGAGGCGATGGGCTCGTTGTTCGACATCAACGTCGCCATGGAGAAAGAAGGTTTCGCGCCAGCCTCAAAGGGTGGACGAGCAAAGGCGACAGCTACTTTAGATGCCATGTTAGGATAATGTAAGGAGGATTGGTGGGGAAAAGGAACTTGACTAACTTTCATCCACCGGGATATATCAAAGATGTCAAGCAGGCGAGGTTGGGGGGAAAGAGAGTGAAGACCAGGGCGTGTGGGGCGTTTCTCACGAGTGTGGCGCAAGCTGACGAGTGGTTTCAGCTTCAGACTTGTCAAGATCCACCTGAATGATCCCAGGGGCTAAGGCCTTTAAAATAGCGATCGGGGAATGAGTGGATGAGATTCAATGGCCATCTGAAGTTTGGAATGGGCGCAGGAACAAATTAAGACAGAGAGATGGAAGAATTCAAATGGTGAAGACAGAAAAGTGGATGGTAACGAACATAGTTTTCATACCACACCATTTACCGTCTAAGGTTTCGAAGGCAAAAAAGAACACAAAGAGAGTGAACTGAACAGAAACCAGGCAGGGGATGATATGTTTGGTGGGGACTGGAGAGTCGAGGCTCTGGAGACATGAACCCTGAGGGAGTGAAGTATTGAGTACCTGGTGTTATACTATAAATACCGTGTGTTAACAAGTATACAGTACCTCATTATGATTGAGGCTGTGTAGACCGCTAACACTTTGTGGCTGGCTCGTGGGGCACTTCCTGCGGCTGACCTTCTCTTCTTCTCTTCAAGAGTACACGTTGCCTTATATTTTACATTTCACTTACAGAGCACAACCTATCTTGTATGATCTACATCTTGATGAGGCTTACGGAGTATAAACAGGATAAGATCATGTCCAAGGTATTTCTTTGTTACAATGGCCTTGGTATGGAGTGCATATCCAGGACGACGGGGGCAATCGGAGTGATGTCACCCCGGAGACCCGCGCATAATATACAACATATTGTATACGATACATTCCAATTTCAATTTACTGGAACGCCTGATCTTTTGGAGATCTGCAGATCAAGTGGAGATGCCTTGTATTGAGGCTTTCTACGTGTGTTCTTCGCCATCTGATGTACCCACTAGGTAGTACATACGTGGATGCAGACTCTACGGAGTATGTAATAGGCCTATGTACTCCGTAGGTCCCGACCCATTGGCCACCGACCACTTAGATCTTTTAATTACATTATTATGTCCCACTGCCCAAGAGTACCTTGGTAATTCAAGGCGCAACACATTTGCTGCGCCATGTTGCAGGCAATGTACTATGTACTTATAACGTTGTAAGTTGAAGACGCCTCGGGTGGCTCGGGGGGATCGACCTCCACGCAGAGCCCCATAGAACAGTACTACGCCGGTCATGCTAAATATGTACATACTATGTAGGTAGTCTCAAAGGTATATAGATCTATAAACATCTAGAACATACCATTTATTTTAACCTGCAATGGTTGAAAGGTAGATCTAATCTACATACAACACATTACCCACGGATTTAGGAACCAAGGAACCCCCCGTGGAGAGTCCTCGGGGCCTTCCAACGTTGTCCAATCCTCTACGGTTGCTTACTCCACTCCCAAAAATAGCCTGTGGCTGATACTTGGAATTCCCTATATATTATTCTAGATGCCTGCATGAAACGCGAACCATCATGGCCAAGTCTAGCAAATAAGTTGCATTGTTTCCGTCGACTCACGTACTCGAGAGGGTTGATATTCCACCCACGGTGGCGTTAAGACTTTCCATCAAGCATTGACTATGCCACAATCTCAATCAGGTAGCTTCTATAAGAGGTACGATTGAACATCTGTTTTCGTTACGCCAATCATCATCCGAAACATGGCGTTCTTCTTGCGGAATAGATGTCCATCGTGCAGTTGCCACTCCCTAAAGCCCCTAGGGGCTGCTGAAGTTTAATGCGGACAATACCTTTTGATCTTAACATGATAGTACTTCCAGAATTCGGCCTCACCACCTACACTCCGTGATCGATTCTCGAACCCGAATTCTAAGATCAACTATGCTATATTAAAGGGAGTTCTGGAATCGTAATTTTCCTGTGAATTTGGAAATACCCTAATCAATACTACTCATGTCTCGCTAACTAGTGTATGCGTAAGGCACAGCTACGTGACCTCGCGATCCGGATCAATCCCGCCAATAGAAACACAGTTGTTGCCTGCTCACCGTCTCCGCGGGCAATGCCTCACTCCTCCAGCGCTCAGGTCTCTACAATCATTGACCTCTTGTCTCTACTTATGCAAGCAACGATCGCTGTCCTTGTGTCCCTCCCAAATGGATCCAATTATTGTTATCGCGGTCATTGACTTAACATATAAGTACGTCGTACTAGCATATAAGTACGCCGTGATAGCAAGGTTTACTTACCCTGCTTGGGAAGGTCTCACTCTCCATCGCCTGCGCAAGAATAATGGCAGCCTACACCCGAAGTTCGGAATGTTACAGGCATTAGCACTTATAACAATATTTCCTGACGCGAAGCAAATCGTGGATCGAGTTGAAAAGTATGTGCTCGGTGCCAAAACAGACGAGGTAATGGTGTTACGAAAATCAAGATCGGAAGATCGCACAATGCTGGCTGTTGCTGCATGTTTAGAAATCTCTCCTAATCAATTCCAAACCTTAAAAGGTGTTTCTAATGTACTCACAGGCTGCTACTGTGGCGCAAGTTGCCATCACAGCCTTAGCACTTGAAGACATCAACAAGGTCCATTGGACTGCAGAAGCTGCATTTGTGGTCAGCTTGACAGCTGGAGATCTATCGTTCTTTTTTTGCTTGCTTAGTGCAACAAAGAATGAGCAGCTTTTTCACCACGGATGATATCAAAGACTTTTTCAGCAAGCCTAGCAGTTCAGAAGAGCTTCGGCTCCTCGAGCAACATCTGGATCGTTTGGTATCAGAGATACGGAAGAGAAATTCCAGTGGTGAAAGGACTATGAGACACGAAAAAACAACAGAACTCGAATCGACCATCAAGCAGTTTAAGAGCAAAAATAGATGGAGATCTGCTTCCTTTTATTCTATCCTTACGGTGAAGGCACCGACCCTTCTTTTGAAATATGCACTAGCATCTTTTTTTACTGGACTTGGTATCTACTTTGGATGTTTAGCACTTAGCGAAGTGGGTTCTCAAAAGCCTCAAGGACGCAATCTCGCAATCTTCATGGTCTACATTATGACTAGCTTTTTTGGCCTTATAATCTATTACGTGCCGTCTACATTGAAGCAATTGGAGTTGTCATCAGCCCGTCGCTACGCACAAATCAGGGCCAACGAACTTGCTGGGGATCCATACCAAGAAGAAACGGACATTCTTCGAAACATCAGTGTATTACTGAATTCAGAAGAGCAGGAAGTCAATAGCGAGCATCAATCTGATGATGCTATATCTCGGGAAAGAAGTCTTGCGGGCATGGATAGACCTCAACACAATCATACGCATGATCTTCCGGCCTAACGGTCAAACGAAAGCACCAAAGAGATTATACTAGCTTCAACCAATCCGCCCAGGAGAAATGAAGAATTAGCTGGCCGGACGGAGATAGAAATTTAGACTGACGGAGAGAAGCTGGAGATAATACGAGAAGAGAAGGCGAAAGGGAGCGAAGGATACCGATACCGAGGCTCCTCTTGATTGGACCGACATGCTATATCTGCAGGCTAAGTGACGTTCCTGCGGCTACCAATCTCAATATTCACGCATACAGCGATAGAAAGAAAGTATCGTACTTATTATATCTAGCTCGGCAGATTCTATATTATCGAAACCTTGAATTGGAAGATGAGAATAGGGTATGAGAAGGTAATTAAAAAGGACCATTCACTTTCTATACCAAAAGTAAGACGGAATGCTGGAGAGATCTCCTAGAAAAGCTAGTGTTAATGTGAGGCAGAGCACTATCACGGGTGTGACCCGGTCTGCTTCGAAGGAGAAACCTTGCAAAAATAGCCTGTGCACAGACCTTCACCTTTTCCCCTCTCCAACATCTCAAACCCCTAATATCCAAGGGTGCTTAATCGAGTTATATAACTGGGCCTCGAATTTGGGTTGACCGGGTACTTTCGTCCAGTCGTTCACATCTTCCCTGTTTCCCACGGACCGCTCCTTCATCTCACACACTAAAGCGGTTCTGCATTCCGTGTGGTTGGACGATCGGCGGATTAGCGCCGGGCTGGGGGTGACGGAGGTGCATTGTGAGGAGCAAAGATGGCCGCTACTCGATCTCACTGGCCCGTTACTCCACTGTGACAAGCTTGGCTGATCACTTCCGCCGGCCAGTCACACTCCCCTCTCAACGCCTCGAGGTACAGTGCACTTGCAGCAAGAGGGCTTGACTGGCTTTGGGTCTTCCAATCATGCCCCTGGTCGCTGCTGCAAATTCCCCCTCGGCGCTTACTCTGGCCCGACTCAAGTGACGAGAATCAAAAGCCTGCATTTTGGTCCCCCCGCCTCTCGGACCATGCCAGCACTCGAACATTATTGATATTCAAGGTGCCCAGGCCGGTTCCTGTCACTTTCTGATTATCTTCATTTTTTTTTTCGTTTTCGATCACCATCTGCTGTTTAATACCCGTGTACGCAGGCCTCGCACACGGTATCGGTGATTTACTGCAAACCTGATATAGTTCAGCCGTTGTCCCACCACACTTGTGGTTTTTGGTGTATATTCGACTCGATTTAGGGTCGTTTATTCCCAGCAGCCAGTCTTGTGGCCATCAAGTCGAGAGCTGGTTCTCTTGACCTAATTGTTTGATTCATTTGCCTGCATTGCTCATCGATTCAATGGCGGTATCAGACGATAGCCGAGAGCACTCTCCTCTGACCTACGAGCCCGTTGTGCCTGAGGATCTCACCCGTGCCTCTTATCACAGTGCAATGGGTCCTCCACCACAGCACGCCGTGCGAGAGACTCGCAGTGGCTCTGATACGAGCAATGCCTCGCTCAAGAGTCCGCGCACTGCTCGATTCGCCGAGGCCACATCAATTCACTCTCCCATCGATCGCACAGAAGCTGGACGATCACCCTTCGCCGACCCTCCCAGGACTCAGGCGAGGGGAGATGTTGGAGATGTGGGATTCGGTTACGTGGCAGCGAACAATGAGCATGCGAATGACCAGGTGCCAATGTCACCTTTCCGACCTGACCTGAAGGTGCCGCAGACAGCCAAGTCATTGAACCCGCTCAGTCCAACTTTCCGCGAGGAGTACTTGCTTGAGAAGCAAGAAAAGAAGGCTGAAGTCGAGAATGCCCGAGACCTGGTAAGAAAGCCGCCCCACGATGTCGATCAATGCAATTTACTAATTGTAACCAGAGAATCAAACTCCGCGTCCGGATCGCCAAGGTCTTTCTGCGTTTCGTCAACTTCGGCTGCAGTCTGATCGTGTTGTCTCTGCTAGCCGTGACATTGACTGTCTTCAACGCAACCAAGCACCTGCCCACTCGTAATAGCCTTCCTGCTTGGGCAGAGGGCACCAACCCCTGGGCCCAGTACCTCCTTCTTGGCATGGCTTGCGTTTCCTTGTTCGCCTGTCTAATCGTGTTCTGGGCCTACCGAAAGGGCGGCCACGGACGCGCCGAGAAAGCCGCCGTCTACTACACCAGCTTCTCGATCGCCTTCTTCGCCGTGAACCTGATCATGTGGATCGTTGGTGCAGCAGTCTACCAGCACTCCAAATCCACAGGAAACAACAAGGACATGTGGGGATGGTCCTGCGCGCAGAACACCCGCGAGCAGATCTACCACAACAGCGTCGACTATGCTCTCCTTTGTCGTCTACAAGATTGGGGCCTCGTCTGCGCCATCATCGAAATCGTCATCGAAGTCCTAGTGATCCTGATCTACGTGGTAGTCTTCTACCGCGTCTGGAGCAAGCGCAAGCTGATGAAGTCCATGGACACCCGCGACAACGCCCGTTCAGATCTATATCTCGCCCAGCTGCGCCTGCAATCCGCCCCGAACACCCCCGGCTTCGCAGGCTTTGCTTCCTACCCTCCCAAGTCCCCTTTCTACGCCGCCGGTCCTGTGGACCCCTACTCGGCCGCTGAGAAGGGCCAGGCTCAACCCCAGACTACTCAGTATGCCTCACCGCGCTCGCCTACCCGCCCTACCCCATCCTTCCAGCTCCAGCCGCCTCCTATCAAGGTCCAGCAGCCAACCCCGCAGACTGCCCAGGAGGAGTTCGCTCCTCCTTCCCATTACTCGCAGTCGCCGCCTCCTCACAGCCAGCGCCAGAGTCCGCCTATGAATAGGGGTAGTGCTCCCGGTGAGCGCACCTACGATTCCGTCCCGATTCCTGGAGCTTACCAGAGCCCTATGGTACCGGCGTTCCCTGCCCCTGTACGCAAGTAAATGTGGATGACTGCAAGATTGCCTTTTTCTTTCTTTTGACTTGGCGTGTTATGATTCGATTACATTTTCCCTTGTGGAAAATGAAAGTGCTTGAAAACAATGAAAACATAAAAAAAAACGTCGAAAATCCGAAAACTACAATACAGGCCGTCACTTTCGATTGATCTGCTTCAAAATTGGACACTTGTTCGACCTTTTTTTGTTTACCCCCTCTCCTTGTTATGGAGTTTAATGTACACCCTGGGGCACGTGGAGTTTTGGTGTGAGATACAGATACCTATTTGGACTTTGGTACACTGTTGGTGTATTTACTCTCTTTATCTTTGGTTTTTGTCCAATAAATGAATATACTGCAATGATACATATGAATGAACTCCTTACTCCTTACCGACTTTCATCTCAACACCGTAGCTATAGAATTTTGGCATGTGCCGGCATTCAACACCAAGGTGCTGAACTGATCCTACCTTAACTTAAGACTACTTGGGTATTGCACTAGAAAATATGTATGTGAAATCATTTGAATTTATCCAAACAAAAGAAGTAATCCAAAGAGGCAAAAATACCCAAGAGCGCCGTTCACTGCGAACAGGAAAAAGCAAAACCACAACGCCGCAAGGATCTACCAAGTCACACCGTCCTGTCCATCACTCGTGACCAACATGCATATCGTAGTGCTTCTACCCATGTCAACTGTACATGCAACTAAAAAAACCAAGGGTATCACATTCCTCCTCCCTCTTCGATGATGGCGTGAGTATCCCTAGTTACGAAGATCTCTTCCAGGGTAGCCGCATCAGCGCCCATTTTGCTTAGATCACTCTCGAGCACGAGACCCTGTTCGTTGGCAAGATGCAGAAGACAAATAAATCCGAATGAGGTGCTGATATCGCGTAGGGTCTCAGCCGGGTAGACTGCCTTGAGGGAGTTCATGATTTGCGTGAACCGTAGCCGGCCAGCATCCTTGCCACCGACAGGTTGCTCTGGGCTCTCGGCCTTGGGTGTGGGCGGGACAGGGGCATCCGATTCACTCTCGGGTTCGGTCGGAGCCTCACTGGAAACGGCCCCTGGCTGTGAAGCTGAGGCGAAGTCCACGGCATCGACCAGGCGCTCGCCCATGCCCTTCCACATCTCTGTTTTGAGGCGCCGAACGTCAACCTTCTTTGCGACACGTGCATATGCCACGTAGTCTGGTCGTGCACGACGACCACCTTGTGTCACTAATTGTGATCCGTAACCGCCAGCTCCCGGTCGGCCAGGCGTGGCGCCAACCATGTTCAATAGCGCGCTGAGTCCAGTTGCTCCACCTGCTTCTCCAGCTGATGTGCCTTGAGGCCCGCCTGCTGGTGGAGAAAGCATCTCCCGGGCATCTGCGAATGGCAGATTGTCGTCGTCATCAAGATCCATGCCGTTCGGGAAAGCAAGACCATCGTCATCAGCAAAGAAGTTGGCATCATAGGCACCAGCAGCACCTTCCTCGCCGGCGTTTTCTTCCGGCTTGCGATTTGCCCAGAACGCCTCATCCATGTCTCCATTACCAGCCGTCAAATCCTGCCGACGGCGTTTGCCCAAAATCTTCTTTGAGCCCATCTTTGCCTTTGGCTTGAGGAACAATGTGAGTAGGTTGCGAGAGTTGAAGTGCTTATCGTCAGGAAGAAGGTTGCGGCCCTTTGTCTTCCACTGCGTCTTGGGTAATGAGACGGCCGAGTTGGAGCTGGCCGGGGTGTAGATCAATTCTGCGACAGCAGGATCCAGAGGGGCAGCAAAATTAATCTCAAAAGGCTCTTTCTCTTTGCGCGGCTTGGGCGCCGACGTAGCGGGTGTTGCATGCTCTTTGATTCTTCGAATCTTCCAGTGTTCTGGGCCAGCCCAGTTCTTCTGTAGCGCGTTGTCAAAGTAGCTCAGAATGTTTTCGTGGTCGTGACTATTAGTTTGATGAGACATAGAGATGGCATATGCGTCTTCATCGCCATCATCGCCCTCACCATCATTATCTCCATCGTGGGCGACCCGGTGAACATTCAACATTGGTTCTAAGGCGGCTTCCCGAGCCCATACCTCTCCTCCGTCACCAAATCCAGTGTCGCCGCTGAGATCAAATCCGGCTAGGGTAGCATCATCGTCATCAAACCCGACAGCGTTGTCGTCGTCGAGCATGATACCAGATGGGTCGTCAGGTGCTCGTCCGTCTTCGTCCATCTTGTCTTGCCGCCATTCCTCTGGTGCTTTGAGGAGAGGGAGATCTAGCGACCCGCTGGGATCACCCAAGTCGAGGTTTTTGAGCGATGGACAAATATCTTGTTCATCGAGACGATCCAAATCCGGGAAAAACTGGCTCGCTAGTGTGGCAAGATCGATCTCTGTATTATCTTCAAAGGTGTCGCTTGCGGGTTTCTGGGTTGGTTTCGTTTGGTCCTCGGTCTGCTGTTCTGGATTCGTAGACTCTTCACGGTCATCTTCGGCGGTTTTGGCACTATCGTCCACAGCATCGTCGCTGCTGTCGAACACAATTCTTCCATGGCTATCAATAGCAAGGTGGTTCAGAAGCAAGCCCTTGGCGCCTCCTTCATCAAAGTCTGCCGATGCTTTCTTGAATAGCGGGTCCACGGCGAACTCTAGCTCGAACTTCTTCAGTTGCAACGACGAGAATGACGGCGCGAGGGTAGCCTCATGGGAACGTGTCTAGACACCATCCAGTTAGTAAAATCCTAGATCTCTGACACCGTATAGAACCATACCTTTTTTCGAGACTTGCGAGGTTGGCCATCCTCGCCTTCCTCATCCTCATCGCCATCTTCTGCCTCCTCCCCGCGCCCTCTCTTATCGCGGCTATCAGCCAGTCCACTCAGAAGTTTCCCTGTCTCTGTTGCGACACTGTCCACTCGGCTGGTGTAGATCTTAACACAACCGTCAAGAGTGCAACTGGCCTTTTGGAAGTTTACACCATCTCCTTCCTTCAGCAATGACATGTCGTGAAAGTAGTCGATCAGCGCAAAGTTCCAGGAGTTATTCGCATTGATTTTGTTATCGGTCGCCATCTTCATCCACTCTTCAAAATTGGCCAGGATAGGCACGCGCTTCATCGGCGTCACTGCGCGGCCATTGACATCGCTAGTGCGGCCGCGATGACCCGAGGGTCGAGGAGTTGTGGGACTTTCGCTCCCTTCGCGGTCTAAGGTGTATCGACGGGGTGGCATAGGCGTCTTGACTGCGGCTTTAATCTGACTCATTTGGCGATCATGAATCGCCTGACGAGCCTCCATGCGCGCTGCCTTCTCGCCCTCATCGTCGTTGAGGGGAATCCTAATATAATCAGTTGAATGTCATAACCAGGAGATATCCAGATACGTACTTGACCGGAGAGTTTTTGTGCGGGGTCGAGTTGCCGTTAGAACGACGATGTATTTTGTTTGCGACACGCGGCATGGTTGCGGTTGCCCCCGATAGGGGATGGCGATAACAGCGTTGAAATGGAAAGTTCTATGGAGAGAGGGGTTGATGTCGATGAAGCAAAACAAATGGGGAAGTCAACAAACATACGGCGGTCTAGGCGTACCAATGACGCACTCTCTGTCACGTAATCATGGACTATGGATGCCTGGAATATCAGGTCGCATGTTCTACCCAATCCGGGCTTACCTTTGGTTGTTCATTCTTTTGAACCTTCAGCAGTGAATTCTTTAAATCTTTGATTCCTACTCCTGCTTTTTCACCATCTCATCTTGTATTAATTACAGTTATCCTATCTGCGATCGACCCCTCTAACCTGTTTCTTCAGTGCAACAACGATCGGCGGACTAAGCGCATTGGCCCACTCCCGAGGTCCGCCACACCCACCTAGGCAGCTCCTCCCAGCTGACATCACCGGACTCCTCACCGCACTCACCGCGCTGGCCTATACAAACCAACATCTGTTGGACGCGTGTGGTATATATTGTACATGCATTGTGTCTTGAATGTTGAGCTTTCTGGTATAAGTTGGTCTACAACATCTAAAGTCTCCTTCCCACGATGCCGCCATACTTCTCGTCATCATGAACCAGCTGCCGTCCTTCCTGCAGCCTGCCGTCCGAAAGCCGCGATATTCAATCCGACCATTCTACACCACGTTGTTGGTGTTTACACTTATTGCAACAGCAAGTTGGTTCCTACCTGGTACTACAAATGAACATGGGCAGTTTGCGCAACCGGATACAGGGCCACATATAGACCTGTTCAAACGAGAGGGCGAACTAGAGGTATCTTTCCCTTCCCAAATCCTTTCCTGTGAGATGGCGCCGAAGGCTAAATGATGTTCTGTCACACGATGATACAGTGCCGCTTGGTCCGCAACGTCAAAGATCAGTGTGCATACGTCCGCGCCAACTGCCCCGATCACGAGGATGGCCTAATCTCCTACCTTCAATTTTACTATTGTGGACTGGTCGATGTAAAACCGGTAGCATTCGCGATATTGATCCTTTGGCTATCATTGCTGTTCAGTACCATCGGCATCGCGGCAAGCGATTTCCTGTGTATCGATCTGAGTACGTTGGCCAGCATTTTGGGATTGAGCGAGAGTCTCACAGGCGTGACATTCCTTGCATTTGGCAATGGAAGCCCTGACGTATTTTCCACTTTCGCCGCCATGCGGTCGAATAGTGGGAGCTTGGCGATTGGTGAGTTGATCGGCGCGGCGACTTTTATCACCTCCGTTGTCGCGGGTTCCATGGCATTAGTGCGGCCATTCAAGGTCGCGCGAAGGAGTTTTGTCAGAGATGTGGGCTACTTCATAGTGGCTGTCATTTTCAGCATGTTTCTGCTGGCTGATGGAAAACTTCATGTATGGGAGTCAGCTGCGATGGTATGCTTGTACGCCTTCTATGTCGTAATGGTGGTGACCTGGCACTGGTATATGGTACGACGGCGCCGAAAGAATGAGAGAGACCTCGCAGCGCGAGCTCACTTTCATATACCGGAGAACCAAGAGCTGGATATCGAAGAGGCCGCCGAGGACGATGACCCCGGTGTAGCATCGGAGTCACTAAGTCTGCTCCGCGGAGCCTCAACTGAGGATTTTGATATTTTGGAACGTGCTGAAGCTGTTCCTCTATGGAAAGAAGAGGACGACGAGGATGACGAGACACGCAACCGGTACTTGGCCGAGATTCGTGATAACATGCACGTCTATCGACCCGTTCACTCGAGGCGTAACACGATGAACCCCATTCGGCCGAGTCTTGTCGGTGCATTGGAGTTTCGGTCTGTCCTTCACTCACTACAGAAATCAAGAAATACCCATGGCAATCCGACAATAAGCCTGAACAGCTATTCAGACGACGGCGAGTCCGATGTCGACACACGCTCGGTGGCATCGCATCCTCGCGCCAGTCGACCGTCTGCCACTAACGACCGCCTATCGCCGTCTAGTGCAGGATCTTCTCGAGTTCGAGCTGTCTCGGCGAACGATGCCGTGGGGTTGAAATTCGATTCCAGTGTTTTGGAGCCCCGCCCAGCACAAGGTCCACTGCTTACAGTGAGCAGACCTTTTGAGGATGATTCGGGACAAGAAGCCATGCAGTCACGCCAGCTCCCTCGAATTGATACTGGAATTGCGCTGGATGTGTCCCCCTCTGCGAATCAGTCGCCGAGTCTAAGTCCAGTTACCACAGGTCCTCAAACCCCTAACTGGCTCGCTCCATCAGACGCTTTTAACTCCCCCAATTACAACAGCGGAGGGATAAATGATCGGTCCCCGATGTCAGTTTCCCCTAGGGGCACTTCAATTCGCCGTAATTCAGGCTTTGGCTTAGAAAGCCCTTCAGCGCCCTTCCCACTGTATACTGATTTACCCCCCGTGCCATTCTCACGACCATCCAGCATTCGACTTCCAAATTCACCCAGTCAGTTAGAACGGCTACAAGTCCAGGACGGGTATGATGCTTTCGCTCATGTAGGCTTCCCCTTCCGCAAATACCTGAGGAATTGGTGGCCTGACTCGATCCCCTCTCCCCAGCAGATTGGTTGCACGCTTTTCCCAACCTTGGCGGGCTGGAAGTCTAAAAATGTCTGGGAACGACTGCTCTGTATTATCGCAGCTCCCAGTGTGCTGCTTCTTACCATAACGATCCCGGTCGTTGAGTCAGAGTCACCAGAGTCTGTGGAACCGGACCCCATACCCTCGGTGATTATTCAGGACGTCGGCGATGGAGATAATGCCTCCCCAAGGGTTAGACTTCCAGCCGATAGTCCAGTGATTATGGCTCAGGCACACGACTACGCCGGCTCAACTTCTAACGTGCTGCCAACGCACCCCCATCGAAAGTCCTCGTATGAACGCACTGGTCGCCCGCGATGGGACTCGGAACTTCCAGCAGTGCCGAGGCCATGTTCACCTCCTATGCATCCTGTGCCGACAAAGGACTGGAATCGCTGGCTGGTTTCCATCCAGCTTTTCACAGGCCCTTTCTTTGCCGTGCTCATCACCTGGACGACCGTGGACGAAGACCGTCAGCTGCGCAACCTCATTTTTCCCTCCCTCGTCTCCCTCTTATTCTCCTCCGTCTGTCTCACAGCCCTGATAATAAGCACCCGTCGTCAACGAAACCACCGACGTCCCAGTGCAGATCTTTCGATCCCGCTCCTCCCCCATGAAACCCAACCCCACATCGACACCCTCCCATCGCAATGGCGGCCCTTCCTCTCCCTACTCGGCTTCTTAGTCGCCATATCCTGGATCGCCACGATCGCCACAGAAGTTGTCTCTCTTCTCAAGACCATCGGCGTAATCCTCGACATATCCGATTCCCTACTCGGATTGACCATCTTTGCCGTCGGGAACTCGCTAGGTGATCTAGTCGCTGACATCACAGTCGCCCGACTCGGGTATCCGGTCATGGCTCTGAGTGCCTGCTTCGGTGGTCCCATGCTCAACATCCTCCTAGGTATCGGTCTTGGTGGTCTGTATATGACCGTCAACGGCGGGAACCAGAGACACGATCAGGCGCTGCGGGGAGTCACCCCTGTGCAAGTCCCCTATGAGATCGCCATCTCCAATGTGCTTGTTATCAGCGGCGCGACACTTTTGGTTATCCTGGTTGGGCTTTTGATTGTGGTTCCTATGAACAATTGGATAATGGATCGCAGGATTGGCTGGGGTCTTGTCGCTGTTTGGTGTGTGAGTACCCTGGGGAATGTGATTGCGGAAGTTGTCTTTTGAATAGGTGTTGGCGGAGGTATACACACTCGTGAATGGCGACTGTTGGTCTTTGTTTCTTTTGGTTTAGTTTGGTGTCGGTGTTGGTTAGGCATTGTGGCGGCTTTCTTTTTTTTTGCGCTTTCCAGTTTGCGATGTACAGCTGATCGCATGCTGATAGTACAGTCTTTTTGCATGTGAAATACTTGTGAAAGGACTATGATATACGAAATGCATCCTCATTCAATTTTGAGCATATGTATACAAAAGCTTTTTCATTTATCCATGGTGTTACCATGATAGCTACATTCACAGGTGTCGGTATAACAGTCAATAATTTTGCCCATATGCGTCTCTCATAGCCTCGGGTGTATCCCCTTGCATCTTCCAATCCCCCTTTTGAAATGCCGGCAACTCCCCCAACTTGTTGAATAATCCCATAACGCGTGGTAGCCCACCCAGATTGGTTCCATAAGAAAGCGCCATCTCCACCGCCGGTGCAAAACAGTCGTCGGCCATGGTCACAACGTCCCCAGCCGAGAATAACCTTCCACATTTGGCCAGTAGTTCTTCATACGCCGTCAGGCCAGCGAGGAAAACCTCCGTAACAAAAGTGATCTGGTCCTTGGTTTCACCTCGAATGGCGCGGACTCGTTTGGCGATCCGGCCATAGGTGATATGTTAAATGTCATTGGTGATTATGTTCACCATCTCTCGGACCCGGGCACGCTGCACTAGATCAACACTTTGAGGTAGTAGTGGTGTCAGGGTGGGCAGGCTTTCTTCCAAATACTCCAGAATAGGAATCGACTAGGTGAGAATAGTGTCATTCCCATCTTCCTTGATGATGAGGATCGGTACAGATTTGCTTGGATTCAGTGCTTGGAACTCAGGGCTTTCGTGCTCGGTTTTGTCGAGATCAATGTACGTGTGCTCAACAGGAATACCCTTAAGGTGCATGGCAATCACAACATGATTTATGCATGTTGAGCGGTAATATGAATAGAGATGGTATGTTTTGTTGTTATTGGTTGCCATTTTGGGGATGAATAGGTTTGGTGGAAGCTTTATGGTAGTGTTGTGAGTGGTGGGTGACCCGAGAGAAGAGAGGTAGGTATCGGAACGGTAGAGTGATGGCAAGTTGCTAGAGGGCCGATAAATTGCTGCTCACTCTTTGTAATTCAACTATAGCTGAAACTACCTAGGTAGCTACTGGCTCTGTTATCTTTTTATCGACAGGGGTGAAGTTCTTAGAACAGTCCTCCGTCCATATCCGTAGTGGAGGGCTCATCTCCATTTCCAAGGCTCCAGACGGGAGCAACCTAACCCAATACATAACTTTAACTCTAATAGTACATTCGCGTCCCTCTGCGGACTATGACCCTAGAGCAGGGTGCTCTGGGTTCTAAAAATATGAAGCCGTCACCCGTCGGTACTCCGATAGGCAAAAGCTTGTAATCCGTCCGTGCCCCGATATAGACAGGGCAGTCGGGGGGCTGTCCCAGCATTCCCATCAAATAACCTCGCTACTAAACCAACCCTTCTCCAAAGTCCTCAGGCCCAAAGATAAAATTGTCAAAGTCAAAGTTGACATCCTTGAAAATAGCATCGAAACAAACTCCCGAAGACTCATCTACCATCAAACCACACCTACTGCCATCCAGACTGGGGTAAGGCTTGCCCGTGATCCTGGCCGCGAGGGTCTCAAACGTCCACACACACTGCTGAACGTAGGGACTCAAGTGTTCATGAGCATGGAGTGCCAGGATCACACCTTCCCAAGACTGGGAAACAGAATCTGTGAACAGCTCTGATCGAAACATCGCTGCGAGGAAATTGGCACCCGCGATGTGGAGGTAGTATATTCTGTACCACCACGGGAGGAGTCCGATCGGCTCATCTGGCTCGAGCGCCTCATTAACTAATAAGGCCACCTGCTGCGCGGCTTCGATGCACATGCTGGCGCTTTCACGGAGAAGTCGGTGGCTTAGGCTTGGTGATTTGAGTGAGGGGTGTGTGTCTCGTTTCATCGAGTAGAAGCGGGCGAGCATGGGTCTGTAGAGGAAGATTCGGTGGTGGAGGTAGCTATGTAGAACAATAAAAATCGATTTTAGTCAAGGTAAGGAATTCTTGGCTTACCGAAGATGAAGCAAGTATCGCGCAGCTCGGGACGACCTGTTGACAACCATTTTGAGGTTCTGCGACTGCCAATCGCTGGGGAGATTATTTTCCCAATTTCGAAGGCATGCATCTAGTTGCAATGCCGTGTTATGGTACTCGTCTTGCTGAGATAGGAGTGGAGGGTGAAATCTGGCTGCCAGACTAGTTCGCGTCTGTATTTGCGCCAACTGAATTTGATTCCCGATTTCGTGGAGTCCCAGTTCCCAGGTATCATGCATCGCGTTCTGGCCTACTTGTTGGGAGCTACTGGTTGGCGGAGACGGTATTAGCACCAATGCCGACGTCTTACCCAGTGACCACGAGATGCATCTATATGAAGTGAGTTAGTGACGGCTATAGAATAGCGATCCTTCCATGACATACCGATCAAGCGCAACACAGCTAGCCCATACTTTCTGTTTCAGGGCTTCGTCGTCACTAGAGCCTTTTAACAAAGGCGCCTCGTCGAGATGGCAGCACACGCTCTGCGCAATTCGCATCGCCAACCCCGCTGTCATCCATGTCTTCTGTTGATTGTTGGTGCAGTGGAGGTATCGATTCATCAGCATCAGGCACTGTATGAGCTCGAGTGATCCAGGTTTCCATAGCATAGACTCGGCAGGAAGGAGGGCCCATGCGCGCTGAAAAAAGCAATGTCCTTCCTCGTTTCTTTGCTGCAGCGGGTTGTGTTCTTGTCTTTGAACTGCCAGGGCAAAGACTACATTGAGGATACCAACCCAGAGGTCGTAGTCTGCGCAGAGTGGTGTAATGGGTGTTGAATATACTTTTTCGTAGTTTTCAAGGAAACGATGGCGATCTAACACCGGCTCCATAGGATCAACGTGTCGCCAGTATATGTCAATCAGTTGATCGGCATATGCCCGGGGAGGCAATTCGGTTGACGAAGACAATAGACAGGATTGAGAAGGTAGGTCAAGATCTCCAAATAGCGGCGCATCTACGAGTGGGACCTGATAACAGGTGGCCGGGATGAGTCCTGCCCTCACGTCTATGGCAGCGGCAACCTGGCCGGCAAACTGCCCATGTGCGGTACAGTATGCCCGGTTTTGCTCCAGGTCAGGCTCTGCCTCTCGATCATCGTCCACATGGTTAGACCCGAGTGTTGAATCAACCATGGGGACCGTTCCGGGCACTGATGCTGGTGGACTCTCGAGTGAGGATGGCGGAGAGGCCATGATAGGAACAGGCTTGTGAACTGATGATGTTTGTCCACGGGGTTTACGCGCTGTCTGCTTCTCAACGGCACTGATAAAATGGCCATAAACACATGTCTTACCTCTCGCCTGGCATCTGGTGCATGCTTCATGGTTTGTGTCAGCCTTATGCACGAGCTCTGTAGGTAAACGAAACAATGGAAGAAAGATATACCCGGACGAGCGCCATCACATTTGATCTTCCTCAAGCGACATACTTGGCAGGCGTTTGAGACTCTCAGCCTTTGCCTGCGTAGAGGCTTTGATGGTGTGTGCTGGTCAATTATCACTTCGTTCATCATTCTTGTATCGAGCAGTTGGAGACGGCGAGTGCCCCCAGTCGATCAGGGCAATCTGCCCAATTGATAATCCGAAAGATCACCAATCAGATAGCTTTCCGTCTTAAAATGGACCCAGAGCGGAAAGCTCTTTCATTTGCTGGTAGTTTCCACTTACCGCAACCTTAGTGAAAGGCAGCCAATGAAAAGTACATACCTCTCCCGTAGGTCGACCAATGAAAGAGCAATCCGTCTTTGATACTCTGCCATCTATTAAACCGTTCTGATATATAGATCGAACGCTGCGGCAAAAAACAAAAGCTTCCTCGTGAACAGCCTAGAATTGAAAGTTGCGCTCTCAATACTCTCCAAATTGTCGGGAGAGAGCTTGCTCCTTCCCCCTCTTTTTCCCCCAGTCTCGTCGATAGTCAATACCACTATATTGATCTCTCAATTTTCTCCCTTGCACCGCTAAGACAAATCCATGTCTAATAACGAGTCGAAAACTTCTGTTGACGCAGGCGAGGTCGAAAACGGTCACACCTACAATGGCTCGGGCACCGAGAATGACCCATTCCTGGTGGAGTTCCAAAAAGATGACCCCAGCAATCTGATGAACTGGGGTGAGTCCCGCAAATGGTCCATTGCAGCCATTGCAACCTTTTCGGTCTTCGCCGTGACCTTTACTTCCTCCGCATACTCGGTGTCGGCAAATGAAGTCGTCCAGGACTTTGACATCAGCACCGAGGTCTTCATTGCCGGGCTATCTCTCTTTGTGCTGGGATTTGCTATCGGTCCTGCCGTATGGGGTCCCTTGGTAAGTTGTTGAGTCTTCTTGTCACTTTGAGGAAGACTAGCTAACCATATTGTTTGACAGTAAGTCTCGATGATGCAATTCTATACACATATTATACACAGAATCCGGTAGCTAACATTGGCTCAAGATCGGAACTATACGGAAGGCAGATTCTCTGGATTATCACTCATATAGCCATGGTCGCCTTTCTGGGAGGATCTGCAGGCAGCCAAAACGTGGCTACTCTCCTCATCCTGAGATTTTTTGCCGGCACATTTGGCGGCTCGCCACTCGTCAACTCTGGCGGAACAATTGCCGATCTCTTCCCGCCTGCTCAGCGTGGCCTGGCATTGACCATCTACTGTGTTGCACCCTTCCTCGGTCCTATTTTGGGCCCAATCGTGGGCGGTTTTGTGTCTGAGAACATCAGATGGAGATGGGTCCAGGGTGTCTGCGTGATATTCATTGGCGTAATCGGCATTTTGGGCATCGTCTTCATTCCTGAGACATATGGCCCGGTGCTGCTTCAACGGCGGGCATGTCAGCTCGCCAAGGCTGATGGCAAGGTCTATGTGAGCGTTTTGGAAAAGAACCAAGGCAAGAAGAAGCCGTCAGAAGTCTTCAAGCGTGCCTTGTTCCGTCCCTGGATCTTCCTCTTCTCCGAGCCCATCGTCTTGGTAGCATCACTATATATGGCTATTATATACGGCACGGTCTACATGTTCATGGGCGCCATGCCTATCGTGTACAATGAAGACCGCAGTTGGAGCGAGGGCATCGGCGGACTGTCGTTCTTGGGAATTGCTGTTGGCATCATCTTTGGACTGGTCTACGCCATCTGGGACAACAACAGCCGCTACATGAAGCTTTTCGCGGCAAAATCCGCAACGGCCGAGTCCCGCCTGCCACCTGCGATTGTTGGAGGTATCGCCCTTCCTATCGGCATGTTCGCCTTTGCCTGGACCAACTACCCCAGCATCCACTGGTCTGTCAGTATTATCCTGTCTGCACCGTTTGGATTTGGCTGTGTACTCGTCATCCTGCCCATCATGAACTACTTGATCGACACTTATACCATCTATGCCGCTTCTGTCCTGGCTGCAGCTGCCATCTTCCGCTCGGTTGTGGGCGCTGTGTTTCCCCTATTCACGACACAGATGTACCACAATCTGGGAATTCACTGGGCGTCCTCTATCCCGGCATTCATGACTCTCGCGTGCATGCCATTCCCGTTGGTCATGTATCGCTATGGTGCCGCGGTCCGAATGAAATGTAAGTACTCATTCGAAGCGGCAGAGATGATGAGGAAGATGCAACTGCAGCAAACAGCTACTACTGCGGAGAAGGACAACGACGGAGCGTGAAGCGTTCTATTCGAAAGTTTCCGCATATATATATCTTTAGTTGGAGCTAGTTTGAGGGTATAGATAGTGTCTCACTAGAGGGGCCGTGAAGGGTGCAGATATTGGAGACATGGCTGTCTAATTGCCAGAGGCTCATGTATTCGTGTTTTGGCTTATTTACATTTTCGCAATAGCCTTGACTATTGATATGCATACGATCAATTAGATATCGAATTGCTAAATAACAGTTGGTTTTCTATGGAAAAAGCGCCTCGCTAGCTATCATCGGGCGATGGATGCATGAGAAATAAGGGACATCTGCAAGGACCAAACATCGCTATACATAACGCCACTGGGAAGAGAAACTCCAAAACAGAAGGCCAGCACAGATTCGTACTAAACAATGTCCTTGCGGGTGATGTGGTTGAGCTCACACATCTGGCGGAACTCAGCATTTGTATCGAACAATGCAAGTGGACTCTGGAAATCAACAATTCTGCCTTGATCTACCATGCAGATTCGGTCATAACGTATAATCGTTTGCAGTCGATGAGCAATGCAGATTACTGTTCGATCCTGAAATGCCTCTAGTAGTGTCTGCTGCACTTGTCGATCCGTGTCTTGATCGACGGCAGAAGTCGCCTCGTCACAAACGAGGATGCGAGGATCTCGCACCAAAACACGTGCCAATGCTAGCAACTGCCGCTCACCCAGAGAAAAGTTTTTGCCATCTGGTAGAACTTCTCGATCAAGGTGCACCTGCAGGTAAAGGTTGGTTTTGCGAAGTGCATTGTAGAGAACATCGTCTGGGTATTCTCTGGAGGGGTCCAAGTTTGTTCGAACTGTGCCCTGGAAGAGAGTGGGGTCTTGAGGGATGATAGCTAATTTGGATCTCAGGGAATGAAGATTCAAATTTGCGATGTTGATATTGTCAATGACAACTGACCCATGCTCCAGTGGGAATAGTTGGAAAAGAACGGATACAACTGAGGATTTGCCTGCACCGGTACGCCCAATGATGCCGACCTTTTCTCCATCATTGATTGTGAGGTTGACATCTTGCAGTGCTCGAGGATGATCACTATGATAGCGCAGACTGACTTCCTTCATGGTTATGGTTCCGGTCTCTGGCCAAGTTGACGGTGGCACTGTAGCAGAGCTAGACATCTCTGTCGGAATCTCATTGCCATAATATAACATTCTCTCAACTGTGATAAAAGAGTTTTCAATCTCAGCGGTTTGGGATACAATGCCAGGGATTATTTGTACGACAGCCAGGGCATACGTCATTAATAATCCAGACATACTTGCTGGAATCGAGTTGTCGGACATGACAATCAAGGCTCCGACGAACAGAATGAGAATATTGCCCAGTGTATCCAGTCGGAGATTCAACCACTGTTGGCTAGCGGACATCAGATATGAAAGGTTACTTGCTTCATCGATAGCGATACTCAATCGACTTTGGAAGATATGCTGGACGCCAAAGCTTCGGATGGTCTGACGACCTGCAATGCACTCGACAGTATTCCCTGCAACAGCAGAGCGGGATACAGTCTCAAACCGTTTCAGCTGTTGCCTCGAAGCGCGGTAATAACTGGAAGTATAGTATACGACGGAAGAAATCACTGGGAAGGATAGTACAAACTGCGAAGATCATATATTAGTTCAAGCTAATGTGATGGCAACTGCAACTGCTATGTTTCACTTACAAGAGGAAACTGAACAGATATGAGTAGGAATGTGGAGAACGCAATGCCAATTAGCATGAAGAAGGCCTGAACCGAGCCACTAACTCCATTGTCCAGTTGATTCACATCACTGGAGAATAGGTTCATCAACCGACCAGCTGGATTTAAAGAGTGAAATGACATGGGCGCATATAAGACACGCCGGAGAGCTGTCTTGAACAGATTGTCACTGGCTCGCAAGCCGGTAATTGAAGCCTGACTAAGATATGCCCATGCGAGAACGCTCTGGACTACCCCAAAAAGGATATAGCCGACTATATAAGCATGGTTATCCCACCCTAGGGTGTTATCCACCCACCATGAGAGCCAAACGCTAGTGAATATTCCAGCTATTTGCGAGACAATCAAGAGAGAGAATAGAATAGGCCAATGGAAGATCGAGCCCGACGCAGAAAGGTACGTTTTGTAAACAGACCCGTGTATATTGCCCGACTTTTGAGTTTCACTGTTTATCATCGTATCTGTAAAGAAGTTCATTAGTTTCAATAGGAGCTCATTTTCACCACGATGACTCCTTACTATGATCTTGGTCGCTATGCACTGCTTCATAGTCTCCATTGCTCAATTCGCCATGCTCTGCATTTTTCGAGTTCTTTGGCAGGTAATTCTCCTGGGTAGGAACCAAACGCGACAACAATTCATCACCAGAAGATGGATTGGATAGGCTTTCAGAAGCCTTAATTTGGCCCTTTTCTAGCCACAAAATACGATCGCATTGGGTGATTATGTGCCTTTGGTGAGTCACCAAAATGCAGGTTTTCCCACGTAATAAGCCAAGAATAGCTTTATTGAAGATATGCTGGCCAACATTCGCGTCGACGGCTGATAGAGGATCATCTAGAAGCAATAGATCGGCGTCTGCGTATATTGTTCGCGCAAGACTGATACGTTGCTTCTGGCCGCCGGACAGTGTGATACCCTGCTCGCCGATGTAAGTAGCGTCGCCATGCTCCCATGTCTTGAGATCTGGCTTCAAAGCACATGCCTCCACCACCTCATCATACCATGGCCGTAGTAAAGGTTTGCCAAACAAAATATTCTCCTGGACAGTTCCACTTTTAATCCACGGCACTTGAGAGCAAAAGGATCGTGTGGCGCCTAGTATGACATGGCCTCGAGTTTGGCTCATCTGGCCGGCAAGAGCGAGGAGAAGGGCACTCTTGCCTGCACCTACAGGCCCTGCGATTGCGATAAGCTCTCCTGGCTTGACCTGCAAGTCAATGTTACTTAGGGCTGAAGACGACGAGTGCCCATTGCCAGGCATGCTGGATTCATGCGTGGACAGCAGACTGGTCTCTTCGTCAATCACGGGAGAAGGAATATCGCCATGGGCAGCATAATCCCAGGAAAAGTAGCCGCTGGTTATTTCGACGACATTGACGGAGTTGAGATCCCACTCGATTGTCTTCTGTTGATCCTCCGCCTTCAGAAATGATTCGATGCGTTGTATGGATACCCATGCATCGATGAGCTGGTTAAGCACCATGGGCAAGATATTGAGAGGCTTGCGAAGACAATTGAACAGCGCCAGCGAAGAAAATGCCTCTGCGGCAGTCAGTCGGCCATGGACTGTCATGAATATAATGAAAGACAACATCGCCGCATATGAAGGTAGCGAGGTAGACAGGGACATGATCGTGCTCTGGAGGTTTAATAGCTTGTGTTGCTGCTGGACCTCGGCCTCTCTGACATCAGAGATTCGACGGAGGAAGTATGGCTCCCAAGCATGGAACTTGACAAATTTCATATTGCGCAGTCCTTCAAGGAGGCTCAATATTCTGTGATCTACCGCGACATTGATTGCTAGACGTCTTGACATCAGCCAACCCATGCTGTATTCCAGGCCTTTCGCACCCACCCCAAGGAGCAAGAGACCGCTCAGAGCGCTCCAGGTAAGATTATAGAACAGGATTGCCAATGCCGCGACCACGGCCACTGGCTCACTCCAAATCATGTTGGCATATAGAAGAGCGCTCTCAATACGCTGCGAATCGATTGTAATAAGGTTCGCTATCTTCCCATCAGTCCAGTCATTGCTTTCACTGTTAGAGAGCTTCAAAGACTTTTCAAAGATTATTGCTGTAAGAATAGCCTTAACCTGGCTACCGACCACTTCGCCCAGATAATGGTAGTGTACAAGAGCAAAGCTCATCCCCATCTGGGTGGTAAATAGTAAAGCCACAAACATCAAGGAGCTGCTGTGGGATGACGACTCATCTGATAAACTGACGAGAAAATACCTCAGTAACAATGGTGCCATCACTTGCAGGAGGTTTGCAAATAGCATGGCAATCCCCGCAAGCCAGAATTCAAATTTGAACGCAGCATGCAGGGCCCGGAGAAGTGGGAAACTTCTCTGATGAGAGAGACCAAGCTGAAAGGATTCAAAGACAATATTTTGGTGTACCGCAACCGCACGAGTTGGATTCTGATTCCGGTTATCATCTCTAGTTAGAGGTCGGAAATACCCGATCTTGATGCAAAGGCGTGGTGAGCTTTATATGGCTTATATGCGGATGAATGCATCGGACAATCCGAAGACTCACAGATAACAATGGAAAAATCCACTGGAAGGTCAATCGACTCAATAGCCCGACACGGTCTTCGTGGATAATTTGGGCGTGATTCAGTCCCTCCCCAGTAGTAGAGCGACGAAACATCATTTTTTGCTCGACTTTGCATCCAAGATGGATGAATTGGAAAGTGCAATAAAGTGGTTTATGTACTCCGTACCCTTGTATGAGACAGGAGGCTGCCTAGTTGCTAGCGTGTTATCGAGGTAGCGAGTTGAAGGGGAGGTGTTATGTAGTTAACTATAAGATACCCCGGACGTATAACTCTCAAATTCGTGTTATTCATTGTACTAATAGGTTTACTCTATGAATACAGTGGATTTCAAAGCTAGTTTGTGTTCTCAAATCCCTATCTACGGAGTACGTACGGAATACCTACGGAGTAGCCTTTGCGGCGCAATCGCAATCCATGTCAGGCAGGGATTATTCGTCGTAATGGCCAGGGGTTTATAACGCAATCGCACATATTTTCCATTACTGTTGCCTATGTTGTACACCTTTCAGGCACTCGAGATATTGAATTGGATTGTATAGTCCCCTCCAACTTCTACTGAGCCAACAATTCCAAAACAGATAGCTCTCAAATAATGCTTCAATCTACCCAGGTTGGATGCACTGACCGCGAATCTTAATCTGTGTCTGTGGCATGGAGCCCTGCAGTTTCCAAAGTTGCTTCTAATGGTAGGACATGAGTATAATAAACAAAACCGATGAGTATTCCAAGAAAAGTACAGAAACACAGCTAACTACTCGCTAACTAACTCTCCCATTATCCATTGACCTCGTCACCTTACTCTCCAATGATGTAAGACAAGGTCATGTCTTTTCCCCTCGTCTCTGCATCTGTACAGTATGTACTCTCAAAACAAAAAATAAAAAAGACTCTCCAATTCCTTCTTCACAGCACGCGTCCAGCCGACGAGCTTGTGCTACGATCATTCACTTGGATCTTCTTCAGGGACCTGCCTTGCTGGATGGACGCAAGGAGGGCGCCTCGGCCAGCGCCAGCGCCACCGGCCGCGGCTGGGGGAGCAGGTGGAGGCGGGATGCCAGTTGGAGGGGGTGGCGGAGGTGCAGAGGGGGGCTCCGCCAGGAGGTGGAGGCGGGGGCATAGAAGGAGCACCGGCTCCTGGGGGAGGAGGCGGAGGCGGGGGAGGTGGAGGGGGAGGTCCTGCAGATGGCGCCGGTGGTGGGGAGGTGGCATCGCTAGGGCTTGGGATGGCAGGAAGAGGAGGCAGAGTTACTGGGGGTGGTGGGGGAGGTGCAACGGGGCTTTCTTGTACCGGGGTAGCAGATTTCGAGGCAGAATTGTCTTCGTCCATGGCACTCAGAGGACGTGGAGGGGCCATAGTGCCGAACAGGATGCTAGCAAGTTGTTTGGCGCTGCCGCCAGTTGGACGGTCGTCTTCATCATCAGACGAATCGAACTCGGAGCCGGCAGCGGACCAGTCGTCTTCTTCCTCAGGGCGGGCACGAGTCTTGCGTTCCAGGGGGGCTGCGCCGGTGAAGGTAGGCTTGATGGGCTCTTGCTGGGCCAAGCGGTGGAAGGGATTCGTAGACTGAGCTGTGGCAGACGGCGAGGTCGCTTGGGTGGGGCCGGATGGCTGAGCCTTGATCTTGAAGTATGGATTCTTGGACTCGGCATCAGGCGTGGCGCCAGGAACACTACGGCTGCTTTCGGGGGAGCTCACTTCGCTAGGCACGCTTTCGACAGCGGGGGGTTCAGGAATAGCTATCGTGGGCACAGGAGGCGGGGTAGGGAGAATCTGGCTCTGTGTCGGGGTGCTGTACTGAGGCGTAATATCGGCAGGGCCTTCGTCATCGGACGATGACTCGTCGAGTCCCTCGAGTTCACGCTGCAGCTGTCGCTCACGTTCCTTGGCCGCCTCCAGTTCAACGCGTTGGGCTGCAAGAATAGCTTCCTGCTCTTTGGACTGTCGGCTAGCCTCTTCCCTGCGGCGCTTCTCTTCCTGCTTCTTGATCTTGCCCTGGCGGACCTGTTCCTCAAGAGCACGGAGTCGAGCGGCTTGGGCATCCTTCTCACGTTGGAATTCCAGCTCGCTTTGGCTTGCCTCGCCCCTGTAAATGATTAGCCAACTCCCCTATTTTTTTATTTTTTTTCCCGGCTGTGGATTACTCACTCTAGACGCTTAGTCTCCGCCTCCTGCACCTCTTGCTCTTCCTTGATGGCCTGCTCACGGGCAGCCTGATCCACTTTAGTGGGTTCCTCTCCCTTCTTGGCATCGGCTTGGCCAGCACTATCCGTCCGAGCCCTGCGGGTGGGCGGCGCTGGTGGTGGTTTCTTGCCTGCAGTCTTTGGAGCTGCATCGCTAGGAACGCCCCGTTCCTCAGCCAGGCGACGCTGTCTCTCCTGTTCCCGCTTAGCATCCTCTTCCTCAGCGCGTTTGACACGATCTTCGCGCTCCTTCTTCTCACGCTCCTGGCGTTGCGCAAGAGTCTCACTGGCGTCATTTGGCTTCAAACCAGCAGCAGCCATGCGCTCAGCAATGCGCTTCTGTGCACGCTCTCGAGCAGCCGCCACACGATCTTCATGTGTGTTACCAGGTAGAGATCCTGACGAGTCCACGGACTGGGGCATCGAAGGGCGCGCAGCAGCAGATTCGGCCACTGGAGATGCTCGAGACTGAACTTCGTGGGAAGGTCTCTCTCGCCTATACACTGTCAGTATTGAACACTTTTCCTGATTGACAAGAATAACATACTCTTCTTTGCGAACATTGGCAGTTCGCGCACTACGGCTCAGGTCGTAGATGAAGTCGCGGATAACATCCTCAACTCCCAATGCATCCTCCCAACGACGCTTCTCATGCTCACGTGTGGAGTTTTGGCCTTCATCCCGGAGACTGTCCTCCAAACTGCGAGCGAAATCACGGACACTTTCCTCAACATCACGGGTCATAGTGTCGTTGCGCTCCCGCTCGGTCTTCACGTTAGTGCTCTCAGACTCCAGACGACGAGCCGCCTGGCCATCGTCATCTTCTGTCACGGGTGCGGGGCGCCCAGAAAGCTCGGCAGCCCGGGCTTGCATACGCGCACGCGCGCGGGCCTTAATCCGATCTGCCTCGGTCACAGTGCCACCAGGGCCAGTGCCAATGATGTTAGAGGCGCCACCGGGGTGCGCCTTGGCGTCCTTGAGACGGAAGAGCTCAAGCTTCGCGTCCGCGATCTCACGCTCAAGACGACGCACATCAGATGCAACCTGGGGAACTTGATCTTCATAAGATTGCAGCTGGCGACGAAGGGCCCTGCGATCTGCCCCACTGTCCACTTGACGGAATGAGGCATTGGGGTGGGTATCAAGATCGTCCTGTACACGGCGGATACGGTCCATGAGACTCTCTGCCTCGCGGCGATCCTGGCGGTCGAGAGCATCATCATCCTCGGCTCGGTTCTCGTCCTGGAAGTCGGCCGCGTCAATCATGACTTTGGCCTCGCGGATCTTCTTGTGCAGCTGTTCTACAGAATAATCCTCATCTGAAGCACCAGAGGCGGCCGGCGATGGGGTACGAGCCTCGTTACCAACGCGACGGCGTGCACTAGAGCGGTATCCACCAGCGGAGTCATTGTTCTTGAACATCGTCGCATCCTTGCGGCTAGCCGCAGAAGCGCCAGCTGCACCACCACGGAAGGAGTGGTCCTTAAGATAGCTGACACCAGTCTTCTGCGGCTGCAGGAACGCCCCGGTAGCCTTGCGGGTTTCAGCATCCTGAGAGAGAAGAGACTTGACTGTACCAATGGAGTCGTTTAAGTGTCTCGTAGAAGGAGGAACAAGCTCGGGTGGCAGACGGCTAGGAACTGGGTATCCGTTCAGAGCACGGTAGATCATGTGCATAGCCACGGCGAACTCATCCATGTTCAGTCGGCCGCGGTTATGGGGATCAGCCAGGGTCCAAATCCGTTCCAGGTCTTTTCTATTCAGACCACTTTGGCCCATGATCTCGATGGCAGTCTCGCCACTGATGAAGCCCTTGCGGAAACCGTCCCATGCACGGAAAAGATCATCGTAAATCTTCTTCTCCTCCTTCGTAATTGCCCAAGCAACTGTAGCATTTCCTGAAAGGCCGACAGCACTGAAACCACCCTCACGCCCAGGCTGTGGCATGAGCTGCTGCTTCATAGCATCGATGTTGGGCAAACCCTGCGCTGGTGTGTTGATGAATCCCCATTGACCTGGCATTCCCGTAGGTTGCGCCGCCAGGCCCGTAGGCTGCACACCTAGGCCTTGCATTCCACCGGTCTGGGCGGGGTTGAGGTTCGACCCGTAACCAGTAGGCATAGGCGGCATCGGAGGCCGAGGGCCAGTATATCCAGTGGCCTGCGGATTAGTCATGAAACCGGTTTGTTGAGACTGAAGAAATTGAGGCTGGTTCTGACCAGGGAAACCCGCCGGGTTGGGCTGCTGGATACCTGTCTGCTGGGGGAAGAACCCAGTAGGCTGTGCTGTCAGCTGCGACAGGAGCTGAGCGTTGTTCGGTTGCTGCGGGACGGGCTGTTGAACAATTGGGGGCGTCGACTTGTTCTCCATGAGAGGCGCATCGAAGTTGGGGACGTTTGTTCGCTGTTGGACCGGCGCCGGCTGTGTGTCGGGGACATCGAACGAGATGATGTCAACCATACTGGAAACCTCGTTCTTGATCGTCTCGGGTAGGGAGGAAGGAAGCTCGCGACCGGTGAGACGAATATTGCAGAGATACATGGCCAATGCAAATTCTGGGAAGAACAACTGTCCGGACTTGGTAGTATCAGACAAGACCCAGATCTTAGAAAGATCAGCGCCCGTCAACTTGGAGCGCATCAAAAGATCTCTTGCTTTATCGCCTATTTTGACCAGTCAGTACTGCCATACAAGCCATAACACGTTACCCATTGGGTGCAGGGAAACCCACCATCCATTGTCTTGCTATCGCCAACAGCAGACTTGAAGAGCTGCTCGAACCTCGCCTGGTCCTGCGCCGTGATAAAAGAAAGTCGAATGCTCGGGATCTTTGACCCTGTCTTTGGCGGCACCTGAGGAGGCGCCCCAGAGCCAGCAGCATCTTGGAAGGAGTTCGCGATATCGCTGGAGGTCTTGAATCGAGTTGGTATCTGCGGCACCGGAGGCGGCTGCTGCGCCTGGTTCTGGGGAGGGTATCCGGTGTATTGTTGTTGGAAGCTTTGCGCTTGCTGCTGCTGGGGTTGCTGGGGCACGGCGCCGGGGAAGCCAGTGAATTGCGGCTGGACCTGTCCTGCGGGGAATCCGGTGGCTTGAGGCTGTAGCTGCGGGTTACCGAACGGGGAGGGCTGGCCGGCGAATCCGGTCGGCTGTGGAGCAAGACCAGTGGGCTGCGGAGCAAATCCAGTCGGTTGAGGCTGTTGGATTGATGGGGGCTGCTGGCCTTGGGGGAATTGCGAATAGGGGGGTTGTTGTTGCTGTTGCATGAATGGTGCCTGGCCGGGACGGCCAGTGGCACCACCCCCGAGGAAGTTATTCGACGAGGAAAACATCACGGATACCACGCTCGCATGAGCAAACTAGATGCAGAAAGGCCAACAAGAAATTGACAAGAAACACGAATGCAAAATGGTAAGTGAGTTGAGTCTCAGGAGGATGCGAATGACGCCGTTGTAGGACGCGGAGGCACCCGCGCTAACCTCATCGGGTGCTTAGTCATTTGGTCGAGATGGGTATTTTTGGATCTACAACTGGAATACGGAGTACTTGATTGATGGATACAAGTGATGATTTAAAAGCTTTAAGCTTGTAAATTTGTAGGTATCAGCTCGTTGGTGGTATAGCTGAGTCTCTCGGAAACAGTAGAAAGCAAAGAACACGCCCGCGAAAAAAGGGGCCACTCATAAATCCCCAGATCGAAAACGAAAAGAAAGCAAACGCAAGGCAAAAAAGACCATAACTGCTCCATGCGCCATATTTTCAGACCAAAGAAAAGAAGATGGATGGTGTCTGGGTGTCACTCATAATCATTTACTCAGCAGTGTTCTGCTGTTGCTGGTTGGCGGCGTTGGCAGCCTTGCGGAGCTCGTACTCCTTGGTGAATTCCCGAGACAAGATGCCCAGGTCCTTGATCAGAGCCTCGGAAGCGTTAACAACAGCCTGGCGAGGGGTGACCTCGCCATCAGTCTGGATACGCAGCTGGAACTCGGGGGTCAGCGGGTGAGGGACCTAATAGATCCTTGTTAGTATCTTTCCAAGAAGGAACACCACGTGCATATAGCAGGTTGCTTACGCGGTAGGCAGCAAAGATCACATGGGGAGTCTTCAGGAGACGGTGGCGCAGCATGTTGCCAAGGGTGTGGTCTTCCTTGCGGAAAGTAAATATAGCGGCAGAAGGAAGGCCTAGAGAGATACGGTCAGTGAGATTGTGCGATCTACACTGATCAACATGACTTACGGGTGTCGACCTCAACATCAATCTTGCTTTCGCCCGGAGCGAGCAGGATGGCTTCATACCTATATTCATGCCCTTGGTCAGCTTGTGGTTTCCACAAATGAAAAACAAGACATGAAGATGCAGAAAGGGGACAAAAAAAAGAGGAAACAAAAGCCTTAATCCGTGAGCTGATTCAACTGACACGTCAGGGGCGTCATCAGGGAGCATAGGGCGAGAATGGCGCGGATGGGGACCCTGGCCACGGCTACCAGCACGCTCTCTGGCGATAGCCGCAGTGGCCGTGATAATGGCAGGGCTCTGAGGCATGACTGCACAAAACAGAAACGAAGAAACACAGGATCGACAGTGAACAAGAGGATGACAGTCCACGGGTAAACAAGAGGATGGCAGAGGGAAAACGCGTTGACAGAGACAGGATAAATAGACATGATTCAATGCTCGCCAGGACAGGAGCAATGGTGCGAGGAAAGAGCTATCCTCGCTTTCCATGTCCTTCCTTCCCTCCTTCCCAGATTAATCAGAGATGGACATAGGAAGGCGCAGTTTACCCCGGAATCCGGGGAATATGCGCTGCGGCACACATGATATCCAACCGAAATTGAAGATCCAGCATTCAACGCACAACCAACATCACAGAGCAGCTCAAAATGAACAAAACTTCAGGAATTTCAAAACGCTGACATGCACTCACCGATCTGGAGCATTCATGGTGGCGAGAAAGCTTTTTTAAGAAAGGAAAAAGGTTTGAGAGCAACCTCGGCAGATACCAGTATCGGTATCGGTGATATGATTTAATGTATGAATCCAAGAAATTGCGGGAGTTCAAAAGAGAGAGTGACGAGGAGATGAAGGCTCGATGTAGTTTCAAGGCCTATTTATAGATGACCAGTTCGTTTTGACTTTTGAAGGACAATAGCGATCAAACGCGTGTGCCTTCGGAATATGCTTTTGAGGTGCTTATTGACAGCAAATAAGTTCAGGCGAAGGAACCCAATGAGGAGGTACACTTTAGATCGTTATTTGGGCCTTGACTTCGCACTTGATTGATGTTGACGTTGAGTGATGAAGATATCGTGATACATCTCGATATCGATATCGATATTGATCATGTGACCGTGCTGATGTAGCCTATCACGTGACAATGTACATACCGCCGGCGTTTGCTTCATCTTCATCTCACTTCAAGATACACTGCGCTAGTCCTTCTCATAATTTTCAACGATTTCTCATCAATTGGATTGCAATATGCCTCGGAAGCCCGAGACACTCAGCCTACTAAACCAGGGTAGTTCATGATTACACGCCACTCACACCACGTAGCTTCTAAGTTATCCGCACATAACCGATCATATTGATATGACATAACATATATTAGCCACAGTGTATAGAGAACGAACCCAGATCTACGCTATGGTAAGATATACACCCCACTAAAGCAAAAAAAACACGAAATCTAAACAAAATAAATAAAAAAAGAAAGGAACCCTGGAAAGAGCCGATATAACGGCCATAAGGCCCGAAATGTATTAAGGGAGTCGGGAAGACGCAGAGCGCTCTGGCGAGAAGACAATGCAAAACGAAACGACACAATAAAAGATGACAAAAACAAAGATAGAAACCTATCAGATAAATAACGCCATGTCTCTTCCCGCGCCGATATCATAAGAAAGTGAGAAAAAAAGCAGAGCACCGAACTCAAAAATCAAAACTAGACTAAAAGCGCAAGGAAAGCATATGTATTCATACTTGTAAATGTCGAATCCCTCTGCCCAGACCGGAATGACCATGACACGATGATGCAAGGAAACCCGGGGCAGGGAACGAGGAGTGACATACAAGATGTGAGATGAGGGCTAGGGATGCATTATCGAGCCGACATATTCAAATGGTACGGCAAGCCCTTCTCTGAGGTGATGGTATGTGCGTCATATGTCGTAGGAGGAGCGGGAGATGTTAGGAAACGGAAGCGGAAATGGAAATGCAGAGAAGAAAGGGGCAGGCTATACAGCGTAACGCGGACAGATTTCTTTTTCAGATGCAATGCAAGCACGCTTTCATGGTCGAGTTGTGGAAGGAGGAAAGAAAGAAAGAAAGAAAGGAGGAAAGACAGAATCAAAGACTTAGTGCACGACGCTCAGCAGATCCCCGAACGAAGATGTCGCTCGCTTCATCTTCCAGCTGCTCTTCTTCTTCTCGCGTTTCTTTACCATGTCAGCCCAGGCCTCGTCATCGTCCTCGTCATCATCGGAACCGGGCTTTCTATTTTCAACACCAGTACTCCGTGAAACGGGGCGGACGGTCACAGTGGCGAGATGCGACTTCGGAATGTGAGACTGAGGCACTGGCATGGACGGGTGCTGGTTTTCGTCACCGAAAGGCTTGTTTGTTGAGGATGCCACCGCGTAATTCGATTCGGGCGGCATGACTGATACTGGCCGGTAACGAGGCGCCATGCCCGCGGTGCTGCGCTCCGACGGAGCGATTGAAGCCGCATATCCGGTGTTGGGGCGGAATGGGGTACCGGACAGATTCGGCATGGGCGAGCCAGTCCTACGAGTTGAAATGTTGGGGTCCAGCATGCTCATCGTACGCTGATCGATGTGTGGTGGAAGCGAGGGCGGCATATTGAGAAAGGATGTTGCAGGCATGGACATGGGCCGCAAGTTCGGGTTGCCACCCATGGACTGGGGTCCTGCTATAGAAGGAGGGCCCATGGGAGGCATGGTCATCGCTCCACCAGGCATCATCATAGGAGGCATTGGCATGCCTTGCATCATAGGTTGACCCTGCCCACCTTGCATTTGCATCATTTGCTGCATCCACTGCATTTGCATCTGCATCATCGTGGTCATCTGCTGCGATAGTTGGATAGAGGCTTGTTCCCCGGCGGTAACGTTTTGCTGCTGCTGCGGCATCATCGAGTATGGTCGAGGCACTCCTCCCATTTCCTGCATTGCTTGTGTGTTCGGGCTTCCTCTGCGCATCGCTCGCGCCCGCTCCTCATTTGCTATAACACCGACAAGACCTCCAGGGGGAGGTGCGGGGGACGAAGATCCTCCATATACCGAACCACCTCCAAACGCCAAGGATTCACGGTTGGCGTTGTTAACCAGACCTGCACCGAAGTAAGGATCTCGCGGCAAGTTCCTTGCAAAAGGTGGCAGACTGCCCCGGCTGCCGTTGGGGTCGGCACCCGAAACAGAGCTGGAAGATGATATATACGGCGGTTGCATGGATGCACGAAGGTTGGGATTGGAGCTGACATTGTTCAGGCGAGTTGGTGGGCGGTTCTGACCGGGGAAACCGTGTGCGGCCAGAATACCAAGCGGCACATCGTCATCCTCTTCCTCGCTGCTCTTCCCACTGGTGGACTTCTCGCCTAGTACGGACAGGCGACTGGGATGCAAATTGGGCGTGCTGTTGCTAGCTCCACTCATCACCGGACGTAGCGATTGCACTGGTGCTTGCTGACCTGTGATCTTCATCATCTGCTGGCGATACACCGAGAGATGAGCCTCCTGCTTTCGTCGTTGGCGTTCCGTCTCACGTTGCTTCTCCACCTCATCTTGTTCATCGTCAAACTCCTCGTGATCAGACTCTTCGTCGCTCTTAGTTGCATCGCTATTGGAACGTCGAAGCTCTTGTTGCTGGCGATAGTGCTCGAACTGAGATGGAGTCATCACCTTGTTACCCGGAGAAGATGACTTGGGCAGACTATCCGCGTACTGCACAGCCAACCGCGCGTGATCCGCAATGGAAGGGTCCAACCTGTCGGCAGGAGCGGGCGAACGGCGGTATTGGAACATATTATCTGGCTCTGGGTTCACATGGCCAGAGTAATTGGGCGCTTTGCCCTTGTCAATCAACGGGGTTGCACCAGAGGGGCTAGCCTCACCCCACGGCGAAGTGCTTTCTTTGCTAAACACGACGGATTGTCTGACCATTTTGGCATCTTCGTCGTCAAAGGGTGCGGATTCCCCCTTAGCCGAATATATCCCGCTCCTCCGCAGTCCTCCTCTCTCCGATCCCCGCGGGCGCTCTAGGGAACGATGTGAAGTAGTAGCCTCGGTAAATTGGTTGGGAGACGGCGAAAGCTTCCGGAAACCAACAACTGTATCGAGTGTAGACTGGCTCTGGTTCAGCGGTGGAGAATGCGGGCCACGTAGCAAGCCCTCCTCGGACGGGCGACGATCCCAAGAGTAAGGGGGTGACTCAACAGCAGTCGATCGATCTGTATTAATCGCGGCGGGTGCCGCAGCTCTGCTGTTTTGGAACTCGGGCAGAACATGCGTCGGGGGAGACGAGGAGTACTTTGATTCTATCAGCACTGCATCCTTGCCTGGACGAGCGATTGCAGGTCTTACCTTGGCCGGTTTAGGGGATGACCCCCGTATTGCTGAACCCTCTCTTGCATCCATATTATCAAACATCTTGTTAAAATCGTCCTGCGAGCTGAGAGCGAAGTTTGTATCGGGCAGCTTGGGTGGAGTAGCCGTGCTATCGGTGCTGCCCGTCACGGGGCGATTCTTTGCGGCGTCTGGTGTTTGCTGTCGAGGGACCTGTGGTCCTGACTTGCTGAATCGACCACCGAACGAGAAAGTTCGTCCGGCGGCGCGCAGTGCACTCGTGAGCGGTGGTGGAGCTGGAACATCATGGATTCGGGAATGCGGGGATAGGGTCTCGTCGGGCGGCGGGACTTCAGTCGATGATGGGAGGGTGGATGACGAGCTTAGCCTGGTTGACGTAGAACTTTCGTAGTTACCACTATCACGGTTCCCAGTCAGCCGTCTCCTGAGAGAATCCATGGTCGAAGGGCGATCGTACCGGCTCTTATCCAGGGGTCGCTCCCTATCCGCAAAGATGTTATCGGAATCCTCCATCGACGGCACCGTATTGCCCTCGCTCAGCGGCTTCGTCAGCACGGCTCCATCCGTCATGGATCGATGAGGCCCCGGGCGCTCGAAGACTCGAAAGGAGGATTGGTGAGGGGCGTCCACGTCTTCTAGAACGTTGCCGGACGATTTCCGCCTGGTAAAGCTCTTGGGCAGTTTCATAGGCATGGAAGCGAATGTTCTGACGGATCGGGCTGGTATTTGAATAGCCGGCCAGTGTGTCTTTGGGAGTCAGCTATCTCATTAAGGTTTGGACGATCCTGGAAGTTTGTCGCCCTCTGAGCGTGATGTGTCGAATGCAAGTGATGCCCGAAGAAACGATCAGTCCAAATAGATAGGTATAACGATCGAGGGTAAACAAAGCAAAGCTTAGGGGTTAAGCTGAGGAAGAATTGAAGTCAGTCAGAAGCTTTCAGGGAGAGACGAAGCACAACATGTGTTTGTCTAGCGGCCGATCAAAGGCCCGGCAGGAATCCACAGAGTGGGTTGTCTTGCGTCTGTCCGATCCGATGGCATCTCACAACAAATTGGATAAATTATTCCCAAATTCCTTGCAGGGCCTCGAATATGTGCTCTTTTTTTTTTCTGGAAAGAATTTGAACCCACCATAGGTGTGTCGGGTGAGACGCGGAAATGTCCGTTTCAGTTCTCTCAAAGAGAAACACCAATAAGAACTGGGGACGAGAGTGGAGAGACCCTAAAAATCACCAGGGGGGGGGCAGTAAAGAATGAAAAAATGAAAAAGAGAGAGAGAGAATGTGTCGAAAGAGAGGCAAAAAAGAGAAGACGCTACTGACAGTCTAGTCCCTTTGGTATCCGGAGTTGTCCAGATATGGTCTGAGTATTCTGGCTATTACTATTTACATTCTAGTATTACTACTAAGTACCTAGGTACCTTAGTATTAGTTATGTGTTATTATTATTTATCTTATGTTATTACCCTAAGACTTGGGTACTTCCATGATCTCATAGGACTTCAATGTGAAACTGTCTTACTATACATAGCAAGTGGGAACATTTGAAGTCTCTTTGTACATAAACAGTGGGCTGCTTTTTTTTTCGGTCTAAAAATAAAACAAAATATAGAAAGGCAAAAATCAATTGGAATGTGAGAAGAGAAAGGGTCGGGTCTAGACATATGCAAGTTATATAGAAATAGTATTAATAAAAAAGAAACATTTTTACTAAAAAAAAAGTACGTACCTAGGTAATAGTCGAGGTAGTTACTGGAGTATTCAAACATGAAATCCCATCAATGGGCACATGTCATCGATCGTCGATCACGTGAAGTCGATCACGATCGACATTGGCACATTCCAGGGTTCTTCCTTATACACACTCCTATCCACATATCCACATACATATCTACATATCTACATATCTACATCCCCAATTGACACCAATACAACAGGCCTGGATCAATGTATCGGGGACTAACTTACACGGTCGGCTGATTATCCTGTACCACCAATAGTGACACAGGACTCGACTGAGAAATTCTGGCACGGAAGATGTACTACATCGGGATGGAAGAAAAAGAGAACTCAAATGACCGCACATACATGCACATACATAATGGTTTCAAATGATACCAAAGACTGATATCATTTGAATACTCCATCATGTTTCCAATCGCACAAAAAAAAACACCTTCTCCTCCCGCCTTTTATCACGGATTATACGTTATCTTACAAAATTGCGACTTTGCAATTTCAGTTCAGCCCATCATCTCAAATGGGTCTGTTCTCTCTCGGGTTGGGCCAAGGAGGCCACCGAGGAGCCTATTTGGCAAAGTGAAGGTCGTAGTTCAGCCACTTGCGCGCATTGACACCCGCCACATCGAGGCCAGGGGTACCGTAGGTCAAAGGCGCATAGAAGATGAAGCCCCAGATGGTGGCAGCCAGAATGATAAGGGTGGCAATCCAGCCCGCGATGAGCGACTTGCAGCCCATGCGTTCCTTGGCCGTGATGAACCGGCGCAGGCTGCTGACCGACCGCGCCTTGGACTTGCCCGAGGGGTCATCCACAGGGGGAAGTGCAGTGCGGGGATCGAGCGGCTGCAGGTTGAAAATGAATTCAACCAGTGCGCCACACACCATGGTGGAGGCCAGGTGTGAGGGCAGGTAGTGATGCAGGAAGCGCTGGCGACCCATCAGCCAGAAGGGGAAGTAGTGCGCAGCCCAGCACAGGAACAAGAAGCCGGTGCTGTTGTACAGACGCGAGCGCGTACCGGGGCCCCAAACTGATGAACGTGTTAATTACCAGAACAGAAAAAGAAAGAAAAACAGAATAAGAGTTGGTTTCTCGACTTACTTTCTTCCAATGCATCTACACCACGGCGAAGGGAGAGCTGGTCAGCACCAACAATGCCGGCAAACACGGCCAGAATACTGCTGGCAATCCACCATCCAATGGGGTTACCCAAGAAGTAGATCTGCTCACGAGTATCGTTCTTGGTCCAGAAGCTCACACCCCGCAACAGGAACGGCCACTGGAAGGGCTCCGTAGCATAGGGGTGACTGCTGGTCAGAGCGTTGTTGTGGTGGAACATGGCACCCTGCAGCTCGAAGTACTTGCGCAGGAAAGGCAGCGTCTTGACCTTACGCTCCTCCTTAACAAGACGGGGGCTGTCCTCTTCCAAGTTCTCGATGTTCTCAACGTACCACGCGTTGCTGGACTGAAGGATATTCTTATTACCGTTAATTTCGGCCTGCTTGTAACCCCATTCTGGCAGCGGGGTTGTGTGTGTCCACAAAGCGACCCGAGTTGGAACGTGGACCAACTTGAACAGGCTGGCAAGGGTACGGAACTCCTGGGCAGCCTTGCCCGACTCGATCTTGAGCTCGAACAGGGTGTCGTTGTGGCGCTCGCCATCAGCCAGTTCTTGAGAGACTGTAGTGAACTCTTGGTTGGTGGGGAAGAAGGGAGACGCAACATCGTGAGTCAGGAGATAACTCTCGGTTCCAATGTGGCGGAGCTGGATGATGTCGCCGTTGCGCACGCTCTTGGGCTCAGATGGATCAACCAGAGGCTCGGCCGGCAGGATCTGCCACTGGTTGTTGGTGTCGTTGTGGGGATAACCAGTGACCTGCTGGCCCTGGCTGGAAATACGGCCATCGTCATAACGCAGGGGGTACTTATCCCAGTGGCTGTGGAGGAAGACCTTAGTGTCCTTGTGGCGCATGGTAATGGTGTCGAAGTATTGAATGCCAACAGACTGAGCGGTCATCTGGTTGTCGCTAAGAGTCTCTTGGAACTCGGGGGTCATGAAGTCGTCGCCGGGGCCAGACCGATTGAGAATAGCAAAATGGACCTGGAACCAGAACAGGTAGAACATGAAGGGGATAATGACCAATCCAACAGCGCGAGCAATAAAATGCTTGCCCCAGTTGATCATGCTCAGCGCTCCCTGCTCGCGGTTGATATCCAGGAGGTTCCACAAGTCAATGAGGACTGCCGCGCCGATGGTGACGAAAGTGAAGAAACCGACATATTTGGTGGAGATGACACAACTCATGCAGAAGCCGGTCAGGAGAAGCCATTTCCACCACTTCCGGCTAAACGGTTGGTGACGCAACTTGTAGAAACGAACGTAGCACAGAATACTGAGTGCCATTGACAACACGAGGGTCGAGTCCAAAAGGATAAGACGGTCTTCACCCACATGGGCGTTGTCAAACACCATCAGGCCGGCAGCCAGCACACAGGCTGGCAGAGAGTAGCCAGACTCCCACATGATGAGGAACACCACGGGAATTGTCAAGGCACCAAGAGTAGCCGGCATGGCACGGAGGGATAGGTAAGGCACATTGTTTTCGATGTAGGAGTCGCCGATGTTCTCGAACAGGAATCTTCCATCGAAGCCCACGAGCCAACCCATGAGGGCAAACAACAGCTTTCCAAAAGGCGGGTGCACATCGAAGAAATAGGTACGTTGAAGGTAGTAAGAAGCGAACTAGCCAAATAATATCAATGTTAGTCCAAGGGCCCCCTTTTTTGTAGAGATTGTGCCACCACAAGAGGCATTGGATCTCCTACCTTGCCGAAATGAACCTCATCGAATACAACCTCGTTAGGGAAATCGAGGCGGTAGAACCGTGTCGCGAAAGCCAGGAGGGTGAGAATCACTATGGCCAGCCAATAGTCCCATTCCGACTTCTGTTTGACCGGCACCGACACGGGAGTCGAGTCATCTTCCGAGGGCAATGCGGTGTAAACATCCTTCTTTCCGCCTCTCTTCCGCAGAGAGGGTGAAGGGGACGACATGTTGAAAATATGAAATGTAGAGAGCGACCGAGAAACTACCTATAGCCAAATAGACTTCCGGGGGTGTCAGTAAATATCAACAAAGCAGAAAAAGATCGTAATAGAGGGGGAAAGGAAGAAACTTACCAGAATCACCAAATAAGCATGGCACCCAACAATTGAGGCCAAGAAAACTATGAGAAAGGAAAGGAGATGTGGAGGGGGATGATAGTAGAACGTTAACGTTGCGTGTCTTCTTGGTTTCCGGGTAGGGCGGTGGCCCAGGCGGATCTACGTATACAAATCCACAAAAAGGGTGAGATGTACTTTGTACATCAACTGCTTGATTGATTGGACTGTCGAGTCGAGTATTCAAAGAAATTGAACCTTGGAAGTTCCAGTTTATTGTTGATTTACATATATAGTCTCCTATCAATATTTTCATGGCGACTGATTCATGCAATGTGATATCTCCTTTGACCTCCTTGTTGGATTTTCTGGCTTATAATTGGACAAAGATTTATACATAAAGTTCTGGTAGATTCTCATTGAGATTACTTGTCTGGAATCTCGCTAGTTGACAAAGAGCCTCCCTAGCTGGCCCCTGTCAAGGTCAGCCAATTCTAATGTAGACAGTGCCAAAATGCACGAATATATATATCAAGAAATTAGCGCCTCTCATCCGTTTCAACCTCCCGAATAACAAGCCACAAAGCCTTCCTAAAAGGATCTTCTTCCTGTTTTGTCTCTTTAATGTAAACATCGCCTCGCCTTCCCACTCCTCTCCTCTCCTGATCCATCGGCTCATTATACTTCTTCAATGAGGCATTGAACCGCGTCAACCTAGACTTAGAAGACCAAGGCAAGATCTCAAATTCAAGCTCAGCAATCCAGGGCTGCAAAGTCCCAATCCTCCGTTGCAAATCCAGCTCCTGCTGCTGCCTTTCATCGATCTCAGTGTTGGCCATGGACGCCTCATACTGGAGTTGTAGAAACAGAGGCGCCTGCCGATTGATTTTGCCTTGAGAATCCAATATAGGGAGCTTTGCGACATGTGCCAGCGCATCCAGCTTCGCAATCTCAACCTTCAAGCCACGCGGACCGAAGATGTCCTTATTAGCTTGTTTGATGGAGGAGTCTGTACGGCTTTTGGACATGCCTTGGCTGCCCAGGTTTGCGAGTCCGCTGACAACGTTTCCAATCCAGTGCAACGGGAACAGGATCGGGACAGACTTCAAGATCCCGCCTGTTGCGTCTAGGACCTGGAGGGGCGGACTGGCAGCTATGTCTTTGTTCAGTTGGTCGAGGAAGCCGAGGAAGGATTCCTTGGGGAGTTGGTGATTTTTTAGGACGGGTGGATATGCGCGAATGAAAGGAGAATCAGAGGAGGCGGTGATGGCTGGAATTGCGATTGGTTTGTGGCTTGTTTGAGAGGGGATTTCTTGTACTGGTGGTGATTGGCTTGGTTGTGTTGAGGGTCCTGCTGTGTATGCTGGAGGGTGATCTGCGGCCTCTGCCTCATCAGAACGTCCCATGTCCTCGAAGGGGTTTTGTCTCTTTTCGTCGGCCATTGTGTGTGAGAGAAATAAAATAAGGTGGTTCTTCTGATAAGCGTCTTACGGGGGCCAGCATCCTTTTAAGTCTGAAAGTGGGGCGGAGTAAGCTAAGCCTCAGCCCTGGAGATTATTCTAGTTGCTTGAATTGGTTAGAAGGATATATAGATTGTAGAAAACCCTTGGAAGCCTTGACTTAGCCACACCTGGGCAGCATCCATGGTCTTTCTAAGGTTGGTTTTGGGCCGCGCTACGCCTTATCGGGCATGCTTTGCGAGATGCCTTCACCCGTGCAGAATTTATTTCATAGCCTCAAATTATATGTTATATGTCAGTTAAGCGCAAAGAAGGTAACGTGGTATTGTTGTATTGTGGTTTTATTGGCTATGTGTTCGACATAGAACAAGATCAAATGCCCAAAGCAAACCATTCACTCCCAATAATGCTGACAACATATGCAAAACGGAAGCCAAATATGAACCCGAACTCTCAAGCAAATAAAATGGTCCATGGGTATCACTGAAGTATCTTAGGGCCTTAATCGTCATCCGTAACATTCAAAAGCTCCAATTCCATCGAGACCAATGCCTGGAATTCTGCCCGGGGCATTCCAGTGGCCTTTGCCAAGCGGAACAAACTCTTGATGCTCGTACCGATATGTTGTTTCACTCCCACCTCGTAGGTTGACTGGCTCTCTGCCTCGTGTTCCAGTTTGGCGATAGCATCGGAGCTACCAGAAGATGCAGAGGCCGGCCGTGGGTGGTTCAAATCTTGTGCGGCCTTATCACTGGGGATATGGTCTGGAGAATATCCGTTGGTGCGGGGCTCATCCTCTGAATTGACTCCGTTCACCTGTCGTCGCAAGAGATTGGCCAGCATATCTCCATTGAGCGATGACGGACCAACCTCCGGTTGCTCCTCCGTGGGATCGTGATTATCCATGGCCGGCTGCACGTCGCCGTACTGCGAGAAATAAGACTGCTCAGATAAGCCAGATGGACCCGGCTTTGATGAACCAGTAGGCGCGGGGGTCTTGGCCCCAGGTGTGGAGTCGTATTGAGCCCAGTAGTCATCGTCGTCGTCGTTATCCATGCTGTTCTCCTGAGCTTTCTCTTCCTCGGTAGCCTTTAATGTATCAGCCAGGAGCTGGTCCTTTGCCTGAATGTTCGCCTCCCCGATGGAAGAAGCCCAGGTATCGTCATCCTCAGCAGCTCCCTCCCGCGGCAAAAGCTCTGCGACTCGCCAGCCACGGCCACCTCCCTCTTCGTCTGTCGGGCACCACAAATAGACCACCGTCAAGCTGTATTCGGTGAGTGGAACTTGTGCTTTGAGAGTCTCATCATCGATCCGCTTGTATGTCACCGGAAGTTCATCCGGAAGCTCGATTTCGCCCGATACGGGGTGTGGTTCAAAGGTGGCACCGTCAATGACCCTTTGCAGACGCTCTGCTTTCCCAGCATCCCAGCACAGTAGTTGCAGCCATGACTCTGTGGAAGATGTGGATAGCGAACTGAGAACCCCGACTCGTTGGCGCAGAATAGGGGAGAGAAGTGGTAACAGAGCTGGGGGTGCGCGGGGCGAGACAAAGGCTAGTGGGAGGCATGCGAGGAGGGGAGGGAGTAGTTCGCGGGTTTCCGGTGGGTTGATGAGTTCGACCATACTGGCTATGTAGTGTAGTGTAGTGTAGGTATGAAATGCGGATCAAGAAAAAGTAGAAATCGTGGGGAGGAGGTCAAAGACAGTGTTTTGCAAGCTCTCCGGGCTCCATTCGACCGAACGTGGGGCAACAAACAGAGCAATCACCGGGCCGTAAAGCTTACTGCGTCCATGGTTCAATCAGGTCGATGGCCCAATCCCCTTTGTACCTGGTTATTTTTTTATATTCTTATATTCTCTTATATTCTCTATAATTTATGCTTATATAGTTCTATTTGGGTTTGCTTTCCTATTCTAGACTAACCCTTACGCTGACTGCAGAGGCTCTAATTTACATCCTCTTATTCCTATTGGCTGGTTCGCATATTATTCATAACATCCATGGATTAACCTGAACATGAACATCTCATAGAATAAACTCACGGGCGTTCATTCCAACCGTGCAAGTCCCACATTCCAAATTCCACATCCTAGGTATCAGCTGTCAGCCCGAAACACATTCGGAGTAGAGTCAGCCGCCGGCCAGTTTGGATTCGTTCCGGTGTCACTCCGTACGGGAGTACGGAGTACTACATAAGATATATACAAAACAACTAACATGCCTTTGGTCCCTTGTAAGAAGAAGAGAGGAAGATACGATCACAAGTTACATTATAAGCACATGTTATACTATACTTCAGATATTTAGGTGCATGGTGGAATGTGAGAATGGATATTGGATTTGCGAAACTAGAAGCCGAGACGACCTACATCGAAATATACGAAGATAATGGATATTTTGATTATTTCTCTATTTGCAGTCACAATACGAGCCAAAATTAGTCCAAGAAGACGTTCTCAAAAAGCATTAGCCTCATATTAAGACAGATAATGAAACACCTCCTGGTGCCACTCAATATTCTTTTGCCCTGAGTTCTTCAACACGATCTTCGCTGTCAGAACCATCTTGGTCGATGATATCAAATTCGTTCTCTATAGCCCCCAGCTCATTCCAGTCCAGTCCCCCGAGCTTTGGGACGTCCATGTTATTCACCCATGTCTCCATACGCTTTTTCCAAGCCTCCATATCTTTCTTCGAACCCCTCCATACCAGGTTTGATATCTTCATAGACACCTTGGAGCCATTCGCACTCGACTTTGAGACTTTCATGGTTACCTTCGAGACTCCCTCGTGCTTCTTTACGGCCTCCATATTCTTCCTCACATTATCCATTTGCTTCTTTACCCTGTTCATCTGTTCCCTCGAGGTATATATGCGGTCCCTTATAGCTTCCGGGTCGTGCTAGTGGCCCCGGGGCCCGGATTTAGGCCTTTGATTGTGGATTCAGTAACATCCTTCTGCGTTTCCTCTGTGATAGTATTGTGCTCGGTAGCATTGAGAGTTGGCGAAGTCGGATGTTTTCTTCCTTAAGCAACGCATTCTCTGCTGCAATCGAAGCGTCTGAGAGAAACAAGGAAGTCATTTCATTCGTGACGGGCATAATTCAGCGGAAAATGGATTGAAATCCCATGTGAAAGAAGCGTAAACTTGGGGGTTCGATAATTAGTTAACACCCCGATGTATGCAGCTTTTAAGAATTCATAAGAGAAGCGTTCTAGATATATTCTAAGGTTGGTGGGAAAGAGGGGTCTGGGCTCGCGGGACCTAATTTGGAATGTGCCGGGTCACATGCTCTCTGTGTGAATTCTTCGGATTTTTTACGCGTCTACTCTGCACGAGTCTGGGGAATTGATCCGTGGACTGGTTTCTCTTAACCCTATAACCTCCCGCATCATGAAAAACAAGAATACATGTAGTCGGCCCCTTATGCGGCCTTGTGAAGTCTTTTTCAGTAGTCTTTTATGGCAGTATTTTCAGATAGTTAGTCTTTTTAGATGTCCTTTTTGGTGGTCTTCTCAGATTCTTCTCAGATTCTTCTCAGTTATCTTCTCAGTTAGTCTTAGATATCTTTTTTTGATGTCTTCTTAGGTGTATACAAAGGCGGGAAAAAAAGGATACCTTCTGTTTGAGACTTTTCTATGTATAACCTTCTAAATTATCACGAAATCTCTGTATTGATAATCCGAGGTCCGACTTGCGCGCTAGGAGACGCACTACTCGGCCGGCTTCTATCACGTTCTTATCCTGGAGTGCCTGGGGAAAAAAAAGCAAAAGAGAGATTGCATAATCAAGTCAACCTGTGACACATCTGATTACAGAGATCGGGAATTGACCTGATCGTTCAGACAGCCAAGATGCTCGACTCAGAGAAGGGCCAGTTCTCGTTCACTGGACCGCATACCCCGGAGCCAGTGGCAGAAGAGACCAATGCACAGTCCGACAGTGTGATGTTCGATCGGGCTCCTCTTGATGGTGGTCAAAGCAATCTCAACTCAGAGCGCGGGAATGAGTGGGCCGCTCTAGAGAAGCGGGTACGATGGAAAGTCGATCTCCGTCTTTGTAGTATCGGCGGGCTTTTATGCAGTCTCAATTTGCTAGACTCGGGCATTTTATCCTCGGCCTCGGTGACGACTATGCTCGATGATCTTGATTTAAACCAAGGGAACCGGTACTCCGTCTCCATCTTTATATTCACAATCGCCAGTGTGGTTTTCCAGCTGCCGTGCACAGTGGCAGTTCGCTTTGTCGGTCCACGCCTCTGGTTTTCGACAATCACATTCGCATTTGGGCTGTTGACACTGTGCACTGCTTTCGTTCGCAACTGGCAGCAGATGATTATCCTGCGTGTGCTGCTCGGTATTTCCATGTCCGGTATTTATCCCGGTCTGACCTACCTGGTTAGCGCCTGGTACCCGCGACAAGAACAGCAGCTCCGATTTGCATTCTTGCAGTCCGGGGAAGTTGTGATTCTGGCGACTGGCAATATCGTCAATTTCGGTCTCAATCATTTGAACGGCGTGGCCGGGTTAGCGGGTTGGCGCTGGATGTATGTTGTCCAGGGTCTCATTACTTGTCTCCTGGGTATTGTTACCTACTGGTGGATGGTCGACTTCCCCGAGAACGCCCAGCGCAGCTTTTGCTTTCTTTCCGATCAGGAAGCGCGTCTCGCAACGCGCCGAATTCAGGATGATCGAGCTGATGTTATCCCCGAACCGTTTTCCTGGGGCACGCTTCTTGCTAATTTCAAGGATCCAAAAATCTACGGCTTTGCGGTCATGTTCTTCTTGCTCAATCTCATCTCGACTGCCTTGTCGTATTTTCTACCCATCATCTTACAATCCGGTATGGGTTTCAGCTCAAATAAATCCATTCTGCTCTCCACACCGGTAAGCTGATCCAGAGTATAAAATGCCGCATTTTCTGACTCCTTAACTAGCCCTACTATTATGCCGTAATACCGGTTATTCTCACATCATTGATAGGAGATTTCTACCGTGTTCGTGGGCCGCTGATCGTCTTCAATGCCCTTGTCCTTATAGCTGGGTTCCTGATGTTCGGTCTTCCCGCATCTACTCTGGTGACAGTGCGTTACATCGGGACCTTCTTGGCGACCGGTGCTTATATCTCGAACTGGGCTGCCCTCAATGCTTTCCAGGCCAACAATATTGTGGGCCAGTGGAAACGAGTGGCCACTGCGGCGGCGGTCACTGCATGCAACGGACTGGGAGGTGTGGCAGGCAGCTTTATTGTCCGCCAGCAAGAAGCTCCGCAATATCAGACCGCAGTTTGGGTGTCAATTGGGTAGGGTTAAGATATTATTGAACATTGGGCTGCTTGCTGACAACATTGCCAGTTCCCACATTCTTCTCATTGCGATCGTGGGCGTATTCACAGTTTATTTTTACATTGCCAATCGGCAGCAAGGGCGGGGATTAAAGGTCGTTGAGGGTGTGGTGAGTGCTTTTAATCAATGGCCGGTTGATTGTATGATCTTGCTAACGAATGAAATCAAAAAGTCTGGCTTCAGATACACTTATTGACCAAATGAAATTACGAAAACCCGGCAAGTCGTGTTCACTGAATACAAATACCGCTTGTAAAGTCTTCAAATGTTGTGATATGTAGATATATTTTCGTTTATGACAAGCCAAACTACGTTTTTCGGGGCTTCGTCGATTTTCATCTAAAAATTAATTGGTATCACATTCCATTCGTGGCTCTTTCATTATATATTAATAGATCCATATAAAGTACTTTTATTTATGACTCGCCCCAACACTTTCATGAGAGCCTCTGACCTCCTCGTCCACAAAGATCGACCATCTCTGATCCTCCAAATCCGCCAACGAGGAAGGCAAGGACGGCGAGCTACTCCAACTTTTCTCTCTGAGCGAACTACCCTCTCTAGAACGTGCAATACCTTCCTGGCTTTCACTTTTTGTGGGTGTTTCTCTCAAATACCAGGACCGGTGTTGAGTTTTGCGAGGCGTGGACCGAGAGAAGGGTATGTGAAAACGCCGGGGCATGACTTGAGTGAAAAGGGGCCAAATGCTGATAATGCAAGCAGCGATTATAATCAACCCGCCTTCCAGGCTCGTTATGATACCATATTTGGACGCGAACCCTGGTTTGAGATAAATCAGTCCTTATTTCAATACAAATCTGGGATTGGCTCTTACACGTCGGGTCCTTGCTAGCGAAATCTGATTGGGCGAAGTATATCGCCACTTTCAAGATGCTGGCCACGTTTCCTCTAAGATGTCCCCCATTAGTACTTTGTATATCCCAAGCGCAGATGATGAGAAAGTTTGAATAACTCACAGTCCACCCAACAGAAAAACTCCCGTCAGGGCAAGTTTCTGTTTTCTGGATGCATGCAAATTCCACACAGCCGGAATGGGCATCACAAGGATCAATATACCAGTGATAACATTTAATGGGGCAATAACTCGATAAGCGTCGATTGGACGAATGCATGTTCCACCGGGGATGCTTCGATCCCATGTGTAAGCCAATGGTCGACATTGGAGGAAGCTCTCCAGAAGAACGCTAGCTCCCACTGCAAGAACCAGTGATCCTACTATGTAGACGAGGATCTGGAACTTTCGGGTTTTGAAAATGCGTAGATAGAATAAAAGAAAGGCCATTTTGGCCGGGGTGATGCAGAAGGGGTAATCGAGGACTTGACGGGCAAAAATGAACTGTATGTTGTCATTAGTCCGGTACCTAGGGCTTAAGGGATTGGAGAAAATACCTTTCTCGTGAGAATCACTTTATCAGGCATCTGAGAAACGTAGTTGAAGTGGTACCCAACTACGCCGATTCTGGCCACTGCATGATATGTGAGTTTCGTTGTTTGAGCTGGTTGCTGAGACTGTGTACATACAGACAATAAAGATCACTGATTTTCCCAAACTTGCGGCCTAGACAGCGGGATGTTAGCATGATTGTATTCAAATAGCTATATGCGATTGGGATAAGTACCAGGGCAAGTAGGATCAGATAGTCCTCGACAGCAATATTCATCCGCTGCATAAACCGAGTAAAGAACCTCGCTGCAACGAAGAGAATTTGCACGGCAGCAATGGCGGCAGCGGCTCCCACTAGGGCATCGCCATTATATGGTTGTTGGTCCCCCGGGTCCCAGTTGGCACCCATGATAACGAGGAAAGGGATACTGTAAACCTCACATGTAGTGAGTTCTCCGTGCTATGACAAGTGAGTAGAAAATGGACAACAGGTATATTAAATAGAAGTTTCTAACAATGAAATCCTTAAATCCCCAAAGCATATTGCACCGCCGAGATTCCGGGAAACATATTCACCTACGGAAATATCCATATTAAGGTAAGGGCTTTAGCGGAGGATCAAAGTCAGAATCAAAGACATCCTTTCAAAGGGAGCATAACCACAAATAAAGACTTTGAGGCGCATGGCCGTTGGAAGTCTATTATTTTAAAGTTGATGTCTTCCATGGAACCCAACCAACGACTCCATGGACCTGGAACCTTGAAACAGATCTTGAAAGCGCCCCGGGGCCATCGCTTCTCTTATCGCCCCCAAATAACTTAAACGGGCACCGAAAGTCAGTGGGGTGACATCATGACATGTCCTGTTGCGAGAACATCTAGGGGAAATATTGAAGCTCGACTCTTGGTTCACCAGGACAATGCAGACCATACATACATTTTAGTTGTTTGATACATACATGTATGCATTTGGCTCACTAGAAGCTGGTTTGCCCTCCGGTTTAGGAAACCGGTCGCCATCTGGTCGCATGCTTGGCTTCCACGTAGGTTTCCCTTCTCTTTTGGGTTCCAGACTCGGAGGTTTTTAGAATTATAAATACGCGCGGACCTCGATGGATATTGCCCTTTCTATACACCGACGTCTTAACAAATCTCGGATAGAAGGGGGCGATATGGACAATATTTTGCGCGTATATTGTTTGCTGCCTTACTGGTTTGGTTTGTTGGTTGAGATTTTCGAGACAAGCAATAAGTTGTGATCATATTTGTATAAGAAAGTACAGGGATGGCCAATGATGAGGCACATTATGGCTCTTGCGAGGGTTTGACTAGCTTCAGATGCCAAGTCTGCACACTTAGCTGTTTATTTAGAGCTTCCGGTATCGTCGGAGAGACACCGTTGGCAGTAGAATCTCCCACGGCCCAAGGTGGCGTCTGATTCTGGAGTCTGGCCCTGGAGTCTGGCCGTAGGTCTCTTTCCACGTCTTGCTCATTATTAAGGGATCTTCATGGTATAGTTTCATGATTCTAGTTGGAGATGAAGAGAGAACAAAGATCCAGGAACATGATGACGTTTTTCCATTGCAATGGCGATGAGATACATACACATGCACAAATTATGTGATCGAAGGGAAGGGGGTATATGGCAAGCAAGACGGGAGACCTCGCAGGGAAAAACGTAGACGGGGAAGGTCGGCCCGCAGAAGAAAACTACATCGACAATCATTGAAAGACACAAGCCCTTGCAGTGGTAACCCTAAGCCACCCGATCCTTGTCTTTCTGCTCCAGCTTTCCCACGAGCCGCTTCATTCCCGTCCACTCGTCCGCCGGCACTTCTTCCGGCAGTCCACAGAGACCCTTTCCAACTTCAAAGACTGTAACAACACCATTGAGGCCACCAGTTGCCAGACGGCGTCCTTCACGCTCGTCCCACGCAACCTTGTTAAGGCTTCGGGACATGATGTTGCCATGGGTATTGTCGACAACCTCACGCGCGACTGGCACTTCAGTATCTGAAGCGAGGTCCCAGACTTCGACGTTGCCGGCACCGTCGACGAGAGAGAACACACCAGGTCGGGTTGGGTGCCAGCGAGCATCGTAGACAACATCGTCACGGGTAATGTCGAGAATGGGTGAGACGACTTGGGATTGGGCCATACCAGATGTGGCAGAGGCGGTCGTCGCAGGTGGCCGCACACGCCAGAGCTTCACGCTCCAGTCCAGACTGGAGCTCAGCATAAGATCGCCAAGGTCTACGGGTCCACGACCGGGGTGGAATGCGGTAGACATGATTGGTGCAGTATGTCCCTTGTAGGCTAGGCGGTGGTCTGTGCCAGACTTGGCTCCGGCCCGATCGTACCGGTGGCACGGGTAGATGACTCCCTCTTCAGTACCGACGATGAAGAACGTAGGATCAGTGTGAGGGAATGACATGGTGGTTGGAGCAAGATCCTCGGTCTTAGATGGGGGAGGTGTAGTCAGTTCCACACGATCTTGTGGGTAAGAGAGCATATCCATCGTCCAACCACAGACCACACCGTCCGTGGAGGCGGTCATAATATTGTGTGCATTTTGTGTGCCGACAATTGAGATGCTGTAAACGGGATGGGCGTGTCCGCCGCCTGATAGGGGGGTCTTTTGTACTGGAGAGCCTCCACCGGCGCGTGAGGAACGAGTGTCCCATACGAGCACCTGTCCCGAATAGGAGCCTCCAACAACAAGGTTTGGATGGTAGGGAGAGAATTTTGCGGTAAGGATATCGGATGTTGAGTGGAACACATATTCCGGACGAGTTTGCAAGTGCTGATTCCAGATCTGAACAAGACCATCGGGTTCGTGAGGAGCGGAAGTATTCTTGGTGTATGATGCAAGCAACAGTTCAGGGAACTGATGTCAAAGTTAGCATGAACTGAGGCACATTTATTGGAAGTAGAAAGCTTGCCTTAGGAGAGAAGCTTAGATCACTGATAATGCGATTCTTGCTCCATCGTTCGTCCCAGAAATGGCACACCTCTTGCATTCCTCTCCTTTTCTTGCCAGTCTCCTCATCTTCTTGCAGATGCCCATCAGTTCCACCCAGCTCATAGTCTGCCAGTACATCGTAGTCTTCGTCCAAAGCTCGCTCGATAACCTTGGAAGAGCGCTCCACAAAGTCCAAGAAATCGTTCGACGATGTGACTGCCTTCAGTTCGTCGTCATCGAGTTTGCGTAGAGGATACCGCAGCTTTGCGGACTGTGCAGCTGTGTTCTCATTATTATCGGCCTGATTGGTAGCTTGAAGCTCGTCCTCAATTTCCTTGCGAAGCTTCTGTCGGATTTCCTCGTCTCGCTCCCGGTCTCGTCTACTGAGGCGCTTGCTCGACCGCGTAGTACCGGGTGACTCCTCATCGTCCGAAGCGACAGACTCTTCAGGAGTCTCGGGCTGGAAATCTAGTCCGTCTGTTTGCACGGCCTTGCTATAGGTGACAACTTCCGGTTTGGGTGTGGATTTGTATTCGGGTTCAAGTTCAGGGGGCTGCGGGGCTTCCGTTGCAGAGGAAATCCAAGGTTCATCTGTTGTCTGGACGGCAATGGACTGAGATTGTGGTCGCAATGGAGCTGCATATGTATCTGCATTCTCCCCACTTAATTGGCTTGCGCTCAACACGGAGGTTGGTCGACTTCCTCTCCGCGACTGGCTATCGGCGCCGTGGCTGAGGGAGGCCGACGCTGGGCGGTCGACCAAGCGAGAGATCAAGTCATCGAGGTCGTGTCTATTATCTGTGCGGCTTGGTATTGGTGAGATAATCTAGCAAGGCTGTTAGACCCAGATGAGCTCCGTAATTCATTCACATGCTGTGTTTACCTCTGAAGCATCCCCAACACTGGTTCGGGAGGTGAATTCCTTCTGGCGCAGCTCGCGCTGCTTTTTGAGCTCGGCAAGCTTGGCCCGCTTCGCGAGGATCTCATCTTTGCGCTGCTGCATCGACATCTTGTACAATCATAAAAGGTTAGACCAGATGCGTCCGCGTCTAAGTGTAGTACCTCCACTTGCGGGTTTATTTACGGGCATGACTAAGCTCCGCCTTCGGGAACTCTGGAGCGGTCCGGAAAAACTCGCGCGCGCAGAACATGAACTGAACCTCGCCATTTGACTAACCTGGAGATTTATTGCCATTGACGGTTGACACCTGTTGCACGGTCCCTCCTTCTTACACAATTTATTCCCTCATTTAATTCCCGTCTTCCGGAAACCTCGCAGAAATGGCTAGCCAGGGTGTCAATGTGAGTACCGGCTAAGGGTTACCCTCTCCCCCGACGTCTGTTGACCACGTCTCCAAACCTACAGGTCCTCCGTTACTCGGCTCTCGTTGCCGGTCTCGTCTACGGTGTCTACCACCAGTCCTCCCTCAACTCCGTGACCAAGCGCGCCGAGATTGAGCACGAGTATGCTCGCAAGGAGCGCCTGATCGAGCAGGCCAAGGCCGAATACAAGAAGAAGACCCAGCCCCAGCAAGAGACCAAGACACAGACCAGCGGACGTACGTTTAATTCCCTCCGATGATACAACTCAAACAAATGCAACGACATCCCGAGCCGCCGCATATCTCCAAAACCCCAAGTGCTGACCAAAACCCCATAGTTATCACGAATTTCGAGGATCCCAAGTTCGACCTGGAGGCCTTCTTGAAGGCTAAGGCTGGAGAGTAAAGGGGATGGATGGTATAGAGGAGGAATGCTATGCAATGATCTCTTTGCGGGAATCGCACTTCCCCCAGGGTATTAGACGTGTTTTGCTCAACTCTGCTCCATTTTATTGTACGATTGTTTGGGTTTAATCTGCCCCCGAGCTGTGGCATTGCGAGCGCAAGGTGGAATGATTTTTGTTTCTCATTTTTAGACGTTTTATCTGGGTCCTGTACATACCCTGGGCTGTTGTGCGCCTGTACACTACAGTTGGACCACAAGCAAGAGCAAAAGATCGTGTTATGCATTCCGGCGTCCAATGATCCTAGTCCGTACCAGACCAATCTCAGGTTTGGCATTTCTCGGTCCTCGCATCTCCACACCCCAGACAGAGGATGTAGCCGCGTACAGCGTAGTCCTCGGACAGAGGATCAGATCTATTAGATAACTTGTATTCCTTGCGTTTCCAAGCAAGTTTAAAATGCACGCGTTCCCAGCATTGCCATTGCTTTGCGAATGCCGTTGGACGACTGAGGCTCCGCGGGCGATACGACGATAGGTTTGGGATGCAGCAGCTTTGATTCCGGATCCCATGTCCATCCACATTTCGTGAAATTCGATATTATGTTTGGATCTTCCTGTATGGCGAGCTGGTCGTCAAGACCAAGGTGGGCTGCTGCTGTGGCTAATCGTATAGCTTCGTACGACCTGCTCACTGCGATCAAAGTCTTGTCTTGGAAGAAACCTAATTGCAGAATAATTGGTCAATTTAAGATCCTGCCGAAAGAAGAAACTCATTGTTACGGGAAACATACTCTCATATCTCCGAACCAGTGGCTGCAAAACGTCTGGCCATGGTAGCCCTCGGAGCACCTGATAGACCTGGCCATGTTGAGTTTGCCATACCGCTCGAAGTAAAGTCAAGCAGTTCTGTAGAGAAGGATCATGTTGCAGTAGGGCTTCAGGAATTCGTTTAGTTAAGGCGCGAGCTTCAGATCTGGGACCCAAGCTTCATTAGCAGTGTGGCAAGCATAAATAGCACTCTCACTAGGCAACTAACACTTGGTCGGTAAGAAGATGGACGAGAAAGAAGCTCGAGTAGAATAGGCTCCATAGTGTAGAGTCACCACCGCCTGTGTTAGGACTGTTATCCCCTGTAGAAATGAGGCATGCTTGAAGCTCATATCGCGATAGGGCCTCGAAGAGCTGTGACGGTGGAGCGTTGGAGGCCACCAACTGTGAGAGTTGCTCCATGGTCAGCGGAGGCAGCTCCATGTGGATATGTGTGGTGTAGATAAATTGTAAATTGCTCGTTTGCTGTAGAAATACTGATGTACCCAACAATGGTAAGTATATTGAGTCAAAAGTTAGTCAAAAGAGCTCTAAGCAAAGATTATTGATGAGTCGTAGTATTGCGGGGAGCAATCGGAGGTGGCGCCTGTGGCCGGTGCCAAGACCTTCAGAAGTGACCACCTTGCGCAGCTCTTGCTCTTCCCATCTCTCTCCACGGCCCTCACCACCTGGCATCTCAGCCCAATTCATTCCTTGATTTCATGTTTCTATTTTGAGTTCTGACTCTGGACTTTGCTCCGTTTTCAAGGCCATCATGGCCCCGTCTTCGCTTGATGTTGTGTTGAAAGGCAGCTCCGGCCGGAACACGCGCGGTCTATTGCGGGTTATCATTCTCTGTACCATTGCCGCCGCCGCGGTGTCCAGCCGCTTGTTCAGTGTTATTAGTATGTCTCAATTGAGGTTCCTTATGATCAGTATGCTAACTATCTTCTAGGATTTGAAAGTATCATCCATGAATGTATGATTTCCCTGCGCTGTTGCACTAGATGCAGTGGTCACCTCCGCAGCCCCCCGAACATACAAATGAGATATTGATACCGTCTTACTCTAGTCGATCCGTGGTTTAACTTCCGTGCGACAAAATACTTGATCGAAAATGGCTTTTATAGCTTCTGGGATTGGTTTGATGACCGTAAGGCCCCTTCCCCATGATTGCATGTCCTCCGCATGATAATAAAAACGGCATTGTGCTGATGGAAATGCTCGTGCTATAGGAACGTGGCACCCTCTTGGTCGTGTTACCGGTGGTACATTGTACCCTGGACTGATGGTGACCAGCGGCGTGATCTACCACATCCTTCGTCTCCTTACTATCCCCGTCGACATTCGAAACATCTGTGTCATGCTCGCCCCCGGATTCTCTGGACTAACAGCCCTGGCGATGTATCTCCTGACCTCTGAGATGTCCGACTCTCCCTCCGCAGGTCTCCTGGCTGCTGCTTTCATGGGAATTACACCTGGTTACATCTCGCGGTCTGTGGCAGGTAGCTACGATAATGAAGCCATTGCCATTTTCTTGTTGGTATTCACATTCTACCTCTGGATCAAGGCTGTGAAGAACGGCTCGATCATGTGGGGAGCCTTGACTGCATTGTTCTATGGATACATGGTTTCTGCTTGGGGTGGATACGTCTTCATCACCAACCTGATCCCTCTCCATGTCTTTGTTCTTCTGTGCATGGGCCGATACAGCACCCGTGTCTATATCAGCTACACCACCTGGTATGCCCTAGGAACATTGGGAAGCATGCAGATCCCCTTCGTCGGGTTCCTTCCTATTCGCAACAGTGACCACATGTCTGCACTTGGTAAGACTTTTGGATTCTGAGTCATACCATTGTCTCATTCTAACTATTTGATAGGTGTCTTTGGTTTGATCCAATTGGTCGCATTTGCCGAGTTCATCCGAGGCTACCTACCCGGCAAGCAATTCCAGAAGCTGCTCACTTCTATGGTCTTGCTTACGTTTGGCCTTGGATTTGGTGGTCTTGTCCTGCTGTCTGCCTCCGGGGTCATTGCTCCTTGGAGTGGTCGGTTCTACTCTCTGTGGGATACCGGATACGCCAAGATTCATATCCCAATTATTGCCTCCGTCTCCGAGCATCAGCCCACCGCCTGGCCTGCCTTCTTCTTTGACCTGAACTTCCTTATCTGGCTGTTCCCGGCCGGAGTATTCATGTGCTTCCAGAAACTCAAGGATGAACATGTCTTTGTGGTCATCTACTCGGTCCTTGCCAGTTACTTTGCTGGCGTTATGGTCCGTTTGATGCTAACCTTGACCCCCATTGTGTGTGTTGCGGCTGCTCTGGCCTTGTCATGCATCCTCGATAACTTCCTGGTTGCGTCGACCCCGAGCACTGAAACCAAGGCTAAGACAACTACGGAAGATAAATCACTCCGGTCAACCCGAAACCCCGTGGTCGGTATTTACTCCTGGTTTTCCAAGTCTGTCGTGGTAGCCTCAGTCACTCTTTACCTGCTTCTGTTTGTTGCACACTGTACCTGGGTTACTTCCAACGCATACTCCTCCCCCTCTGTGGTTCTGGCTAGCAAGCTCCCTGATGGAAGCCAGTTTATCATCGATGACTACCGTGAGGCCTACTATTGGCTCCGCCAGAACACCCCGGACAATGCCAAGATTATGTCCTGGTGGGATTATGGATACCAAATTGGTGGTATGGCTGACCGCCCCACTCTGGTCGACAACAACACCTGGAACAACACCCATATTGCCACTGTTGGCAAGGCAATGAGCTCCCGCGAGGAAGTCAGCTACCCCATTCTGCGACAGCACGATGTCGACTATGTCCTAGTCGTGTTTGGTGGACTACTCGGCTACTCAGGTGACGATTTGAACAAGTTCCTCTGGATGGTCCGTATTGCCGAGGGTATCTGGCCAGACGAGGTGAAGGAGCGCGACTTCTTCACCGCTCGCGGCGAGTACCGTGTCGACGAAGAGGCCACTCCTGCCATGAAGAACAGCTTAATGTAAGAACCCCACATTTTGAGTATCCAAATCACTGCTAACGCCATCAATAGGTACAAGATGTCTTATCACAACTACCAGTCGCTCTTCCCGGCTGGTCAGGCCATGGACCGTGTCCGTGGCACAAAACTTCCCAAGGAAAGCCCCCAGCTCAACACACTGGAAGAGGCTTTCACCAGCGAGAACTGGATTGTTCGTCTCTACAAGGTCAAGGACTTGGATAACCTCGGCCGTGATCATAGCAACGCAGTTGCCTTTGACAAGGGCCTCAAGCGCAAGCGTGCCACGAAGCACAAGGGTCCTCGTGTTCTGCGAACCGAGTAGAGATTTGTTTTCTAGATTCATTTTGCATTTTCTTGTCTTGTTGGCTGTTATGATTCGCTCTGGCATAGCAGGCCATTTGTATTGTGCTTTAAAACCATGCCGAATATACTCTAGGTCTAGTTACCATTACCTAGAAATATATCACTGCCTTGCTTCTTGGAAGGCTATTATATGACTCTGCCTGCCACCTTCGCCTACGTAATATTAGCGATTCGATGTTGGAGTACCGAGGAGATGGCGGGGTCTCTTCTTGAAGTCAGTTTGGTAGGGCACGTAGACAGCACATCAGCACGCTACGAAGAATGATATATATATCCGTAGCCCAAATTCATTGTACAGCCTATATTCCAAGCCAATTCCTTTTGTGCATGGCAGCACAAATGCTGATATTATCGCTAATCCTACATATCTGAAAAACAAGGTCTCCCTGAAGACTCCGAAACCCCAATTGCAGCGTCAACCCATCACCAAGTACCGGTCCGGTGGGTGTTGAGTGTGCTTCATTTCTTGTCCGCGGGGGCATCGGGGACCTTGACGTCGGCAAATTCTTCTTGGCCGACAGCCTTGAGGGTGTAGGTATCTGGAAATTCAAGTCATATCAGCATGAGGTCCTGTCTCTTGTGGATATTGAGCCCGCATGGAGCCTTCTCAGCGGGCCAAGTCCTGGTGGCATGATCGTCTGCGGTTCGGAGATAGGAACAGGGTTGAAGCGGAACATTGGTATGCGTCGCAGGGTTTACTCACAGACTGCAATTGTAAATGCGAACAGTCCGAAACCTGTGATGGTATTCTTGAATAGATATGGGCGGCGGGCGCGGAGGAGGGCGGCACCGGCGCGGTAGTCCTTGCCGTAGTAGGTGGAGTTGAAGCTGTCACAGAGGCATGTTAGCAAGATGAGACCCCCCCAAATCCATAGAGACGATACATACATTCCAGTAGCCATGGTGAGAGTGTTTGTTGTCAGAGACGTGAGAGGCAAGAAAGTTGAGGCCATACAGGCAGACCCGGAGGAAAAGTCTTGGCGTTGGAGGCCCAGACAACGTGATGCGGGTTTAGATGTTTCTATTGAGATTAGATTGAGAATTTTTATTGTAATTGAGACACTGGGTGAATTCAATTTCGAATCGTTGAAGCACAGAAAGACTTCTAGCTTAGTTAATTGAGTGTACGTAGAGAGATACGCAGCTCACATACATCGGAGTCTTTGTCGGCCGCCCTTTCAGGCTTCGCAGCTTTTGTCGCATCCTCGACCGGCCGTCAATCTCACTTCGCAATCGCCCTTCCTTCACCACCCATCGCATAACCACTTATCCTCTCCACCCTTGGTGTTGATTTGCCGCTATTTCCTCGTTCTGCGATCGTAACCCCAAGCTTATGCGCGTTGCTTTTGCAACTGCATCCGTGTCCCCGTCCATCCGCCCACGTCCTCCCTTCCCGCAACACCTACTCTCCCAATTCCAATCCGACACGACCGTCGCGTACCGGATACCTTCCCATTAGAGCTACAATGGCTCAGCCGATGGACAATGTCGTCGACCAGGTCGCCCAGCTCAACGCTGCCCGCAGCCTCGTCCTCGGTGATGCCGCCTTTTACCCGCAGATCGTCAACGGCATCCTTCCTATTGTCGGAGCTAGTACAAGGCTAGAATTGCGACGATGGGGTGCAAACTTCCTGGCAGAAACCTTTGCTAGCCCAATGTTAGCTGTTGCGCAGAAGGAGCAACTGGCACCGAATGTCCTACAAACAATCCATGAGATTCTAGAGTTGCCGGAGACAGATACGGCAGTCCTACAGAGCTTAGTACAGACTTCAGCTAGCTTGTATCCCCTCGTCTTCAGACATGTGTAGGTTATTCTCAAGCTTTTGTGGCTGCGACACAGGAGCGTGCTCCAAATTCAAACTCGGCGCAGGGCTAACAATACCGACAGAGTGAACCACCCAGAAGATGGCAAGTCATGGGAGACGATGAGTGCAATTAAGCAGGATATACTTAGGAGAATGGACTCGTTCCCATGCCCGGTTAAGCTTTGCTGTGCCAAGTTTATCCAGCGCGTGGTCCAAGTTCAGACGCCTGGATTGATCTCGGACCCCAGGGTATGTTTTCCGAGTTATAGAGGATTCGGCATATTGGTACTAACTTCGATCAGCGACCTGAGCAGAATGAGACGTCTCTAGCTGTTGTTCCCCGAAACCATGCTGTTCTGTCAATACCAAACCTGGAAGCGGAATCCTCAGGTCTCCTCGATCGACTTCTCGGTGTTTTCCAAGAAGAGACCAGGTATGAGGATCAAACAACTTATTTTACGAGTTCATGGTGACGCTAACACAAGCCAGTGATGCTCTTCTTGTGAACGCGACCTTGAACTGCCTCGCACCTCTCATCCGGACGCGCCAGTCCGTAGCAAACAAGATCATCAATGCAGTTTTGGAATTTTATCCCGCGAAACATGTCCGCCCGCCGTTTACTCCGACAATTCGTGTCAGCGTCAAGTCCATGGAGCGCACAGCTCGAGCTCTGCTTATCAATATCTTGAAAAAGTATGTTGTCAACTTGGTTGTGAAAAGTGTGGTTTGACCTAACTTTCATAGGAACCCCAATCACCCCCTGGCGGGTCGGATGCAAATGTACATTGAACGTCTAATGCAATCACGACTTGAGGCCACTGATGACGCTTCGCGGAAACGTGGGTTGCCAAATGAACCTACTGATGGGCTTGACAACGCTAAGCGGGCACGTCTCAATGCTTTGCCTCCTACAATGCTTAAGATTCCTCCAATGACACCGGGGCCTGCAAGCTTTGATCGACTCTTCACCCTGACCGAGGACATTGGACTGTCCTCCTTCGACGTAAAACAGCTGCCCATTGACCTACTCCTCAAAATTGTTGTACCTCTCTTGTCGCAGGTACATGATTCTACACTTTCACAAGCTGTCGATGTAAGTACTGCCATGATATTGAAGATTTATCCTTTTGCTGACATGGCTCTAGGCTGTCCGTACTCGATATCAGACAATCACCAAAGATCAAAACTTGCAACGGCAGCAGCAACAGAGAGCAGCTGCCCAAGATGAGGATGATGACTATGAGCCCGAATACCAGCCCATGGACGTAGCATCCGTTGTTTCAGAAGAGGCCAGTGCCGTTGCGGCGGAAGTAGCAGATCTACAACCAGAACTAGTCTCTTTGGGTCCCTTTGTTCTGCCACAGCCACCTCCATTGAGCGAAGAAGAGGCCGGAGAAATCGGACGGAGTGCTGTTGCACGTGTGTTCGGCATGTTGAGCGCCGCCGAAACATCGCCTGCGGCTGCCAAGGGTCAAAGCCAACAAAAGCTCGGGTTCGCCAGGTTAGCAGGCAGTACATTTGACCGGGACGCATGGTCTGTTCTTCTTGCTCGTTTGGCTACACGGGCTCCTGCCGGTCTCGAAAATGACCAGCAAACCAAGGGAGACGCCGTACGCAGGCAAACAACTATTGCTGACTCGATCCGTGAGACGCTCTATCGGTTCATCTTGGAAGATTTCCGAGGACGACTCAACATTGCCATTATCTGGCTCAATGAAGAGTGGTATAATGACCGGATCCAAATGAAGAGTGCTGCCAACCAGCGTGATGACACCGAGGAAGACTCTGAACCGACTGTGGCTCTTAATTACGATACCTGGGCCACCCGACTTTTGGATGGCTTCCTCGCTTATTTGGACTCTCGAGACATCAAGGTGCTGGTCCGCTTTCTCAGTGAGGTCCCTGAGATCACGATTGCCATCACTCAGCGGGTGGCCAGCTTGGCCAAAGATCCGGAACGTGTTAACCTTTGTGTTCAATCATTGATGTATGTCATCGTCCATTCTTTCCACTATCAAGAACCCCCTTGCTGACTTTCTTTTAGGTACCTGATCATGTTCCGACCTCCAGCGCGAGAGATGTGCTTGAATACAGTAGAGGATGTCTACCAGACTTGTAAGTATACTCTCCCCTTGATATCCACTAGGAGTATATATATCTAACATGTGCGAACAGACGAGGAATCCAGACCTGCTGCGGGCAAAGTCCTCACCAAGTGGCGCCCGCAAAGTACAGTGCTGGAGACAGCTACAAATGACGCACTGGAATCATCCGAGGCAAAGCCCATTACTTCGGAGCCATAATCTTGTTATTTGTACTATTCGACGAAAGGCAGATGATGTCATGAGATGAGATCCTTCAATTTTCCACAATTTTGAATGCGGGGGATTGTCAGCTTCGTTCTTCAGGCATTTTTTTTTTATTGCACATGTCTTCGGTCTTGGTGCCTTTCAGTCCCCGTTTCATTATACTTCTCTTGTAGTGTACCTAGGTATTCATCTTTGAAGATGTGACATTTACGGTGCCTTCATCTCGCTCGCTTTGTCTTTTGAGATGTATATCCGTTTCTAGCCTCGATGCTTTTTCATCAAGATATTGAGTTTTATTTAGTGGTAGGTACTGTACATATCCATCGCTTGGGTTTGATATTGCAAAGACCATCTGCCACGCATATAGTTAGTATTACTTTCTACACACATGCAATGTTCGATGGAAGCGCTCTTTTACAACTCAGGAAAAGGCTTTAGATGGGAAGTTCTTTTTTATAAACTGAATAATATACAAATCTCTATTCTCAAAGCAATTGCCACTAAGCCTGTTACTTGAAACATCTATCATCCATGCTGGAATCCTCTTAAGCACTCTCCGTTGCCGCGGCCTCCGACTTAGCGGGCCACTTCACCCGCCTCTCTGCGCGAACGTAGAGGTTGTTAGGACGAATCAACTGGAACATTGGATCATACTGGATGGGGTCATTGCCCTCCCGGATGAACTTATACCGGTAGATGAGCTTGGGCATGAAGACCTTGATTTCCTGCAAGGCAAAGTTGAAGCCAATGCACATGCGGGGGCCCATAGCGAATGGGATGTACGCAGCCTTGTGTCTGTTCTTGACTTCATCGGTGTCCCATCGGTCAGGGTTGAAGTGGGCAGGATTATCCCACAGATCGGGGTTGTTGTGGATGTGGTGCAGCGCCGGGAGGATAACCGAGTCCTTAGGGATCTTGTAACCTCCCGGAAGCACGAGGTCAATCTTGGCAGTGCGTCCCGGTTGGAAACTGGGGTTGTGGCGACGCTGGGTCTCCTTGATGTATTTATCGAGGAAGTCGAGTTCGTCGGTGACATCTGCCGTGATAACGGTGTTCTCGTCGATTCCGTGGTCGATAAGTTCTTGAAGTAGTCTTTCTTGCATACCGGGGTAGGTGACAAGACCGTAGATGAGCCAGGACAGAAGGGAACTGGTGGTTGTGAAGCCGGCTCCGGTTGCGACGACGAGAGCCCAGATCAAGCTTGATTGGGGCAGCTTCTCGCCCTTGCTGTCGGTGGCGCGGATGGCATAGTCTGAAATGTTTATTAGCATCTATGGATATATAAAAAGCGGATTAGAAGATATATCGTGGCCACTTACCGATCATGTTAGACGCCTTCAGCGCTGCATCTTGCAGTGGCAGATCTTCAACACCACCACTTTCGGCTTGCTTAATTGTTTCACCGACAATCTCCTCAACTCTGATCTTCATGTCCTTAAGACGCTTGGGATCACCGAATGGCATTTTACCATACCAATCTCCCTTAGAAGAGACTTTTTTATTGAGAGAAAGAACACCAGCAATCAAATGTACCATCTCGTGCATCTCTGCGTCCCGATTCGAAAAGTGTTGGAAGTCTAAGCCAAGCGTGAGCTTGCCAACAGCTTGAGAACCGAGCTTCAGCATGTACTGGTAAACGTTCCAGGCTTCACCCTGCTCATCAAAGTCGTCAAAGACCTTGAAGGCATCCTCCACTGTCTTCTGCATTGTCGGCGCATAGTGACGGACAGCCTTGGGGCCGAGAGCGGGGGGCAAAAACTTGTGGGCAACCTTCCACTCAGGAGTATCGGTATCTCCTAGGAAAACACCAGCCTCGGGCTGCTTCAGAGGGTAGAGGGGGTGGGACTCGTTGATCTTTTTTGTGAAAAAGTCAGATTCGGCAAAGACGATCGCGGAGATAGCGGGGTCATTGGTTTGGTAGATCGTGCGGCCAAGATTGACTGTCTTGATGACCGGTCCGTATTGTTCAAAGAGACGCTGGTGGTTGCCAAGGTGGTCTGGGTAGACTTCAAAGAAATTTCCGACATAGGGGAGACCCTTCGGGCCAGGAGGATCACGGACGGCGTTGCCATCGATGGTGATAGCGATGGGAGTCTCGGCGGAAGTAACTTCGGTGATCTCGTTCAGGTGGAGGTCTTGAGCTTGGAAGTCGATACCTATCAAACACGTCAGTCATGAATACATAGAATTATGAAGAAAAAAAACTTCAAACTTACCACTTGACTCAACGATAGCGAAGTGAGCTGCAATCAGGTCCTTGAGTGCACCCAAATCACTTTTGGGATCAACATCGATGTTTCTGGCGGAGGAGACTGGCTCTCCAAGGAGGTAAAATTGCTTTGCAGGCATTGTGATTGACTGTTTGTAATCTTTGTGATCCTGTCAGTTCAACCCAGGAATCCAAACTTATATATCGACTGCGCAATGTTCATCAAGATGAGATCCCGGCCGTTACATAGTTCAGGATTCTGGTTCCTCGGGTTGTGGGTCCACGTTGACATTTCCGATTGGCCCTATCCTACCTCGGAGGTCTCCACATCACCTCGGAGAGGCAATGTTTCCTCGGTGATCTTCAAAACAGTAGGATTTCCAATAGACAAGACCTTGTCTATTTACGTAGATACCTACATAGGCGAATCTCCACTGTGGGTCTAAGTAGAATATCCGGATTTAGTATGATTTGAAAACACCTCATAATAGCGTATTTACTATTTCTCTATACTTTTGAACAGATGCGGTGACGAAAAAACTTTCCTATTCTAGCAGATATCCCTCGGGAGGTCTAGAGATCAAGGCTAGTCGGCCCGGATTTAGTAAGATTTGAAAACATCACATCATAATGGCGTATTTACTGTTTCCCTACACTTCTGAAATATAGTTGCAGAAGGTATAGGATCCCACAGAACATTCGATAGGGAATGAGGTGCCGAAACTAGTTTCTTCCCTACTCCAAGTTTTTGCTTGGAAAAAGATACTCCTCGGGAGGACTAGAAGTCTATAAAGGTCTAGAATGAAAAAACAAGAGTAGTCGACCCACACCACGCGGCCTCTATCCTTAACGACGTTAATAATCTGATTTACCTGGCTCGAGACGAGATAACACTGGATGCCCTTTTTGGATGTGATAGATCTTTTTTAGATGTATTTTTTCCAAGGCATTTTCTTTTCTTAGCGTTGGATAATGAATAATAGTACGGAGTAGACATGTCGGGAATATTATTCTACAATAGGAGCCGATAAAAAGCATAAACCGTACAGAGAATTTTTCTATGTAAAACAAGGGACAAGGGACAAGGAACAAGGAATATGAAGCACGGATATAGATGGAAGAAGAATTTAGGAGCCAAGTTAAATATAACTGTTAAGATGAAACATTTCTCAAATATATCAAAATAGAAACACATTGAATTGACAAACAGCTCTAATATACAGCAAAATCTATAAACACGGAACAAGCAGACAGTATACAATCAGAAACAATCTAGAAGCAGAAGATCTGGTCGGTCATCTTTCCGACAGAGCCAGGGGCTTGGAAGCCCGCAGCCACCAAGCCCTTCTTCGAGGCATTCACCATACCCGGTGGTCCACAAAGCATGATTTTCGTATCAGATGATGGGCCAGGCAATCTTGCAGCCATGACGTCTGGTGTAACGTATCCCTTGCCGTAAGCCCAATCATCAGAAGGATGGTCAAGCATGTACCAGAGCTTAAAGTTCTTAGGGTATCCTCTCGCAAAGGCCTCCAATTCATGACGCAGAAGAATATCCTCTTCGCTTCGGTTGGCGTAGATCAGGCTGATTTCAGTGGTATCCCGATCATCCTCGCAAATCGCCCGGATAAGTTGGTACATCGGGGTAATTCCGGTTCCACCGGCGATCATACCGATTTTCTTGCAAAGGCCACTGTGGTACTTCATGGCACCCTTGGGGCCTCGGAATTCCACTTTGTCACCAACTTCCAAATGCTCGAGGTATTGTCCGGTGAGAATGCCATCTGGGTAGCATTTGATGACTAGCTCCAGTTTTCCGAGATCCAGGTTGTTGGATGTGGGGGTGTATGATCTCGAGACAGAGGCACCGTTGATCATGGCTTTGATAGCAACATGCTGGCCGATCGGGAGTCCAATCACGCCCTTGGGGTTGGGCAGCTGGAAGACGAAGCGGTACACATTGGGCGATAATTGAACTTTCTCAACGAGGGGAAGCCTTTTGAAGGTCTTGGGCTCGAGGAAGCCCTTGATAAGATGAGGGTCTTGCTTCTTGATTGCGGAGGCCTTCTTGTACGGAGAGTACTTTGTGAAACCAGACTCGACTTCGGTGAACTTGGAGAGCTTTACTGCGATGGCACTGCCAATGGTGGCGCAAGCCAGAGTGGCAGCAGTGACTCCAGTCAAAAATCCACCCTGCAGAAGGCTTGTGAATGGAATGCGAGCCTCGGTGATTTTTAGGGAGGCTGGGGTGTGCTTTGTGATGAAGTCGGTGAGGGCGCGGTGATTTTTGGAAGAGACGTAAACCAGCGCAGTAGCAGCAAGCGTGGCAGTGATTGTAGTCGCAGCTTTGAGGGCCTTTGATGGCTTCTTAGGGGTCTCTGAAGCAGAGGGTGGCTTGATTACACGAACAACTTTGGGTTGAACAAATTCATGTGCATCCGAGACAGTACCAATTAGGAACGTCTCCAGAATTTCATTCGCATCCTCTGAGTGACCAACATCCTCATATGCAGAGGTTGCATCTGTGCCGGCGACATCTAGCAACACATCCGCACCACCGGGGTGGTCTCGCACATAGTCTGTGACATCATAGACTGGGTATGTTAGAAGCCTGAAGAAGATAGTTTGGGAAGGGAAATATTACCTTTGCCATGAATGATAACAAAAAGATCCTTTTTGGTGTTGTGAGCTGCGACTTCGCTCGCCTGGAATTCTTTCAAAGATGCCATTGTGTATGGAAGATGTGATATGAATGTGTTTTGAGCGTGACACAGAACTGGAGACAATTGCTTTATAGTTTTTAGAAACTAAATGGACTATTTATCTTTATCCTATAGAGATTTTCTGATTACATATGTCGCATTTAAGTGTAAACAGATGTACTTTCCGAGGTACACTACCTCGGCATCTATGCTTCATAGTATCCATAAATAGTTTCCATAGTATCCACAGAACAGTAAATGGACCAAAAGAAGACCTCGGGAGATCGACTAGCGCACATTAAGCATTTACCCCTGCCCCAATGACGCCTCTAATCTATAGACCCACAACTGCCGCGTTGAATTGGCCACTGACGTTTTGATAAAGAATTTCCACATTCTCATTTCCACGGGAGGTCTTTCCGAGGAATGAACCAAGATATATCGTCCTCGGTATCGTGTTTCTTGACGGGGCCAACATTGAACTCCATAGATCTTCCTTCTGGTCTGAGTAGTGGGTAATGGACTGCCGAGGGTTGAACGGAATAGCAATGACAATGGCAATGGAATAATGGGATAATGGGACATAAAAGGAACTCACCCGCCGCTGCGATTGAACCAATACACCACAGACTAGACTGCTTTACACTTCAACTACACAAACCTTTTACTTTATTTACAACATGTCGTCACACTGGGAACCTCCCCGTAATTACCGCAACCGCCCTGTTGCCATTCTTGGCGCAGGTGTGCTTGGCCGCCGAGTCGGTCAGTATCCCATCTAGCCGTGTTATTCAAGAGATCGAAGTGCTGACAAAACTCTGATATCAGGATGTATCTGGGCTTCAGCCGGCTACGATGTTAAGATTCGTGACCCCAGCCCGCAACAGCGAGCAGACGGAGTTGCATACATTAAGGAAAATGTTCAAGCATACGCCGCCAAAACCAAGCAGATACCCGGATCATACGAAGCCGTCGAAGATATGAAGCAAGCTGTTGGAAATGCCTGGCTGGTCATTGAAGCTGTTCCCGAGAAGCTCGAGCTCAAGATCGCCACTTTCGCTGAATTGGAGGCCCTCACTCCTTCCGACTGCATCCTGGCTTCCAACTCATCCTCATACAAGACTTCCGAGATGCTCGGTCAGGTCTCGGACGCCACCAAGGAGCGCATTCTGAACATGCATTACTACATGCCCCCGGGGTGTATGATTGTGGAGCTCATGACCAATGGACAAACTGCCCCGGCGCTATTCCCTTTCATGGTTGAGCGCTCCAACGAAGCTGCCACAAACCCATATGTCGCAAGAAAGGAGTCCACTGGATTTATCTTCAATCGCTTGTGGGCTGCTGTGAAGCGTGAGGTCTTGACTATCTTGGCTGAAGGTGTTTCCGTTCCCGAGGAAATTGATTCGATGTGGAATGAAATGTTTATCAAGGGAAAGAGTCTTCCCTGCCGGACAATGGACAGTAAGATATTCGCTTACCTTCCCCTGATTTTATGAGAATTCTTTTCGCTGACAACATTGCCTAGATGTTGGCCTAGACACCGTTGCCTTCATTGAGGGTCATTATGTGGAGGAACGTGGACTCTCTCCCGAGAAGACGGTCAACTTCTTGAAGACCAATTACGTGGACCAGGGCAAACTGGGAACAAAGTGCTCCAAAGGTGGCCTCTATGCTCCTGCCGAATCAACTCCTGTCAAGGCCGAATCAAAGAAGCCCGAACTTCTGGTGTTGGACCTCGGACTGTCAGCCAGCACACCCAGCATGTCATCAGGAGAGATCCTCCGGATCTCCGCAGACGGCCAGCAACAGAAATCAATTCTCAAAGGCCAAGCATTGCCTGATGGAATCGCTGTTGACTCTGGCCGCATGTTCTGGACCAACATGGGCGTTCCTGGAAAGTCCGATGGCGCCGTTTACTCCGCCAACGTGGATGGAACCGACATCAAGACACTTGTTGCCCCGGGTACTATCAATACACCCAAGCAGCTGGCTCTTGATTACGAGGCCAAAACTGTCTACTTCTCTGACCGTGAAGGGTGCCGCGTCTACCGTTGTGCCTTCGACGGCTCCAACCTGGAGGTCTTGATTGACAACAGTGGCTGCGATCTGACCCCAGTGGAGCGTGTCTCCGAATGGTGCGTGGGTGTCGCTGTGAGCCCAAGTCAGGGTAAATTCTACTGGACCCAGAAAGGACCTTCGAAGGGTGGCGAAGGCCGGATCCTCTGCGCCAATATCACAACCCCCCAGGGTCAGTCAGCCAACGCTCGAAGTGACGTCCAGGTCGTTCTGTCTGATCTTCCCGAGCCAATTGATCTTGAGGTGGAAGAGGACTCTCGCACACTTTACTGGACCGATCGTGGTGAAATCCCGTGGGGCAACTCGCTGAACAGAGCCAAGTTGGGTGAAGATGGTCTCCCTCTGCCAACCAGTTCCCCGAGAGGATATGAAATCCTCACCCGGGGTCTGAATGAGGCAATCGGTCTGAAGTTGGATTCCGTCAACTCTCAGGTCTATCTCACTGACCTGGGCGGATCTATCTACCGGTGCGGCCTGGATGGCAACCACAAGGAGAAGGTTCACTACGAGGAACACCGGGCCTTTACTGGAATTACTATCCTGTAAGCGTAAGCCTGGGAATTGCTATCCTGTAAGCCTGAAATAATATAGAGATTTTTGTATTTAACTAGAATAGATATCGCGTGCTTTTTTAACTTCAGCATATATCGCGTGAATTTAACTTGCATACTACATAAATACCGTGTGGACGTCATTGTAAAAATACAAGGGTAGGCCACATAAGCGGCCTTGTGATATATTTTTAGTAGTCTTTTTAGATATATTTTTTTTAAATATCCTCTCCCCTTCTCAGATAGACGGCAGAAAAGGGGACGGGGTGGCTTAACTTGTGAAATGGACTTTTCTATGTATGACTTTTGATGTATACGTCTTATAAAAACTGCTCAGGTGTGATACCTCGGGCCACGAAGACCCCTAAGGCATCCTGTGCAGATCGCCATCCTGTGTAGCAATTTATCTTTTCCTTGCTTCTCAGTTTCATTTATTTCGTATGAATGTACGGAGTACCCCTTTTCTTCTTATCTCAAATTCCAGCCATATTCCTTAAAAAAGTTTTACCTCGGAACTGTCGGGAAGGAATGCCGCCACCTCGGATAACTACTAATACTCGACATATTCGGCGACCCGACTACTACCCGACCCTCTCTCGGCAGACCGACACATCATTACTTGGCAATCTCCAACATGTCTACACGCCGCTATCGATCGGCTGCTGCTTGTCAAAATTGTCGCCAGCGCAAAGTCCGCTGTAGCGTGACGGTGACCGGTATCCCGTGTATAGGTTGCACGCAAGACGGCAGAGAATGTACCGTTCCGCCCACGAAAACCCAAACGTGAGATTTTCTTCCTGACCGCTAGAAGCTTATCGCTGATAGATATAGCATACGCGAGAGACATTCACGTCGAACTGCGTCTGTTATTGGCAGCCCGCCTAACGCAGATTCCAGTGGATTGATACCACAGTCTTCACTTCCTGATGCATTTCAAAATGCACCGCATTCGCATAATACAGATCACCATGAGCTGGCTGGTATGAGGAGTGTTTCTAATCCCCCGGATTTCTCTCGGCGCCAGGAAGAAGAGGAGACTGGCGTTGAAATCGCAACCAAAGTCCTCGGAAAAAACAGCAGAGCTGGCGAAGCGCCCTTCTACACTGGTCTGTAATCACCGCGCGAGTTTTGTTTTCACCTGAAGCTAACCCGAAACCGAAGGTGATTCGCCTGGATTTGGTGCCGTCTTCGATATATGCTCGCCACAGCAGCCTGCAACAAGGCATATCCTGCTCACTTCCAAAACATCCGCTTCGCTATCTCCCGAGGATAAAGCATACCTGCAGTACAAGGGTGTCTTCAATATGCCTCGAAAAGAGATCTGCGAGGAACTTCTGCGGGCGTACTTTCATCATGTGCATCCCATCATGCCGGTGATTGACGCTACAACGCTTCCACAGCTCTATCCTAGTGGAGATGGTCAACCATACAATCTGATATTACTATGGAGCATTTTCTATGCTGCAGCGAATGTAAAGCCTATCTCCCCTAGGTGGAAATGCAATCTAGCTAACGTGGATATAGCATCTTCCGGCGGAAACTTGGAAATCAGAGGGCTTTTCGTCCAGAAAGGAGATGAAGGAATCCATGTATAATCGTGCGAAGGTAAGCAAACTAGCATTTGATCCATCCCAGAGTTACACTTGGCTAATGACCTGCTCTTAGTGCCTGCATCATAATGGGGGTGAGACAGACAACACAGTTCTCCTTCAATCAGCACTTCTCTTGGGATTTTACCACTCTGAAGCTGATACCTACACCCAACCATGGTATTGGCTTGGTATTGCCGTTAGCCTTTGCCAAACAATGGGTCTGCATCGTTTCTCTGCTGCGGTATTCGCCAATTCACCTATCACTAGACCACAACAGCGTCTTTGGCGCCGCCTTTGGTGGACCTGCTTCTATCGAGACCGTTGGCTAAGTCTCACAATGGGCCGTCCATTGAGAATCAACATGAATGACTGTAACACCGTCCCGCCAACTGCAGATGATATGTTGAGTGATTTTGTCGGATTACCCGAATCCGTAACGGCAGCATATGTCCCGAAGGACCTGCCGCAGCTAGCAGAATATTGGGTGACAATGATTCAACTTACTCAGCTTTTGGGGGACACTCTCACCTTGTGCTATCAACCCTTTGGAACCAGTCCCTCTTTCCAGCAGGTTGAAGCCCTTGAGCGAAAAATTTTGCGCTTTCAACTTCCCGAAAATCAGGAGACAGGACAAAGTCCACTTGCAACCTTTTACTTGTATCACTTGCAGCTTCATTACCAGTGAGTGTTGATGTCATATCCATCTATTATTTCTGCTAACGGCCAAAAGAGCATTCATAATCACCTTTTACCGTCCTTTCATCACAAAGGACCCGGAGGGGCTGCCCGCATCTCGCCAGGATATATGGCAAACTCACGTCCGAAATCAGCTCAATATGGCTGCGCTACAGACCAATTCCATCGTTGACAATTTGGCAAACGAGAAGCTGTTGACATTATCGGCTCCCATGACGTGAGTGCGCAACTATCCTGCGAATAATATCTTATCTGACAATCATTCCAGGCCACCGCTGTTAGTCCCAGCAATGCACGTCCACCTCCTCAATTGTAAATCCCCTGATCCCGTCTCCCGACGTCTGGGTCTCAACAAAATTGAGGTGTGCATGATAGTCTTGGAACAGATGCAAAGTACCCATCCCTGCTCTTCAGTCTTCCGAGGCATCTTTCTCGAAGCCATTCGTTACATTTTCCCAAACTATGCGGGTCAAACGATTCTCCCTAAGTTGGCTTCTGAGTCTTCTCCGCCGCAGGAAGTTCCGGCGGAAGATCCTATGGCAGGAATAACAATTGGCGAAGATGCCATTGATGCGCTGATGGATGAGGTGTCGATTTTTAATTTTTGGGAGTCCCTTAATAATATGCAAACTTAGGCTTCTGGAAATATATATGAGCAGATATACACAAATGACAATGCGTCCGCGAAACCAGCTGGTATGGAAGAAAACAAAATGAATCAAGCTGTAGAACACGCAAATTATACTATAATCGCCTTGAAATCAATAGTCAATCCTTTAACAGCAAAGGAATGATCACCAGCGAGGATTGAAAGTCACCCAGGCCGGGTCAACACTCCACTCATCTGGATCCAACCGCGCAAGCTTCAAGACATCCTCGAAAGTCAGCCCATCAATATTCCTTAGCGTTGGATCCGCTCCCCTCAAATGCAAAGTCTTAATGGCGTCCATACACAGGTTTCGAGCTGCTTTGTGCAAAGGAGTTTCACGCAAGCACAAATCCTGAGCATTGATTGACGCACCCTTATCTAGGAGATTGAGTATAGCATCGGCCCAGTTTTTGGCCGCACACATGTGGAGGACTGAAATATCTCCAGCCATCAAAGCATCTGGATCGGCTCCGTGTTCCAAAAGAATCTTTAACTTGCCTCCTCCATCAGTTCTTGCTGTGAAGTGAAGTGGCGAAGCCCCTAGAATCTTAGGATCGGTGACGGGTACGTCGAGTAGGGCTCCATGGTCGAGCAATACATAGAGTAGCTCCACCGACTTTCCATGTGCGCATTCGTGAATAGGTGCCCAACCCTTGGAATAGATTAGTGGTCTGGAATCACAAAGGGTTTGTTAAGCAGGAAAGGTAATGAACGATGAGAACACTAACAGAGTGGAGATTTACGCCATTCACATCGGCACCCGCTTCTAGCAGCATTTTGGCCATCTTGGGGCTGTTTTTAAAGCAAGCCTCTTGTAACGCGGTTCGGCCAGAACTGTTCGCGGCATTAGGATTGGCGCGGTGCTGTAGTAAAATCTCTACGATTGCCAGGTGACTTTTGGCGATTGCCCAATGTAGAGGAAAACGACCACTGGTCCATATCGTACCAATCTGGGGACCATCACCGAGATGGCCCATGGTCAGGCTGTATTGGCGGATGTTGACATCGGCGCCATATCTCAGAAGGAGTTCGGTTATTTGAAGATTGCCAAGCTCGGCCGCGAACGAGAGAGCGGTGCGGCCGGTCTTGGGGTCTTGAGTGTCGACATCCACGCATCGTGACATGATATCCACCAAAGGGAAGTCAGCCTGCCGCACGGCGTCCAAAAGCCTTTTAGCGTGCTCAGGGTCTCCGAATTTCGTCGGTATCTTAGTCCTGACTGTGCCTCATCGGTCAGTTGCTTGGCATACTGGACAAAAGCCGATCCAGCATCGTCATCAAATTTGTGCTTGTTTTTCACGTTTTCTGCATCCTGGCCTTTGTGCACTAAAAGAGCTATCCGAAGTGAAAGTTGCCTTGGCGATGTTAGACATTTGAGACGGTGGTGAGCTAAGGATGTTCAATCATACAGAGTCAAAGAGGCCATAGCATGGGAAAATATCCCTTTCGTTGCTTGAAAGCGTGTGATCATGGTGTAGACTTCTTTTCTTGTAAAATACCACTTCATGTACCTGACATGATGGCGTCTTAGAAGCGGCTGATTTGGGCCCCCGCTAGTACCTGCAATTCCGGATCCTTTTAATTTTTCTAAGATCTCAGAGCAGGTATTTTCGCAGTCCTTCATGGGATACTGCAGGGTCTTCAGAGCTCGGTCCAGCTGGTCGTCCTCTTTCACCACCTTGTCCACATTTGCCGATTCCAAAGCGGCACCCAGGTTTTCAACTAGTGTCCGAAAGCCTTCGATATCGCGTTGGAGAGCCCTGATTTCAGGAGGAGCATCTTTGATAGTTTGAACGAGCTCATATATGGCCGAAGACGCCTTGAGAGTGCCCTCCACAATTGCAATCACTGCAGAGATTGTTCCAAGTGTTTCCGCCATTGTTAGTGCTTGGCTTGGGATTTTTATTCAAAGCGACTTTTATGCTGTCGGTCAGCTGTAAAGAATGATAGTCGGAAGAAAGTCAATAGTCAACAAGAAGCATAAAAAGGGGAACCTTAGCACAGTGGCTCCAGGAGCAGGTCAATGCTTTGCGAAACTCAGCCTCACGAGGGGACCAATTGCCTTCCAAGGTTATCAAGCGAGCGCGCTAATGCGTGAATAGGCACGTAACAAGAGCTAACCTACAGTACGAAAGTTCTACATATACTACCAATACTACTACCCTACTAACCCCTATAAGCTATTAACAGTTACTAGTAACTCCTTACGAGCTATTACCAGTACATGGTGGCCTGCTGACCTGGCGAGCAAAATGCCTATACATGCAATCTGATCATTATTGTGCATGCAAATACTGTCCGGTTAATCAATTTTTAATCTCCCTGAATGCTTTCTTTTTGACTCTTTCTCGGCCCCGATGCATCCACAAGGGCTTTTGAGGTTAACGAATCAGTGAAGTGAATCTGGCATCAGATGAGCTCCACTTAGGATGGGGCTACGGAAGGTGTGGCGCCGCCGTGGGTTCCAAGGTTCAGCCCCGCTATATGTAGATTTTCTCTTGAGGCAGTGAACGTACCAATTATAGCAAGGCCTAGGGAGTTGCCGAAATGTTTGAGCCCGCAAGATAAATGATCCGACAATGATCAGACCAAGAGTGGGAGTGGTTATGGATGAATGTCTTGATTGAATAAGAGTACAATCGTAAATCCAATATCTGAACAGGGAATAATAAGAAGTGAAAAGAGCCGAAGGCCTTGTGATATCAAATAAAGGCGCGGTATGTACAGTAATAAGCACAAAACCACCGCAAAGAGTAGACGCTATAGGAAAGGAGAAGAAAAAGAAGCTCCAATGCAAAAGATATCTCTTTACACGAAGAAACAAATCCAGACCTCATACACCCCATCAAATGATAAACAATAACAGCTTTAACCAGATTCCGTTCCATTCAAATAAAGTCTTCGAATCCAAAGTTAGAAGTAATGACAACGGGAGTATCCCACATGTGAACGCTGTTGAAACTCAAAGACACGACAAGACCCCAGATTGGTATTCATTCATGCAACACAGGCGAAAATGACAGTCAAGATACATTTGCTGTTGGAGCAAGAGCTGGAGAGTAGAAAAACATGGGATTTATCACAGGAGAAGAAAAGTGCACAAGATGCATGAAAGAGGAGGAGCGTGGGAGACTCTCAGGGTATTAAGGGGGGTGTTGACCAGTCATTTCAGAAAGAATTGCCAAAGGCAATCGATCATCGATTGGGCATGTGGTTTGAACCAGACCCTGTGGAAATTCCTGATTGATGAGCGCGATAATGTACTACATCAACAGGTTTAGACGGGAGGGATGGCGAGGTCTCCCGTTGGAGAGCGGCTGAAGGCTGGAACAAGCTTTGGCGTGCAGAAGGCGGAGAGAAGATGTGATTGTGGGATGGGGCGTCGGTAATAGGAGAGCGGTGTTCGAGGGCATGGTTGAGATGCGGTTGTGATTTCCGCACATCCAAGGGAGATGAACTTAGTGACCGGAACCCAGATTTGCGATGATCGGCATCATAATCTGGGTTGCGGAAAGGCCCTTGCGTTTGATGCCTTGAATCGTGCTCCATGCCGTAAGGGGTGTTGTTGGCGGATGAGTTGGCAGCAGAGGCATTCTCGGGAATGGTGGATGCAGATCCATTGGGTGCGTTGATGTCTACCACCCGCTTTTGAGCGGCTGGCGTTGCATATGATGACGGTTGCGGATGCTCAAATGTACGGCCTTGCGGTCGAGGGGGCTGCGAATGCTGTTGCTGTTGCTGCTGCTGATGGATGGGATGTTGTGGGTTTGCCCAGGGTGTTTGTTCTAGGAATGCTTCTTCGGCGGCCGAACGGAAAGCGCTAGAAGACATGGTAGACATGGTAGTCCGCGGTGGTATTGCTGACGAGTGCCGTGGTGCCGAAGCGCGAGACTCGATAGGAATCTATACCCTGCTGTCAGCAACTGATCAAATTTAGGAATATGAATATGACTTACACCCATCTTTTCAAGATCGTCATCAAGTTCCGCGGGCCGTGCACCCATCAAGGACGGGGCAGCCGGGAAACCAACATACTTGGCGACACCGGCCATGATTGAAACCTCCTGGTTGTATGCGCTCTGATGTGCGATTTGCTGTGAGCGACGGGTGGGGAATGGGATGATATGGTGGGGGCTAAGCTCGTCTGTCTTGAAGCGATCATGCTGAATGGCATAGAACTGCTTGCTGACTGCACTTGAATGCCGCTCGCGCGCATCCCGAATCCGCTGGTAGTATGTGCTATGGGCCTCTGTTCGCTCGGCTAGACCCTTGTGCATGAGTGACTTCATGCGGTATCGATACAAGTTTTGTTCGTATTTGATCTTGGCGTCCCGGTAACGTTCCACACACTCGATCTGCCGCAAGTACTCAGGATGCGTCGGGTTCGGACCGGTAAGCATCTCCAACTCGCGATTGAGTTTGGATATCCGTTCGTCATAAATCCTATGATTGTGAGCAACGAAGCAGGTGAGAGATGGGGCGATTTCTTACTTGTCACGTAACGTTGCAAATTCTTTCTCCAGTGTCGCTAGTGAATCCATAGCAGACATCTTTTTCACAGCTGTACAGGGCATCAGTATCAGTGGCGCCCAAAGGGTCCATGAAGGGGAAGACTTACACTCTTCGGCTCGAAGAACCGCCTCCGCGTCATCGGGCTCATCTCCTCGTTCCGTAGGGTCCCCGTCTTCTCCAAGAATCTCATCAGCAACATACTCTATTGTGGCCGCGACCCCGCCTTCCGCCTCCTCATCGGCGTCTTGGGTCCTTCCTCCTTTCCGCTTACCCTTTTTGCCCTTTTTGCCTTTGGAAGGCGGGGCTGGGAGATCCGACTCAGGAACTTCGTCAACCAGTATGCCCTCGTCATTGATATCCATGGAATTACCGAGCGGCTCAGGCGAGAGAGGGGTATCATCGTCGATCGGGTCACTCAAGTCACTCTTGATTGAGCTCCGGCGTTTCTTCGTGGGCTCTTCGTCGCCGAAGTCGGCGACGGTTTCGTGTTTTCGTTTCTTGTTGAGACTATCTGGAAACTCGGAGTCGCCTAGGTCGCCCAGGTCTGGAATATCCTCGGTCAAGCCGTTGTTTTTTGAAGACCGTCGCGGTTTGCTAGGAGAATCGTCTGCCACAAGTTCTTCATCGTCGACATCATCGAGTGTTGTAGATTGATGAAGCTTGCTAGGACTTGGTCCGGCACTAGCAGCACTCAACACGATGTCGTGTTTCCGGATGTTGTGTGGAGAATCCTCGATGCGCTCGGTTTCCGCCTCGGAATCGTTCTCCATTGGCTTGTCTGATTTGATGGGATCTTCGAAGTCGGACGGCTCGTTGTCCGAGACGTCGTCGATCTCACTCAGACTACTTGAGCGTCCGTCATCGTCCATGAGCGGGTCATCTAGAAAAGGGTTCCGCTCGCCATTGGGGAATGTGGACTCTGCCCCCGTTGTGGGACCAACGGAGGCCTGTTCTCTGCTCTCGGCTACCTCCATGGACAATTACGCAGCTAAGAGAGCTGGCGCAACACAATGTAAGTGAAGAGAAGAGAGGTTGAGGGGGGAGGGTATTGGGTGGTTGATTGCTTGCAGCGAGGTTGAGATTCGCCGCAGGCGTGAGGAGAGGGAGGAGAAAGGTCACCGATCCGCCAGATGGTGTTTCGATCGAGAATCTGGACAAACCATAGATCGAATTAGCTCAATTGCCATGTCAACTCGGCAAAACCAGTGGAAGACGGAGTTGGTGGGCAAAAAGTGGTTGGTGGGTGCGAGAGATAGGTCAGCGCCTCCAGAAGGCGGTGGTGCGGAGATTGATCATCGAACGCCCCCAGAATCGGTAACAATCGCTCAGCATAGGGACTAGAGGCCGCGCAAAGCAAGTGTACCGATCACAGTAGTTCCAGAAGACACAGAGACACTCCCTCCTCGCGAAAAATGACCAGATGAAAGTCTGGGGTTGATGTAGAACCTCAAGCGACGTACCGTTCCAACAATGCGCCGGGAGCGACGCCGGTAATGAGCACAGCTGCTCGCGACCGAGCACGATTCCCAAAAGCACCGCGTTCCTGAGACGCGAGTTACGACTTAAGTCCAAGCCCACGCGTGTCACCACTATTGTAACCCGTAAAAGCTTTCGGTCTGACGAATCCTGCGCAGACCGACTCTGGAGAACGAGGGGAGGATGGCTAGGAAGCGGACAAGACGAGGGTACCGAGTCGCAGGGGGGTTGACGGCATGAAGAAGTGGCCAGGGACCGTAATCAAGATCAAACCAATGATCAAGGATGAGAAATCACAGCCGAAAGAGGGGGGTTTCAGCAGACAAAAGCAGCAGATCGCTATGATGGGGTGCAGCAACAGAAGCGAGTGACCGCTGATTCTGCCGCGTTGCGTTCCGGCGAGGGCAAGACTCACCGCCCGAAGAAAAAAGCAAATCACGTGAGATTGTATCTGACGTAGTTGCAATGGGAAAGGCCATCTTGTGTAATAATATGTTGATATTGCACTTATCCCAGAAGAAACATGGAAGGAATACAGAGCAAAGGATATGTTCATCGGTCTCACTATGTTAGATGGTGTATAAGTGCATCATACATCCACAGCTTACCGCCCGATATCCCAAACAAGAACCTCCCAGCCTAGAATACACAGAGAGAGGGCAATACTTATAGACTAGAAGAGTAAGTAATACAGAAAGCCTGCATAGGTGATATTCATGCATATCTATCATATATAACGTACGATGTACCTTACATAGTAGGAACATCTACTGCTAGGTAATTGTACTCCTAGTCATGTGATAAGCAGCTTTCCGCGCCAAGACCCGATAAGCAGAAACTAAAGGAAAAAAAAAAAGTCGGAGCTATCATCGGCGCAAGTGTCAATTGCAACAAACCCACGTCTTGGTCACTCAATTTTAAACTATACTACAGACCAAATACATCAAAATGGGCAAAAAATCAAAGTCTTCATCCAAGACGGAGGAGAAGACCAGCAAGTCCGCTGGCACTCTTCCCTTCGGTGGTGCATCTCTGGACCCAACATTGTCCTCGCTTTTTGCGCAAAGTGTATGTCTATCTTGATGTGCAATTAATGAGCTTTGAACTAACAATATCTAGGCTGGTCCTGTGCAAGCCCCCGTGATCAAGTACGCTGAGCCCACCCAACGGGCGAAAAAGGACGAAGATGATGAAGAAGAGGAGGAGGAATCATCTGCGTCAGGCGATGAAGTAATGGAGGATGCTGCCGAAGGAAGCGATTCTGAGGCCGCAGAGGAAGAAGAACAACCTACCGACACACAGAACCGGAAACGCAAGCGTGGCAGTGCCGGCGAGGATGTCGAGGAGACATATATGCGTCGCATTGCAAAGGAGGAGAAGAAAGACGAGGAAAAGAGGAAGTCCGAGCAAGCAAAGCGCCAAAAGCAGACCGAACAAGAAGGTAGCGAGGATGACGAAGGCGAGGAAGGCGAGGACTCCGACAAAGCATCCGGATCAGAAGACAGCGATGAAGAGGAGACCGCCCCTGCACCTGTGCACGAGAGCTTGACTGGTTCCGCCAAGACTGATGAAGTTGAGAAGTCTAACCGCACTGTCTTCCTGGGCAATGTCTCTACGGAGGCTATCAGGTCCAAGACCGCCAAGAAGACACTTCTCAGGCACCTGGCCTCTTTCTGCTCGACGCTTCCTGAATCTACGGGCCCGCACAAGATCGAGTCTATCCGTTTCCGCTCTGTTGCATTCGCCAGTGGTGGTGGCATTCCCAAGCGTGCTTCCTTCGCGAAGCGCGAGATTCTCGATGAGACCACACCCAGCACCAACGCATACGCTGTCTACACCACTCTCCACGCCGCACGCAAGGCCCCCGCCGCCTTGAACGGCACCATGGTTTTGGAGCGTCATTTGCGAGTTGACAGCCTTGCTCACCCCGCAGAAATTGACCACAAGCGCTGTGTCTTTGTCGGCAACCTGTCTTTTATTGACAGTGAGACACCCGAAGAGGACGAGAAGACTGGTAAGAAGAAGAAGGTTCGCGCTCCCGCCGATATTGAGGAGGGTCTCTGGCGGATTTTCAACGCCCACACTGGAGGCAAGGACAAGAAGGCCATCAAGAAGAACGTCGAGTTCGTGCGCGTGATTCGCGACAGCACCACTCGTGTTGGCAAGGGATTTGCTTATGTCCAGTTCTACGATGGCAATGGTGTTGAGGAGTCGCTTCCGCTCAATGGAAAGAACTTCCCGCCCATGCTCCCCCGCAAGCTGCGTGTCACTCGCGCCCGCAAGATCGCTAAGAAGCGCGAACCCACCGGTCCTGAGACCAAGAAGTCTCGTGTAGACGAGGCCCAGAAGACTATGCAAGGACGTGCCAACAGGCTACTGGGCCGAGCGGGTGCGGCTAAGGTGAAGGCCGATGCTAGCAGTACCATTGCCGGCAACTCTTTCGTGTTTGAGGGTCACCGCGCCACTGAAGGATCATCATCCATCAGGATGAAGCAAAAGAGCCGTGGCTCGAAGGCCAAGCGAGAAAGCAGAAGCAGCAAGCGGGCTGCCGCATACAAAGCTAATGGTGGCAGACGGGGCTGAAAATAGAAGAAGCCATATTGTATCTCTTATGGGCGTTAGGAAGGGCATTTGAATATATTGTATGAAGATCACAAAATTCGAGACCAGACATGCATAACTTGAGCATCTACATAGTAATTTCCAGCCCTGGTGATATACCGCGTATTCAACAAAATCAATTACGATGAAGCTCTAACTGGAGACACTGACGTCATTGTCAACAATCAACGACCGTAAACGATCAACTGATCAGCCACATGTACATGTTCTCTTCCCACCATCGATTGTTCACTCTCGTTAAATGCCACTCTACCTTGAATTTCTTTCAACAAAGTCAATAGCTTCAACGGTCCAAAGTGAACCAGATTAGTTCCACCCTCGGAGCCACTTCCATTTGGTGTGCGGGGGTCGAGGTGTATGAACGACTCGCCAAAAACAAGGGCCAAAGCTGACTCCCGAGGTCGGGTAGTACAGAACGAAAAGAAAGTTCATACGGATCGTATTTGACCGGTTGCATGTGTAGTTGTGCCGTTGCCTGAACCGAATAATCAACTTCACCGCAAAGTCCAACGTTGACGTCTATACGTGTCCAGGTGTCACCAAAGCTTTTTCAAGTCAGCACCTTAAACCCCATTACTATTATCATGTTGCCTTTCGGAGTTCGCCCGGGAAACCAGCGCCGGTCCCATCGCCAATCCTCTGCAGATACGAACGGCACAGATTCTGATGGGTCGGAGAAGTGTCTCCCTGATCCAGGACCTCAAGTGTTCAATCCCAACTTAGTGGATGTACTCAATGTTCGGGATTTGTTGCAATGGAAGATCCCACGTGGTCTGCCCGAGGAGCTCGTCGATATGATCATCGATGCTGCGGAATATTGGCCTTCGATAGAGCAGAAAATGCAAGACCAACGGATCATCCAGAAAGACTGTGATCAAGTTTTGCTAAAGACAGTTCCCCTCTGCTATGATCGGAATGTATGTCTATCCGTTCTCAAGTTATCTGATGGGCCCGTGCTGATAATCTGTTTCTTTTTAGAGCTTGGAGCAAGAATCGAGTCCTACCCCATTACCTCATCGCGGAGCACACCCTTGCCGCAAGATAGTCTTCAATATCTCATCTCACGACCAAGGCAACGGGCGATGCCACGACAACATGTATGAGTTTTCATATACCTGGTTTGACACCGAAGTTATTCACGGCGCCCATACGAGGAACATGTATGACAATGGGACTGAGCAAGAGATCCTCGACAATGAGCGTGGACAAGTCCGAAAACACTATACCGAGGCGGATGCGCTGCTACTACCGCGTGACAACAGATTGCAAGTCAATGGAGCCCACGTGAGCGAGATGCAGCACAATAAAATTGTTTGGGACTATCGGGATGATATCCAAGCAGACTCGCCCGAGGCATTTGAGATTGAGAAGACTCTGGGTCGTGGCCGGCTTACTTTTGATGGACATGGAGTGCGTGAGTTGGAGGTTGGCGATTCAATTGCCATTTGGGCCCGAGCAAGGTTTCCCGGCTGGTCAAACCAGGTTTATCAAGCGAGTGTGAGAATATATTGGGCTGTATGAGGGAACGGTTAGATCAAGGACAACTACAGACATGTAGATATGGGATCTTGTCTGGTTTTCTACTAAATGACCTGTCAGAAGAATATCTTATACCACATCTTAGCTCCTAGATCAACAGTAGACTCCATCCAACAGCCCTACAACATAGAGGATTGTACCTCGATATATACTTGCTAAGCGATGATTGGCTTTGAAGCTCAAAATCGATCACGCCATTTTGCCAAGACTAGCTGATCGACGCCAAAACAACACAATATAAAGCCAACGGCCTCCTCCAGCTGCTTTACTCTTTTATTTCTCCCTGATGCTAGCTGTCATGCTGTCCAAACGTGGACCTGCAAACTTCCCTATACTATGAACATGGTGTTAATCCCATGAGCACCCCGGGGCCTCTTCGCATACTGAGCACGGATCGACCCTGCCGACAGACCGACGGGAAGCGCACAGTGGGGCCCAGTCGCCGATTGAAAGACCCCGGGTGAGTCACCGAATGAGTCGCCGTCTGAAAGTCCCGGGCCATCACAGACCGCCAAACGTGAAGCAGCCAATTTTAGGTCAAAGATCTCCATCTGCGGGACAAAGATGGATTGGCCAATCCATGTCGATAGAACGGCGACCCATCTCGTCCGAGAGCTACACATGTGTCATGGGATATTGGGGACCTTCGCCTAGAGCATAATGAATTTTCCCGCTCTATTGCGATGTCCTGACTGGACGCTGGTTGCGTTATCTGCATGAAAATATCACGCATTCCGTCGCCGATGATGTCGTCCCCTGGGTCTTACCCGACTGTTTCCCCCCCTTTTAAAACCCCGTCACGAACCCCGTTGCAATATCTACTGCGATTCTGTTTATTTAGTTACTCAAATCAACGCCGTTTTTACTTTTTCTCATTCCACATTTTTGAATTGCTTCAGTCCTAGACTCGCTTTGCTATTCTCACTCCCGTCTTTCAATCACTACAATCTCAACATGGCTACTCGGAAATGCGCAGCGGTCGTCGTAGGAGCCGGTCCGGCTGGAGTTGCCGTCATGGGAAACTTGTTGGAGCGCCAGCTGGGTACAATCACATGGATTGATCCTTCTTTCGAGGCCGGGAGAGTCCATAGCAAGTATCGCGAAGTTCCTAGGTTTGTACCCGATTCTCGACACGTAAACACAGGCCGGAAAATACTAACGAGATATCATTCAGCAACACCAAGGTTTCATTATTCCAAGCATTCGCAAAAGCTACACAGCCTTTCCAGAAAGTGATCGATAACACCAAATCACCTAATGCCTTCACCAAATTGGCCAAACTCGACCAAGAATCTACCTGCACCCTTGGTTTTGCAGCGGATATGGTTCGTGGCCTGACAGACGGTCTAATGAAGATGGAGCAAGTATATGCATGCCACGGCTTCGTCAAATCAGCCAACCTCAACGAAACGGTTAGTGAATTTATTGCAAATCTACATCTATATTATACATGAAGACTAATAATGGCATCATATTTCAGACCTCCAACTGGACCATTAGCATCAAAAAGAATGCATCCGAAGATCTTGAGATCATCGAGACTACCCGCCTGATCCTCTGCACAGGCTCCTTCCCCACAACAGCCCCGATCCCCGTCCCGGGACTGGACATCCAGCGCTTGGACCTCGACCTAGTCCTCAAGCCCACCGAGCTAGCAAACACGCTCCCCTCAGACAGACCCATCTCCGTCGCCATCGTCGGCGCATCCCACAGCGCTATTCTCGCCATTCTGAACCTGACCAAGCTCGCCCAAACCTCCCATCCACTCCTGCGCATTAGTTGGTTCACCCGCCACCCCCTCCGCTACGCAGAGTACAAGGACGGCTGGGTCCTGCGCGATAACACCGGTCTCAAGGGCCTGGCTGCGGACTTTGCTCGCTCCGAGCTGGAAGACGAGAAGCTTGCTACTTCGCGCGCTGGCCAGGTCCTGGCCAAGATCGACTGCGCTGGTGGCCAGGATATCGAGTCTGCTCAGTACCATAAGTACCTCCCCGCGTGTGACTATCTTGTCCAGGCCGTTGGGTATAGCCGTACCTCGCTCCCTATTCTTTCGAAGAATGGTGCGCCCCTCCTTATGAGCTTTGATCATGATACTGGCACGTTCCACGAGCCTGGTCGTACATCGGATATCCCCGGGCTGTTTGGTGCCGGTATTGCGTTCCCTGAGCGGGTCGTGGACCCGCATGGCAATGAGGAGTACGCGGTTGGGTTCTGGAAGTTCATGAAGTTCCTGAAGCGGGTCGTCCCGTCATGGGCTGCATAATGGTTTCATGTCTTGTTTTGATTTTGTAGATTTTGTGCTTTTTGGTCGTCCTGAGGACACTGACCACGGTGCCCGTGCATTGTCTAGCGGGCTATGATTCCAACGTTTGATACCGATATCTGTGGAGTAATTGGCGTTGTTTTGGGTGGCTTCGGGGCCTTTTTATATAATTTCTAGCTGCTATGCAGGCTACAATTCAGAAGAGCATCGTTCTTTTCCCCTTCAAATCGATCGCATTCGCAAAATCTCCTAGCCAGTCATCAGTCATCACCAGCTGGCACACCGTAATCCAAGCACTTGCAGAAGTATTAGCAACGCTAGGGCTCGATAATTCGAATTGAGCATCCGCGTATCCAGACTGCTACCACCCAAAGTATATTGAAGACAACAGATGGACGGATGGCCAGGAAGTGGGCAACTCGTAGAGTTTGAGTCACTGCATACTAGAGAGGTCTAAGGCTGGTAATTTATAAGGGTTTCGACATAAGAAAGCAACCTGTGTATCGGATTGTTCGTCATTTGAGTAGTATATCCAGTCCTTTCCCCCAACATAACAGCCAGCCCAGGGGTAGCCATGCAACACATAAGTCGTCAACGCCACATAACATCCAATAACCCGATCATATCACATCATGAAATACCATAGAAACATCAATTTCACCTCCCGTCCACCTGCCAGCACAGTCTATCCATACTTTTATCCAACCACCAAGTTACAACATAACAACCGCAAAAACACCAGCCACAACAGCGCCAACACCACCATTCCTCACAGCCCCAGCACCACTATCAGCAGTCTGCGTCGCAAACGCTTTATCAGTGCCAGTAGCCGTGGCACGGTAGTCACTCTGACTAGCAACAGCCTTGCGGTCATACCCAGTCGCGGTAACAGTATAAGTAGTCGAAGCCTGAGACCAAGTGAGAACCGTACCGCTAGGAGGCGCCGAAACCGTCCCGCCAACTTCGTACAGGGTCGAGGTACCGTTATTAGGGAAATCGCCGGGCTTGTAGAACTTATCCGCATCCGTGAAACCCAAGTCCTTGCACTTCGTATCCTTGAGCGTCGAGTCGCAAGACGACCACGCCCAGTTCGGCAGGGAGGTGTATAGATTGGGTAGATCGGAAGGGAAGAAGACTCCCCACATGTCTGCGCCGGCGAGAGTGGGTTCAGTGTGTGGGCAGATATCCCAGGATCTGTGGTTCGGGGGTTAGTTGGTGCTTTGGAAGAGTCGCGGTTTGGGTGTGCATTACTTACGCGGAGATACTAGCGCTCGCTCCGCAGCAGGCACAGTCCGAGGCGCGGTTGGCAATATCGAGACCGTTGTTTAGGTTCGACAGGTCTGGGATGTTGCCGATGTCTGTGCTGAGTTTGTCGGTGACGTCGCGCATGCATTTTATTTGCTGGTTGCGCGATGATAGCGTGGTTTGCGTGACTTTGCCTAGATCGCAGGAGCAGCGGTTTGGCGCGTTATCTGGAGGTGGCCAGAAGGGGATTGGCTCTTTGGCGCTGGGGCAGATGGCGAAGTATTGCTGCACGAAGAGTTGGTATTTGCAGGAGTAGACCTAAGTAAGGAAAGATTGTTAGCATGGGTCTATGCTAGTCATGAATGGCTGGTTCCTTGGAGCCTAAGGGTATATAAAAGCCGTACCTGGTTCCAGCATGACTCCGCCATGCAGTTGATATACTTCTGGTGGGAGTCGCAGCCACAGTCCACGGCACAGTTACCATTGCCGTTGCAGCCTCGGATGCAGGAGCTCCACTTGTCGGCGACATCCCTATTGCACTTTGAGTACTCGGATGTAGAGGCGCAGTCTTTCTCGGTGATGTTTGTCTGCGCATTGGCTAGGCCAGAGAGCGCCGCGACGGTCGCAACCGACGCAAGAAGGAATTTGGATAGCATAGTGGATCCTGTTCTTGTTGGATAGGACTTGATCGAAATGGATGTATCTGAAAAATGCTCCTCGGCTCTGACCTGAGCTTTCAATGGCACTAATGAGGAAGCAAGAAAACCCTCAATCCTAGGGAGGATGCAACAGCACCTTTATAATAAGCAGATTATGCAGCACAGCCCAGATTCGACCGAAACGAAATCTCTTCATGGATCCCCGATCCTCGGGCCCATCAATGGGCTCTGCTGCAAGTTAGGGGTTCCATCATTGCAAACCCAGCTGTCATGCCATCGTTCGCAGCAACCAACCAATAAGAGATGTAGGGTCATAATGTGACACAAAAGAACAAGCTGAGCCACTCATATTTCAAAGGAAAGTGGATGACGACGACCCCAGTTTCCGCATGTCTTCTGCATCTATTGCATATAGGCAATCACATTTTCTTTGGTAAAAAGCATGGTCGATTGATAGATCAGAGACCAGATCCAGCATCCGCCCTATGAATTGATCGGATGGACTGCATGTTTCGGGATTTCCAGCAAAAGCCCTGTATAGTGCTAGGAGCCTTGCTTCCTCTGCAGACACGAGGTGAAGTGGACTGTTCCTGCGATCATAGATTTGTGAAGACCCTTGCTTGGAGTTGAGCTTTTGATGACGATAGCAGGGTGCTATTATTAAGACTAGACATAAGCGATGTGGTCATTTTTCTTGGGGCTCCCATGTTGTTCATGCGGTGTGTCGAGAGACATGCATTGGATTGGGGGTTTCTTTATGCCAGGGTTGGATTTTCCATGCGCGGGTGCCTAGCATGGCCCGAACCCTAGGAAGTATGGAATAGACCCTCGAAATCCTGGAAACACATGATGTGGTGGTTCAGATAGCAATGACATAGCTCACGGAGACCTGAAACGTCGAGTCGTTCAGCAGATTGAGATTTCATCGTAGAGGGGACCTAGTACCTGGTGCATGTGGGAGTGGTCACGAGTCAGGCACAGGGCCAAGTCGGACAAGCCAAGGAATTAGTCGAGACGATTCCGTATCAGAGCGACTGTGTCTGAGTATATAGTTTTATGTACGTCCATAGGTACATACATAGCGTGTTCATGCCATGTAGTGAACCTTGCAAGTATACGAACTCGACATACGGAGATCGACCCGGGACTTGAATATACACTTGTACTCTGTTAGTAAAATTAAAATACAATTCTCTCCGTCACAGTTACTAGTCAAAACTAGTCGAAAGACTAGAAGCAGAATGTAACCCAAAATTGTGCTTATCAACTGTCAAATCCTTCCAATGCCCCGAATCCCCCAATCTTGTGGAGAAGAGAAAATCCCTACTATGAAGGGAAATTTGCTTGGTTTTTCCAAGACTATGACCGTCTCCACCAACGGTCGATCATTATTTATGTACTTCGTACTTCAGTGAGAGAGGCCCCCTTACTGGGATGGTAAACTGATATTTAGTGAATCAGAATAGGTAACGTTCCAACTCTACAGAGTACAGTAGGCCCAGACTAGTCACTTAGTGTATGTGAAAGATATCATTATATTTAAGGGACTTTTGACAGCAATAATTTAGCGAGATTAGACTACAATTAAAAAAGTGGACGCGGGATTATCCAAATTAATGATTTCCCCCACTGTCGTTATGACAGATCTGGTCAGATATATACAGAAGAGAATACACAATTATAGAAAGTAGATTGTAGGAAGTATACAGTCATTAACGCTGGCCACACACAATAATATAGAATCAAATAATAACAAACCCACAACCCCGACCGTAGTCAAAGACCGGAATGTTTTGTACAGCTGCACCCGGGAAAAGGGACAGAGGCAATAACACAAATTAATTGGCTGTTTCAAGATACAGCCAATCGGAGAAGAGAAGAAAAAAAATATATATGTATATATCAATAAAGCATGTCAACGTGACTCTCGAACAAGGTCTCGTTCGTGACAACATCTGTATGCATAGTAATTTACAGCATCAGAGCACCGGCAACGAGGGCAAGCATGCCACCGGAGACACGGTTGGCGATACCAGCGTTGGTGGTGGGCACGGCGCTCTGGGATGCGGAGGAGCTGGCGCTGGCCGAGGTGGACGCGGCAGAGCTGGAGGTCTCGGTAGCGGAGGCGGAGGTAGTGGCGACAGTGCTGGAAGCGGTGGTCATGGTGGTGGGGGAGCTGGTGGAGACATCCGAAGAGCTCGAGGTCGACTTCGAGGTGGTGGTGCGGGTGGCCGAGGTAGATGACTCGGTGGATGACTCGGTGGAAGTAGACGTGGTGGACGAGCTGGCAGTGGAAGAAGTGACAGAGACGGTGGAGCCCTCGACGGTGAAACGGCCAATGTAGTTGTAGTCGTTGCTATCATCGTCCGAGACGATCTTAATGGTGTAGTCTGGCTGGGCGGCCAGCTTGGAGGGCACATCCCAGGTGTAGCTGCCGTCGTTGGCGAGGTTCGCTGGGATAAAGTTAGTGTCTTATCGGGGAATATTGAGTCATTCTGATGTATCGCTTACAGGCAATGACAGTTCCGGAGTTGCCGCTGATCACGGCTCCCCACTGCAGGATCAGGCTCACAGTGCCTTGGGTGGTAGGCTTCCATGTCAGGGCGGTAGGCACGCCGACCTTGAAGGTGTATCCATCGGTGGGAATGCTGAAGGGGTTAGCCTTGCTGTTTGCCGAGGCGACGGCGGCCATGGCGGCGATAGCGAGGGTGGTGAAGAAGCGCATTATGACTGATATGTATATATAAGGTTGGGAATAGCGATAGAATGTTCAAGTGGGAGATTCGGATAAAAGAGTGAAATCACAAAAGCCTCAAAGGAGTGGAAGGCGTTGTCTAAAGAGGCAAATATGGAAGAAAAGGCCGGAGGGATATTTAGTGTTTGCTTTATAACTAAGAGGGCATGTGCCCCATGGATAAGGAGCTAGGCACAGCCCGGCAGAGTCAAAGGGACGAAGAAAAACAAATACAAAGGAAGCAAGGCGAGTGATTGGCCATCGTCCATGCTGGAGAGGGTCCGCGATGGCCCGAGAGGGCCCGAGAGGGGAGAAAAGAGGGAAAAACGAGAGCATGGCGGTGATCCACGAGTCTTTGGACCACTAACGGCCTTCTTTTCCTCGCTTGGCAGGGAATCGCCTTCGCTGACTGGTGTGAACTCGACGTGACCTTAAATGACTATATCCACTTTGGTCGGCTACGGTCACTTCAACTCCGGTTGCCTTGCTATTTTAGTAAATCCGAACTTTTACCGTCTTTTTTTGGGAGATAAATTTAGATATTATTATTGGCTATGCAGATTATTGGCTGAAAAGCAAGGACAATTGGTCTTGAAAGAATTCGAATTAGACATGATTTGACCTAGTTATTTATTTTTTTGGTCTCTCTCTTTTTAATTCTCTGTCGCGTACTATCGGAGCCACGCGACTGAGGTTCGGCTAATCGTCCAAGTTGGAAATCCGGCCAAAGCCCCCCTACGCCTCCGAGCTAAGACCTTTTTTTCACTTCCTTGCGCATGAATGTTTCGTAGTTCGTCCAGTTCTGACGCTAATTCATTGGGGTATCGTGTGGGGCGGCGTTCCTCAATCCGCCAACATATTGTTCTGACCAAGCCAGACGATCGCTTCCATTGCACGGCGGTCATCGTCTTGCTTCTGTCGGTCCAGCAACTAATCTGTGTCAGTACAATTTCAATAGGAGCCGCAGAATCAATAAATGGGGCACTCACAGCTTGATAAAGTCCCTTGCGTTTCGTCTCTTTCTCCTTCTTTTCCGTAGGCTTTGCCTTGGCTTTCGAGCTTCGTTCAGAGTCATTTTCATGAAGGAATTTACACTGGTCGCCACGGTTACAGTGCCCATTACGTGCAAAATAGCGACAGACCGTCTTTTTGCCTTCGCGGGGTGGGGGCGGCACTCGCTCTGGTCCCGTGCGACGTGAAGTTGCTTGCTCTGGCGCGGAGTCATCGCTGTCAGGATCGGAGTCAGAATCTGAGCCAGAAGCACTTGAGGAGGTCCAATCGCTGGCCCCATGATCGGATGCGAGCTCCATGCCGTCCAAGCCATGGTCGGTTGGGTGCTCCGTCTCGATTGTGTGCTCGAGATTATGGGACTCGGCCAATAGCCCAGGATCGCCTTGCACCTCCGTCGCGTGGGAGGCGGGGATGGCTGATTGCGCGGGCTCTGGAATTGGGTCATGAGGCTCAGTTCTTATCGTTGCCTCCGGCACCGCGGTTTCCGGTTCAGTCTTAATGGCTGGCTCCGGTACCGCGTTTTCGGGTTCGGTTTTGAGGGCTGGCTCTGAGTCTGGCACCGCATTTGCAGGTTCGGTTTTGATAACTGGTGCCGGGAGAGGGTGCTGGTGCCTGGCTGTAATACCCGTATCTTCGTCTTGCTGAAAGTCTGCATTTAGGCTCAATGCCTCCTTCTGTAGAGCTTCCATTCGGAGTCGGGCAGCTTCGGTCTCAGCCATGGCTTTTTGGATTCGTTTCTCCTCTCGTTCAAGGTTGCGCCGAATCTTCTCCCTGCGCTGCGCGTTTGTCGTTGCATCTGCAGTGGGATCTGTCCTTTGTTCGTTTTGCTTTTGTATGTGCTCTTTTCGCTTGTCCTGTTGCTCCTTTTGCTTTTGTTGACGGGTTGCCTCCCGGGCTGCCTTTGCCTCCTCCATTGACTTCTTCTTTTCTTCAACCCGAGCTTGAGTGGGGAACTTCTTCCTCCGCTCTGCAATCCAAGCGGCAATATCGGACGGTGTTTGCAACGTAGACGTTTTTCCTTTGTATGAGACCTGAAGTGGTGCTGCGTCGGATCCACTTTGAGCCAGCTTCGATTCTTCATCCTCATCAAGCTCTTCTTCGCTTGACTCGTGGTCCTCGGTATTAGGGGTCAGTCCAAGTTGGTTGTGCTTCCTTTTTCTCTTCTTTGCCTTTCTGTTGGCTGTGGAGTCTGCGGCGGGTGGTGGCTTCGAGGGCAGAGGGTTGCCAAAGCTTGGGACCGCAGGCGCAGCGGGAGTCCGAGGTGCAGTTGATTGAGGCTTGTTGAATGCGGAGGAGTGATCCCGCTTCTGGGTATACTTGGGTTTCGGACCCTGATTGCTATGCGCATGAGGAGGTCGTGGCCCTCGTGCTTGCCCGGATTGGGCCCCCATGTATGGTGCCGCACCTTGCATCTCATTGTGCCATGGCATTTGGGGCATCATTGTTTGATTGTTTGATTGATGGCCATGAGGAGGTGCTGGTAAACCTTGCATGTATGTCGGGGTTGCGGGAGGGTAAGGTGTAGGAAGGTTGGGCGTATTGTAGTGTTGATAGTTCCCCGGAGCTACCGACTGGGGATATTGTTGAGATGGAAATGGGGGTGGGTTTTGAGGATTCTGAAAGGCCGGCGTTTGTCCATGATGGTAGTGTTGGGGAGGCATATAAGGTGCTGTGGGAAGAGGTTGAGGATATCCTCCATACATTGGTTGCGCGTAGTTGAAACCTGTAGGGGGAAGATATGATGGCGCTCGTCCACTTTCTGTATGATTTCCTCCTCGGCCTCGATTGCCCTGCCCTCGTCCACGTCCCCTCTGACCTCCGCCATGTCCACCGCGTCCGCCCCAGTTCTGTCCATGTTGGGTCGGGTTGTGAACCGGCGCCTGGTTAGTTGCCGGCGGCGGAGGCGGCGGAGGAGGGAAAGAAAATCCCTGCGAGCTCATGACAAGAGCCTTTGGTTTTGCCGGAGACTCCAGCACAAACACAATAATCTCGTAAGCTTAGCGTATTGGCGGAGTCGAGGTTGAGATTGAAAGCTTCCGTTCCGTGGTCACGTGCGGGCGGGATTCTAGGAGGAATAATCTCAAAAGGGTTTTTGATTGCTTCAATGACAATGGTAAAACGAGAAAAAGATATTTACACCTTTGCACCTTCTCACTTCGTCACTGCCTAGTCAGATCAACCTCCTGGCTGCACCTTCCCCACCGTTACCATGTTTATCCTAGTAAGTTTGATGCCCATATATAAAAACTTTTTCTAACACTAGCAGACCACCATATCGGACTTGATCCAGATTTCGCCTGAGGATTTCTCAAAGTTCAGTGCAGTTGCACTTGAAGACAACATTAATGCAAAATATGCCAATAAAGTGCGCAATTCAAGCTTCTTCCTTCCGGTTTCTAAATGCTTATTCCGCCCTCTAGGTCATTCAAAAAATTGGTCTCTGCATCAGCTTCTATGACCTACTTGAGTCTTCCGATGGCCTGATTGGCCACGGAACCGGGTTGGTTAATGTCAACGGTAGATGATGCCAGCCCTTTCTCAAGTCTGAGATATTTACTGACTATCACAGTTAAATTCCGCATGATTGTATTCCGACCCTTCAAAGGGGAGATCATGCTGGGAAAGATTGCTAGTGGCACAGAACATGGAATCAAGAGTTCGTTTCAAACACGAAAACTCAGTGCGCGTCAAAAACTAACGATTTCCAGTTGGCCTCGAATTCTTTAATGACATTCTGATCCCGCCACAGATGCTTATGGAGAAGTCCCGATTGTGAGCTGATCTCACCTCATATCAAATTTAAAACGCTAATGTGTCTTGTAGTGACTATGCCGAGCAGGTATGGATCTGGGAGAGCGAAGGCGGAACGGAATTTTTCTTCGATGTGGGAGAAGTTGTTCGATTCCGAGTCGAATCAGAAGAGTGGCACGACCAAATTCCCAATGCCCCAGATGTTGCGGATGAAACCCCACAAGAGAGGCGTCCTCCGTATTCCATTCTCGTTAGTCTCTCCATCACGCCATTTTTCTAGCTCTCACTGACCATCTTCTAGGGCTCGATGCAAATGGGTGGAACGGGGCCCATCACTTGGTGGTAGGTTGCTGCTGTCAGTACACCACCATTTGATGTCTCATTAGACTGTCTTCTTGTTCGCCTATCGTGGCTCGTTCTCAGCGCCCATAAAATTTCTTTTAGTGTCAGATCAGATACCCATACGAATCAATGCCAATGAATATATAAGATACAAGCCAGAAACCGCGGGGCCCTAGATCAGTTCCTTATACGAAGACATTTATTAGCTATTAATCTTTAAGACACTCTCCCAGGTATACAATCTTAGAACATAGTTTTGTATAGGAAATTTCATCGATCGGTTTATCTTCCATATCAATGTAAGCCAAAACATCCCTTGCAGCCTTGCTTAGATCAGTCATAGTAGCATGGTCGCTGGCGAGCAGGCTATTGGGGGCACCTGGCATAGTTTTCTCGGGATTGTCGTGCATCACGATATTAACGATTTCTTCGTCACCAACGCCTGCCATCGGTTGTCGGTTCCTGTGGGGTTATATTTATGATGCAGCTGGTGGCAAAATATGTCGGAAAGCTTCGTTATAACTTTCCTACCTTCAGCTGAACTAACACAGTTTACTACAAGGAATGTCCTGGGAATCATGTATACGCATATTGTGTGAGCCAGTCACGGTGGACTCCTAAATTCATATGATGAAGCAAAGCAACCGAGTACTTCGTATACATTATCAAGATCTGGGTTCTAGTAATTTGGAGGAAGTTTTAATGTTTAATCTCCGAGGAATAACGGACTATATATTCAACATGAAGTCCAATTCGATGGAAAATCAACTCGGTTCTTCGTATTGATCGTGCAGGAATTTTTCGAATAATACATGCACTAGCCTCATATGACACCATTGGTCACAGCATACACTGTGGTCTAGCTCAGACCAACACAGCCGCGTCTCAGAGAATCCTTGTGCGATCTCCATTGCGGGTAGACAACAAAATATACCCAACCACCTAGCGTTACATTTCGAGTCCAACGAGCAAGCCAGTGGCTAAGCGCCCTGTACTGACCCAGGAGCGGCACCGGCTGTTGTTCCAAAGTCAGATTTTCCACCCAGCCTCTCCTTCAAATCGCCCATGTATGTCCTTGGCTTGATGCCAGCCTCGAATGTTGATCCCCAATGTTTTAGGACATCATCCACAACTGCCACAATTGTCCTCCACGAGTTTCTCAGGCCAGGCTCTGTTGCACCTTCTCCGACAAGAAAGCGAGATTGATAAGCCGTCAACTGTGGGGGAGGCCGGTCGAAATTGCTGAAAGCCTTGATCATGGACACTCTGCCAAAGTCGATCTTTTTGTAGACCGCGCCCAAAAATAGAGCCATCAGCCTTCCCTGGTCGTCCTGGTTGGTATTGCAAGGGCGTGCCTTGCCGGTTGTAATAACGTTGGCGTAGTACTCGACGTTCTCCCCTGCCACGTTTCCATGCCAATATGCCTGTGCAGAAACAGTGTCGCATCTTGCCAGAAACGGAGCCTTCTTTGCTGCATCATAAACATAAGTGGTCCTGAGCTTTTGCGAAGCTTCAGAAACATCCTCGTATTTGACCTTTCTGCCAACACGGTAAAAGCGATCAACGAGTGCCTCGTTGAGCTTATAAACCTCCGTTCCAACGGTCAAAGGATACTTGTACGGCGCATCCTGCGCATATGAAGAGAAGTATTGTCCTGAGAAATTGGCGGGCAGGTCGGTTCCCAGAAACATGTCGCCCCATTCCCATTGGATTCCAAATGTGCTGATAGCAGCTCCTCCGGCAGTACCATATTTGGGATTTACCCCCCGGTACCAGTGACAATGATGTAAGTCTTTGTGAGATCGACTCCGGGAATCAACAAAAGGGAAGTAATCTGCGACGCCGAGACTAGCTCTTGGCCACAGTCGAGCTTGCAAATGGCACCGTCGGTGGTACAGGCAAAGACCTGGTCAAACAAGTCGCCGGTGTATACGGTGGTAAAATTGTACTCCTCAAGATAGCCAAACTCGAACGTATTGGCGATAAGAAGCACCTTTGGAGAGACAGGTGTACCCGGAGTTGCGGTTACCAGAGATGAAATTGCGCTCGCAGACGCCGTTGCAGCGATTGTAGTCGTAGTGAGGGCAGCGAGAACGAGCGCGGCCACGAAGGCGCGGAAGGAGGTTTGAATGTGCGATTGCATGGTTGAGAAAAGCCTGAATCGTTCACTTCGGGATTTCTATGAGCATTTATAATGCTTGTTGCCTTTGCAGTTTCTTGTGTATATTATGTATTCTTACCACTCAACGTTTATCATCGGTACTGTCCGATAATTAGGGTTTGACACAATGAGGCAAAGTTTAAAGAAAAGTTTGATACTTACCTTATCTACCTACATATGTAGGTACATATGCTAGCTAACTTTGAAGCTCTAGAGATCGGCGACTTCCGATGATAGTCTAATTACATGTCATGATATTGTCATTGTAATTTGTTGATGTTGCTATCTTCTGGTGAACCGTCTGGAACATCACTGCAATCATTAACGCATTGACTTTTGCTACTTATTGGGAAGCCCTCTAGATCTAATAGTAGGACCCACTACCCTCTAAGGGCTCTAATCATATAAAACTTCGACACGCCAGCGATGGTGGTTGTGATTTCATTTACCCTGGCTGGTTTTTCCTTGGGAGATACAATCTATCATAACTAGAAGTACACTTCTCTCACTATCTTACGGCACTGTATCAGTTATGGACAAATTTGAAGGCTCCTCGGAATCCGTGGTAGCTGGTCTATCTTAGAGTTTTGCTAAGCTGATAAAGCTTCACATTAGGTTCTTTATCATGCCAAGTGATAAAGAAGAATCCGCCAAGCAGCCAGCCAGCAGCAGAGAGGAATGTTGGATATTATCATCGGCGACATCCGCTTCTCGTAGACATTACTGGCAAAAATGGCTATTCGTGAAGATTCGGACTCACCCGCAAAGATGATTAGGGCTTGGAGGGTCTTCAAGAATAAAACCAGCGGTATTTTCCTCCACTAGGATGGTGTTTTTGTGTATTAAGATTCATCCCTCGGCCATTCGATATTCATCATGTACGACTGGGTGCATCACACCAATCTATGGGTGGCTCGGAGCCCCATCGGGCGTTGGTTCCTTCTCGAAAACTCTGGTCACGTTCGTGTTTCTGTTCTGTTAAGACTTGCTGTTTCAAACTGACCCAAAAAAAAGCCTCGCGAGCGCAAAGGCAGCTTCTTCTTCACGGAGATCCGCGCTGGTCTGGCCACCTTTTTCGCCATGGCCTACATTATCAGCGTCAACGCCACCATCACCTCCGATTCAGGTGGCACCTGTATTTGTCCTCCCGAAAACCAGGCCGACCTTTGCAATTCCAACACTGCATACATGCTATGCGTGCAGGAGGTCAACCGCGACATCGTGACCGCCACCGCCGCCATAGCCGCCCTGGGGACCTTCTTTATGGGCCTACTAGCCAATCTGCCCGTCGCCTTGGCTCCGGGCATGGGACTGAACGCCTACTTCGCTTACACCGTAGTCGGCTACCATGGCTCTGGCATGATTCCCTATAGCGTTGCCTTAACTGCCGTCTTCGTCGAGGGTTTTGTGTTCCTGGGTTTGACCCTGTTGGGAATTCGGCAGTGGCTGGCCCGCGCCCTACCTGCGTCCATCAAGCTGGCCACGGGCACAGGCATCGGGCTATATCTGACGCTAATCGGGCTGAGCTACAGCGCAGGGATTGGACTGGTGACGGGAGCGGTTGATACGCCGATGGAGCTAGCTGGGTGCGCGTCCATTTTACGGGATCCCACGACGGGGCTGTGTCCAGCCAGTGCAAAGATGCGCAATCCGACCATGTGGATCGGCATCTTCTGTGGTGGTGTACTGACCGCATGTCTGATGCTGTATCGAATCAAAGGCGCTATCATCATTGGCATTCTGCTGGTGTCGATCATTTCATGGCCGCGGACCACGTCAGTGACCTACTTCCCGTATACGGAGCTAGGTGACAGCATGTTCGACTTCTTTAAGAAGGTGGTAACTTTCCATCCGATCACCCACACTTTGGTTGCACAGGATTGGGGTATCGCAGAACACGGGAGCCAGTTCGGCCTTGCCTTTATCACGTTCCTGTACGTCGATATCCTTGATACGACTGGCACGTTATACTCTATGGCACGCTTCGCTGGAGCGATTGATGAACGCACGCAGGACTTTGAGGGGAGCGCACTAGCTTATGTATGCCTTTCAATATCTGACAACCAGTACCAGGCTAACGAATCTAGATGGTCGATGCTATCTGCATCTCGATTGGCTCCCTTTTCGGCACGCCCCCGATAACCGCCTTTATCGAGAGCGGCGCTGGAATCTCTGAAGGTGGGAAGACTGGCCTTACATCCTGTGTAACAGGTCTCTGCTTCTTCATCGCAGTATTCTTCGCCCCTATCTTCGCGTCCATTCCGCCATGGGCGACCGGCTGCACGCTGGTGATAGTGGGGTCACTGATGTGCGAGGCGGCCACCAAAATCAACTGGCGCTACTACGGTGATGCTATCCCGGCATTCCTGACGATCTCCATCATGCCCTTCACGTACAGTATCGCGTATGGGCTAATAGCAGGCATCCTGAGCTACATTGTGCTGAACGGGACGGTATGGGTGATCGAAAAAATCACGGGTGGGCGTATTGTGCCACCTAACAAGGACGAAAAAGAACCGTGGACGTGGCGCATCTCTGGGGGATTATTTCCGCCTTGGGTGTGCCGACTGGCTAGGGGGAAGAAGGATTTCTGGCGACCAGAGGACGAGGACGTGGTTCATCTGGGCATTGGAATACCGGGGGTTTTGGAATCTCAGGAGCGGATGGAGAAGAGGGAGACGGTGTAGTGGAAAACTGTATAACATGCAATATACGGTAGTGGGAGCACTTCTAATGCTAAGACCTGTGTGAAACAGTCGCTTTATTTCGCATGACAAAATTGAGAAGTGGGATCTGATTGAGAGTTCAAAGATACTGTATACAGTATTCTGCTTATGAAATCTGTAGTACCTGCAGTAATTTGGCAGTAGGCTGCCTTCATGGTGCAGCTGTAATGGATCCGTGATGGGGATGGCCGTCAGCTAAACGCAGCTGACTGCATCTTTACCAGAAATCGCAACGAGGTTAGAAGTGCTGAATGCGAGTTGATGTTATGTCACCATGAGAAGTGAGAATGCGTCGGTCATGTTCTGCGTCACATGTCCGACCATATCGACTTGTTTCCAAAGACCGTGCAAGAAGGCTGCGATGAAGTGGCGAACAAGCTTGGATATTTACCACTGGCGATTGATCTTGCCGGTGCGTACATTGGTAATAACCTTGCTCCCGAACATGTCCCCACGCATTATTTGGAGGACTATGGGAAGCATCGCGTGAGCTCTTGCAGATGGACCATCTTCGAGGGCTTACCCCTACTGAGAGAACAGTGTGGACTGTATGGAATACCACCCTAGAGAAAATCGAAAAAGAGTACACGCAGCTGCAGCCTGGTCTACTATTGACATTTTTGGCACACTTCGAAGGTACGATTGCTCAGGATGAAATGTTTCGTCTAGCAAGTCTTAGTATATCTGTTGTCAACGATGAGCTTGGCGAAGGGAATTCCACTGAGCTCCGAATGTCCGACAAATCGAAGGAAAACGGGACAAGTTCACGTATCGATATAGTATAGATATCCTGGTTACAGTCTAATACAGCGAGTGCACGGAGAGTGGCCCGGTACCACAATGGTGATACAAAGTATACATATGTATGTTTTGTGCTGCCAGGACTTGCCTAATTTAGATCTGCAATGCGGCAAGTGCCGAAGACTCCGACACTCCGACACCTCGGAGTATCCAAAAGATTCTCCGAGCAAAATTGCCGGCAGCCGGTGGAGCTCCGTCGGTCCTCGTCCAGTCGCAATCGCGCGATCCATCGTCATCTGCCTCCCAGAGGTTGGTAGTATGTAAAAGATTCACTTGACGAATTTTATTTTTTTTCGGTTGAATTTTTCAGCACGACAACATCCAAAAGCAGACATTGAATCTGTTTTTCGCCATCACCCTTGATTATCAATCAGATTCGCAATACTCTCATTCCGTTTTCAGACAGTCATACGAAGAGTGATCTCATCTTATCGATAAACATATAAACTACCCCTCGCCTCCCTCAATTGCCTTAAAAATCATCTTCTCTATACACAATGGGCTCCATGGAAAACGGATTCACTAACCGCGGCTTTGGGACACTGGCTGTCCACGCCGGCTCGCACCATGACCCCGTGACCGGCGCTGTCATTGCTCCGGTAAGCTTATCATTCTAGGGGGAATACAAAGACGGTATTAACAATGCATTGCCTAGATCTCTCTGTCCACCACATTTGCTCAGACCAGCGTCGGAAACCCTGTCGGTCAGTACGAGTACACGCGGAGCTCCAACCCCAACCGGTCAGTTTATTAGTCCCCAAAAGTTTGACACATCGATCAGGCGGACTAATACCCCCGCAGTGATAACTTCGAGCAAGCCGTCGCAGCTCTCGAGCACGCCAAGTACGCTCTGGCCTTCTCCTCCGGCTCCGCCGCTACTGCCAATATCCTCCAATCCCTTGCTGCTGGCTCCCACGTCGTTTCGGTCTCCGATGTTTACGGCGGTACCCACCGATACTTCACCAAGGTTGCTTCGGCGCACGGTGTCCACGTCACGTTCACCCCCAGCATTGAGGTGGATGTGGAGCAATTGATCCGCCCCGAGACCAAGCTCATTTGGATCGAGACCCCCTCCAACCCGACTCTTGGCTTGGTGGATATCCGGGCTGTTGCCAACCTTGCCCACCAGCACGGCATCCAGGTCGTTGTCGATAACACTTTCCTGAGCCCCTACGTCCAGAACCCATTGGACCACGGTGCCGATATTGTTGTTCACTCCGTGACCAAGTACATCAATGGCCACTCCGTGAGTTCTTACTTTCAATCTAGATCTTGCAAGTATCAATTTAGCTAACTCGAACTTAGGATGTCCTGATGGGCGTTGCTGCCTTCAATTCCGAGGCCCTCAAGGAGCGCCTCGGCTTCCTTCAGAACGCCATCGGCGCCGTCCCCTCCGCATTCGACTGCTGGCTCGCTCACCGCGGTCTGAAGACCCTGCACCTTCGCGCCCGCGAGGCGTCCAAGAACGCCACTGTCATTGCCAATGCCCTTGAATCCTCTCCCCACGTCATCTCCGTCAACTACCCCGGCATTGACTCCCACCCCCACCGCGCTATTGCCCTCAAGCAGCACCGTGAGGGTATGGGCGGTGGTATGCTCAGCTTCCGCATTAAGGGCGGCCAACAGGCTGCTCACGATTTCTGCAAGTACACTAAGGTCTTCACCCTCGCCGAGAGTCTTGGAGGTGTTGAGAGTCTGTGTGAGGTGCCTTCCAGCATGACCCATGCTGGTATCCCCAAGGAACAGCGCGAGGCCGCCGGTGTCTTCGATGACCTTGTCCGCATGAGCTGTGGTATCGAGGACTCCGTGGATCTGCACGCTGATGTGATGCAGGCGCTCAGCTTGGCTGCTGTGGCTCAAAAGGCTTAAAACGCAGCTTTTGATTGCATTTAAATATTAGAATAGACAGCATGAGTTTCTAATCATTTGGATATGACATTATGAATTAGAGAATCACCAAATCATACATTTACAATTATTCCAACCGGATCCTAAGACTTTCAAAATAGCATTTGAATCCATTATCTCCAAACTTGTATACTAATATTCTGCCTGAGGCAGCAATATGCTTAGTCATAATTCCACCCACTGCAATTTTTTGTATGGAGATCAGATCACAGCGTCTGTGAAAAGAAAGCCTTGGAACTGAATTACTGTTTAATCAGCTGGTCCTTGCCCTTGAATATACTATTTTTGTTAAAATTAGTGCAAGTTTGTCGGCAGCCTGCAATTACGACAAATTCTCATCATACGCAACATCGGGGCCACTTGAGTTGAGCCAGCCCACCTACACAGTACTAGGTGTCTTGGAAGAAGAGACAGCCATTTATCCAAGTGAAAATGGCCTTCAGCTTCGGATTCTCCGGGGATGATATCGACATTGATGATTCGGAGATCAATAAAGATTTCTCCGATGTGCCCTCCCAGCAAGCCGTGGGCAATTCTCTTCCTGAGCTCGTGAAACCGATTAAACATGATATGAATGAATGGGTAAGTGATTAAGCAAGATATTCCATTCTAAATTATGTGTATTATGCTACTGCTTTTGTCGTGAATGTTTTGAGCTGGCAAGTATATTCTAAATCCCAATTCGGGGCTATGAGATACTGCCCTCTATCATCGACAAGAGCATGAAAGCGTGAATTCCTTACTTTGAAATGCATAATACCTTTCCAACAGAGCCATAATCTAATCAGGATGACAGCTTTCAATTCTTCCCTCTCAAATCTTCTACAATAAGCTCGCAATCGGCGATACGCCTCTGGCCGTCGCTCGACGAGAGATCTTTGACATTCGCACCCAGCTCATGGCCGAAGACAGCGCAGGCCACGATAATGAAGAGCTTATTGCCGGTATTGAAAAAGGCGACATCACGCCCAATTTCTATGAAGGCGGCTTCAAAACCTGGGAATGTGCCTTGGATCTAGCCAAGCTCTCCCTCAATGAGGACATTCTTAATGAATCCTCCGATAGCCCGGCAGACATCCATATAATTGAGGTTCGTAAACACCCGTCTTGTGGAAGCTTTTCTCCAACATCTACCTGAGGTTAAGAAGGCTAACATGAATGAACAGCTTGGCGCAGGCACAGCGGTGCCATCATTGACGCTGTTCGCCCGTCTTCTCAGCCAAGCCGAGCCCGGCCAGAGCCAAAGAAAGACACTCTTTACTTTTGCAGACTACAACTCGGACGTGCTCCGTCTTGTCACGCTCCCGAATCTCCTTCTGACATGGCACAATAGCCGCTCCCAAACGGCTGTTTCGGCTGCATCAACTGCGCGGGACCAGGACGAAGAACTGGACATCACGCCTGAGCTGGCTCAAGAATTCAAGGATGATCTTGCTCAGCGTGGGATCTCGGTTGATTTCATTTCGGGCGCTTGGTCGCCCGAGTTTGTGGATCTGGTCTTCTCGTCTGGTGATGGCGCTCGCCAGACTCTCGTTCTTGCCAGTGAGACCATTTACTCGCCCGCATCGCTGGCGGCGTTTTCTGAGACGCTTTTGGCGCTTCTGCGCCGCTCGAACACTGTATCGATGAAAAGTCGGGCTCTCGTCGCGGCGAAGAAGGTTTATTTCGGAGTTGGTGGTGGCGTCGATGAGTTCCTTGCTGTACTGGGTAATGTCTGTGCCAATGAGCTGGACGTGCAGCAGAAATTGAATGTTCAATCTGAGGGCGTGGGTAGAGTAGTTTTGGAGGTTGTGCCGTCAAACGGGCCCTAGGGCGAATTCGATAATAAAATGAATATCCAATCTCAGCATTCAACGAATATTCCAGCGAGGATCTAGGCGTTAGGTTCAAAAACAAAAGAAAATCCAATTATCAGGTGCTGGATTGAACGTCAAGTCCCAACGTATATGTACATGATTTTTCCTCCACACATGTCTATTTCAGACAGCCGATCAAAAGAAAAGAGATTAGTCATAGAGCGACACAACCTTGCCGTCCTTCATCCGCGCAACCCGAGACTCCTCAGTCTCCTGGTTCTTGCGCTGGTAGTGAGCGACGACATGGCTCAGGTCGGCCTGCGAACCGGGCGAAACGTTGTAAGGAGAGCCGGCATTCAGCATACTGAAGAAAAGTAAAAAGCACAATTAGCACGACAAGAAAGAAAAGTATTTCCGGAGCAACAAGATCACATACTCCGGCTGTCTAAGTGCAAAACCCTCGGCTGGGCCCTGACTACCGAGCAAGTGGCGGTCAGAAGCAGCCTTCTCCATCATAGCGGTGTGGATAGCATTGCGTTGCTCGAAGACCTCCTGGGAAGGCGTCCACTTGTCAATGAGGCCGGCGATCCAAGACGGCTTGCCGGATTCAGTGTTGGACTCGGAGATGCGGTAGAGGAGGAAGGCGGCGGCGATGGAGCCGGAGGTGATGTAGAAGCTGCGCTGTTAAGTGGACATGAGAGGGTTAGCCTTGTGGTCGTGGGCCATTGAGGCATTTCTTGCTCTGCTTCCAGACTCGGGTCTGGTCGCGGCGGGGGAAGAGGAGCTTACGCCGAAGCCTTCGTTCACGGGCTCGTGGGCGGCGTGGGAGCCCCAGCGGCGCTGGGTGCGCAGCAGCTGCCGCGTCGAAGGAGCAGATCGTCTGGCAGCGAACATTGTGTGGAGGGAAGCAATTGGTGATGATCGATGACCCTTTGGGGAGCGATGATAGGGCGAGGTGGAAAGCGAAAGTCGACAACACGTGATGTCTGTATTGGGTTTAGGGCCATTCTCTATTTTGGTAGACATTGGGAGTGTTGGACAACATCTCGATTTATTACTAGTACTGTATTAGTTAGAGTATTACATTATTAGATGGAATTCTTTTGATACTATTCATATTTGAACTGGAATAGATTTGGGTATTTTCCTTCTCTATATCTTGACCTCGGAGAGTGGAGGGTGCACCCATGCATATTTAGTAGCACCACACGGCAAGACTCCTATAATTAATACAGTACTCCGTACTACTCTGCACAATCCATGGATGTATACTGTACAGATAAAAATAAAAATCCAAAATTAAACTGCAGCCCGATCTACTTGGTATACGAAGTAGACAATCATATTATGTCCAATATGCTGAGATGCTGAGATGCTGCTATGTTCGAAACCTCATCTAGTAATATGTGTTGTCCGATGACAGCCTCACTATTTGTCAGGGCTAACCACACTAATTTGGGCGAGATACGTCCTTTTGATATATCGCCTCGTTTTTAGTTCCCACACATATTAGTGTCACTCAATTGAACATGTCAGCTTGTCGGTGTCTATTTCCCCACTAATGCCTCGAATAGCCCGAACCCACAGTTTGATGCCCAATGTCATGGCGTCTCCCAACTGGTCTCGCTTCGGTTCAGAATGGAATATGGGTGGATTCGGATCTTCTTTGTGCCCTCAGTAATCCCGGTACTCGCGCGTAATTGATGGCCCTCTCGCACATTGGGGGGATATGGGTATCAACACGCTAAGGGTCGGTCCGCTATTGTGCCAGACAACGTTGGGATGCTAATTTTTGCGAGATATTTTTTGGATTTCTGTCGGGTTCAGCTTTTTCTTTCCTTTTTTTATTTTCTTAGATTGTCAATTGGTCTTACACCCCAAAATATCTACTTTGCTTTGGATCTTCATCCGCGCCAGTCAAAGAGAGGGTTTCAGGTCTCTGCCCGATCAACCGAAGTCTCTTGGCTTACGCTTCTAAATATTCCAAAGTCTTAATACCTCCCAACTATAGTCAATTTTTGGGCTATATCTTGAGGCATCGCCACAGGGGTGTTGCAAATGTACAGTGCAGTCATCCCATATGATCGGAACTATCACTCATGCTTTATTTAGTACTTTGATCCTATTGGTAACACGTCTCTCAGAGGCAAGAAGTCTTGGGCACGCATCACTCTACCGCAATGGCCGCGGGCAGCAAGAAGGCTAAGGCCAAAGACAAGAATGGCAAGGCAGCCACCAAGAAGGTTAAGAAGGGGAAGAGCCCAGAGGTCACAGAGACACAAACAACTACAACTACTCCTGCTCCTGGCAGCCCGGAACTTACGGCGCAGGAACCAGAGCAAGTAAAAGAGCAAGAGCCTGCTGTTGACAATACAGACGTCGAAGTAAAGACGCCACTTCCTGTATCAGCATACGAGGTATTCGACGACGAGACTAAACCTCAAGACACCGCCAACCCTGTCGCAGAGCAAGCACCACCTGTACCTGACAATCCTGTGTCAGCATACGAGGTATTCGACGACGAGACCACACCTCAAGACAGCGCCAGCCCTGTCGCAGATCAAGAACCACTTGTATCTAACAATCCTGTATCAGCATACGAGGTACTTGGCGACAACACTGCACCCCAAGACGTCCCCGTCGCCGACCCTGTCGTGGACTCACAATCGCCTGTACTCGAAAACCCCGTGTCAGCATACGAGGTGTTCGACGAGGAAACTGCACCCCAAGAGATCTCCGACCCTGTCGTGGATCAATCATCACCTATAGTCAACAAGCCTGTTGACGAAGCACTACCCTTGGACGAGCCAAGATCAACCCAGCCTCCTGTTGACGACACTGAGATCAAAGAGCCGCCCGTGGAAGAAGCAATCTCGACTCAGCCTCCCATCGAGGAAACCGAAACCAAAGAGCTGCCCGTGGAAGAAGCAAGTTTGTTCCAGCCTCCCATCGAGGACCCCGAAGCAAAGGAGCCCTTGGAAGACCATACCAAGCAAGATCAACCAACACAACTCGAGCCCTCTGAAGAGACGACTGTAGTCTCATCACCACCGGCAGACCCATTCTCCCCTGTGGCCGCCTGTGTCCCATTGCCTTCACCATCCTTGACTGAAGCACGGTATATGTCAAGTCCTTCCCAGGATAACCAACTTTATTATCCTGGACCATCAGCGTATTCCCCTTACGCTTCACCCGTCCCCTACTCTGCGCCAGCACCGTACGGGTCACCAAACCCCTACGCTTCGCCAAACCCTTACGCTTCGCCAAACCCTTACGCTTCGCCAAACCCCTACGCTTCGCCAAACCCCTACGCTTCGCCAGTGCCTTACGCTGCCTCCCCGGTGCCGTACACTTCGCCAAACGCCTACGCTTCTCCGGTACCCTACGCTTCACCTGCACTCTACGCTCCAGTGCCGTACGCTGGTTCCCCGGCGCCTTACACCTCATCCACACCTTACGCTGGCTCTCCGGTGCCTTACAGCTTACCGGGACCCTACGCTGGTTCACCGGCCCCTTACGCCTCACCAGTAGCTCACACTGCCTCGCCGGTGCCCAAAGTTAGCAGCCCACTTGCACGTTCCCATTACCCTCAAATGTCTCCAACTATGTCACCAACTGCAACTCCTCCACCTCAGAACCCACCATCTGCTCCGATGGCTCCTTCAGAAGCGCCTTCCATGGCCCAGAGTGGACCGTATGCTCTGCAATCTCCCGTCATGAGCTCTGCCGGAATGATACCTCCTTATGGGCATTATTCTCCTCATCACCAATCTGAGGCCCATTATATGAACCGGAGCTACAGCATCCCAGACCCATCATATTCAGCATCATATCAGGCCCTTCAAAATCTGTCCATGGGCAATGGCCATCCCCTTGAGAATGGGTCTCCCCCAGAAAACGACAGTGAGCACATTGAGCTTCTTCAACGCATCCAGTCGGCCATTCCAGACATCAACCGTCTTCTTCATGGGTTCCGCAACACCCACAGCAAGCTCTCGAACCGGGAGGCTGAGATGAAGCACATTGGAAGCCAGCACGACCAAGCTCTGATGCACAAAGACTACTACATTGAAGCCCTGCAAGCTCAAATGAAGAAGACTGCCAATGAAAGTGCCGAAGAAGACGCCAAGTTGAAACATACCATCAGTGAGCTGCGTCTCGAACTCGGAGATCTGCAAGAGAAGCAGAAGGACCTTGAAGATGGCTTAGCTGTCCACCAGAAGTCCAACGAGGAGCTTTCTGAAACCAAGGGTCAACTCGAGGGACAAATCAGCCAACTCAATGAAAGCATCAAGGAGTCAAATGAAGCCCACGAGAAAGCGCTGGAGACTCATAAGGAGGAACAGGACAAGGCTCTTGTGGCACAGAAAGAGGAGCTCACTGAATTGTTCGAGGAGATCAAGGCCGAGGACGAGAAAACGGCAGCCGAGAATCTGGAGACTCGTGAGCGTGAACTTCGCAGTGCACACGAAGCTAGTCAAGGCGAATGGGAGAAAGAGAAGGCCCAATTGCAGGAATCCTTCGAAATCCAGCGCACCGAGCTGGAGGCCACCAAGACAGAAGTGACATCCCAGATCGCTGCTTTGGAATCCAAGGAGACCGAGTTGCAAACCCGACTCACCGAACTCACATCGACACGTGAGGAACTAGCAGCCAAGCTGGCAGAGCTGGAAGAAACCCACCAGAAGAACGCCCGGGAATTGGAAGAACTTCGACAAGGCCATGCCGGTGAATTGGACTCCCTGCGACAATCCCACGACGAACAAGTCGCTACTGCTGCCAAAGAATTGGACGAGAAGATCGCGGCTCTGGAAGCTCACTTCAATGAGAAGGAGCAGCTCTGGACCGCGGAGCGCGCTGCCATGGAGCATCAACTCTCCGAGAAAAACAGCGAACTTTCCAGTGCTGAGCGAGAGAAGGAAAGGTTGGAAGGAGACAATATTGTCAAGGAGCAGCACCTTCAGCGTGCAGTGGATGGGATGCGAATGACCATCGATAACTTGGGTTCGGATTGCGACAGGCTGAGAAAGACACTGTCCAGCCTGGGAGAGGCGACTGACCTCAGAAACACCAAGGGCGATCAATTCTTGTAAGTGAGCCTTTGAAGCCCTGTGGATTTGCATTTTCTTTTCTTCCTTTCCTTTTTTTGCATTTCGTCTTTCCCCTGAAGACAAGTCATTCATTTTCGATATTTCCTTTGTTGAATTGCATCAGCGCACAGCGGACATACATTCTCTTATAGACTCATGTTGATAATGATAAATGGACACGATCTAATAAACTCTTTCATCTTTAGCTTGGACTGCTTCACAGAGCTCTCGCAGCTCATCCACAATCTATCCAAAGAGCACTTCGGATATCTCCCCATCGATCCCCCCAAAGACATCCTTTCCAAGATTCCATCCGAACTTCCACCTTTCCTTGACAACACCCCAGCCTCCCGCGAACTCCGATGTGCCTATATCCAGCACATCATCTCAAAAACCCTAACCTTCCGCGTCTTCCAACCCTTCCTCTTCACCCTGGGCCGGCGATACGACAAAGCCGACACATTCTTCCAGATGCTATCCATGGACATCCGACGCAAGTCCGTCCGCCGCGAGGCATTCTGGCGCCAACAAACCCTAAAAGCAGCCTACACGACCTCCGACGCAAAACAATCAATCAACGTAGCAGCAGCCGTCATCGTCGACGAAATCATCGACCACATCAAGCACTTCGCCGACCCCAAGCACCTCGACTCCCTCCTAATCGGCGTCCGAAAGATCGTCAAGCTCGCGGCCGAGACATGGAGACACGCACGCGTCGAGCGCGAGCTCGTCCTCGCCAATTTCCCCGCCCCGGACGCAGAAAATATCTCCAACGAGGGCTGGCTGGAGTACGCTGCCAACAAGGATCAGAAACACACCCCGTCGAACGAGCCCACGCGCCATGTCGTGCTACGCACCTTCCCGCGTATTACGCGTGAGGCTGCTCACGAGGACTTTGCTAGCGATGAAGAGAAAGCTACCGGATGTACTTACTCGCAGGGTGTTGTGCTGTACTCTGATTCGCCAGTCATTATGGGTCGGCTTCAGGAGTTTGCGAAGAAGTCTAATGATTCTCTGGTCACGGATTCGCCTCCTAAGACGCCTTTGGCTGTCAAGGCTATTGAAAAGTTGACGCCGATTGATGTTTCCTCTCCGAAGGTTATGACTGTTCGGTCAGCGCCTACGAGTCCGGGTGCGAAGGGTCAGTTTATGAGGATGTGATTTTGGTTTGTGACTTCGATATATTGTTTCTATAGCGTCTGAGCCATTTTTCCTTTGTTTTTTTCTTTGTTTTTTTCCTTTGTCTTGTCATCTTTTGTTTACGGCACATCTGTTTTGAGATTTTTTTGGAAACGTTTCAGCGGATTTGGATTCGATTCTTATGTTGTGTTTATATTTGAGTATTTATAGCTTTGTTTGAAGATTGTATGTAAACAGCAACAATGTTAGCGAGTTAGAGAAATCACTTTGTACCTGCACCACTCCAATATATATAGCACATCGTATGTCAAATCATATCTAAACGGTCACTCAAATATAACTTCAACCATAATAACTAATAAGCGGAACAAATAGGTAGAGACAGAACCCTCTAGAACGTTATATAACCCTAGCATTTATTATTCTGTGTTTTTCAAATCAGAGAGGAACGATGCCACTACGATGACAAGGATTTCCATTTCAGTGTCTTGACCCTTTTGCCTTCATAGCAAGAATAGTCGGCCGCTTATGCGGCCTTGTCAAGCATTTTCTAGTAGTCTTCTGAGGTAGTCTTCTGAGGTAGTCTTTTTAGATGTCTGTTTTCATAGATAGTGCCTCCCCCTTCTCAATTTGTTAGCTAGACGGGAAAAGATTGACAACAATCTTACACAAAATTTTCGGGAAAAGGAAAGAACCCCATTAGATTTCCTATAGTAGAAATTACATTAAGGGAATCTACATTTTTGGACTTCTATATAGGCCTTACTATGACTTACGGGTAACACTTCTAATCGGTAACACCAGCCTTTCAAGGTTATATCTCTAACCCTATCAAAATTTGTTGTTTACCTATTTTTGATACATTCATGTATTTGATTCGGTAAGCTATATCTCAAAGGTGAGCAATGCATCGCCAGCGGCATGAGTTCCCTAAATGAGTTGAATGGAGCTACCTGAGCAATGAACAAACGCAGATATTGAAGAGTACGAAGGAATAACCGCATATATCGATTCCCCAGCACAGTATTCAGACATCACCACTCTTAAATCTGACTTACATGGTCAGTGACAGCGCACTTCCAGTCGTCAGTGCCATAGTAGATGGTGTAGTTGTCATCTGGAGAGGCACCGGAGGACAGCTGCTCGCCATATTGCCAGAAGAGATCAGCAGCGTTGCCGGTGGTAGTCAGGGCGGTCTTTTGCCACTTCAGCGAGTCCGAGCAGTGGTCATTCTTGATACCGTATTCCTCGAACATGCAAGGCTTCCCAGCAGCGTCGCAGATCTTGGCGTGGGCCTCGATCCATTCATTGCCCCAAGCATTATCTTTGATGCCCCCTATGATGGGTTAGTGTGCTGCGTGTTTGGGATGGTCAGATAATATTCTTACAGTCGGCCACGTAGAGGTGGTACACTCCGAAGTCAATATCAGGGGCCGCAAGGTTCTTGGCGAAGTCGTTGCCTTCGGTGTTGGTGTAAGGGTAAGAGCCATCGGATCCGACAGTTAGGCCCATGCCCTCTATATCAATTGTCAGAATATATCAACAGTTTTGCTCATTTCGAGGACACAAACCTTCACCGGTGGTAACCATATGGTTAGAATCGAGGGACTTGATGTAGGCAGAAGTCTTGGCCACCCAGTTGGAGATGATGTCGGTTTCGCAGCCCGAGCAGCGAGGCTCATTAGCCAACTCCCACGCAAAGATGGCAGAGGAAGTCTTGTAGCGAGAGACAACAGCCTTGATGTACGCCTGGTACACGCCCTGGATCTTCGCATCGGTGTACCATCCTGTCTTACTGCCTCCATAGGCAGTAACGTAGGCATTCATACCACCATAATCATCCCAAGAATTCACAAAGGGAATGATAAGCTTGATGCCGTATTTCTCAGCAGCGGAGACAACGTAGTCAAGACGCTTCAGTCCATCAGCACCAGTGTTGATGGTGGTAGTACCAGTTGCCTTGTCGTGGAGCTGGAAGTAGACAGTGCCAGACGCCGGGACGGCGTTAACATCATTGAAACCCCAAACTCGGAGAATCTTGAGACCAGACTGTTGTAGATTTTTGAAGACGGAGTCAACATCCGCATTGTTGGTTTGGAATGGCAGCCAGTACGAGTTCGTGCCAGCGAAGTACTTGGTCTTGCCGTCAATGTTGAACTTGAGTCCATCCGCCTTGGCAAAAGAGCTGCGGGCAGTGGGCTGAGAAGTGCCCACGGGGGTGGACGAAATCACCGACACTGTTGATGAAGGCTGTCTGGTCGAGGAAACGGCAGTCGAGAAACTCGACGCCGGCGCCGAGCTACTCGCAACTTGTGCTCCTATCGCAGACAGAAGCACAACGGACGAGAAGGAACGCATCTTGTGTTATGAACGATAAACTAGGAAAATTGTAAGGAATGTTGTTGATTTGGATGCGATTGGAATTGAAGGCATTGCGAGCTACTTTATATGTCCTCCCGACACACAAGACCCCCTTGAAACTCTAGTCAAGACTTTTCGAACAACAATCATCGCAGCTTGTGACAATTGGCGAAAAGAATACGGAGTATCTAGTGGCATATGTCAATAGATCGACAGTTTCCCCAGGAATATTGAGTTTTCACCTCATCCGTTGACGTCCACCTGCATAATTCGGCCCCATTGCAGATGAACTGACTGATACTACTCCGTACCCTGCCTGGACAGCCCGGGAACACATGCTAGTGTTGGTCCTTAAAGGAGATTATTTCCAGCGATCAGGTGGAGTTTAACCCTACTCGGGTCTATCAAGGCGGAACTTAGCACCATCCCGTGCCGATTCGGGTAATTTCCGTCTATCGGCCCGTACATCGAAATGGATCCAAAGCTAAAAAAGATTCTCGAAGAGGAATACACATTTAAACCCCCTGTCAATGCATGAAAAGGCGCAAATACGGACACTCCGCACGGCGAGGATCCGTTGTGGAATCCGGGGTGCATGTTTCTGAAGATATCAATCATATTCCGGGGAATATTTTTCATACCACAGTAGAGAACAATCTTGTTGATCCTGTTAAGATTGTCGGAGTTTCCAAGGTTGGATCCCGGTGATTACCTTGGATATAGGGTTTGAGACATCGTCCAAGTCAAACACCCAACTCCTTACCAGACCCCACAGGCTGTTTCCAATTCAGTTCTAGCATCAGACAAAATATTCCATCTGCAAATTATCGGATCAGGTCGGATGCAGGGCACCGTCTCAAATAGAGACTCATTTTATAGACTCAGTAATCACAGGACTAGTTAAGAAAGCCACACTCTAGAAATATCGATTCGGTCACGGATAAGGATGAAAATGGTCTGATTCCTGAATAATCAAGGCCACATTTGGTGGCATTGATGCCGAAGAAACCCCTTAACGCCGAAGAAACGCCTCAGTGTCGAAGAGACGAGCATGAAAGACGCGGAGATTGGACAATAAAACTAATCTCACTTTCAGAGCTTAGAAATACGCCCAGGCTCCCCTAAATATATCGAGCTTCGCGAGTATAAAGCCTCCCGACCTAGCCTCATTCTCGGGAATTTCATTCAAGCGACAAGCCCTAAGAATTCCAACTCACATTCTATACTTCTCTCATCCACGTTTTCATCTCCTAGTTCAAGATGAGATTCTCCCTTTCATGTGTTGCTGCACTCTTCGCAGCTATGGCGCTGGCCACTCCAGTGTCCGAAGATGTGCTCGAAAAGCGGGACAATCGTGGCCACTACACCGTCTCTGGCCTCGGAGCGCACAAGAAGGCAATTCTCAATGCTGGCGGCAACAATCTCGATATTGCCATTGCCATGCTCGAGATGTAAGCATTCCAACTATGACATATCGCTGTATAATGCTGACAGTGAATCACAGTTCGGATATGGAAACTTCCCACTATCCCTATGGCGACGCCAAGACCTACGACGCAGCGAATTTCGGTCTGTTTAAGCAGAACTGGGGCCAACTCCGCGTCTGTGCCTCGCGCTACGGCTTTGTTGGCAAGTCCGAGTCGCAGTGGAACGATGGAGCCTTGCTCAAGTAAGGAAACCCTAGATATTATGATGTCTCGAATGATAACTTACTTTCCGAAAGCTCTAATGTGTATGCGGACGTTGCCTCCCGATGGGACTGCCAAAACTACTACGGGTATGACAAGTGGTTTGCTGGCCACCGCAACGGTGCTAGCGGCCTTCAGAATCCTTATACCCAGGACATTCTCAGTAAGCCTTCAAATATATGGCTATAATTGTGATTGCGACGTTAACACCTTCCCAGACTACAAATCGGCTGTCGAGTGGATTCAGCAGCAGGTCGACAGCAACAACGACTACAAGTATGACGATACTCGCTTCTGGGTTGACGTTGTTGCCATCTAGCCAAAAGGTGGCTTTATAGCCCCCAATGGACACTTTTCGATTGGATCTACAGCCTTCGTTCATGATATGGGCCTGAAGCTGGCTGCGTTGGCCCATCCAAAAGTTCTAAGTGATATGGTTATTACCTAGTTATTTTATAGCGATTGAACAACACCACAACGCTAAGTGACGGTGGATTTAGTGCCGAGAATGGTTTACTTTAAGTGTTTCCTAGTCATTAAATATTGTGCGTGATCTTTTTCAGCTATCTAACATATAATAATTCGTCTTTATGCGCTCTCATATCTCACTGTCTGGTATTCTCAAGTTAACACATTGTGACATGAGCAACACCTTTGACACTGCCACAAATTCTCCGTGTGTTGTGGATTGAAGGGGTTTCCCTCCCGACATCAAGTTTTGTTGTGAAGTGTAGAAACATCGGATCTTAGCGGAGCTGAACTCATAAATCTCGAACTATTTGATCTGATAATCCACTTGTATAGCATGTCGGTTCCACATGAATGGTTATATTGATGCATATTCATGTCTATATAATATTAAAGCCCTACGTACTCCGTACCTACTTTGTAAATGTATGAACAAAAACAAAAGTAGCTACAGGGTGAAATATGTTGGCTCATAGTGAAAATGAAGAGCGCTAGATGAGAATCCAGGAGGAAATATAAAACTAAATAAGTTTTTAACTGTCTTCTTCCCGTGTTCATCTCATGCTATTCCTATTTCTCATCAACTTGCTTCAACATCTCCTAAGCAGCTCAATCAATCCTTGACACTATACTAACCAACTACAATCCCTTCACCTTTTACCAAATTCCCACAAACCATGGGCTATTGGCTATTCCTCTCTGTGGCCGTGAGCGCTTTCTTCGCTAGCGCCAGTGCCGCGCCATCGAAATATCTCTCCAAGAGAGAGACTAGGCTCAGATGCAGATCCCAACAGGACTGTGTGACCTGGTACACCACCGGCAGCGCCCTGTGCCCCTCAGGCTACGAATTAAAGCACCACAAAGCCCCCGGTGACCCAGTGGGCACATACTGCGAAAGAAAGTACAATGACGAAGAGAAGAAAGAGTGTGCTTCCGAAGAGTGTGCATTCTACACTGGTCAATGTAACAATGCTCCGGCAAGTACTATTTGTGGGGATGCGCTCAGGTACTGCGGCACTCCTGTCAAAATTTCCAAGCGCATCTGTAACAGGAAGGATATGAGCTAGTCTGTGAAATACGATACGAAGAGCGCGGCACCTGTGCAGTTGACAAAAACGCGGCGGCTGAGGAAAGGTATCTCCGATACAATTTTGGCGAGTCCGCTACTGGAACGCGATTGTTCATGACTTGCACTCCGGTTACGCCAGAGGGTGCCGAGGAAGTCGACAAGAAGGTGCTAGACAGCCTCCCGTATCGGCTCTGCGATAAGTACCCATATGGAGACCCATATGAGCATGATTGGAAGTGCAAAGCTCCCAAGAACAAGTTTGATAGTATTGAGAAGACTGCTAAAGCGGCTTACAAAGCGGCGGCCCATCCTGGTGACAAGGATATGTTTGCAAAAATATGTGCATTAAACTATGGACCTGACGCTATATAAGATGAGGTGGATGTAGAAGCAGCCTCGTACAATGTACGTACATGGGTATCAAAATAGAATGACTAAAGCTTTGCCTCAGTTCCAATTGCATTCCGGCGCATTTGCCGTGACGATACATCGGCAGGCACCGGAGCTGCGGCATTCTGGAACAGCTTCCGCCCAACGAGATCAGACATGCCAAGAACGCGCGAGGAAACAGTTGCGCCGTCCCGACGGTTTTTGCTGTGATACGTTAGTCATATATTGGTAGAGATAGTGTGAATAAAATGGACTCACCCCTCGCGACGGGACTCTGCAATCAATTCAACAAAGTCCCACAGTCGACCGCCGTCCAGAACCTTCCCAGTACCCTCGTCACGCCGAGGTACCCATTCAGGAGCCAGCCTGAGAGACGGACCGGCACGCGATTCTTTGTTCTTCGCAACCAAAATAATACCCTCTTCTTCAAATCGTTGGTAAGAGTTCTTGAGGGTCTCCTTGTTGACTGCCTCGAAGTAAGAGAGGTCACCTTGGTGGTATAATGTTTTACCGAGCTGCGAATGTGAATATTAATGAAATAGTCAGTACAGCACGGGGAAAAACTTACAACCTGAGCACTATCTTGTGCTTTCTTCGAGTCAATCCAAACTTCCTTCGGACCATCGAGGGGTGGCGTCAATCCAAGAAGGGACACTGAGCCAAGCCAAGAGGCCTCGATGAAAGGCCAAATTAAGAAGCAGTAGAAGTCATAGTTCTCGCGACCACACAGTCGCTCAGACTCGCTCAATTCAACGTAGAGTGGTGCCCTGGACTCATCACGGGTGATTTTGATCACATCGTCCTTTTCCAACCCACGCAAAGTTTTATCGAAATTGTGAGCCAACCCCTCAGGCGGGAAAATAAATTCACCGCGGAAAAGCTGCGACAGGAATGAGACTTGTTTCTTCAAATCATCGTAGGTGATTCTTTGATTAGCGGGCCCGCCACCTTGCTTGATCTTTGTGTACATAGCCACAGAAACCAGCGCTTCAGTGATGAAAAGGTGGATGAGCATGTTCCGGTAAAAGGAAAGTTGGAAACGATCCACTGCATAGTATGTTGGCTCGACTAGACCTGAAATCACACCAACGAGTTTAGGTCCTAGGACTTCTAACGCACGGTCAACCACCGTCTCCGTTGGAGAGCCATAGAAGTGTGCGACCCGGCCACCCTTGGCTCGCACCCGCTCGCAGAGCCAGTCCAACCGGCGTACTAATTCGGCCTTTCCGACTCCCCGACCACGTAAGGTCAAGAGCACGGTTCCCACAAGGGCGGTTGGCATCATCACAGACACGTCGTTGATATCGGACAGAACCCGATACCCGAATGTTCTTAAAATGCGGCCCCGATCAGTATAGCTAAGTTTGTTATTGATGTCGGTGCTGGGGCGATCTAGTCGCGTAAGCTGCTGGCCAATGAAGTCTCGGAGACTCCATGGCTCGTGGAAACGAACATCAACTCGGCCTAGTTTCAGGGACAAAACCGAGGACGAAGAAATGAGATCAGCCAAGTTCTCCTTTGCCTTCGGTTGGCCAAGAAGCTCGCTGATGTATGACCTAGAGAGAGGGTCAATGTCAATGTTCATCAAATGAGCTAGAGTGCCGGCAGGGTGTCATACTCAGTCTCAATGACCTTGTCGTATTGAGTGCTGACGGGACAGATGATGAGATCTTCAACCCGACCTGATAATATACTGTCCATGATGAAACTCAGGATTCCAAACTTGGGTGAAAGCAGTTTTCCAGTCCTGGACCGACCACCTTCAATGAAGCATTGGAAGTTGAAGCCTTGTTGAAGGAGGGTATCAATATAAGCTTGTACGACAGTATGGTACAAGGGATCATTTCCAAAGCTGCGTCGAATCCACATAGCACCTATATAAGGTTAGCAATAGCTAAAAGCTCGTAGGAAATTATCTTGCAACCGACCTGCGTGTTGTAAGAAAGCGCCCAGCAACGGGATATTCAGATTGTCACCCGCGACGACGACCGGTAGAGAAATTCCGAGACGGTAACAGATAAGTTGCAGGGAGACGTAATCCACATGGGACTTGTGACAAGGCAGGAAAACAATCGACTGCTTCTTCTTGGAAGCAGTTTCGGCTACAGATCTTAGACGTAAGACTTCTTCGCTGGATACATGGATGCCTAAGTGAATCTCGTTTAGCACTGACTTGTGATAGGAGAAGTATAACAAAGAAAATTTACCTTGATTGTAAGCACGAGTCAAGAGCTGTGTGCACATATAATAAGCACTCCGAATAAACGTTTTACTTTCCATCTTGCAAATCATGTTTTCCATCATTGTATCCACAACTTCTCGAAGAGAATCTTCAATCTCAGTCCGGCGACGGGCCCGTTTGTCGTCCAGTGTTATACCTTCATTGATTACCAGCAATCCTTCCTTCTCTTCGACCACGAGCCGACCATTGGCCAATTCAGTGATCTTGTTTTGCAGGAGCAGGCTGCCCAATATGGAGGTCTTCATCCTTTCGGAGAAGCCAGAATAGAAGATCGGTTGACCGATAGGTTCGTCATATGCCCGCCAGCCCGTACCCGACATGTACAAGCTCACTTCCCGGAGAAAGTCGAAGGGGTTCTCGCGAAATCGCGCCATATGGCGAACAAGGTTGCGTTCGGTGCTTTGTTCATCTTGGGTTTCTGGGCCTCCAGTGAAGCCTGATGGATGGATTGTCAACTGAGAGTTGATAATTTCCAGATCTGGGGCCGAGTGGTCATCGGCAATAGCCGACTTAGGAGACCGCATGATATAAGGAGACAGGGCGAAAACGGTTATACTTTAGGTCAGCTCACGAGAACGTGGTTAGGTCCATGGAAGAAAAGAGGAAGAAGAGGATCAAATGAGAAGCTCAAAAGAGGAGACGTGCACCGAATCATAGCTTGGAACCCCCCAAGCTCTCAAGCGGCAACTAGCCCGCTGATCCCCCCGGATGTTTTTCGGATTTCCCCAGAAACCAGCCGAGGCAGGTCACGTGTGGCCTGAGCTGTACCCGCAGGTCTCATCCCACGCTCAGGTGTTGACTTCTGCATCTTGAATTGAACTTATTCATTATCCTCACACAAGATGTCTCGCTTGGTCAATGGAGCGAAGTCGTTTTCGAGTATGTCTCTTTCGTGGAAATCTAGCTCCAAATAAGCTCACTTTATCCCAGCGACGGCTTCATCCCTATTTGCCGACGCGACCGCGGCTTCGCAATCTATTCGCCAACCATCCAGCTTTCAAGTCTTCCGCGATGTTCCCTCAATCCGGGGACTCCGGCGCCAATTGTTGCAGAAGGACCGGAGTGTAGGCTTCGTTCCTACCATGGGCGCACTTCATGAGGGTCATCTCTCCCTAATTCGACAAGCTGCTCGCGAGAATACAGACATTTTCGTCAGTATCTTTGTCAATCCCACACAGTTCGGAGTCACGGAAGATCTGTCCAGCTATCCCCGCACCTGGGATACTGATGTTGAGAAATTGGAAAAGCTGAATGAGGAGCTCGAGCGCTTGGGAGAAAGAAGTGCAAGTGCCGGGCGCATCACTGCCATTTTCGCACCGACTTCGAAGGTCATGTACCCCGGTCTGGCCCCTTCATCAGAGGTTGATGGATACGGCTCGTTTGTCACAATTACTCCGCTGTCCACTAAACTGGAGGGCGCTTCTCGTCCGGTGTTCTTCCGGGGCGTGGCAACAGTCTGCATGAAGCTTTTCAACATCACAACCCCCGACCGTGTCTACTTTGGCCAGAAGGATGTGCAGCAAACTGTGGTCATCAAGCGCATGGTACAGGATTTCCATGTTGGTACCGAAGTGCGAATAGTTGAAACTACGCGTGAACATGACGGCCTGGCGCTGAGCTCGCGGAACGTCTACCTGGGCGACCGGAGACGAACCATCGGGCTCACCATCTACAAGGCGCTCAAAGCCGCAGAAGGAGTATATCTGGCCGGTAAGAACAGCCGGGCAGATATCCTTGGGGCTGCTCGTAATGTGACAAATTCTGTCCTTTCCGGACAACAATCCCTTTCGCCGTCCGAGAGAGCACTTTACGAGGTCGACTACATTTCTCTCGCTGATCCTGACACCCTTGACGAGCTGGAAGTCGTCGACCCGGCTAAGGGTGCGGTTTTGAGTACCGCATTCAAAATGGCACCGCTGGAAGAGTCCAAGCCAGGTGAAGACTGTGGATTGGGCGATGGCAAGGTCCCCGTGCGACTGATTGACAACCTCATTTTGGGCCCTCGTGCTTGATACTATATCAATCACTCTGTAATGAACATCTGACAGTTTAGCATAGCACGGTTTGCAAGCAAGCCACTTACATAGATTTCTCAAAAGCAAAATAGACATCAAAATATTCAAATATACCAATATATCTCTCCATTTACCTTTGCAGTTCAAAGTAAACAAAGTAGGGCAAATCCTTAGGGCGGAGAAAATTTGCCTAAAAGCCTGGAAGTCTTGGCGCCGAAAAAAAGTCTCGAAAGCTTTTGGATCGCCGGTCCAACAAAAACTTTCACAACTCCCCTCTATTTTCACCGGGGATTACCATCTTTCAAAATGGCCGACGATGGAATGCTTATGAACTTTAGCATTGGTGACAGTGTCATCAAGCCTGAAGCGAAGTTCAAGGGAGGAACATGGCGAGACCGACTGACCGCGAAGAAGCGCTCAGCCCACCGAGTATCCGAGAAAGAACCCGGAGATGAAGATGCAGCTGCGCGCAATGCAGCATCCAAGAACCCCAACCAGATCCAACTCGGTACACGGCCCGTGAAAAGACAAAGAACCGAAGACACAGACTCGTTCAATCGTCCTAGCGCCCCGCGCTCTGGTGGTGATCGACGACAACAGCAACATCCGCGAGACCCCCGCCATTTCGTTTCCTCGCTCTTTAGTAGCAACCCCGAAGCGCGCAATCCCGAAGGACCCAAAGAGGAGAGAGAGGCAGAAGATGCGAAACCGACCAATGCGCCGCTGATCGACGGACTGGATACCTTCACGAATCTGGGCCTGTCTCCCAATCTCGCGGCGCATCTGCTCACGAAGCTGGAACTCAAGGCGCCGACGGCTATTCAAACAAGCTCAATTACACAATTGCTGAAGGAGGAAAGCGATGCTTTTATCCAGGCCGAAACTGGTTCCGGAAAGACTCTGGCTTATCTTCTGCCGCTGGTGCAGCGGATTATGGATCTCTCAAAAGCGAAGAACGAAGCTACCGATACCCAAGTTCACCGAGACAGTGGATTGTTCGCTATTATTTTGGCACCCACTCGTGAACTGTGCAAGCAGATCTCCGTCGTGTTGGAGAACATCCTGCGCTGCGCGAACTGGCTTGTGTGCGGAACGGTAATTGGTGGAGAGAAGAAAAAGTCAGAGAAGGCACGCTTGAGAAAAGGATTAAACATTCTTGTCGCAACACCTGGTCGATTGGTAGACCATCTCGATAATACGGAAGCGCTGGAGGTCAGCAATGTGCGGTGGCTCGTTCTTGACGAGGGTGATCGCTTGATGGACATGGGCTTCGAGGAGGAATTGCAAGGCATTGTCAAGAAGCTTGACGCTAGACAACGGCCGAGTCGCGTCCCCGGTGTGCCTACACGCAGAACGACAATTTTGTGTTCTGCTACGTTGAAGATGAATGTCCAAAAGCTGGGAGAAATCAGTTTGAAGGATGCAGTACACATCAAGGCCGACCCGTCCGAGGATGATGATGAGAAGTCAAATAAGGACGAGGAAGAGTCATTCCGCGTCCCCGCCCAGCTCAAGCAATCGTACGCGATTGTTCCAGCTAAGCTACGTCTGGTCTCATTAACAGCCTACTTGAAGAGGACGTTCATGCGAAAGGGATCAGTGATGAAGGCGATTGTTTTCATGTCTTGCGCCGACGTAGTTGATTTCCATTTCGAGCTATTCTCAAGGAATCAAGACCGCGAGCAACAAAGGAAGAGCGACGAAGAAGGAAAGGACGAAAATGATGAAAAGGACGAGAAAGACGAAGAAAAGGAAAAACTGTCACCCCATGGCACCATTGCCCCCGGTAGAGCCTTTTCGACCCCGACGAATCCGGTCATCTTGCATCGACTGCATGGCTCGCTTCCCCAGATTGTTCGAACCGCTACCCTCGGCTCTTTCTCTCGCAGTACTGAAGCTTGTGTCATGATCTGTACTGATGTGGCTTCGCGTGGTCTGGATTTGCCCAACGTGGACTTGGTTGTCGAATACGACCCGGCCTTCAGCTCTGATGACCACACTCATCGTATTGGTCGTACTGCTCGTGTAGGACGAGACGGCCGTGCCCTCGTCTTCCTCCAGCCTGGCTGCGAGGAGAACTATGTCGAAGTCCTAAAGCGCGGCTACCGCGATGGAGGCAAGGCGCTCACCCGCACCGATGCAAACGAGATTCTCAAGCGTGGCTTTGGCGGCAACGAGAACAAAAAGAAGAACTGGGAGGAGAAGACAACCGATTGGCAGATGGACGTGGAGCGTTGGGCACTTGATAACCCGGACTATTTGGAAATGGCCCGACGGGCGTTCCAATCTCATGTCCGAGCCTACGCGACCCACACCTCAGCTGAACGGAGCATGTTCAACATTAAGGAACTCCACTTGGGCCATCTTGCGAAGAGTTTCGCCCTGCGTGATCGACCGGGTAAAATCAACGTTCCTGGTCTGCGACCTGGACAAGAAGACACCAAGAAGGACTTCAAGGCAGCGCGAAACGGTGTTGCAGGCAATAAGAGAAAGGCTGATGATGCTCCGTCTTCCACAAATGTTACGGACGAGGCTGCTCGCAAGATGAGAGCCAAGATGAGGGAGCATATGTCCGGAGCCAACGAGTTCAACTTGGCTTGATCTTTTGCTCTGTGGATTCCTTCAAAAAAGCATGGTCGCATGGTTGTTTTGTAGCATTAGCATTTATCTCAGTAGATATCCCATAATGAAATCTTCCCGTCCTTAGACCCAGCCGCTAGCCAATGAGTTTGTTGTACTTTTTGATTCCGTTGTTGCTGCACTGTTGCAAGAGAGTAGTCGCGTCCGTCGACCGCCGTCTGTCCTGCCGCGCCCTGGTCTGCATCTCGGGGTTCTTGTTTTGCAGACTCAGGGAATGAAGACATCAGCGAAGACGTGCTTTCAGTATCCCCAAACGCTATAGAATAACAACCATCCTTATGCCACTTCAGCACAGCCAGCTCTTTCATTGTTTTGCCCGAGTACACGCGGATTCTGCTGTCCCAGCCAGCAGTAGCAAACACCTTCTCATCCGATCGGATCCGCAGACCCTGTTGGCCCGAATGCTTTGTGTTGATAATCTTCAAAGGAGATTCCTCTTTGTAGCCAGCGGTAGGGATATAACCCCCAGGCCCTACGCTAGGGATAGGATGCTTGACGAGAAGAGCATCCGCAGAAGAAGAGATGAAGTATCCACGGGACGGGGCAACATCTAATGAAAGGACCGGCTGGGAGTGAGGGCGGCCAGCATAAAGCTTGTCCCATTTCAAAGGGTTGTTGCTTATATACTCACGCTCGAAGCTAGCCGATTTGAGAGCTCCACGGTGAACGAAGACCATCACATGACCATCTTCATATGCAGAGGCGACGTAGAGCTCCCCAGAAGGTGACGCGAAGAGATTTACAGCCATCAGCATTCCAGTTTTGTTCGACTGTTCGGAAGGAATAGTACTGATCCTGCGCTCGGATGGTAGGTGGAAGATATCGACTCCACCAGAGTCCAAAGCATTGGGTACCGCAAAGAGAGTGTTCTCTGGTTTTCCAGATTGGGATGGAAATCCGGGAAGCCCGTCCGAATTGACAAATTCCATTGAGAACGCACAGAAATTGAGCGCATTCACGGGCAAGGAATGGAGTAACCACGGCTGGGTTTTACTTTCTGGCTGTGCGGATTCGGTCGCATCCACTGGAAGCGTCTTATCGAGGAAAGATTCATCCTCTGGTCGAAGCTTCCACACACATAGTTTGTGGTCGCGGCCATGTCTATTGCAGATGTTAGTAGGATGACGGATACCTCCAGGGCTAGGTAGGGGTTGATGAATCATCATACGTGTAAATCTCAGTCGCACCTGAGCCAACATTAAAGCCTCTCGCCTCCAAAATAGCTCCCTCGTGGGCCTTCCATGCCGTCACAGGGCGTTTAGTGACCAGGTCCCAAACAACGATCCAGCCATTAGCGTCGCCGGATACAAGCCGTAAATTCTGACTGTAGATGTGCAGGGCATGAATTGGAGAAGCATGTCCACGAAGGATGTATATTGGGTTAGCTGGCGATTGAGCTTGAACTGATTTGGTGTCCATCCCAAATACCTTGTGGTCGTTGCTTGTTGATATCTTCGATCTTGTTCGGCAGAGGTGCCCAGTCGAACTGCCTGTTTACACCGCCACACTTGAGCCTCATCTATGGTCGTGATGTATTTTGGCGTCTATTTAGATCTTTATGATTTGCATGGCTGTCACTGATAGAATATAAAGCAAAAAGGTTCAAATATCAAAATACAGGCAGAAAATTCGCTGGCCAACGAGTCATGAAATCGTGGCCTGAGGCGACTAACAAGATACGTATCACTCGAGATCCGATCTCAACCTCTTTGTTAGGATACATTACAGACTTCGGAGGAAATGGCCCTTAACCGAATTAGTGACCAACTGCAGCTCCAATCCCGGCATAGGCACATGAGGTTGTACAGCTCGCTTTGTGAATCCCCTACTGAGCCTCAGGTCGTCCTCGACCGTGAGTACCATCAGTTCCCATCCACATTTCTCTCGCGTCTGGGCGCTCGTCCAGCTCATCTCGAATAGCAGTTCGCTGGTAACTATTGTAGGCACCAGATCCTTGATGAATGTAATCGAAATGACTTAGTAATTCCATGTTCGACATCTGCGCAGCCATCGTCTTGGCTTCAGTGCGCTTCATGTTGTCACTCGTTCGGCTGGAAGCCCGCATGCCGTACCCCTCTTTGGTCATTTGGCGCCGGTCTACCTCTTCCTGAATAGCTTGTTTTTCATCCGCAATGTATTCATGTGCGTGGGGTCCCTGGCTCCGTATGTGATGATAATGGAGATCATAGTAATCATAATGGAAGGCACGTCTCCGAGCTCTTTGGAGGGCTTCCTTAGGAGAGCTTGTAATGAACTGCGACTTCCTAATGGGAGTTCGTATAGCGGCTGATGGAGGAGTTGGCGTGATTATGGCTCGAGGAGAAGGCTGTTCCTCTGATATTTCCCGCTGGAACGAGTCGACTGGTTGGAAAGCAGATGGGTTTATGACCGGGGTGATAGTGGGTGTGATACGCGGACCACTCGCTGGGGTTGATGGACGAGGGTGGGGCTCCACCTTGCTGCCCTTCTTGCTTGAATCTTCGATCCCAGCCTTCTGACTGACAACTGGACCCGATTGACCGGATCGTCTTGGATAATTGGTATCAGACCGACTGGTTCACTTTGGACAGTTGGGGGGGTTATAACCGGCTCATGTTGTTCGCGGGCAAGCGCTGAAGCATCTCGTGAGGCCCAGGGATCCGCCGCCGGATCAACGGCAGGTATCGCTGCTCTGTATACCTGCTTACATGGCTGTGTGGGTTTTACAGGGACTGGAGCGCTCCACCTCCCCGCTCTTTCAAGGCAGCTTAATGAGGATACGGGTTCTGAGCAAGAAAGAAAGAGCTTTGGTATATTCCATGTTTCTTGGATAAGAGACCGCGGCACAGCCTGAGAAAAGGCCCACTATTTACCACTCATTTATCAAATTTTCAAATGACCCTATTGTCTCATCAATATGCTCTCCCGGGTCGAAACTCAAGGCGCCCCGACACATCGGTTGGAGATTGAGAAATCGTTCAATCGACAGCTCTACGCTCATCATCTTTCTCGAGCTGCCTGTTATGGCACAAGGGTCATTCTTCGGCAGATTTCACCAGAGGCAAACGACATCTTCGATTTCATCATTGCGCTCCATAAGTCTTGCAATGGTCGCTGGATTGATTTGGTAACAAAGGGCGCTATAACAAAACAGGAGCTATATGCCTTTCTCGATTACGCCGCTCTATTTTTGAGCAACATTGGGAACTATTTTGTGAGCGAGCAACTTTCCTACCTAATGGCTGCTAGCGTTTACTGATTGAATAAAGGCCGATGGCGACAACAAGATCATTCCCAACGTTTCTGCACATGCTCTCGAGAGGCTCGCTAGATACTCAAATGAGACCAAGTCTGCCCTCGAGAAGGTCATCGAACCCATGTTATCGACAGCGCCATCGAGTTTTGGATATCCGAACGAAACTTCGCAGGCAATTACTATCCTGGAGAACATCGAATTACCCGGCATGAGGTCTGAGTAGTTTCTAAAGTTATAGAAGCGCACAACATCGAGACGGAGAGCACTAGAGTCATGGAGTGAGTAGTCTCACTGTGGGAATCGACCGGAATAAACTACGGTCCTGCGGTCAGTCGGCACTGGGCCGTCTCCTTTGCCGCCTAAAAATCTGGCGGTGCACTGCCGATTTGAAGCCCTGTACAGCATTCTATAAGAAGCTATCCGCAGTCGATGGCGAGTACGAAGAATGGAGAAAAGCTGCGTGTGCAAAACCAGAACCACGCTGGAAGTTTGTCCAAGCGAGTACGTTCATTGGGCCCGATGGTGTTGAGCTGAAGGTATATGATGCAAGCGACGAGGGGATCATACAATCTTGGGCTGAGAGAGAAATCTAAGAGGTCCAGCATTGTGTGAGATGAATATCCAGGTTGAGATTCAGGCTCGACGAGCATCTGGAGCAATATAGTTTAGAAGAGAGTGATAGCTTCAAGTGTATAGGTGGTGGAGCAGCCACGTAGCATACGTGAGATACTGTCCTTTTTGAGGCACAAGTGGGTCAAGTAGCGGTCTGAAGCAGTATTGGTACGAATCGTGATACGAATCCGAACTGGAGGAGAGCATGGATATGGGTGGCTTCCCTTCACAATTAGAGGCAATGACACTAATGGCTCAATGAATAACGCAGAGCCGTAAAGATACCTGGCGAAGGTGGGGAGGTTCGAACAAGGTTCTATTATAAAATAAGGGTGACCAGAAGGAAATTCGACAACTACAAAATGTCCAATTGGAAAGGGAAAGGTCTTAAAAGTCTATAATATAGAAAGATCAGACTTTATATAAAGGATCCTCGCTACGCTTAGTATAGTGGATCTGATAATATTAGTGTCGTATAACTTGCGTACGAGGGAAAGGTTTCTATGTCTATACGCAATAGTCTGTAATGTTCTGTAGAATGTAACTAGTAGCTTCTGAATGCGAACCATCTACGTATTAGAGACTGTAATTCCCAATAGGACCGGATGGAAAAATAAGGATCCCAGAAAACGTATCAACTATGACCACAACTTTCGTCAACCGATTCGTACTCCCGAGGTCCCTCGCATGCCACCGCCATCAGCACTCTGCCCTTTACCTGATCCTGAGGTCATAGTCGAACATTCACCCTCCTTGCATCAACACCTGTCCGATCAACTCGGTTTTTATCCAGTGGTTGAGCGTGATAATCGAGTTGTGGGGAAGAATACCAGCCAATATTAGACTCTGCGGCCCAGTTCCTACTAAAAGGACGCAATATTCTCCGATAGAAGATAGCCCGCAGCTGACGGTTGGGACGAGGTGATATTGGCATGGTATTATCACGGCGAGATCATTTTTGATTTCTGATTTGTCCGTCAAGATAAAGACCTTTACTACAAGTCTTATGGTATAGCGTTTCTGATACTATAAACTGTTCTACAAAGTCTCTAGAAGTGCTAAATATCTACATATCTACAGAGCATAGTAGGCCACACTGTATCGAGATTTTATATGCTTTTAATAGGATGGCATTCTGTGGTTTTATACATCGCAGAGTAAGGAAATCCGGTTTCGGTGTCCCGGACAAATTCATTGATCAAGAACGATTGCAAATCACCTAAAGGTTTGGGCCGGCAGATCATTTTCATCTGGTCCCTCATTGTACTTGTTGGAGGTCCTAGGCTTTGCATGACGGAGCCGATCTCCCTTTAGGACATTGGACTTATTGATCGCTTCTTTCTCGTCCTCCTCTAGACCCAGTATTAGTAGCCTGATACTTTAGAATTGGCCAAGCAAAATAACATGGACTTACCAAGCTGTTGATTGGAATTGGAATAAGGAGGTTGCATTGGATCTTCGTATGACTCATTATCTCTTTGGACGGGGACCTTATCTCTCAAGTTTGGGTTGGTCTCATGGGCATACGAGTCCTCTGTGAAGTCTTCGGTCACGGGCGAGGGATCATTCTCGGCCTCATAATTATCTTCTGCGACTCTTTCGGCAGGGTTCGACATGTTGTAATCTGAGTAGGTGGTGTGCAATGTTTCAACGTAATATACCCGAGAAGGAGACAGAGGCGTTATTAAAATATACCAAGTTTTGGAAGAATCTCAAATCTATTGTTCAGACCAGTCATTACAAAGTCAGAACTTGGCCGTGCTACTTATTGTCCAACTTTTCTGACGTACGGACTATGTAACTCCAAGTCTATGGCCGCCATACGTCGTTATGATCTAGTTAAGAACCGAGCTTGATAACATATGAAGTCATACGCCACGAGGCACGTTGCGGCAAATATTGCGCTCAACAGAGTTGTGTGGCCATAAGGCACAAGGAAGCGACTATTCAGTCAACCAAAGTTGGCGCCTGCTCATCATCTTCGACTCTATCAAAGAGGTGTACTCTGTTTGAATCTACGAGCTAGTAGATGAGATAATGAACGCACAATTTTGTATTGTGCAATGTGTAGAACTTTGTAGAATAGAGGAAAGGTAAAATGTAAGAGTCTGATACTATGTCCAGATATAGAACACCCCCACTATCATAGGCACGTGAATTGTCAATACAACAACCCCCTATAGTCATTTTCTCCCAGAAAGTGAAGCTATTCACCTGCATATAGTGTAAACTGCAATCGATCGGCCGATATCAGGACGTAGTCCCAATTAATCAACAAAACGGCGGAAAGCAGTTGCTGCTAGTGGCTTGGTGAAACCATCGGCTGCTTGGTGCTATGTCCAAATGTATGAGAAGGCTATAGAACTGGACTAAAGCTCTTATCGTAAAAGGTGGCAACATACTATAGTATGCTTAGTTCTCGCATAGTAGTTAGGATTCTTTACAAGAGCCATTGTACTCGTGATGTCTGTATGAATCACAATTGGCTTATCGAGCAAACCGTACTTCGAATTATACATCTTCAGCTCGGTGAGTAGAAGAATCAGCTAACGGGCTTTTTAAACTGCTAATGCTTAAGCGATATATACGTACTCGGATTCAGTTGACGAAAATGTAACTAACACAAGCTTCCTTCTTAGGAGATGGAAGGTGGCGCTGGAGGTTCCAAATAAAATAAGGGTGACCAATGAGAGAGGCACAGACAGGCTATTAATAGCGGAAGATACATATCTACAGCACACAATCGAAATAACGGGTAAACTTGGAGCGTAGATATTCTATTTCTATAAAAGTTCATGGGCGCGATATACGAGATATCATAATCAGCCCTTTTCTGTCCGAATACTTCGCCGAACCCAGGTCTTTCGGAAGAAGATCCGCATCTCCATTTGCGATGAGAGCTTCAACAAGAGTCGCTGTCCCCGCGTGCGTAAACCCAAGACGCCGGTACAATTCCACCGTGACACGATTTCCCGCCTTAACCATGAGCCGTACTTGGATTCCACGAGGAAGTGCGCGGTATGAACGGAGATGATTAAGAGCCTCCTGGCACAATTTGCCTCCTAGTCCGTTTCCGCGATGTTCCGGAAGCGTAAACAAGCTTAGCATCTGCCATCGCTCTTCCTCTTCGTCGGCCTTTTGCGGTGGTTGGCCAGCTTCCGCAGGCAACTCGAAATCAGCCCTAGATGAAGGCCCTCGCAGAGTTACCTGGCCGATCCATTGGATGCTGTCCGGAGATGATGGATTAAGGTTGAGTGGTGTTGCGGCACAAATAAAGAGTTCTCGATCAGGAAGAGTGAGACGATCTATCCAGTCGGCATCGGTGAAGGCGGATTCAATGTCATAAGTAGATGAGAAAGAATCGGGTGAAGTTTTCAACGCATTTAGGCGTAGGTCTCGATATTTCTGAGCGGAGATGTCGATTCCATCTGTCTTAGAGACCCGGAAGAATGAGTAGGTATAGTTGGAAGCCATGGACAGGAAATTGAAGGAGTGCATTCCATCAGAGTATAGCGCTTATTGATTATTTATCTGTTATAATTTAATGACTCAGATAGGGCAAGCTACGGCCAACTTGAAATTGGCCGACATCTCACCGGGCCTGATCCACTCTTCTAAGTTCTAAATCTCCACTATTGGCGTTAGAGGATATGCTCTACCATCTAATGCTGAAGCTAATTATGCTAATTAGCTAGAGAATAGACCTGAATAAAGCCCTGACCCAGTTTTATTACATATTTGGTCGCATCTCTCGCTTGGAAGTAGAAGTAGGAGATTGTATGCCTATGATTCCTTGGGGCCGGCAATATGGGATACAACATGTCAAGATAAAAATGAGAAATGGATAAAGCAATAATTTGGTAGTCTTTATTTTAACCACAACCGGCGATGTTCTCTGAATTGAGCAGAGTTGGGAATAATCCATAAATATTTATAGGGTATAAGCCCCGTGGACGCGAAGCTAGGCAATAATAATTCATGATTCGTCAAAGTTTTCGAAGCATCAAATCAAATCAAACGTCCCATAGTGATACTGATTGAGTGCATGGTGGTGATTTGGTGGCACATAGTATCCTTGATACGGGTGGTTCTCCAATGAGAAGTCACCCGTAGTCATCAGGGGATTGTGTAGGCCTGGAGATGAGGCCGAGTGGTTGGAGATTGATAGAGATGGGTCTAATTCATAGAAGTGATTGTGCATCTGCGCTGGCGTCACCGTATGCGGGTGAGCATCGGCCCAGCTCCAAATTTGTTTGAGATCGTTTTTGGTTGGTTCAGCACTGCTGCCAGTCATTTTAGTGATGGTATCAAAGATGCCGAGTACCTCCTCTTGGGCTTCTCGTGTTTCTAAGCACTCTGCAGCGAGTACAAGAAAGCGCATGGATATATCGGCGACACCACTATTTAAATGGTCAGACACAGATATTTCTGGAATTTTGGTCATGATTTGTACTCACCGGTCTGTGGTGTGGGCAATAAGGCCACAAATTTCGTGCGCATGGCTGCATTGCATTTTCCGCATATCCTCATCGAACTCTGACTGGAAAGGGTGTGTTTTGGCCAGCAGAATACGACTGGCGTGGTAGAATAATCGAGAAACAATGGCAGACCGGTTGGCAAGCCTGAAAATATGAGTTAGTGAACGGGTTAAATGTGAGATAATTGAGGACATACCAAACTTCAGGAAAGACCGATTTCGAATTCGTTTGCCATGGCTGCAAATGACCAAGGGGTACAAGGGATCTAGGAATAGATTTTGCCCATTGCTCACACCACCTGTTGTGCGTAATCCATTCATTATCGTTGAGCTGGATGGCCCGCGCCGCATCGTCACCTAGACCGTGAGATTGGCGCGAAGATACTTGGAAGGACATGACTTTCGCGAAAATATAAAGTATCCGATGATGCCAAAGATCTTGATTGCTCCCATTGGTGGCCTGTGAATGATCCATGTCCATGTTGACCCCCCAAGTGTTTGGATCCCAAGACAAGGTCCAATTATATCGCATACAGTTCAGGAGCTCTGCACTGACGCTGATCCTGAAACATGCTCCACCTAGCCCGGGGGTTTTGGCAGTCCAGCCACATTCTCGGATCAAAGCTCGAGAGCCTGCGGTGTGGTTTCCACTGTGTCCTGATTGGCTTGGCATGCTTTCGGAGAAGCCAAGGGCAAGGGCTGCTGTTGCGCAGAGTACAGAGTCACGGTTAGGATCATGGGTTGCATTCAGAAGATCCCGAGTAGCCGCATCATAATAATGTGCCGCTTTTTCATCCCCATAGGAAGGGTCTACCGAAGAAAGGTGTGTAGCACCACATGCGAGAAATGCCTTTAGCAGTATGGGCTCGCCAATGGCAAATCCTGGAAGAATCTGGGAAAACTGCACGTTGTGAGCAAGCTGTAATAATAGAGTTTGGGAAATATTACCCACATGGTTCATTTCATCCATTATATCCATCCGGGGACCAACTTCTTCCATGAAAGTTCTGAGAAGACAGACTTGCTCTGGGTCAGTGAGAAAAGCATGGTATTCATGTTTTCCAGCCAGTTTGCGTGCGAAATGAGACGTTCCGTGCGGAAGCAGTTCATCTCCTGGTACCAAGTGAGACTGGTGCCAAGTATCAGTTCCAACAAAATCCGCGGCATCTGGATGCGGCACATCAAAGCTCAGTGGGTCGAATGAATGTGCCACCGATTGAAAGAGATTTGTCAAATCATCATCCCCCATAAAGTCAAAGTCATGGTGTGATTGTCGGTTCTCTTGAACGGGACTCTCAGGCGGGACGGGCGGGTATATCTCGAAGCCTCCCACATACTGAGACGCAATCAAACGCGAGTCATCTCGAAATGTCACCTTCGATCCGTGGGGGCGAGCGATAATGTGTGGAGGCGCCACAGTTTGAGTATCAATAAAATTGAGCCGGACACCACGCCGACAGATGCGATCCGACTTGCGACAATTGAGACATCGTCCCACAGCTTCGTCGCATTTCAAATGTCTTTGGCGACAAGTGAGGCAGCCTGTGCGTACCCTCCTAGCTTTGGTATCTGGGGCATCTGAGGATTTCTTGCGACTGGACCGGGGTCGGGGTGTGCCTTGTGAATCGCTTGCCTGGCTTTTTGGAGTGGATGTCCTTGTGCTGACGCTGGGCGACTGCGGCTGCGCCTTCGCTACTTTTCGAAGGTTCATATTTCCCGTAAACTGCGAACTGCGATAGCTTTTGGCGTTATAATGCAACTATGCTTTAGTCCCCGGCGCCAATTGGAGTTCCAACCGATAGAGGTTTCCCGAATACACAATATGCCGTTGTAGGTTCTACCCAGATGGCCATGTTCGTTGTTGGCAGTTTCAAAATTATATCCAACTAGGGGAAAGAAGATTGCGACTGTCTTCGGGATTGGTATTCAAGTGTAGCTTTGGATCCAACTACCAGGCGGGACAGGAGGGGCAGGCAGGAAGGGATCGGCGAATAATTCTGGGGGGGCAAAAAGGGGTCAGCTGAAGATTATCAGAAAGCGAAAGCACCATATTAATATACTCACTAGCCCCTTGCTTATGTAGCCACACAGACGTCTCGAAGTTGCGGAGAAGTGGATGGATGGATGTTAAGTTAAAGATCGAGTCGAGAAAAAAAGGTGGGTCGCTTTGCCAAGATCGCCGGTATACGGAGTACGAGGTGTATACGGAGTAGTAGGTTATGCATATTTACACCAAGCGGAGTAGATACAGTCAAGATAAAGCCCTGGAGTACTCAAGTACTTATGTATTATACAGTGGTTATCCGAAAAAGGCTGAAATTGCAGCCAATATATATTCTCCGGTGTCGAGACACCAAACCGTCCCAGACACACTGTCTAGGCCTTTCTCCCCAATCGCGGTAGTTGGACTCGACCCAGCAATATTAACACAATGACTCCCCATAAGGCTGCAGATATGAAGGTCAGTTGAAGAGCCGCGGAATATGACGTAATGACTGAGTGGTTATTAGCAAGGTCAAAGCGAGTCGGTACTCCAAAGAAATAGAACATACCTTCTCGTCGATGGATCAGATCCAAGTGAGAAATACTATCCACGGATTTGCGGACAAGTGTAATAATATGATGCTTTTCAATACCAGTGACGTTGTTGTTCAGGTGGTATATGAGACTATTTTGGAAGATCCAGCTGCTGACAGCCACACCCATCACGGCGCCCAGGCTTCTCCACAACCCCAGAGTGGTTGTTGCGACAGCCTGGTCTTGTTTCTCACTAGTTGCGAGAATGGCTACCATCAGGCAGGGAAATGCGAAGCCCTGGCCTAGACTGGAGAATGAGATGCAGATCATAGAGAGTGGTTGAGAGGTGTCAATGCCCATGGATGCAGCTGCACATCCACCTATCACCATGCAGCATACACCGATGATGACGAACGGTTTGAGACGTCTGGTCCAGTTAATCATGAACCCGGTGCTCACACTAGAGATAGTGAGAGCTATGGAGGAGGCCACAAGGCGGAGACCAGAAGCAGTTGGGCTGGTCAGTTTCACGGCCTGAAAATACAGCGGAGCGTTGAACAGCATGGTGTGTACAGACATGGCGGCAAAGAAATTGCCAAAGATAATACTGGCTCGAGGATCCTTTGACATGAGCTCAATTGGTAGCACGGGTCGTGGGACGTGCTGCTCGTAATGCACCAAGATAAATGCTAGGACAAACGATGACAACAGTGAGATAACAATGAGCGGATGGCCCCAAGGATAGATATTCCCTCCAAAGTTCAGGCTCAGGATCAACAGAGTCACACACAGAATCAAGATGATTGATCCCATTATATCGATACTCCGGATTAACTGCCAGACTTTCATGCGCTCCATTCCGGTTTGTTTGATGCCGAGATCCGCCGGGACTGTCCAAGCGGCTGCGATAAAGTAAACGAAGATGAGAGGCAGTTGGATGAAAAACGCACCCCGCCAGCCGATATGATCACACAGGTAACCCCCAAAGGCAAGACCGAGGCTACTGCCGATGCCGAGACACAGGTTGAGGTATGATTGGTAGACCCCGCGATACTCGAGATATACCAAGTCACTGGAAATAATCTGACCGATGGAGAAGATACCACCCGCACCAAGCCCACAAAGCGCGCGAGCAGCGATAAAACTGCCGATACTTTGCGCCATGCCACAACCTGCTGTCGTGAGGAAGAACATCGCAATAGAGAAAAGATACACAGGTTTCCGGCCAAATGCGTCAGAGATGCGTCCAAAGAGAGGCATAAATGCGGTCGATGTCAACAAGAAGGCCGTCGATAGCCAGGAGGCAGAGTTGGCTGCTTTGAAGTAGGAGGTGATGACTGGATGGCTGGAGGCCATGAGTGTTGAGTCAAAGAAGCCGATCATGTAGCCCATCATGATTCCACTGAAAATAATCCAGAACCTTGTCGGCGAGACATCAATGAACCTTGAGGCGTAATTCTTTTCATCTTGGGTTGAGATGCTCGTATTTTGGCTGGGAGAGCCAGCCCCAGAAGCTGGCCTAACATCGAGTCCTTCGGACGCAGAGCATGCACTGGATAGACAGCGAATGAGGGCTTCTTCTTCCGCATCTTTATCTGAGCAGGCTGATTCAATATCCGTTGCGGAATACGAGACATCGTGGTAACTCGTCTTATGGTGGACGGAATTATTGCGCAGGAGCGGGGTGGCCTCGGAGGGGCAAGCATTAACTGATTGCCCCTTGTTGTCGTCAATAGGCATTTTTTTTTAAAAAAAAACCATCAAAAACAAATGTATGAAAATATGTTATTTCATGAGGACGAAGATTCTGCAAGCACGCAATGTAAGTACAGAAAACGCCATCAACAAGGACATGGACTTCGAAAGCAGTGGTGACACAAGAAATAAAGAAAGAAAGAAAAATACGAGCGTAGGGAAATAGGAGCTTTATATCAACGCTAGGGCTGCAAGATCCCTACATGTATTTTATGCAACACAGCATCAATTGCCGAATAAAAAAAAGTGCAGCCCACTGAAGATCCATAGATGTTTGACGCATCGGGAATAGCGTGGTTTGTCAGCGGGGTCCGATCTCGGGAGCCGATAAGATAGGGAATATTTGTTATGGAAGGGCTCAGGTGGGCAACTCTTTTCAACTACATTTGTATCTTAATTTCATAACTGTATCACATTGTCTGCAGCCTCACATCATCCCGAACAATGCATACCCCGCTCCGCATAGCCGTCTTGGAATGTGACACCCCGCTTGACAGCATCGACCGTCGCTATAATGGATATGGCGGGGTATTCCGCATGCTCCTCAAAGCTAGCGCCACTGCCTTGAACCAGCCCGAGATCCTCGATCCAGAAACGGGTCTGGAAATCACGGCTTGGGATATAGTCAATGACGACAAATACCCGAAGCTAGAAGATGTCGATGCCGTGCTTCTAACAGGATCAAGTGCGTGTTGACTCGGTAGGCTCCAAACATTGAATTCACCCACTAATCACAGTGACCCTAAACCAGAACACAACTCCTTCGGAGATTCCCCCTGGATCATCCGCCTCGTCGAATTCACTCAACAAGTTCTCGCTCAGGACCGGGTCCGCCTACTCGGAATCTGCTTTGGACACCAAATCGTCGGCCGCGCATTAGACAGCAAGGTCGGACGAAGCGACCAAGGTTGGGAGATTGCCGTATGTGATATGGATTTGACGGATAAGGGAAAAGAGTTGTTTGGACGGGATAAGATCGTGAGTTCCCTCCGTCTGCTGCGCCTTGTGTCACAAAAGGCTACATACCCAGGCACCCGAGTACATATGCAGACACCTGACATAATTTCTCTCACCGCAAATAGCGCATCCAGCAAATGCACCAGGATATTGTCTTTAATTATCCCCCGAACGTGATTCCTCTGGGCTCATCCCCGCGCTGCGCTGTGCAGGGTATGTATGCGCCGCGCCGCTTTATCACCGTTCAGGGCCATCCTGAATTCACGGGGGAGATGGTCACGGAGATTACCCAGGCTCGGGCCGATAGCGGTATTTTTAAGGTGGACCAAGCTCAGGACGCTTTGAGCAGAGCTAATATTGAACATGATGGTGTCGCCATTGGGGTGACGTTCCTCAAGTTCCTACTGGAGGAGTAAATGCAAGAACAAATCTTTCATGCAACACAAGCGACCTGCATTAGATTTGGTTCGGCTTCTGCCTAGCTCTCTGGCGAATACTGCCTAGTGCTCTTTTAAACTAGTATCAAATAGATCTATCTTCATGTACATAGACGCACTACAATATTTGACATGTTATTATGTAGATAACGAGGGCCTCTCAACACCTACATACATACGATATAAAGTGCCATTTGAGAACGACAAGTAGGTCCATGCTGTTATATAGAGTACAACCTACTCAAAGTATGAGCCCTGCCCCTGTTCACTATGTAGTAGGAGGCTAAGGAAAGAGTACGACTGACAGAGTCCTTCCAGAAAGTGGGTGTGACATTAGATATCTATAATAGAATCCAAGCCACCAAACAGAGCTGTAACACTAGCTCACCGGGTCAAGGCCCAGACTGGAACAAGAGAGCCAAAAAAAAGAGCTAAAGCTAAGGACTCTAGAAAACAGTGGGGAGAAAGAAACCCTGGTATCGTGGTAAACAAGGTCATTGAGGACTGCCCCAGGCAATATCCTCATGCTTCATAATCAGACAAAACGCCTCCTTCCGCAAGCCCGTAGGCCGCGGGCCCCGCAGGGCGATGCAATATGCAAACTCAAGTAAGAAACCAATCGCTTCATCACTAACGCCTTTTTTTCGATGCAAGAGAAAGCGCTAAAGATGCTCAAAGGTCTAGCCGGAGACTGAAGACAGGCAAGAAACAAATAAATCAGTTCGGGCGCGGGCGGGAAAGTCGTCTGCTGCGACGACATTTCTTTCCGTCCGTGTCCGATTGTTCCGGGTTGGTGTTACCCGGGAGAGGGGGGTCTGTGGCCTGACCGTCTTCTGAGTCGGAGTTCATCTATTAGACAAAAGTTAGCAAATATCCCATCTGAATGAAACTTGTGGTTGGAGAACTCACTCGAAGATTCAAGGAAACAACCTCGTCATGTTCATCCCTGAATGAGATACCAACGCCCAAGGTCAGGTTGGAGACGAGGCGTTTCTTAGGTCGGGTTCGTCGTGCGGGACGAGGATCTTCGGAATCGTCGCTGTCCTCCGCAGACCGCTTGCTACCCGTACTAAATGGAGAAGAAGAGCGCGAGGCCTGCAAGCTTGGTTTGATGGGAATTCCGGGAGCGGCTTTCTTATCAGCTGGTACGTCTGTCTTCTCGTCCAAGAGCGCGGCAAAGGCGCGGTCAATGTCGCCACGACATTTCTGGAGCATGTCCACAATAGTTTCCCGGTCATACCGACCCCCCAATCCCTCTTGGATGGATTTGATATCCCAGGGGGGATATAGGTCAACAGCAAGGCCAGCATCGTTGGTTGTATGGCCACTACCGGCTTTTCTTTCCGGTAATGTGAATTGTTGCGGATCGATGTCGGATTTGGAGTCTGGAATGATTTCGGGCTTAATCGCCTCCTTGATAGGTTGGAAAGGCTTCAGCTTGGTAAGAAGTCCTTCATGCTCGCCCTCGATACCCCGCACTGAAGAGTAGTGTTTGAAGTCCTGTGGTCATTAGTGGGGCTCGATGACATGCATGACAGCAAGACACTTACATGGAAGGCTACGTGCAGAACATCCCGATGTTGACTTGGGAGGGCATTGACATCCTGGAACACTGAAACACCATCCATGGTGTATACATTCAAGTCGACCTTGAAGGCCTGACAGAATGCCTGAAGATGCTCGGAGCTGCCCCATTCCCCGTTCTTGCGGGTGGTAGCAATCATTTCCTGGAACCGCCGTTCCATGTCCTCCTGGGACGGAGCGGAGACATCAGCAGAGCGAGTAGCATACGCAGATGCGGCCGCCCGTTTAGGGCGGCGGCGCTCCCCACCTTCAGCAACGACAAATTGCATGAAGTAATCTTTATTGGAAGCCATGTGATTGGCTAGAAGCTGGCGGATTTCGTCTGCATGGTGGGTGTCGCCATACAGTTGGTCGGAGAGGGAGTAATAGAGACAATTGCCTGGGATTGGACGCGTCAGAATAGGTAAACAACGTGATGCAGCTTCTAAAGGCCGCTATGGAGCTCAGAAATCATGCAGCGGGTGGAATTGGCTTACCATCTCCCTCGGTGGGGAGTGCATAAAGGCCTCTCTCTTGAAGAGAGGCCAACTCCAAGCTCGCGTGGTGCATGGGCTTGGCTTGTTTGCAGGCCTGCTGGTCCGGCAACAGGCGGGGCATAGTTGGTGGGGAAGAGATTGAAGAAAGAGGAATTGGAGGAGGAGATGCATCTAGCAACACAGGCACCTCGAGGGTGGGATCGTGAGAATCAGAGCCCGTAAGTATGGGCACGATTCTGCCACCATTAGTGAGAAGTGACATATTGAAGGGAAGACTCGAATAAGAGTCGGCATTTATGGGAGTGTAGATCAATAGACAAACAAATAGATCGATAAAGAAGTGAGGGAAAACCGAGAAAATAGAGAAATTGAAGTCATTGATCTAAGAATGGCAAACAAAAGGAGCCCGCAGAGTGAATTCGGTCCCTGCGGGTGGTTTGAAAAAGGAAATTGTTCGGCCTCCACTGCCCATTTGAGTGCCGGGACGAGGCGGTGAGTATTGGTGTTTGGTGATTGGCCACAACGTGGGCGTTTGCCCACTATGACATCGCCCGGTTTTCTTTGTATAGAAAGCCTTTAGGGCATTCAATTCTATATTTAGTAGATCAAAGGTTCTGCTTGCTTTCCTGACTCGAAAATATCTCAAAGAAGAGTGATTTACGAAAAAAGTGAGAGTAAATTGAGGTAATTGAAGAGCCCTGGAGAGAGATGAAATGTGATCGATAATGTTCAATTCGGAGTGGAGTCCGGAGTTATGGAGCGGAACTTTACGGAGCTCCTTGCTGGGGGTCCGAGTGAAATCACTCAATAATTGAAGACTGAATCGAGGGTCTAGGAGATTTCAGAATCAAAAGCGTGGAGATATATCTCAAAAGCTTTATATATCTATAACTACAATGCTTCCAATCTATTGACCCGAAGTACGCATCACCTCCGCATAAGTGCGGAGTTGTATTTTAAAACTTTGACCGTGTACAGAGTATCCACCCATGTTTCCACTAAAAGTCCCTAGCGTGTTTATTTATTTTTTTGGTGGTATTTGATTGGATTGGAGCTTACACCGCTGCGGTAGAATCCCCGTAATAGGCCAAATACAAAGTGAGGTAATCAGACCCTTACCACACCTTAACAGACCTTACCAGACCCTTATCGGTTAAATGAGATAGCTGGATTGTCCCCTCACCCCGCTCGTCTTAGCTTCCCCCATTTAAGGAGGACTTCCCCGGTGTCAATTGTTCATAGTTATATCTTGCTTAGAACTTCAAAGAGGTCAAAGAGTCCATTATGACAAATAACATTGTAGTTCTGGGGTAAGATCCCCGAGCTCCAACTTTCTCTAGCTTCACCCCTGCAGGAACTGGGTTCGAACCTCCACTAACGTATGTAACAGCGCTGGCGTGTCTGGTTTGACCACCGCATATCTGCTCTCGCAAGACCCCGCCAACAAGATCACCGTGCTGGCAAAACATATGCCTGGAGACTATGATATTGAATATGCATCCCCATGGGCCGGTGCCAACTATATGCCGTATGATCAAACTGAAACTGACTCCTCGATAAAGTTCTGATCAAGTGGGTCTTCTATAGGGTGGGAAAGGAGGGAAGTGCTCATCATAAATGGGAGCGCGATACCTGGCCAGCATTGAAAGAAATCACGGAGAAGTACCCAGAGGCCGGTATCCACTTCCGAGGTATGACCTCTCCCCAGCACCTGGTCAGCATCCGAAGACCCCTTAACAAAATGCAGGCACCTTGATCTACAACCGAAAGAAGGATCAAGAAACAGACACCGGAAAGTGGTTCTCGGAATTGACTCAGCCAAACCCGTGGTATAAAGATGTCGTGCCTGATGTATGTTTTAACCGTGAGATGGTGCCACAGACTTTCTACAGACTGACAATATGAGTCTAGTTCAAAAGCGTCCCCCTTGATCAGTTAGCCCCCGGAGTGGACAACGGCCAGGAGTTCACATCTGTCTGTATCAACACCGCCGTCTACCTGCCGTGGTTGGTCGGTCAGTGTATCAAGAACGGCGCTGTTTTCGAGCGAGCTGTCTTCAAGCATATCGCTGACGCGGCAAATGCCCACCACACCGGACAGAGAGCTGACGTCGTGATCAACTGCACTGGCCTATCATCCAAGACCCTCGGTGGTGTTCTCGACGACAAGATGTATCCCGCCCGTGGCCAGATCGTCGTGGTCCGCAACGACCCCGGTCCCATGGTGTCGACATCCGGCACTGACGACGGAGAAGATGAGGCGTTGTATATTATGACTCGTGCTGCAGGTAAGATCTTATATGCAGGTTTTACTGCTAGGCCGTTGGCTTATTGCTTCTAGGTGGTGGCACGATCCTCGGTGGCTCTTATCAAAAGCACAACTGGAGCGGAATCCCAGATATGAACCTTGCCAACCGCATCATGAAGCGTTGCATCGATATCTGCCCCAGTCTCGTTAAGAAGGGACAGGGAATTGAGGGGTTGGATATCATTCGCCACGGCGTTGGCCTGCGCCCGCTGAGAGAGGGTGGCACTCGCATTGAAAAAGACAAGGTTGACGGTGTGGCAATTGTTCACAACTACGGCCATGGAGGATTTGGCTACCAGGCATCCTTCGGCTGTGCATATTCCGCTGTGTCCTTGGTCAAGGAGGTTCTGCAGAACAAATCCCGCGCTAGGCTGTGAGTACCCGCGTTGTACACATCAATTGTTGTATACTAGTCAGTGTCGGAGCTTTGTCTTCGCATGTATATATTGCAAAGTCTGTTCGGCCTGTATATGCCATTGTGACGTCAATTGATAATTGTTCGAACGCTCAATTTGAGACTCAGCAAGGGAATCAGTCAACTCCATCTATAAACATTTCATCAATTGCTCCACGATGTCAGCACCTACGTCCAAAGAAGCAGCCCTGAAAATCAACAAAGTCCTGAATGAGTTTGGTAGATCTCCTCTACATGGCACAGGACTTGCCGACCCAAAGTCGGCCAGTCCTGAGATAGTGCTGGCGATGGCTCTGGACGCCCTGATCAAAGCAAGGCCAATCTCTCACGAGTTGGTGCAGAAGACAATCAAGAAGCTAATCGAGGCCAACTACCACGAGATCGACGTACTTTCCAAAACTACGTGGGAAGATCGAACAATGGTTCTGCAAGAAGGGGGTTACAACCGGTATCGAGAGCAGGGCGCTACCAATCTCGGTGAGCTCGCGAAGCTGGTTGTTGAGAGATACGGTATGCCCTCACTTCTATCTGCGGATTTGGATTTGCGATGCTATACTACACGTGGAAGCGGACTCTGACGTTACATGAGTACAGGTGGCGATTTAAACAATCTCGTCAAGCTGGCAGACGGCAAAATCCACAAAGCTAGAATATTGATGAAAGAGGTCAGGGGGATGGGCGACTTGGCAGTGGAGGTATTTTTTAACAATGTTCAAAGCATATGGACAAGCATTGCTCCTTGTCTCGATTCACGGAGCTTAAAGACCGCAGCCGAGATCGGGATTGGAACTGATTTGGATGAAATATATAACGCGCTAGAGCAGGATCGTATGCGCATGAGTCGGTTTGCCAATGGCCTCTCTGAAGTCCGACTGGAGAAAAGGCAGGAAGTAATTGAGGAACTTTGAGATTGCATACTAGCTTATGGTGGTGATGAACGGGATATTGTCAATGTATCTTAGCGAAAAAGAATGACAGAATTATGCGTCTTTCCCTCACGTACAAGGATTCCTGCCTTTGATCTAGGATACTGATCTCTCCTCACTCAGCCCATTTGTCAGGAGCTCGCAACGAAAAAGGGAAACAATGAACATACATCACCGATATATGATTTACCGGCCTTTCGGATTTGGGGCCAAATGGATCACCTTTTGAAGTCAGCAACCATGTTCAACAAACATCGAATAAACCACAGCCGCTTACCACTGGAACTATGGCCGACACACTCAGAAACGCCAGCATGGCGGTGCATCCAGTCCATCCCAAATTCTCAAACGCAAGTTCTGAAAGCAATGGGCCGAGTACAGTCCCAGCGCCAAATGCCGCATCAAGGAGCATATAAGCCTCAGTGACTGCACTTTTATCGCCATATATATCAGGTTGTTCCTCTTGGACGGCATTCACGATGCGAGGTATCTCCGCAACCAACGGGGTCAGCGATGTATTGAGCCCTATCCCTGTTTATTGTGAGCAAATCTGTGGGTAACTTTGACGTTCAAGGAACTTAGGTCGGAGCTTACCAACAACAGATAATATCACGCACGCCATGACCTTATTTGTGGTATTGTCGTGTTGTATCAGGGCGAGGGCAGCGACTGCTACAGCTGCCAACGTAAACCCAAGACCGGAAATCAACCGAACGCCATATTTGTCTGAGAACATTCCAACAAATGGACCTATCAATGACGGAATGGTTAAGTTTAAAAACATGGTCCCCGTAGCGCCGGAAAGCCAATGAAATGTCTGCTTGATAAAAATCGGGAGGACGGCATCCATGGCGCTAACCAAGATCGTGTTGATGAGACATCCATATAACGCAGCAAATATGCGATGATTTCGAAGAAAGCCTCCGACAATAGTCCACCAAGAAGGATCTTTTGCAACCGCAGAAGAGGTCTCGCGGTAGCGTGAGAGGAGCGGTGTTGTGATGGTTGGATCACCATCTTCAACTGTTGATAGTCGCCGTTTTCCATTTGCAACGGCACTTTTTCTCGAGCTTCCATTGGGAAGGGAATAACTCTTACTGGAATCATTCTGCCCTCTATACTTTTCGGCAGTTTTTCTGTCGATCATGAGCAGAATGAGGATCAAGTTAATGAGGACCACGCCAAGACCCATTATGAAGACAGGATAGAACCCTGCTTTCTCATATACAATTCCTCCGAGAGTAGGTGATACGAGCACGCCAAAATTCATGCCCGAGAGTCCGAAGCCAATCCAGGGTCCCAGCTCGTGCGACTCGATCGTGTCCACCAACAGCGTTAAGCCGGCAGTGTAGACAACACCCGCAGATAGACCCTGGAAAATCCTTGCCACGATAATCACCCATGGCCTGACTCCAAGCATGAACGAGAGGGTGGCACCGAATGCACAAGAGAGGCCTCCTAGGAATGGTATTTGGCGTCTCTCGCATTTTCCGACAATCCAGCCTGCGATCGGGGCGCCAAGTACCATTGCGAAACCGAAGACGGCCAACGAGGTTGATGTCCAGAATGGAACGTCAGCCTCTGGTAGTCCGAACCGAACCGTTAGGGAGAAAGGAAGCACAGATACGATCTAGAAGAGAACCCGTGGGGTCAGTACTGCCATTTGACAGTTTAAGGGTATAAACACATACGATCCCATAAAGAAATCCATCAGTGAAAGTGGTTGAGAAGACAGCAAGGCCGATCAGTTGCTTGGATGAGCGCAGATTGAAAAGCCATGGTTTACTTGGTACGATATCCTCCATGATGATTCGGAGATGACAAATTAAGAATCACACTGAAGCTCAATTTGATTATGCCCTCGAAGTCCACCCAGTAAGCAATAATACTGTGATAGAAAGATGCAGGTGTTTGTAAAGTCAAGTCCAAGATAAAGATGTAAGGGGGAAGGAAGGTGCAGTCAAGACAGAATCTGAAGCATATACTTTTGCATCGACGTTATATGACATAAACTAAGTAGTACCGTCAGCAATGAGTAGGTTTTAATAGAAGCAGTCTTCGTATCGTGGAATATTGGTAATTTAGTCCGAGATTCAACCAGTTATTCTCTGTATATTGCCCTAGTTCGTATATCCATGCATGGAGGGATGATACATGCACGTTATGTGCATGATTTATTGACGATCAGCACAACTGATTGGGCCAATGATGATGCACTGGGTGAGATTCTCCACCAAATCGCAAGTTGCACCAGCTGAATGATTTGCTGCGGGCCCGCTGGACATGCAGAGCATTTTTAGGGTCCCTTGAAGTGAGTTCGTGGGGTTTGTTGGAAACGTGTTGCCTACAATAGCTTCTCGTGATTGAATGGGTACAGTAGTTTAACCAATCACATATAGCTGTGTAGTTGTCTTTGTGTTTTTAATATGGGGTTCGGGCCCTTTTATTGTACTGCGGGGTCCCATTGCTTTTTCGGGGTAAACTACTTTTGCCTTGAATCTCTATACTGACCTTTTCCATTATCTTTTACAAATTTTCCTTCATTCTAAACACAATTCGATGCCATCTAACTCAATTCCGAGCTGGTATATAATCTATCTAGTCCGACACAAAAGCCCAATGAAACACAGAACCCCACTAAGCAATCAAACAGTCCAAATTATCAATTTTAACTTGCAGACCTTGTTGAGATAAAGAGAGAGCAACATTATTCCGTTTTATGCTTGATCTATTATTGGCGGAGATAATCAAGAGCAGTAAAAATTTGAGATATATGAATCACGAATTCATGGCATCATAGTTAATCTTTGATACAAACAGTGATATACCCATAGTAATGTTATATCTATGCTCACGGGAAGGAACACGATGTACAAACTATAAACAGTTGATGCGTGGAGGCGTAAAGCTCACTATATTACAAGGGTTTGAAGGGTTCGATGGTTCCATGTGTCATGCGTTCTTGCAAAGTCTCTTTGTGTGCTACATATTCTTGAGTTTCTGTCTCATAAAGAGAATATCTTTCATCAAGCTTAGTACATAGAGTAGACACATAGATATAGTATGGTTTTCGTAGGGTTTCAATCGTCTGTCTTCTTTCTCACTCTCTGCTCATAATTATATCTCTAGATCTCCGCTATTTTACTGAGACTGTTGAAATTGAGGCTCTAGCTGAAGCTTGCAGTATGCCAGATACCAACCTTAACCTTTATCCTAAAGTCGCATCCATCGTTTGACAATGATAGCCGAGTGAAGCCCCATGTCAAGAAAACGCTATGCCGAATACAGCATAGCGCCCGCACTGGCCAGTGGCGCATCACGTGAGTTACAAATGGCCTTGGCAGACCCGCTGCTTGCGACAGCGCAGCAGCTGTCGACGCCCTCATTTCCACTTTCCCCCTGTTCTGCTTCATTCAAACCCTGGCAAGCTTTTTGACCAAACGCGTGTTGCTCATTATAGCTCCCCTCAGACCCACTGTGTCGTCTCAAAGGTGTGTTTACCTTTGTTATAGAACCAGCAAACTACGGTCCGGCCTGGCAAACTCCGGCGAACCTAACTTCCATCATCGCTTGAGCGATTGGCGAGACCAAGCGGCATATGTATTCGTATCATAAGCTAACCTAGCATCTTTGAAGACCAAATCTAGTCACACGACACCAATTCTTCCTTCGTCGAAACTTTGCAGCCTAACGACTCCCCCTCCGCATTATTGATTCGCGAGCACAAGACCCTGAAGATCACTTTCATCTCATTAACCCTTCAACAAAGCTATCGCAATGGATTTCACAAACATCTTGTATGTTGGCTCTTCGTGTGATACATTTGTGCCAATACTGATTCATTGCAGCCGTCTTGTCAACATCGCTGTGGGCGTGTTTATGGTGCTCGGTGGTATCAGTAACTTCTTCACCGGTACCTGGAGTTCATTCATCCTGGGCGCATATGCCGTTGTCTTTGGTCTCGGTAGGTTCCTACGATAATCCGAACTCACAACGTCAATACTCAGCGCTAACATTATCCTAGTCGTTGGCGGACTGGAGTTCCTCCCTCACGTCCCGGACTACGCGTACCGTTATGCGTCGTTCCTCTTCTCCTTCCTCGGCCGTGGTGTCTGTAAGTTATACTTTTGCACGCCTTCAATCAGAGGCGAACTTCGGTGGCTAATCACTTCCGTCAACAGTCTACATCTTTATCGGTTCCATTCTGCTGCACGACCACGTGCTGCGCATCATTGATGGTTCGCTGATCGCCTTCATCGGTCTCGGATACGTCGCCCTCGAGTTCATTCCGTCTATCGAGCCCCCTTCGAACATGCGCGAATCTGACCAGGGCTGGGGTGCTGAGCAGGTCTAAACTGCCACCTGAGTACTCCGTAGGTGGTGATGACAAATTTCCTGTCACGTTGACACCATGATGGATACTGTCTGTTCAGGCAGTTTCCTTCGGCATGCGGTATGCGATGTTCGATGAGCGCAATGACCTTGGGATGTCCTTGAGTCTGAAATTGATCGGCAAAGGATGTGATAATAAAGAAGGGGATTTGAAGAGGAGAATGGGGGATGTTGCTGGGTCTCCGATATTTTTGTTGATACCAGCGTAAAGGGACAGAGAGACACCTACCTGTACTATATTTGGACGTGGTGGGCTAGCATTGTCTAGCAGCATGGCATGCTCTAATGATTTATTGATTTCTTATTGCAGTATCCGGTGAGAGATCATCTGATAATAAATAAACTAGTGCAGGGACTTCTTGGCTGCGGAGATTGTCATGTGGTATGTACATACATACCTAGGTACCTACCTAGGTAGGTAGGTAGTAGTAGATTACCTCCGTCCAAAAGTACAGAGTGGCCATATCACTTCGGCTTGTTCCATCTCCGAGGAACCAATCGGACCATCCAGAGAGTTGATGACAGTATTTAGTCATTCATGTTGACCAATCACACCACTGATATATTCGATTGCCTACCATTGCCCCACTCTAGCCTCACTTGGGCAAGGTGTAATTCCCACTCTTTTCCCTTCTTTTTCCACCTTTTCCACATTTTCCACTGTTTTTTTCACTTTTCCTAAACTTCATCAGGTCATAGGTGGAGTCTGCATATCCTGGGGGAACATAGAATCATGCAGAATCGCCAGAGATTTCGTTTTGAATATAAGAAGTAAAAAAAGAAAGTAAAAAAAGAGAGGAATGATTAGATGAGATTGATGTTCTCGGCAAACGGTAGATAAAGTGTGATAGATTGATATGCCGATCCCCCTTCCACTTAGATCGATAAACTCCAATCCCTTTCTTTGGCGATAAGCAATTCAGTCTCGCCTCTTTGTCTCAAATTCTCTCCTTTTCATCTTTCCATCCTTTTCAGTCTTCCCCATCCTTGACCTCTCTTCCCACTATACTCGAATACTTGTCCTTATCGTCTCCATCACATCTTGTGTGCCCACTTTGCCCAGTCCTAACGCGGAGTGATCACCATCTTGCAGCTCCCTAACCTCTCAACCAATCCCTGCTTCCCTAATCGTCACTTTTGCATCGGGCCACGCTCCCCGAACGAAACCGTTCCCCACGATCGCCTGCTAGTCAGACCAGACCCTGTGGTGTGCTGTCAATTGTCGCAATCACTATCACCTGACTGTTTCACGCCGTCGGGTCGCCACTATTCCCATACAAGCCGGTTAATATCTTTGGTGGCGGGTCGACTAGTTAAATCTACTCGACACTCGATATCCTGACTCCTGTGTGGCGGCATCCGAATTCACTCCATTTCGACCGCGATCCCGAGTCACCGTCCGCCCTGCGATTCCCCCGAGCCTGCAGCATTGTGGCTGCATACCTTCCTGCTGGACTGAGTTTCCCATCTTTCTCCAACCCGTCAGCTTGACCGACATTTGGTTTTTGAGTGATACGGTGCATTCTGCTCTCGACTGTGGTGCGACATCGCCCTCACATTCTAGGATTTTCACTCTCCCCTTCGCTTCCGTCGTCTCGTTCATATTCGATCCTCCCAAGAATCACAACGGCCGAAGGATTCCTGGCCCGGATCACAGCTTGTAATGTTAGCGTCTATCCCACAAATGGAAGCGCTTCACTCTCTGCCTCGGAATCAGGACGTTTCAATGCGACAACCGTCAGCGGAAGATTTGGATGCTGCGCAGCAGTTGATCTCCTCAGCGCAGGCAGGTCGTGAACATCTAGCAGATCACTACCGGGAGGATGGCATGGTGCAAGAATCTGGCCAACCTGGATCAAGTCAATGGATTGGACACAATGAAATCCCGAGCGAGAAAACATCTCCTGGCCAAAAAGACACAACTTTCCTGGGCCATTCATGCAGGTGAGTCTCGACTGGGTGCCCTCGATTGATACTTAGGTTACAACGGCTGACCGAATCTCTTTTATTCAGCAATTGCGGCACGAAAAGCACTCCTCTTTGGCGTCGTTCTCCCACGGGAGCGATGATCTGCAACGCCTGCGGTCTCTACCTCAAGGCTCGCAACGTCGCTCGTCCCACGAAACGGAATCGGATGCAATCAGAGGGTGCTGAGAAACCACCGCCTCCTGCAGCCTCTCACTGTGGAGGTTCCTCGGAAGGTGGTGGTTGCAAGGGGTCATGCCCTGGTGGTGGGAGTTGTAATGGCACTGGTGGCGCAGAAGGATGCGATGGTTGCCCGGCATACAACAACCGGATATACAAGTCCGCTCCCCGAGGAGCGGCTGCCATCCAATCTTCGTGGAGCCGTCACCCAGCACAAGAGCTTGAGCCTGTGACGCAAGAGGAGCCACAGGCGAAGATCCCTGCTCCTGCCGATGGCTCTAATACCTTGGTTGCTTGTCAAAATTGCGGTACGACCGTGACTCCTCTGTGGCGGCGTGACGAACAGGGCCACCCCATTTGCAACGCTTGTGGTAAGTTTGGGTTTCGTATAGACTTGATGGTCTGATTTCTCTAACACAACGCAGGATTGTACTATAAGCTCCACGGATGCTATCGCCCCACCAATATGAAAAAGTCTATCATCAAACGTCGCAAACGCGTTGTTCCCGCCCTACGAGATCAGTCTCCCACTGCTGCTACCCTTTCTTCCAATGGCTCATCGGCATCCCCGGAGGCATCACCTGCTGCCCTGGCGCATGGCCATGACGATCATTATCGATATATGAGCAGTGAGCCTGCGGATCACTATCGGATGATGCCTGGAAAAACCGAAGACGCACCCCGAGCCTTGCCTTTTGCGCCACCGCCGGTTGATTTCACCGGTTACAATGTTTCATCCGTGCCCCTTGCACATGGTCTCTCCATCTCCCACAGCCTACCCAAACCTTTAGGGGTGGAACGACTGGGACATTCGCCCGTGTCTCAGTACGGGCGACGGTCCGCGTCTCCAAATCCCCTCAACCTTCCTAAAAAACGAACATTGGCCGAGACCGCGACAGAGACTCTATTAGCCCCGTCTACATTGGAAGCAGGATCAAATCAACTGCCTCCGATTATGTCTTCGGCCAATCCTACTCCCCCGGGTCGTCTCAGCTCCATCTCCTCCATTCTGAACCAATCGGATGTTCGGGGCGAGGCTCGCCCGGATACCAATCCTGGACGCCCACCTTCTATTCACCACTCTATCTCCCCTTCACCTCACCCGCCGCAGCCTTTGCCTGGCCTTGCATCTCTGGGAGACTCGGTTGATCGCCGTGCCCGACTTGAACGCGAAGCTGAGCAGATGCGCGAGATGCTCAGAGCAAAGGAGCGCGAGCTTGCAGAGATGAGACGATAGATTTCGACGTCCGCCCAAACAGTGACGAAAATAATGATATTCGGATAATGTTTTGCAAATCGGTGTTTCTTGTGAGATAAATGGCGCACAAAGATACCACTCACGTTACTGGGGTGTCTTGTCCCTGGCTGTGTTATTATTTTTAAAAAAAGTGTGTCAAATGAATTGTATTTTAATGTGAAATCGCTATCTATTTCCTTAAGTGTTCCTCAATGTAGATGTAATTTAACTTCTACCCGTGGACTTCATGAGGACCGATGTCATAATGACTTCCGACGGTCCAAATCCAACCTCGATCAACTCAATTGAAAGTAAAAGATTAAATCCGCTCTAAAAACTCTATACAGCCGATTCGAATTCCAATTCCAATTTTTCAAACTGGCCACATCCTACAATGTCCAACCCAAAAGCCTTCACTCTTACATTCACAGGCGACGTAATGCTCGGCCGCCTGCTCGACCAACTAATGCCAGAGCACGTCACCAACCAGCACGACGAACGCATCGCCACAACCTTTATAAAAGCCCATCCAACCCTCCTCGAAAAAGGAAACTACACACCCTCCTCGCCATGGGGAACAGCCCTTCCCCTCCTCCAGTCCTCCACCCTAGCATGCATCAACCTCGAAACCGCGGTAACAACAGCCCCAATCCCATGGCCCAACAAGGTATTCAACTACCGCATGCACCCAGCAAACCTAGGCCCCATTCTGCACGCCGGCGGTATCGACTACGCCAGTCTCGCGAATAACCACACCCTCGACTTCGACACCGAGGGTCTCACAGAGACCGTGCAAACACTGCAAGCGGCGAACGTCGCTTACGCAGGGGCGGGTGAAACAGCCGATGATGCACGCAAGCCTGCAGTGCTACATTTACCCAGGGCCTCGGAGCCCGTAGACGAAGGCCAGCAACACCGCTACGCGGTGCATATATACTCGGCCTCTGACCACCCGCGCGTGTGGGCCAGCGTGCCGGGATTCAATCTGTTCGATTACACGCGTGACACACGCGCTCGGCTGCGAGAAATGCTTGTTGATTCTGAGGAGAGCAAGCCTGCGTTGAAGGTCTTTTCGGTTCACTGGGGACCGAATTATGCATGGCAGCCGGATGGAAAGATTACGTCTCTGGCGCATTTCTTGATCGATGAGTGTGGGGTGGATATTGTCCATGGGCACTCGTCGCATCATATCCAGGGGGTCGAGGTTTATCATGGGAAGCTTGTTATCTACGGCTGTGGGGACTTTGTGGATGATTATGCCCTGGATGAGGAGTATAGAAATGATCTTGGGGCTTTATGGAGGGTTGTTGTGAGGGAGAAGAGTGGTGGTGGGCTTGGATTGGAGAGATTGGAGATATTCCCTACGCGTGTTGAGCGGTTTAGGGCTATGTTGTTGGATTCTAGAGATGCGGATCATGTGTGGGTGAGGCAGAGGATTCGTGAGCTCAGTGGGGAGTTGGGGACAACTGTGAGGGCAGGGCTTGGGGATGAGGGGGAGGTTATTATTGAGTTGTCTGGAGAGTAGAGTTCGAGGGTATGTAGTGATTGAATCCGACATCATGTTCTTCGAGGTCCACCATGCAAAACACACTATTGGACATGATATACATGGCCAAGAGATGGGGCCGCTTTTCATCAAATACTTTCCCAGATCTCTGGGATTTTTAGCCTCGGGAGTGGAAGTGATTGTGATGCAATCAGTCTATAAGGTAGATCTCAACTAGCTAACTTCAGATGCTTCTCATTCTATTGAATCACATGTTATATATGGAAAAATGAGTTATCATAGTTTACACCTTTTCCATCGCCTATATTCTATATTTTGCAGGTAATTCTTCTTATCCTTCTAGCTGCAACACCAACAAGGGTGAATATATATAAAAAAGACATGACAAGGCTGCATAAGCGGCTGACTATTCTTGTGTGATATGTTTGCATATCCGATACAGCAATGCGATGACGCGAGCATCGTATATTTCCTATACTCAGCGTTCCAATATAGACCTGAGGTCTGCACTCAAGTACAAAGTAGTCTGTCCCTGTCCATCAGCTTGTCCGTGCGCCTCAATATATCCCGAGGCAACCGATATGCAAGTGACGCGGCGCAGCTGTGGACGGCGTTCAGCATAATAATACCCCGTGGCCAGTGACACGAGCCATGGCAAGTTCCGTGCGCTGGCTCATTCCATAGCTCTTTTGTGTGGAGGTTATCCACTTCATTATTGAACGGTGGCGATCATTACGTTGTTTCACAACTCCCCTGCAAAATAAGACACTCATCCATAGATGTTTTGACGGCTGACTGGTACTGGTCTGTGATGGCAAAGGGGTGTTTATGCAGTAGAGTGAGTGGACGAACAATACTCCAGTACAGAGTGTAGAGCAGTGAAGTACATAGCAAGATTTGAATAGTCGTGGAGATCAAAATGGAGGAGCAATAAGGGGGCGAGTGCTCTAGTCCGATTAGGAAATGGTGTGAACGATCACTTGTCGATCCAACTTGCTTCCTTTCTTCCTTTTCTTTCCTTTCCACCGAGGTCCTTTCTCGAGTGTCTATCATACCCAGGTGATTTGTGTCTAACTCACATGTTCTACCACGCCATTTGCAAGATCTGTACTCCGTAGAATGTGTCTCAACAATGGACACGCACCCAACACCACGTGCACTTCGTCAGTAACCGGATACCACTGCCAGCTGGCCCCAGGATCATCCAGCATGCAACATCAATATTATTAAAATGGTCGCACCAGGCCAATGCCACCCTGCATTAATTTTCTTTAGAAAACGACATCTGCAGCCAGTGAAAACCACCGCATACTGTCCACTAAAGTGGGTCCTATGGACAGACGCAGAGGCCCGTTCTCAACTTCCATACCCAACGAGGAAACTTGAAAAGATTGCTCGGGTTTCCCATAACCGAGTTGGCAGCCCCATGTCAATCTTTACCCCGTTATGTGGGCCCCTCGCAACATTGTTTGGCGGGGATCCGTATGTGCTGCCTATGGTGGAGATTCGGCGACTAGCTTCTCGCGCTAAAGGCTTCTATGTTGTAAGGAAGTTTTGACTGGACACCATAGGGTGCAGGCCCCAGGCCACATGGTGTATACTGGAGCTATCGCTTAAGCGAGCCAAGGCTTCCCAGTAATCTGGACCGCAACATGGGATCACCAGCTGGTGCGGCGCTATTGAGCAGACTATTCGAACTCTGTGGGGATTTCCCATGAATCGACCACCCATATTGGGCCGTGCCATTTGTGAAATGGTTCTCCGCAGTTTGTGCAAACTTTGATCGACATTGAGATCATGTTCAAATGAGTTTGTCTCCGCTCCCTGTCTCCGAGAAGGATTACTTTCTATTCTGATACCAGACTCAATTTCCTGGCACTCTCGATCCCAAGTCCAATGCAGTGAGCTGCATTGACCTGAAGCCATTGTGCTACCGCTAAACTGGATATGATCGATTGAAACATCTGCACATAGTCCACACGCTCATTTTACAACTACGCTCGCTACATTTGATCCTTGACTTCGATATTCGATATGCACGGCTTAATTCACACATTGTTTCCTCGAGAGGATGATAATGGAGCCTCTCACGGCCGACGGGCATTGGTGGTGACTACCGTACTTACCACCATTTCAATTGTCATTGTTGCAATGCGGTTCTATGCACGACTTGGCTTGATGAAAATCACCGGTCGTGAAGATTGGGCTATTCTGATCTCTTTGGTATGCCAGTCGAAGAGCCGCACCCAGAGCTAAATGAGTAGCTCGCTAATAAAACATATGTGCAGACATTTTCCATTATATACCTTGCACTCGTCGCTGCCCGTAAGTTCACGATCCATCAGCGAATTCAAGAACCACCGCACTAACATGAATGATAGAACTACATTATAATATGGGCGTCCACTCAGCACTTCTTTCCAATCATGTCTTGCAGCAACAACTTAAGGTACGTTTCATTCTTTTACGTATTTTCTTTGCTAGTGTAAGCTAACCTGACTTCTTCTCAGTGTTTGTGGGCTGCAATTCCCATGTACAACGCCAGCTTGGCATTCACGAAATTCTCCATTCTCTTCCAATATCTACGCATCTTTCCCGGCAAACCTTTCCGCCTCGCCTGTTATGCCATGATGGCAATCGTGGCTACCTACTCGTCGTGGGCCATTGTGAGCGGGTTCGTGAACTGCGTCCCGGTGGCCAAATTTTGGAACAAGGACTTGCCAGGCAGTTGTCTCGACTTCGAGGCTATCTGGTTTTTCAATGCTTCTATGAACATTGTAACCGATATCGCACTACTATTGTTGCCCATGCCGTTACTTTCCAAGCTACAGCTGCCCCGCACACAGAAGATCGCCCTAATGGGTGTCTTTGCCATGGGTATCTTGGTTGTGGTCACCAGCATTCTCCGCCTGTCTAGTTTACGCGAAGTAGCAAAAAGTCCCGACACTTCCTGTACGTCACCTTTTTGTCTACTCCAATCCACTGATCCAAATGCTAATCCACTAAATAGACAGCAACGTCGGAGCTGCCTACTGGACCGCTGCAGAATGCAACGTCGCCATCATGTGTTCCTGTCTCCCATTCTTGCGACCCATCATCAGCCGTATCTTCCCTAGGCTTCTCTCCGCAGGTAGCTCCAATCGCTATGCTGCCAACAAAGCCACAGTGACAAATCTCACGGGAACTCGCACTCAGACGCGTCATACCCAGCTGTTTAGCCAGAACCACGATAAGGACTACGATATGTATTCGATCAATGTTAAGCCTGGTGACCACTCCAGCCACAGTTCACTCGCCGGTATTGAGGTTACCACCGAGATGAGCATTATGCAGGAGGCTACTCTGAAGAAGAGTACCAGTGAGCATAGGCTGGTTATGGATGCTTGACGACCTTTTTATTCTCTCGTTTCGATATACATATATTTTTCACGTTCGTTTGGATATACGCACGATGTTTTTCGTTTATTTTTTTATTGTTTCATTGTGACATTATACTTTGGTGGCAACCTCTCGTTTTTTTCGTTCATGGGCTTGGGTTCGGTATTTTGATATATATATTTTGGGGCTGGGTGGCCAACTGACAATTCTGTCTTTTCATTTTCTTTAACAACGTCACTATATACGGTTTATATAGATAATTCCTCAATTACAACAAAATATAGCCAAAATAAGATGCCCTAGGAATGCAAACACAAAAGATACTAGAGATGGTACCGGTAAAAAGCCTACCCAGTGGCTATACCTTTTTATTATACATATTTATATATAAATGGACTATAGTAGTGTGATGAAACGATGCTAGTCACTCAAAATCAATTACGTGTTGTGTTATTAGCTCTAACAACGGGAAAATGTATATCGAATGGGGGTAATATCCGAAACCTGATCTAAAACATCTATCTCTAAATAAAACAACTGAGTAAAATTCAAATCAAGTAACGTGCTCCTTCTCCTCCTCCTTGGGAATTCTGACCCAAACAATCGTGACCAACGCAGCGAGCAACTGTGACGCAAGGGCAAACCACCAAATAGCATGCAGCCCATCAAGACCAATTTCCCCAGACGGGCCTGTATCCACACGGGTCCCAATAGCATCAGCAACACTAGTCATAATCGCCGACGAAAGATTCTGGTTCGTAACCAACAAAGCGCCTGCACTCCCCTGATACGACCGTTCAACATTACTAGTAATGAAGATCGAAGCCGCCGCAAAAGCAAGATCAGGCCCGAATGTTACCAGCGAAATACCCGGGAACGAAAGCGCCCAGTAACTGGTGTTGGCAGTCTGCGGCAGAAAAAACGCTGGTCCAAGCGTGAAGGCTAGCATGGATACCGCGTAGATATAGTGACCGGGAACGAGGTGCAGAGTGCGGGCGACGATCAATGTCGCCAGGACACCGACCAGCGCGTTGGGAATATGATACAGCGCAACAGCAATGGGGCTGGCGTGTTGGATACGCAGCCAGAACTGAATAGCATAGAACTGCCAGCAGCCGAAGAAGGACCCGAAGCCAAGGAAGTACGCGATCATCAACGGAGTGAAGCCCGGTGTGCGCCAGAGGCGGTTAGGGATGAGAGGGCGGACAGCGTTTCGCTCCGCGAAGAAGAGCCCGACGAAAAGCACGAAGCTAACGATGATCAAGACGTACGTGTAAGGGGACCAAGACGCGACGGGGCCCTGCGTCAGCCCGAACAGGAGACACACGCAACCGCCGGCCGCGCAGATGCCGCCAATGTAGTCGAATTGCTTGATCGACGGGGCTTCTTTACCGGAGACATCTGCGATGGGGCGGAGGGGTGGAATGGCGAACCAAGCAGCCGCACACAACAGCACGCAGATAATGGCGTTTGAGCCGAAGATCCACGGGAGGTGTTGGTACAAGGCTCCACCTTGGATTGCGCCGAGGGAAAACCCGAACGGGGCGGTAGCGGCCATTGCTGAGAACACGCGGTTCTTGCGAATACCCGGTGTATAGACGCGGCCGAGGATGCTCATGCTTCCTGAGACGAGGACGCCGATGGCGAGACCCTGCATGGCGCGCATGACGAAGAATAGGACGTAGCGGGATGGCTGGAGGGTGAATGCGCCGATTACGTTCCATACGGCGAGCCAGGCGAAGGCTCCGACCATGAGGAGCTTTGGTGGCATTAGGTCTGTTAGAGAGCCGGAGATGATTACCGATAGGCCGTTGGCTGTGTTGAAGGCGCCGACGACCCAGGGGAGCTGGGTGTTGGTGATACCGAGGGCTGTTTTGATTTGTTCTTGCGGGGCCAGCATGTCGCCTAGCAGAAAAGAGAAGAGCATTAGGCCTGCTGAGCAGACGAAGATTAAGATGAGCTCGGCTGTGAAGCTTGAGAGCTCGGGCGGGATGCCTTGCTTGCTGCGGATCGGGGATCCTGATTCTTCGTCGGAGCCGTCCTGATGAGAACGAGATACCGAGTCTGCGTGCTTTCTGTTCTTCATTTTGCTTGTTGTATCGAGAGCGTAGCTCTCGTTGATTTCACGGTCCATGTCATTGATAGAGAGGTTTTGGAGGGCGATTCTATCCACGACCTTGGTGTTGCCCATCAGTGGATCGGGGGTTTGCGCCCCGGTCACTGGTGTCGAGTATGTCCTTGTGTAGGACATTGAAGACCGGCTGGATACTGGCGCTGAGTCTCCATCTTGTCCTTCTGGGAGGGTAAGATCTAGATTCTGGTGCCCATTGGCACGTGCGTCTGCACCGTGCGGTTCAAATGACATTGTCAATTTGACAGAAACACGACGGTCCTAAGGTTGCTATGAGTGCAATTCGGGGAGTTGAAGAAGAGAAAAAAAATTTATTTAGAGCAAGGCGAAAAACGGCTAAATTGGTGATAAGATGGAGTGGAGTTGGTGGAGTTTTCGATTTTATCCACAAATATAAGGTCAGGCATCTACTTTGTAATTTCTACTACAAAGTACGTCAATGTATAACGTCTACAATGGACAACGTACAACGTACCTCCTGCATATCGATGATTCACGCCATCGTGGGCATCGGAATCCCTTGCGGAAGCTTGCGTATACTCTTAAATAGTGGATCTAGTTTGTGTTTCAAGAATGACAGGTATATCTATAGTTATGTCTAGCGATTTCTTCCCAAGCACCAAGATTCAGGGATAGTTATTCCCATATTGAAACTCGAGATCTTCTCTTCTATTCGGAAGCAGAGAAAAAGACAAGAAACATGGCAATCATATGCGAGATACATGAGAGCAGTAGATCCACTCCCGAGATTATGCTTGGAATGCCAAATGCCACTAGAGAATGAATTGCGAATCAAATGTATATCAACGTCGTCACCCATGATCGTCAATGATTGACACAATAATTTGATGCCCAATCTTTCTTCCTACGAAATTTTCATCCAATCGGGTGCACGGCATCACGGAATCTGATTTCCGAGGCCGAAGGGACACAACGGGACCTTGCATCAAGCTAATCTTCGGTTATTGTCAGACCGCTATTCCCGTATGATCATCATTGAGACTTCCTCTGGTCTGCACTTGATCTTCAGGGTCTCAAACTTTAGAGTTAACTTCGATGTTCGACTAAGCTTTGTTGATCATGATCACCCTACATGCATACGACGTCATATCAGGCATGTCCTCTCCTTGCTGAGGTGGGTTTGGAGTATGTGAAGTATGGCCTACTCATTTCGAGATTTGCATAATTTCCTGAAACTGAAAATCCAAATTATTGCTCTTTCATTCGTGAGTGCTAAATTGATATGCGTGCGTCTTTATATACTTATTTGCCGAACACCTTGTAGCGGCCCTCAATAGGAGCGAAGACCTTCTCACCGGGCTCAGAGTTGGGAACACCGAAGACCAGCTGGGCATCCAACTTCCATGAGGCGGGGAGGTCCCAAGTCTTGGCAATCTGCTCATCGATGAGGGGGCTGTAGTGCTGAAGGTTGGCGCCGAAGCCCTCGGACTCAAGAGCAGTCCAGACTTGAATGATAGTTAGTTTCAAATTACTTGCTCTGATCAAAGCCCAAAGGAAAGCACATACCAAGGTACTGAGACATAGCATTCGACTCCAGGGCAAAGGGGTCGAACTTGTCGGCGTAGATAGCGAACTTCTCCTTAATAGGAGCGAGCGACTCATAGTCGACAAAGAAAAGGACCTAGATTAATAGGTAAGCCGTTGATTCGCCATTTTGACGCAAAATGGAGCCATATTGGGGGAGGGCAAACGCACGGTTCCATAGGCAGCGCGGAAAGCATTCAGCTTGGGCTTGGTGGAAGTCTCGAACATTTCCTTAGGGACGTGGCCAGCGGCGACCAGACCTTCCATGACGTTAATGGCAATATCCCACACCTTCTTGTGCTCCTCCTTCAGCAGAAGGACAACACGGGAGGTCTGGGTGTTGAAGGAGCTGGGAACGTGGAGAACAGAGTCCTGAACAATGCGGTCGATGACATCGTCAGAAACGGGGCTCTCGCCCTTGAGGTCATAGTATGTGCGGCGAGACTTCACCAACTCGAAAAGAGTGGAAGTAGCAGTGTTCTTGAATTCGGGTTGAGTGGAGCCCATTGTGAAGGTGTTGAAGGGAGACAGGTGGATGATTAGTAGCGGAGTGAAGTGATATAGAGCGATACCAAGGAGGAAAAACAACAGGTGGACTGGGATGGGGGTTTTATACATAATGTGGATTGCGAATCCTTAAATCCATAAATCCATAAATCCATAAATCGTAAGATCTCAAAAATCTTTTTCGATTTCTTTCCCCATCCCACCATCCACAGGGGCTCCATCTCGGAGTAAAGTGGCCACTTACAGCCAATCACAGTGCAACCCAACTTTCACGTCGGACGGAATTGACGGTCTCCGACACCCGACCTCCGGAGGACCCCTGTAAGCACATTGTAAGCACGTCCGAAACCCACAATTAATCAGCATCAGCATTATCAATGCGTTACCAAGCATCTTTTTCTATTTTTATACTGACAAAGCCGTGCGGAATTTATTCCTAATTGTAAACCAATCAAATTTTCAGATTCGAACTATTCTGTTCCTAAAATCCACCCTATCTCACCATAGGTTGAAATTCTGATATGGTTGATATCCAAATGGCAAAATTCCATTCTGGTCAAAAATAAACCATCCAACTCCTAGTTCACAACTCAAGTTCAAATCCAGAACATAGCGCCAGCTACGATTCCGCACATCAATGCCACGGGCGCAGCCATCTTGACTCCGTGGTTTTTGATCGCCATTGGGACAGTAATAGTGACAGTGGCCCTAGCGGTCTGGTTTTGTCTGCAGTCACATTCACAGTGACACGGAATAGAGCTAGCAAGAACGGTCACCGTCACTGTCGTGCCATTCTTGTTAGCCGGCGAAGTTCCATTGCCGAAATAAACTGGGGCACCAGTTATCATGGCTGTCGAATTCAGGAACCCAATTGAGGCTGAGCTAACGGGATTAGCGGTCGCGGTCGCGGTCGCAGGCGCAGTTAAGCTTGAATCACTAGTTGAAGCATCAGAATTGACAGAAGCTTTGGTTTCAGTAGCGGTAGAATGCGCGGGGAAGTCTCCAGTATCGGTCACGATCAAGGTTGCAGGGAAAATTCCGAGGGTGGAATCATCACCCGTGGCTGGAACAAGCACGGTGGCCGAGGTGATAGTACTAGTTTCATGCGAGGACTTTGTTTCTGTGCAAGATGCGCCTGTGGGTGTCGGAGAGCCCGTGAGTGTGCAACCTGAGGTGAAGTCGAATTTGTAGCCGTTGGCCATCATGTCATATGCTATATCTACAGTCAGTATAGCGTCCTGTTTGGGCCGGGGGGGCTGCTATATTCTTACTGCTGGGTCCGTAGATAACGGTCAGATCTGGAGTAAATCTGTGGCAAGCTGTTTGATCCGAGAGACAGTTGATTCCGTAGGTCGTTGTTGCATCTTTCTGCGTTGGTTGTTAGTTATGAACCACAAGAGAAGCGGACAAGATACATACAACGCCTATGGCCTTGGCCCCGTAGCCCTGGAAGTAATCAGGCGCATCTGTGACCCATGGAATCGTCTGTATGTTGTTAGTTTACTCAATATCTTGATGGCTTTGTGGGAGGTAAACAAACAATTGTCGCGTCTTGGGCAAACCCGAGAGCAACCCAGCATAGTTGGATCACCAACGTGAGAAGATATCTGAATAACATTCTGTAGATTACTGACGAGATCGTGAGAATCGTTTCTTCGAGAAGATATTTTTCAACAGAAGAAATATTTTGACACGCGAGGTCTCGAAATGAAAGCCATGCCGGTCCGAAACAATGTCATATAAACAATCGGGCAATGTGAATGGAAAGAACAATGAAAGTCTTGGAAAGAGCGAATTACATCTGGATGCCTACCCAGTAAGGCGTATATTTCCTATTTTAGTATATACAGAGTTTTAGGAAAGAGGGTTTGATATTACTTCCGCCCATGCATCACAGCCCATTCTTGCTTCACTGAAATCCCCCAGCCTCCTTTTTGCGTCTGAGCCCCATCTCTGCTCTCTCCAGCTTCAAGAAAATCTTCGCTCCCACGGGATATCTCTCTCGTCTCTGTGGGACTTTGAACTGCGACGCCAACCTCATGCTTTGGCCCCATTGGCCGCAAACACAGCACGCTAGAGTCATCCTGCAGCTGCTGGAACTCGCTATCGCCAGTAGACCTGGATCTTCCAGACGGGGACGAAGACTTATTCGATGGGCGAGCTGTCACCTCAGGTGTGTCTGTTGAGCGGCCCAGGAGGGGGCGCATCATAGGGACCGAAGCGAGGATGACAGCGAGACAGGGCTCCAGGCCACTGAAAATGTTGGCACGGGGAATCGAGTAGGTGATATCGGTGAAGTCCATTGTCGAGAGTATGGAGATACGAAGAATACTGATGATACATGTGCTATATTCCAGGTTAGCAAAAAACCCTCTCACGTTTCTTTCACTGGTGGTGCAAATCTTACACTCCTCCCAGCCCGAAGATAGTGATGAATGTCACTTTCTTATACCTTGCCATTTGCAGCTTATACAGCAGCGGCATAGGTGTCACCAGCACAACAACGTCGGTAACAAGATTTATAACCCCTGTCACCGTGAATGAGGTAACCTGGTTACCACACGATCCGCCAGGGATAGTCTGGTCCCAGTTAAAAGCGAACGGACGACAGATCAGACACCCAGCCAGTATTGTCCCAATAGTCCAGGCTATAATTACACCCATTGTTGCCCAGGAGACCCGCACGACCCAAGTGACCGGGAAGATGCTAAGATATAAGAACAAGATGGATATTTTTGTACAGCTGAGACTCAGAACCCAGAGAAATTGCAATGGGACGATCAGCTGAAGAAGTTTCGTAATAGGCTCCATTCCATATGTGCCCGCAATTGTAGTGACATGATCATAACCGATACCCGCTTGTAGCACGCCGGTGATGCTGACGGACTGGAGGCCGACCGCGAAGATCTGTATTGGTTAGCATGGTTGATATTGTTTGACTTGATTTGGCGAGTACTCACACCGCCGGCAATTATGAAATAGTCACTCAAAATCCATCTTTTACGCGCAAGATGGTGAGCTAGCAGTCGCAGACATACTGCTACCACAGCTAGGATGGAGAAAGCGATAGCCACGCCCAAGACCTGCCTTTGGGCTGGCGTCTCTATAGGAAAGGTAACAACCATCTCACATTATCGCAGCCAAAAAGAAAGAAGAAAAAAAAAACTCGCCAAATGAAATATATCTGGAGAATGATGTTAAATAGGTAATGTGAAACCAACCCGTCTGCAGCACGGATGTCGAAGCTAGCCCGTGCCAACATCCCAAACCCCGACCAGGGGCAATACGCGTTCAGCTTCGGTATTTCGGCATCTGATAATTCACATCTTTAGGTCACATCTTTAGGGAATAAATTATAGTAAGAAAGAACCAGTAACATAACAAATTCGGCACAGACTAACGGTTCGCATTAAGGTGGAGGTTGAGAGACTCAAGTCGAAATTAACAATAATATCACGTTTAATGATAAAAAACAATTGGTTTCTTTGGCATATGACAGCTCAACCTTTCCTCAGGTCCTCCCTAGAAAGACAATTCATTGGCGTGCCAAGTGCCACTTGCACTTGCGGACAAATACCGAGCCCGTCTATACTAGTCCGTTGCTTTTTTAGCGCGTTTTGACCTCCAAAACCAATCGTAGGCCTCGCAGAGATAATAGATCTTGGCGCAATAACCGAATTATGCATCTGTTTGCGCTATGTAAACCTGCGTCCCCCTTTCTCCGCAATGCATCTGATATGTCAAACGTGTTCTCAGCCCTTGCAATTCCGTAGCCAATCCTCTGTATGGCTGCCACTCCCATCGCAGTAGCGGTGGCATTAGGTCTACTGACACTGCTCTACATCGTCACAGGAAAAAAGAAGGGAGAAAATAAACCCCTCCTCAAGCTTCCCCTCATCGGCGACCTCCATAGCTCCCCCATTGAGAAACCGCTTTTGAACTGGGACTCATGGACAAAGGAAAATGGACCTATTGCAGTACCAAAGCTCTTTGGACTCATACCGATTGTGGTATTGAATTCATATGAGGCTGTGACAGAGTTGTTCAGCCGCCGCAGCCAATGGTACAGCAACCGCCCGCCCTCCGTCAGTATGGAGATGATCACAGGGGCTGGACCCGGGCAGTCAAAATTTACTCTGATGCACGACTATGATGATCATCTCAAGTTTCACCACCGCATCCTAGCGCCCAGTCTCGGTGCTCTTGCTGCCCCACAGTACCATCCCTTGATGGAGCTCGAGTCCAAACAGCTACTGTTTGATCTATCAAATGCTACAGGGCAGTTTCCCCAAGGAATCAGCACAGAAACTATCTATCCACTGCTTGAGCGCACTCAATCGAGTGTCATACTTGCTCTGCATTATGGCATGCGCATCCCAAGTTTTAAGGAGCATATCTTGCATGAGATCATCGGTATCCAGACTCAAGTAACCCACCTCGCTGCGAACCCCGGTATTCCAGATATTATCCCGCCTCTGCGCCACCTGCCAGCATTTTTGTCACCTTGGAAGCGAGCGGCCGACAAGCTGTACGCCACACAGGTGGATCTCTATATGCGCCTGTTCCGGCACGGGAGGGACTCGGCAGGCTGGAACTCCACCAAGCAAGCCATCGCCACAGTGGAGAAGTACTCTGAAGGCGGTGTTCCGGACCTTGACCTCGCTTTTACCCTCGCAACATCCATCCAGGGAGGTATGGAGACTTCACCGCGGCAGCTGCTGTGGTTATTCATTGCAGCGCTGCACCAACCGTCCTTCATGACGCGGGCGCATGCCTTGCTCGACAAGGTCGTCGGACGTGACCGCCTCCCCCAATTTTCGGACCGTGCGGGGCTCGCTTTCATTGACGCTATTATGCATGAACTTTTCCGTTGGCGGCCTATTTCACCAGGATCCATTCCCCGTAGGGCCGACCGGGATGATGAATTCAATGGTGTCAAGATCAAAAAGGGGGTCACTCTCATGGCCAATGCGTGGGCTATCGGCCGAGACGAGAAGGTCTTTGATCCCGCGCTAGGAGACACTCAGGACTTCGTGCCTGAGCGGTGGCTCCAGCGCGATGATAGCGGAGAGGAAAGAGTGCGAACGGATCTTCCGTTGCCGGTTTTTGGGCAAGGCCGCCGGATCTGCCAAGGAAAGCGGGTCGCTACGGATGGATCTTTCATGCATGTTGCTTGTCTGCTGTGGGCGTTTGATATCGAGCCTGCTGATGGGGAAGAGGTGGATCCATGGGCGATGGTTGTGGCAGGGTTCATGACAATGCCGAGGGAGGTCAAATTTAAACTCCGGCCCAGGGGTGACTGGGTACTGGATGTTATTAAGAAAGAGTGGGAGACGGCGGAGAAAAGTCTCGGAAAGGTTATGGGAACTGACGTTGATGTCGAAAATAAATAATAGGATGCAAAATGAATGTTTTATGTTATGATTATATATATCCAAACTCGTCCTGCAGTATAGGGTGGCAGAGAGATTCCGCCAGCTCATGTGAAATATTACAGATTAGACGACTCAGTACCTTTGATATTGGTGCTATTCACAGTTTAAATTTGTCACTGCAGTTGTGACTCATCCATAGATGAATCCATATACGTGTGAGGTAATTATGTTGGGGAAATAAAAGCCTAGCTGCCACCATTCTAAGCTAGGCGTGGTAAAACCTGGTGATTTACAATTAGAATATGAGGACCTGTGGGATTGACGCCGAAAATGACATTAATCGCCTACCAGCACCGATCTTGCCAAATAGATAACCTCCAAACCGAAAGTATTTATAAGAATGTTAATTTACAATGATTTGATTCTTTTCTATATAGTACCTAGCTGTATGGATATAAGGCTCTAGACAGAAGGCTCCATGCAGCCGGAGCAAACAGACGACTGTTGGCAATCTGTCAACTTCCCTCCATCTCTCAGTTGCTTCACTGCAGAGGGTGTGGCGCTCCCATACTCTCCCCTTTAGGCACAAATCATTGACTTTTAGGCCACATCATTGACTGCGAATCATCGTAAATTCTCTGATGACTTCAAATTCGGTTGAATGAGAAACGTACTAAGTTCAGTTGGGATTCCGCAGTTCTTACTCGTAATACAGCGTTCGGGGTTCTGTTTAATCTTATTAATATTGTCACACGTGGTCGAGATAATGCCTTTCCCACTACAACTCACCTTTCGGACTAAACACGGCGCCACGCATTTGACTTTTCCAATGAGACCGCGCGGCAGGGCCGTTGCATCGACTGCTTGCACGGCAGTAAGAAACGCGGCAATAATAATTGTAAATCTCATGTTGAGTCAGTTCGGTTGGAAGAAATTCTTCGAATGACGCTTGAAAAACAATATCATGCTGACAACAGGCCACCTTTATATATTGCTAGTAAGAAAATCACTTCCCAATTTCCGCTATTTTAACTCGTCGCTTATACCCTAGTTCAATTATTTGGAGGACTATTGAATTCGAAAATCAATAAGGTCTTATACGTAGATCTTGTCGTGACCAATCACAAGTCTCAGCTCACTGTACTACCCTACGCGAGCTGCCCGCAAAAGTTTGGCTTCCGTTCGTACTACAAATTCATGCGAATTCTCGCCGTTTGATTCGTCAATTTCGGCCGCCAAGACTCTTCTCCATCCGTCCTAGCCATTATAGCATTTAGGGTTCTAGGGCTTCGTTCTGCACTTCTTTGTACGTTCCCATCTATGACTGGCTCGTCCTCGGTTTAATAGTTCTCTCATTAGCTTACTGTAACATACTGCTATTTACTTTCATTTTGTGAAGTCCTCACTGGGCTTAGCCTTCGCTTCGCGATTTTATGTCTTAGCCTTTACGCCTCTGGGGCTTCGTCTGGTCATATTCGCCCGTTTACATTCAGTGCTTATGGCTTTCCTATTTTATTGCTCTTTTTTTCATAATCTATATTTACTATATCTTATTCCTATGCCTTGCTCCACTAACCTGTGAGAGCACACTCCGAGCACTCTTAGGACATCGGTTGTAGTTACGTAGCTTTATAGTTTTATTCCACTGTTTGCGCTACCTCGATTCGAACTCTTCCAATCGGCTTCGGCTGCTGCCTTCCGTAACTTTAATCACGCTATGACCGTGCTGCCATAGCTCCTTCCTACCCGCCAGGCCCGATATCTTCGACTATTACCTCATGAAAGAAGAGTTAACCCTGCTTAGCTCTTTTATGAGATTTTAGTTTCATGTTTCATTCTGCCTAGTGCTACGGATCACATGTGTTAATGCCTGCTGCCGCAGGCATCCCATGTATTTAGATCTAGCTCCTCTCACCATCTCTCCTTCTTTCCTTCCCTATACTTAGTTGTAGTCTGTCGCACAACCCAGGTCTGGGTCAAGATATCCAACCCGGACCCAACCTAGGACCCAGGCTGGGGCCCCATTGGGGCCCTAGCAAAACCCAACTTTGCACAAAACTAAACTCTTAGCGTTTATAAAGCTGCTAAATAATCAATATATAATCTTAGTATTTTTCGCTGTTTTAGATCGAACTAATATATACTAACTTATTAGATCCAATACCTTGTCGGGCTTATGAACGGAAACCCGGTCACGTTTTTCTCAAGTGGACTGTCAAATATCAACGGCTTTATCAACCTGGCAAAAGCCGTTCTTGATATGAGTAAACCGCCCACAGTTCTTGTGATCCCTTATGGGTTCAATGAAAATCAGTTTGCCGAGAATTCCGCGAAATCCTTTTGCAACTTGTTTAGTTAACTTGGTGCCCATGGTGTCTCTGTGATCGTTTCCAGTGGAGACGGAGGGGTAGGAGGAAGCAGCGAAGGAAACAACCACTGTACCGCATCTGTCCCGACATTCCCGGCTACCTGTCCTTATGTGACTGTTGTTGGTGGCACCCAACAATTCTCACCCGAAGTTAGTGCATCTTTCTCGGCTGGTGGTTTCTCCAACTACGTTGGCCGTCCTAGTTATCAGAATAACGCGGTATCCGCTTATTTACAGAGGCAGGGCGGAGCGCATGTAGGACGATATAATCCCAACGGACGTGCATACCCTGATGTCTCTGCTCAAGCAGCAAACATCGTTGAGGTAAAGGGCGAGCGGGGAATTTTGGTGCAGTCAATGTCGTAAGTCATTCTTTCAAAAGCCTTGCGCATTATCTTGGACATTGCTAATACTATCTAGTGCTGCTGCTATGATTTTTGCATCTACCATTTCCCTACTGAACGGGGAACTCATCACTGCAGGCAGAAGAACAATGGAATTTTTGAACCCGTGGCTCTACTCCAATCCGGGCGTATTGAACGATATTACCAGTGGCTCAAACCCTGGTTGTAACACCCCTGGGTTTCCTGCCACGCCTGGATGGGATGCTGTTACCAGGCTTGGGTCTCCGAGCTATCAAAGGATGAAAGCGTCGCTGGGGCTTTAGATAAGGTAATGCAATCAAGTTGTTAAAGATGAAAGGATCGCTAGGGCCTAACTCGTACAATCTCCGTCGGACGTCAATACTCCGATGCTCCGTGAGTTCCTCTAGGCGATACAGGGCGGACTCAGGGATATCGTGATTGGTATGAAGTCTGCCTCTACATACTTGGATTCTAGGGCAGTCGACGCTTTGCTGACCCATAGCAGTGTTCATCGTGGTGAGAATTGAGCTTTGGGACCAGTACCTAGCCAAGGCGTGGACATAGGAAAACGTTGCTCAACCGCGATGTTCACAACATCCTTAGTGCACAATTTACAGACGCACAAACGCAAGTCTAACACAGCCGAAATCCTTTGCAACTTTTAAAAACGAGTTTGAATGTCTGCATAAGTATCGGAGAAGCCGAAGAATCTCTCAGGTCCGCTGAACGTCGACAGGCTACGAGATCGACAGGCTACGAGATCGACAGGCTACGAGACATTGGTTATCAGGACCTGGTTGCTGCAACATCACATCTCCAAAATATACGTTTCTTCTATGGCTCACAATATGTTTACATGTTAGGGGCTGACCCAGTACCATGGGCGCGGAGCACTTGATGTCGTGTCCAAGGGCCGGAAACATGAACTTTTGATTGGAGGGCATCTGGATGAAGAGATTCTCCATGTCACATACAAGAGTCCAAGCCCAAACTTGACTCCACGCAGTTGCGAGTACCCAATTAATATGCGCCCCGGCCTAACGGGCAAGTTCTGGACCATACTAGCTGCCATTTAAGTCGGATTCTACTCAGTGGACGACACGGGGGTGGGATTAGCGCAGATACGAATGACATCCAGATGGCTGATAAATTGCTTGAACATCTACGTTATTCCGTTTTGAGATTCTCTGTGATATCATATCGTCTGTGTATTGTATTTCGTTACAGGCAAAGTGGTTCATTTGTCTTGGGATGGGTAACAAGGAAGTGTGTTGTCCAATTTACAGAATGTCATTTTCGCAATTCTAACCAGATAGTATATTGTTTACAAATAGAGGGAGCACCGGAATGTTCTCCATGATAGTCAGCATTGAAATCGACCTGGGGAGGGAAAGAGAAAGACGAAACAGAAATGGTCGGAGTCGTGGAGCTAAGTGAATTGCTTTCATTTTAAACCCGGCGAAGAACTACAAGCCAACACCTAGTCAACACCGGTAGAGAGGTAAATTAAGATCAAGAATTTGGCCTAGTCGCCGTTGCTTTAGTGATCAATGATCAGCAATTCCATCTCAAACAATGGGAATATATATTCAAGAAAACTCATCGCAGGCCAAGCAAGTCAACTTCTTGGGCCAAAAGGAGTAAACACAATGGTGGTATATACAGTACATGTTCACGCCGATATCCCTCAAATGTTCAGTAGACATAACGGAAGGAAGGATTCTGCTTATCAGTGAGCCCAGCCCACCTCGTCTCGTCAGCCATGTTCTCATCAACACCGCCCTTAGTCTGATCTCTGTGGCGGTTTTGTCCTTTGTAATAGAAGAACAGCACGACCGATAGTACAGCCGCCGCAGCCTGGGTTGCGAGAACAGCAATCTTGGCCGGATGGTATTCCGGTGCATCGTGTGACTGGAATGTCTGTGGACCAATGATGTTTCCGACCGAGAAAGACCCAGCAACCAGTGCACTAGCAAATGCACGCTTGGTATGTCCAGCGCAGTTGGCCATGGTCCACTGGTATAGAATCGGGAGAGTAGCTACAATTGCGTTCACAAGGTAAATACCGATCAGGACACCGGCTTTGTTGCTTTTGGGTAGGAAGGATAGTAAGGCCCCGCCGATGATTCCAGGAATTGTACAGAGTACATTCCAGGCCCAGCGATTGGAAGTTTTCCGGATGCCAAACCCAACGAGAAGTGTGAAAAAAATGCTAACGATGCCTGACGGGGTATTGAGAAGGGCTGAGATGGGACCGGAGAAACCAAATCCGGCAATTAAAGTTGAAGAATATGTCGTCACCACACCACTTGACACAGATATCTATGCAATATTGGTCAATTGAACTGCAGGGGATAGTTGGAGCAAGGGGTGAAAGATGGAATGTGATACATACCAAAATGGTTGTCACGGTCAGAAGCCACAGCTGAATATCGAGGACAGCCTCCCAAATTTGTTTCAGGTTCAAATTTGTGCTCCATACTCCAGTCTGGTTTTCGCTGACGTGTTGAAGAAGGGCCACCTTTTCGTTATCGGACAGCCAGGTTGCCTTCATCGGTGTATCCGGAATGAAGAAAAATGTCAACCCACCGACAACAGTTGTCACCAACCCGAGGACAAGGAACATAATCCGCCAACTCTCTATTGAGGCATGATGCACATGCTGGAATCCAAAGGATATGATACCTCCAATTATCTGGGCCACACCAAGACCCATATACCACACAGTGAACCGAGGGGCTTGTTCGCTTCTGGTGTAGTATTGGCTGCTAATAAGCATCAAGGATGGTCCCACTGTCGCTTCAAAAATACCCAGGAAAATTCGTGCTACCAACAGGCTCCGATATCCTTGCGCGCCGGCGGAGGCCGCAGCCGCGACTCCCCAGAGGAAAACATTTCCACCGAGCCATTTGGCGGGCGGTGCTTTTTGTAAGCAGTATACTACGAATTGATGATCAGCAGTAACAACAAAAAAAGAATTTATTTTAGGGGGGTAGATAAAGACACTCACCATTAGGTACTTCCGCGATCAAGTAGGCAATGAAGAACCATGTAGCGACGTTAGAGAAATCATTGCCGGCGAGTCCTAAGTCTTTTTTGATCCCCATAACAGCTGCATACTGTGGATACGCGTGGATCATCCCTGCGTTAATCACATGGCCCATACGGCTGAATCGATAGGCAAACTCACGTTCAGCATGACCTTGTCCAAAAACTGCAGTACATAGCAGCAAAACATATAAGGCATCAAACGCCGATCAATTTTACGACGTAGAGCTCGCAGATCGACTTGAGAGTCAAGCGCCCCATTTGCATGGCTCTTGAGATATATCACAGCATCATCAACTTTATCTCCAGGAGGTTGTGGTACTACCTCGGGTTGGATTTCACCCATCGCGGCTGGGAACAATAGGGAAACAGACGAAGAAGAACGTAGTCAGAAGGGAAATTGGGAAAGAAAAAGGAGAAAGAAAATTAACGAAAAGTCTAGTGGAAAAAGGTGGGAAACACAATGGATTGATGCGACAAAAGCATAAATAACGTCGCAACCACCGTGGGGATCGCGTGGCTACACGTTTCATAACTAGCAACGAATCAAAATCAATAGTCCAAGACCCTAGAACCTTTCCTAGTTGGGAATTACATGAAGATCTAAGGTTTATGGAAGGGATGAGCTAAATATCAATAATATTGTTGAAACAACCTTGCAAGACCGGGAGAGTACGGAGTACGGAGTACATGACAAGCATTATCGGTCTAAATCTCCAAAAAGGAAAGTTCAGTGGTACGAGCATTTTTGGAATTTATTTTTATAATTTTTATGCATAAGGCACCCCTGTTATATCTGCTTACCCAGGTAGAACGCCTGACTATGTTCTGGTATATACTCTCCCCCGTATCCCTTCGCACGCTTTCTCCTCAACAATGGGCTGGGTACACAATGCCTCGCCCGAGGTGGAAGCTGCATCGCAATACCGCCTCATTCTTGGTGTATGTTTGAGTCTTACCATCTTAATGGTTTTCACAGTTTCCCTGCGACTTTTCCTTCGAGCGCGAGCCAGTCGATGGGCAGCAGCAGACTATGTGATGGTTGTTAGCATGGTAAGTTAACCTGTGTGATATACAAGAGATAATACAACTGATTTCTTGAGCAGGCCTTTAGTGTTATATACAGTGCACTCTGCATTTCTCGTGGGCACCGCCACCTTTCCCGCCGCAACATGAAACTTACTCACAGTCACAGAAAGTCGATATGGACTAGGACTGCCATTAAAGCAACGACCTGCAGCAAATTACTTGACATATACTAAGGTCAATATCTTTCTTCTCCATTTCAGTTTAATGCTTCGTGCTTATTACATACTACTAGCAAGCTGACAAAAGGCAAATAGATCAACTACGCAGGACGGCCGTTTTACCAGATTGGCATCGCAGGGTTCAAGGCTTCGCTCTGTCTCAGCTATCTGCGACTGATCTCTGGAACCTCAAAGCGTGTTTATCGAAAAGTGATCTGGATTGTGATCGCAGCGTCTACGTTGGGTCATATCGCTGGTGCTCTTAGCCTACTCTTCAATTGCACACCGGTAGGAAAAGCCTCTTGCCATAAGGGACGAACGCGACCACAAGCTAATAACCATTCGGCCCCAGATCCGACGATCATGGAACGCCCATGTACCAGGCACATGTCTTCCCGTTGGAGGCCTGTTCTACGGTCTCGCGATTTACACCATCATCACAGACGTGACCATTATCGTGCTTCCCATCCCGTTGCTCCTTGGTCTCAATATAAAAACTGCACAGAAGGCTGGTGTTGTGTGCCTTTTCCTCCTCGGCCTCTTCACCACGGTATGCTCCATCATGCGGCTAACTCAGATTCAACGTGTGGCATTCGGAGACGGAAACTCGACAATGCTGGTGTTGTGGGGAACAATTGAGTTTAACGTGGGCGTAAGTGGAAATGACCCGTCCCGCGCGAACTATAATGGCTGATTTGTGTGTATTAGAACATTGTCACTTGCATTCCATATCTGGCGCCTCTATTGAAGGGCTTGGTGCGAGGACTCGGTTCGACCAGTGATAAATCGAAGAATTATTACTATGACAGTCAAGGGAGAAGCTACTTGATGGAGAATTGGTCGAAAGATCGGAGTTCGCACATTCAGTCAAATGCTTCCGCCCCTAGACAGCCAAAACGAACACCGAGCGAGGAGCTCATTTTGGCCAGTCAGGAGCCTGAGCATGGGGGTATCGAGAAGACGGTAGAGTATAGAGTGTCTTTGGAAGGCAGATCAACCAAATAGGAAGGTTGATGACGCCAACGAACTAGCTCAAATTTTGGCTTGTGTACGGAGTACGGAGTACATTCTTCCCATGGATACTTTGGTACAGTTCCTAATTATTTAAAAATTGTATTAATCTTTTTTTGACTTTGCTTTTTTCTTGCATGATTGCCCCTCTACTCCGTACTTCGTACCCCTAGTTACACCCCTTGCCTTTTGTGGCGTTTAAGTTCATCATAATAATAGATTTGTGGTTGCAACGTCAGAGAAACACCCCAAGTTCACGCTTTACCAATAGCCAACACGGCCGGCCGACTTGGGAAATCTGCAATCGGCGAGTTTCTGCATGATAACTCCTTCTCGAAGACTTTCTGATTCAAATTGGTTATTCGAATAATGCCTCAACGGACCGGGATCGACAGGATCAGCGCGCTCGGCCGGAACCCGAAGATCCGCGTGTACAAGTGCTTTGTACATATGTACATGGCGGGAAATGCGCCTGAGACAGGATTGCACCCTGGATGCACCGGTTGTAATCAAAATGTAACTTCATTAGACCAAATCTGGCTAGTCTGGCTAGCACACACAACAGTCTCAGCCCTTGATCAAGTAACTAACGCAAATCAGCTAGCTCCATTTAAGATTTTTGTCATCTATCCTCATGGCCTGGACCCCCAATCCACATCATTCTGCCCGTGACATGGCGCAAGCCATCCCGGGCTAGCAGGTCGGAGAGACCCGAATCTTCAACATTATTAAACAGCAACTAGAATCCTTAAATTCACTCAATCCCTAATCTTACTGAGGCCCTAAAAAAGATATCTTAACACGATGGACCCTAATAGAGAACCTTGGAAAATAGCGCGGCGGAGGTGATATACAATAGGTGCCTTATTCGTTATTGGCTAACCTTAGAGGACTTCCAAGCTTTTTAAAAGTCTCACCGAGCTGGAACCCGAGCCGTCCCGAGGGTCAATATGGACCATCGAATCTTATTTGAGCCTTTCAGGTTAGGTAGCCCCTAGAAGGATCCGGATACTTTCCGTATTAAAGTCCCCACGCAAACTTCCAACGGATCTTCAACTAGCAAGGTGGCACGACTCATTGTGTGATTTGGTACGGAGTAAAGTACGAGCGGGGTAAGACAGAGCCAGGGTTGTATAGATTGAGAGGCGATCAAACTGGACAGTGTTACTAGAACTGCGCACCATACCTTGTTCACCATGTCTGATTCTCCCATTCTGATTATCGGCGCAGGCATCAGTGGTCTCGTACTGGCCCAGTACCTTCAGCGCCATGATATTGCGTTCAGGATCTTCGATCGCGACTCCGCAATCGATGCCCGCAGTGGTGGATGGGGTCTGACGCTGCATTGGTCACTCCCCGCCCTGCGTGAATTATTACCAGAGCACCTTGTTGAGCGGTTCCCTGAAACCTTTGTCAACAAAGAAGCTTCCGCCCGGGGCGACACCGGTCGCTTCCAATTTTTTGACCTCAAGTCGGGAGATGCATTATATAATATCCCTGCCGCGGAGCGTATTCGCGTCAGTCGCGTTCGCTTGCGACAGTTACTGACTACCGGTGTGGATGTTCAAGTAAGTCGTGAGATTATCGTCTTCGGAACAACCTCATTTTTCTCGTACTCTTGATGGGCGCTGACGCCGTGCTTTCAGTGGAACAAAAACCTTCGAAATATCGACTCTACAGCCGATGAGATCACCGCGCACTTCGAGGACGGCACATCTTACACCGGGCGGCTACTAATCGCATGTGATGGTTCACGGTCGCGCACACGCGAGATCCTCTACCCAGATGCACGGATGAACCAGTTACCAGTACAGATTCTGGGTGCGTCGACGCTGTACAGCGCGGAGGAGCTGGGCGGCGTCGAATCAATCGACCCTTTTATCTTCCAGGGCTCGCATCCTGACTCAAATGTGTTTTTATTCTTCAGTTGTGAGTCCGCCAAATCCTTTCTTCTCTTCTGCAGGTTACTGATGTGTTCATAGTTCTGGATACCCCAAAAAACTTCGAGAATAGTAGCAAGGATCGTTACCACTGTCAAATCATTATCTCCTGGGCGGATTCAAAGGAAATCCCTGTCCCAGACCCGAACGCCGATCGCATCGCGCTGATGAAGAAGTTGACTGATAATTGGTCGGAACCATTTCGCTCGCTGGTACACAAGCTTCCTCACGATGTGGAAGTGCGTTCGATTCGCATCGAAGACTGGATGTTCAGCCTGGGCAGGGCGCACGCGCATCCCCGGGCGGTGTTGATGGGTGATTCGGCTCACACAATGACTATGTGTATGTGACTGTTTCAGTGTCCCATTATGCGGCTGCACCCATGACAAAATGCGCTTCTCTAACTTATCTTAGTCCGCGGAGAAGGCGCCAACAACGCGATCGTCGATGTGTTGGATTTCGTGAAGCGTGTCGATGTGCGCCAGCCAAGGTATGAATCTAACTACTTCCAGCTCTATTTGGCTAGGCTGATATTAACGCTATTTCAATCACCAGCTCCTTCGATTCCGAGGCCTTGCTATCCTCCCTCGCAGCATACGAGAACGATGTCTTCACACGAGCCGAGCCTAGCTTCCTCAACTCCAGACAGGCATGTCTCGATGCTCATGACTTTTCTAAAATTGAAGGAAGTCCGCTGGTTGGGTTGCGGGATTTGAAGAAATCAGGCTGAAGTGCGGGACGATGATGCCGTGTTGTGTCCACGAGTACGACCTCGGGGCATCTGCCACTGAGGGATTCCATAGAAAACTCAAGTCGAAGTTTCCCATCGTGGCGCAATAATTCAAGCGAGAAGGGATAAAATACACAAAAATAAAGTACTCCCAATATCAACTGGCTGATGTCGAGATTAAGATCTCGGGATGTTATGGATGTTGGTAGTCTCCCAGATCCAAGTGCTTATCAGTGCCAAGTCCCGGACAACCCTCCCGTCCCCGACCTCCACTCATTCCACTTCTCCTGGCACCAACGGAAAATCAAGGCTTGGAGTTAATCAACTCCACAAATTGAGAAAAAAAAAGCCATCCCAATGCAATGCTGACGCGCAATGGACGTTACCGCGTCATATCAAGCGGCCAGGGTCCGTGTATCACAGCGTCAGCCGCAAGCCTGCCGAGGTAACTGCCGATCTAATGCTGCCACCCAGGTCCAGTAGGCGACTGACATGATGCAGAATGCACGAAGCGCAAACGCAAATGCGACAAACAAAATCCCTGTTCAAGATGTAAACGCTTAAATTTGAAGTGCTCGATAGAAATCGTCCAGCTTAGACGCAACGCTGTGCAACATGGGTCAGAGATTCAGTTTTTGCATTCGCTTTTGGTGGACCTTGAATCGACTCCATCAGATCCAGTGCCCCTGGTCGTTCAAAAGATCAAAAATCAAATATTTCGGCTGGAGACCGGCCAGGATCCCGCAGAATCGGAAGTATCCGACACCACGTCGACACAGCGGGAATCAAGTACAACCGAGGACCGTGCACCTAGCAAAGTGTCACTCGGCCCAACTGAAAACACCTCGCATCAAATTGACTCATCACTTCTCACGGCTATTGAACATCTTGCTTGGGGTCGTAATTCCGCTGGATGCTTCCCTCACAGGACGTGCTCGTGCCAATATCGCAAAGATGGACTCCAATCGTTACCAGGGACGAGCCCTCTTCTAGTCCATGGGCCTAGTCCAGAGCTGAACTCTGCTTTTCCCAGTGTTACGGATGCCCAGAAGCTGATCAAGTTTCATCTATGCCATGTGGCCTGGCATCACAATTGCATTCATGGTCCAACATTTCTCGAGCAGTGCGAGTTATTCTGGGAGACTGGGAAATTCGAGGACCCTCTCTGGCAAGCGCTTTATTTTTCTGTCTTGAGTTCCACAGTCAGCTCAATCCAGGATAGTAAGAAAGTAAGAGAGCTTGTTGATGTCGACCTGCTGGCAATGCAATCTACACAGCAGCTGTTCTCTGCCATGGTGCAGACCCTCTATAACTCACATTTTCTCAGCAACCTCTCCGTATACTCTGTTCAAGCAATTGTCATATCGACCGAGGTCGCTCATAATCTTGGCTTGAGTCAACTGAACGCGACTTTATTCAATGCTGCAGTGCGCATTGCCGAGTGCCTTGGGATCCACAAGATCCAGGATCAATCAACGAACCTTGCTCAAAACAAAGATGAATGGGGTGAGATGGTGGAACGAGAAGTGGGAAAGAGAGTATGGTGCCAGATGATCATCCAAGACCATTTCGCCATTCCCTTTACCGACACCTACAGTATCTCTCCGATGCATTTCTCGACAGGTCGCCCCATGAACGCAGATGACTATGACTTGACGGATATGCCTATCACGTCTCCCACCATAAGCACTTACATCCGCGTGCTCGTGAATTTGGCAGAATTGATGCCCGGTCTAGTTGACGGACTCGGTCCAATGAAATCCAGAAAGCCTATGCGAGAGCAATACGAACATATTCTGCATATAGACCAGAAGATGAGAGGCATTGTGAAAAACATACCTTCTTTCCTTCTGCGTGCGGATAAAACAAAGGAAGCACAAATCCCATGGCTTGCTATCGCTCGACGAAGCCTCGCTATCACTGCAGCCGAGAAGATTATCATGATCCATCGGCCGTTTCTCTTCCGCTCTTTCAATGACCAGACATATACCTACTCAAGACGTACCTGTGTTGCCGCTGCAATGACAATTTTGCGTGAGCACGAGGTAATCGTAAGAGAAGGGGATATTTCGATATGGACCCACACAGCTTTTGCGATTACCGCTGCGGTCATTATGTGCTTTGAAGTTAATGCAACTGCAGAGAATCAAGCTACTATTGCTCAAAGCCACAAGGATGCAATAGTCGCGGCTCGCACCCGCCTTGCTGATCGAACTAATGACGTGCTTGCTCAGCGAGGCGTCGCGTTGATTAATGCAATATTTACTGCCGATACACCCTCGGGATCAGGACTTGGCAACAAAGCGATTGATTTTGGTCAAATTCTGGCTAAGTTCTCAACTTTTACGAGAATGAACCTAGGTCCTGAAACCCCTGACACATCTGTTAGCAGATTCTCGAATGCCGATGCTCAAGATGTGATCGGGGCCCATTTTAACGAAATGCAGCCGGCATGGGATACAGCGGAAGATATCGATTTCGATGCATGGTTCAATGGAACATTCCACACTCTACATGACCCTCTTCAGTTTTGAGAGAAGCAAAAATAAAATCGCTCGAAGCCACTCTTTCATTGAGCTACTCTAGCCATTGGTATATCTTTGATTCATGTCCTCACGTACCCCGTGTCGTTGACTCCCTCGTAGTCCCGGAAGGGCTTGGGGGAGTTGTGCTTGTCATTGTGCATTGCCAGAGCAACCTCCTCTTGTCCTCCTCTTCCTTGTATTTGGCTAGTTGCCCAGTAATACTGTGCATTACACCCCTGTTGTGGAAAATGACCACATCACCCTCTTGCCAATCGTGGGCATAAATATTCTCAGCGGCAAATATCTTGCTCTGCATCTTGTACACCACTTCTCTGACCTTCTCAACATCATCCATCACCGTGATATCACCTGTCGCTGGGTTCCGCGTTGTGAGCCTGTAAACGCAACAACCATGCACCTGGAAAAATGGCCGGTCGGGATTCAGCGGGTTTCGCCAGACCATCTGATGAAAATTGTCAGCCGATACTCATTTCTATCTTGTGCAGTTGGAAAAGAAACTTACCGGGTGCTCGGCGACTTTGCCCCACGCCCATTCCGACAATCCTTCCACTGCTATCTCCCGCCCAAAATTCGGGATCGTCAGACCATCTTCGGATGCTTTGCATTGGCGGATATACTCATATGCTTGGGGAGCATAGGTGACTGTGGTATTAAGGGCGAATTCTTGTTCCTCGGGCGTCAACAGAGAAAATACGCGAGCGCCGGAAAAGACTATACTCCGTAAGTGTGTGCACCTATCTGCGTTCGTGCGGTTTACTAACAAGCCGTGGCTCCAGCACCGATAATCTTCTCTTTCCCATCAGGGAACTTGATCTTCTGATCCGGTACATTGGGAATGCGAATTGAGTGCAATATAGTCACTTCACCTGGCAGACGCTCGTAGAAAGGGGTATCCATGTGCCACCGGTATGGACGGGTATAGCCGTCATCTAATTCCTCTTGACTGAGAGGCTCCTCATGAAACAATGTGTGATCCTGTCTCGCTGGTCAGACAAATGAAAGCCTAGTACTTCGTTCAGATGGGGACACGAACAAGATGCACCACCTCCAGCTCCTTCAGACCTTCATAGTCTTGGAACTTCCCCGAGCCGATGATTCCAACCTGGGGGGCTCTGGGGATTCTTCCTGCTTTGTATGCAGACAAGATGTTCTTGGGGTCGCTCACAGCTTTCTCTCCGGCGGAATGGACGTCGGATGCATTGGGATCGAAAATCTTAGCGAGCTTCGGCAAGACAGTGGGGTCAATGCCTTTTTGTTTTCTGATGACAATGACTTGATTCTCGAAAAGGGCTTTTCGGAGAGTATCTTTGTCGTTGTCGGTTAAGCGGTCCAAGTCCAGCATGGGCATTCCTGGAGGCAGTTGGACTTCGGCGCCAATGGCGGAGCTTTGCCTGATTTCATCAGAGAGGAGATTGAAGGTCAAACTTGTTGATTCGGGCATTTTGTGTTTTGAAGAAATATTCGAAGTTTGTAACGAGTGATGTTGGATATATGGTTGTCGTTGAGTATAACGCTGCCTTTAAGCAGAGACGGGAATGGAGCAGAGCGGACGAGTTCACCGATTTGTACCACCATTTTTGATAAGACCAATATTGCGAATCATTCTGTTACTAACGTATAATGTTCCTTCTATTATCATCTCGATGAATTGGCAATGATGCTGGGATCCTATCTCCGTGGATGGGTGAGTTGCGGGAGCTCACCCGCACCTTCCTGATTGGCCCTCGTGCTACTATATACAACAGAACGATATAAAGCATGCACAGTCGCTCAGTCGTGGTGTTCATATTGGTCTCATCCTGATATTTATCTCAGCTTTATTCACAATGGTTACCATGACTCTTTCTTGCAGGCCTGTCACCAAGCCCGATGATTCTCGGGTAGACTTTGGAGCTGAACTCACCGGCTTCGACGTTGAAACAATGACAGGTAAGCAATGGTCCAAGCAACTTCATTGGGTTCAAATTCTGATTACTATAAGATGATGACTTTGACTTTCTCCGTCGCACGCTGTATGAGAATCAAGTGGTCGTAATCAAAAACCAAGGCAAACTCTCCCCACGTGCCCAGTACGAACTCACTCGACGCTTCGATCCTTCTGCCGGTGTCTACAGTCATGGGAAATCCATCGACAAGCGCAGCGTCCTCCATGCCGACTTGACAACCATCCCTCACCAGCCGCAAGTCCAAGTTATCGGCAGCGGTTTAGTCGGAGAGTATGAGGGACTCAAAAACATCCGCCTGAAACACCCACACCACAAATCATTCCACAAGAACCCCATCTCGCCTGAAGAAGATCATGATTATACACACTTCTACCGCTGGCATATTGACTCGGCCATGTACAACCTTGATCCGCCTTTGGTCACCACGTTGCTGGCTGTCAAAGTCCCCAAGGGTCGCCGCCAGACCTGCCGCTATGATGATGGCACGGACACCACACTTGACGTTCCTCTTGGAACAACGGCGTTTTTCAGTGGATACCGCCTTTACGATATGCTTTCAGAGGAAGATAAACATTTCGTTCGCACCAGCAAGGCTGAATACGCTCCTCATCCATACATCTGGATGAGCAAGGCCAAGTCACGCTCCAACGGCTTGGGAATTATATCGGAAGGGTTGGAGCTTGCTGAAGACCAGTTGCCTCCCTTTGAGGCTTCTAAGATCAGGGTATATCCCATGGCTTGGAAAAACCCCGTTACTGGCAAGGTCGCAATGATGGTTTATCCAACATGTGTGCGGAAAGTCCATCTTGAGAACGGGCAGGTACTTGATAATCTTGCGGAGATTCGAGAACGACTGTACAAGATGCAAAGACCGGCCATTGATCCTTGTTATTTGTATACCCATGACTGGGAGGAGGGAGATCTAGTGCTTTTCAACAATCATGGTGTGATGCATTCGATTGTTGGTTCTTTTGATGAGGATGAAGTGCGCGTGTTCAGACAATGTAATATGGCAGCTAGTCGACCTCCTTTGGCACTGGAAGATAGCGTGTCTAGTTTAGTACGTGAATGAAGCTAGATAGATCCAGATGGTTCTAACTTTCTATATTATTGACTTCCCGGTAAGGTCGCGGAAAGATGGTAAAGGGCGAACTAGACAATCGAGACAATTGAGCCACTTATACCGCACGATTCAGGTCATTTACACCCCCGGAACAATGGCCTAAGCCCATAAATATCAAGTCCTTTTAGTACATATGTAGTCTTTTATGATAGTTTTCTCAGATAGTCTTTTTAGATAGTCTTTTTAGCTGTCTTTTTTGGTGGTCCTTTTGGTGGTCCTGTCAGATTCTTCTCAGTTAGTCTTCTCGGTTACTCTTTTTAGATGTCTGTTTTCTTAGATATTTTCTCTCCCTTCTCAGGTTGTGAGGTAGACAGCCGAAAAAACCCGGAAAAGGCTTAATTTGTGAAATGGACTTTTCCATGTATAACCTTTGAGAATAAACGAGTTTAGACTGCTTAGGTGTTGTTGAGTAGCCCCCCCTTCGCGTGGGGTTCTTTCCTAATTACCTTCCACCCTTCTTCGTGGTATTTCACCTCTCCCTCTGTCACCTCTCCCTCTGTCACCTCTCCCTCTGTCACCTATCCCTCTGTCACCTCCCTCTGTGCCCTCCTCTTCACCTCAACACCATCCTCTATCGTGTCTTTTTTTCACTAGGTGTCAGTTCTGATACACCCAAGGGACCCTTGATGCGAGCGGTAGCTCGAGGCCTTCTCAAGCAATCTCTCCCAATGGACCGGTAAGTCCACCACTTTGAGCTGCTATTTTAATAGCGCCACTAACATTTTTAGACCCCGTGACGCCCAAGGGGCCGGCGACCAGCAACCTTATGCCAGTATACCATACCCGTACGCTGGCATACAGGAACTGCCTCCTGGCACCTGGGCCCGATTTGCTCTTAGACCCCACTGGCGTGTTGTCGTGGAGGGAGAGTGGGTCAAGACGGAGTTCCCATTAACAGAGCCATACTAACATTTACAGCCACGCAGATGGTCCAGAGTATGCCCGTCTGGACAATCAGAGTCCCCTCCCGGCACCTATCATCGGAACCCGCGAAGTGGCCCTAGGCCAGTGGTCAGCTCGTATTATGCGAAAACCGTATCCCTATATCCGAGATGGCCGGTACATTATATCAGATATGGTGAGATCCACAGAACACCTCCCACCTGCCAGGGAGCCAATGCTACGACACGGCGTGACCTGGACTGGTGATAGTCCCGACCACAAACTCGCATAGACACTATATCGGTTCGAAGCCATTTGGATTTTCACTGTCGGGCGACGTGTTAAAGTTGAATGCAACTATTGTTTACGCGACAAGGGGGTTTTCGCCTTTTGCGTGGTCCTCGATCTCAAAGATGGTCATTCAATTTGTGCCAAATGTTACTGGGACCAGCACGCATGCTCAATTATGCCTCGTCAAGGCCGTCGACCGGGGTTACCGCCAACTCAACTGCGGTGTCAAACATTGATACCATTACCTCGCAAGTCATCAACATAGCGAATCGAGGCCATCGCCTCACTGAGCGAGATTGCCGCGATGTTCAGCGGGCTGTACGACAGGGCAAGACGGAGTCACAAAGTCTTGCGACAGACTTTGCAGCCATCACCACCATGTCGCCGAGATCGAGGCACTCATGAGACGCCTCGAGGGATATCTTCGGGGACCTCATTAGTGGATAGTGTCCCTTGCCTCTAGTATATCAACCCTACAAATAAATGTTCTTCTCTTATGACTTCTTTCGTCAGAATATCTTTTTTCCCCATCAAAAATGAGAGATTGCTTTGGGCTCTAGAGAGACGCGCAAATGTGCCCGATAATTACACCTTTTCTCAGAAAACGAATCAGCAGCTAATGCATTGTTTTGATTGGTCTAACGTCGAATTTGAAGGCCAATGCACCACTAAAAGCATCCTGTGGAGATAAGCTCATCAAGCCGCCTCGGCACGCCATCAACAATTTAAGCACTTGCCACACCGAAGTCACCCCGAAGATGTGCCTGGAAGTGTACTTGGCAACTTGGCATTTTTTCACTAGATTGTAAAGAAAAACACATTCTCATGAGTATCCCTTTTAGTCGTGGGTCATTTCTTGCGATGTACTTCCTCCTTTGCCACTCTTGCTACTTGAAATTACAATATCTCTCATATATAAGTGGTTTTGGAATATTCTCAACGTATAAGATTACCCCCACCTATGTCAATGTGTCGTGTGCTCGCCCGGGCCAGGTTTGGATACTGTTAGATAACGCCTCGGGGGAGGAATGATCCTCCACCAATTATTTTCAAATGTAGTTTTGCTGCAGGCATACTATTAGCATAATAATAAATACTGTAAATAGTTGGAATCTTGTGAGACATCCCCAACAACATGGTAAAAAACACGGCAGTCGGAAGCCGGACTTGTCTAGTCTTGCTGGCGTGCGTCAGCAAATGTTCATAGCTCAGCCGGTGATACTACCCAAGTTAGTATGAAGCCCTATAGATTTAGACTTTAAAGCTTTGGCGTATTTATATGTCGCAGGCAACTTGTTGCCATTCTGGGTGGATCTATCGTCACTTTTGCTTCCTAGCTTGGCTTAAGCCACGCAAGAACAAAAGGACCAGCTGCGAACTGATATTAAGAGCTCCGCTTCCAGTCTTTCCTATCTCTCGTACCATCACTTTTCTTTTCCACGGCTCGGCTCGGAAAAAGTTCAAGCATTTCAGCTATGGCGACTTCCAAAGATCCTGCTAAGGATCTAAATATATCGGAGGCGCCGGCGGCAGATCTCGAATCCGAACATACTAATCAAGATCCGGGAGAATGGCTGTACAAATCCGACAGAGCAGAGCTCACAGAGCTCACACCAGTAGAAGCGTTCAAATGGAGTGTGGAGGGAGACCAGTCACCTTGTATGTTGACCCATATATCCCACCAGCTGATGTTAATACATCTCAGTTCCGGAGGTTGCGGCTTGTGTGTCCAACAAAGATGATCCCACCATCGCCTGTAATAGTAAGTGATTAATTTTCTAAGTTAGGTGGGCTGAATTAATCCTCCATCACAGCTGTTCGGGCCTGGATATTGATGACGATCTTTGTTATACTTTTCTCCGGAGTCAATCAATTCTTCGGCCTACGATATGTATGTTTCAATTCGCTCCAATCAAATCGGTATTTACTAACATATCCTAGCCCTCCCTCGTAATAGGCTATGTTGTCGCTCAAATCCTCGTCTTCCCAATTGGCCGAGCATGGGAAAAACTTCCAAGATGGAGGGTTCCTTTAGGAAAACTTTCATTCGACATCAATCCAGGAAAATTTACCATCAAGGAGCATGCCTTCATTGTTATTGTAAGTAAAAACAAATTTCCACTGTCGTAAAAATTCCTTGATTATGAATTACATCTAACAAACCAAAACAGTGTGTCAATATCAGCGCTACCACGGCTTATGCACAAGGTGCCTTGGTAGCCATCGTCAGTCCTGTGTACTGGAACCGCGACCTCGGAGCCGGCTTCTCATTCCTATACCTTTTAACAACCCAGATGATTGGGTAAGTGGATTCTGATTTTTCCATGTTATTCAGTCACTGATCTTTCCTAGATTTGGTCTGACAGGTCTTGCCCGCCGTTGGATTGTGTACCCTGCTGCCTTGGTCTGGCCTACTTCGCTGTCATCCACTGTTCTTTTCCGGGCACTACATGAGCCTGAGAGCCGTACGCCAGCCAATGGTTGGACTATTAGCCGGTATCGCTTCTTTGCCTACATTACGGCATTCGCATTTGTTCTGTTCTGGTTCCCGGACTACATCTGGACAAGTTTGAGCGCTTTCTCTTTTGTGACATGGATTGCGCCTCACAACCAGAAGGTCAACACGATATTCGGAGTACGTTCGAAAAAATCGTTTCAATCCCCATGTGAAACTGACCTCATTCTGCTTAGATGAATTCCGGATTAGGTCTGATACCTATCAGTATCGACTGGACACAAATCAACTACGCCGGTTTCCCCCTCATGACCCCCTTCTACATCACATGCAATGCCTTCGCTGTCGTCGTGTTCTTCTACCTTTTCTTATCGCCGATTCTGTACTACTCTAATGTATGGTATAGCGCATAGTAAGTTTCCAGTCTGATGAACGGAATTTTAATATACTGATGGTCCAGCCTTCCTCTCCTCTCGTCGGGCACATTCGACAACACGGGAAGCACATACAACGTATCTCGTGTGCTCGACGCATCTTTAGACTTCAGCGAGAGCAAGTACAAAGAATACTCTCCAATGTACATCTCAATGTCTTATTCTCTGACCTATGGACTATCTTTCGCTGCGGTCACCGCAATCGTGGTACACACCTACCTTTACAATGGCACTGAAATTTGGGCCAGGTTTAAGAATTCACAACATGGAGGTGAAGATATTCACCGTCGACTGATGCGCCAATATAAAGAGGTCCCAGAATGGTGGTACGGAGTTCTCACCGTAGTGGTGTTGGGACTTGGTATCTTGACGACCACATACTGGGACACAGAGCTGCCGGTTTGGGGATTTATCGTGGTTTGCTTCGGATTGGCAATGCTTCTAATTGTCCCTGAGGGTCTTCTGCAAGGAACGACAAACCAGCGCGTGTTCCTCAATATCATTACGGAGATGATCGCCGGATACGCCTGGCCCGGAAAGCCTATCGCTAATCTGATGGTGAAGTGCTACGGCTATAATGCAGTCAAACATGGCATGGATTTTGCTCAGGATTTGAAGCTCGGGCAATACATGGTATGCCTATTCCCTTTTTGCCCTGTGCTTGTCGAATTTTACTGATTCATTAGAAAATTCCTCCTCGTGTTCTGTTCTTTGGCCAGATCTATGCTAGTATTCTAGCAACAGCAACTCAGACCGGAGGTATGATGTCTTATCAAATCTGCAATACAATTTTCTAACGAGAACAGTCTTACGATGGATGCTTGGACACATTAATGGCCTTTGCGAACCAACTAACAAGGAACGCTTCACATGCAACGGTGCCAAAGTGATGTACAACGCTTCCTTAATTTGGGGTACTATTGGTCCACAGCGGATGTTCCAGTCTGGACAGGTGTATAACGGCCTTGTTTACTTCTTCCTCATCGGAGTGAGTTTTCAAATATCTTGATTTGGTTTTCCTTTACTAACTCTCCAGCCCGTTGTTACTGGACTTGTGTACCTCATTTACCGCCGCTACCCCAACAGCTGGGTTCGCTATATCAACGTTCCGATTTTCTTCAATGCGGCAGGCAATATTCCTCCCGCAAACACCAGTATGTCTCCCGAAATTTTCGTAATGGAGTTATTCTAACCTGACTAAACAGCGCAATACTCCCTCTGGTTCATCGTCGGTTTTATCTTTAATTACCTGATCCGCAAGCGTGCATTTGACTGGTGGAAGCGTTACAACTGTAAGATTCTACTTTTTTAAGTTTACTCTTGGGAATAAGTGACTAATTCACGACGTGGGTAGACTTGCTCCAAGCAGCCATGGATACCGGCACTGCTATTGCAACGATCATCATTTTCTTCGCGCTAGGTTACCACGCCATCACTTTCAACTGGTGGGGAAACACAGTGGGGTCCAATACTTACGATACGAAATCCGTCCCTTGGTTGACCGTTCCCAAAGGGAGCTTTTTCGGAAAGGGGCCTGGCGAGTTTTGATTGAGAGTTTGTATACGCTTGAAACATATAAGGCACGCCTGGCACCAGTAGACTCTGTTATTACTCCCAAGAAATTGAAGCATCAAACGGCCAAACATGCATGCTTAGTTTACTCCTAACACTTTTAATGTAGTCATTTTCCACTCTAAGAAGCTAGAAACAAACCCATCATCGTAGAAAGCGTCATTCAATTTAACAGAGGGCTGTATCCGGCTGTTCCAGGTCCATATATTTCCGAGAAGACGACGGTTAATTACCTCAACAGCAATCCACCATTCCTCTTCTTGAATGATTAAGACTTAAACTTCGTGATTTGACTACAGATGAGCCCCGTTTCCTTTTGCTTAAATGAATTTAAATATCCATGCATTTCAATATCAAGATAAAACCCGACTATCCCGTAATAACCAACCATTAAGCAATGAAGCGAAATGGCATAGAATGAACCCTTGAAACAGAGCATGAAGACACGTAAAGCAAAAGTAAAAGCCATGGCCGTTGAGACAAAGCCACTTAATCCGAAAAGGAACGTCGGAGAAGTAGGTAGGAGAAGTAGAATTGCAAGGCGCGTTAGGAGCGGACGGCGCGTTCGAAACCGGGATTTTTGTCGGAGATACCTAATTTCTCCTTGAGAAGCTTACCTTCCCCTTCGACACTGCACAACGTGGATTTGACCTTGTCGTGGTTGACCAGCTTTTGCCAACTCAGAAATCCTTGACTTCCGGGACCACGTTGGCTGCTCAGGCCCATCTTCTCGTCCCCTATAATAACAAGGCAGTGTTGGGCACGGCTTAGAGCTACACAGCTTCTCTTTCGGTCCACGATAAAGCCAAGACCGTAGATAGTAGCTTCTAAGTTTCACTGTATTCCCATAGTCATACAATAAATGCAAAATGTTACGAAGATAAATTACATATCGGTCTCGTACAGACGGATGATAATATATCTTGAGCCAAGATGCGAAGATATTCGTCCAATATATTCTTCTACAACGTTTATTGACGGCCCTTATAAAAACCATTTAGTATGTAAGGAACAATGATGGTACTGTAATCACCACCACATAACCGCCGTTTTGCACAGCCTGGGATAATAATACTGTATATAATTCTCGGAGTCCTTACTAGTCAACGTCCATCTTGCTCCGAAGTAATAGCTGCATCACTGCCTCATCACCTTTCTCTGCAGCCCAGGATAATGGTGTTCGGCCCTCGGAGTCTTTCGAGTCCACGCCCACCTTCCCAGTCTCAAGTAATAGCCTCACTGCCGCCTCATTACCTTTCTCCGCGGCCCAGGATAATGGTGTTCGACCTTCAGAGTCCTTTGAGTCCAGGTCAACCTGTCCAGTCCCAAGTAATAGCTGTATCACTGGCACCACTGGCTTATACCAACATTCCGCGGCCCAGGATAATGGCGTTCGACCTCCAGAATGTTTCGACTCCACATCTACCTGTCCCGTCCTAAGTAATAGCTGCACCACCGCCTTATGGCCACTCCCTGCGGCATAAGAAAATGGTGTTCGGCCCCAGGAGTCCTTTGCGTCCACGTCAACTTTCCGTGTCCCAAGTAATAGCAGCACCATCGCATCTTGACCACATTCCGCGGCCCAGGATAGCGGTGTCCGGCCCTCAGAGTCCTTTGAGTCCACATCCACCTCTCCAGTCCTAAGTAATAGCTGCGCCATCGAGTCTTGGCCACTCTCCATAGTCCAGGATAATGGGGTTCGGCCCTCGGAGTCCATTGAGTCCACGTTCACCTGTCCAGTCCCAAGTAATAGTTGCACGACTGGCTTATGACCATATGCCGCGGCCCAGGATAGCGGTGTCCGGCCCTCAGAGTCCTTTAAGTCCACATCAGCCTTCCCAGTCTCAAATAATAGCTGCACCACCCCCTTATGGCCATTTATTGCGGCCCAGCATACTGGTGTTCGACCCCAGGAGTCCTTTGAGCTCGCGTCCACCTGTCCAGTCCCAAGTAATAACTGCACCACAGCCTCAGAACCACTTGTCGCGGCCAGGCATAGTGGTGTTCGACCCCAGGAGTCCGTTGAGCTCACGTCCACCCGTCCAGTCCCAAGTAATAACTGCACCACAGCCTTGTGGCCATTTCCCGCGGCCCAGCATAATGGTCTTCGACCACGGTGATCCCTCACTCCAACATCGGCCCCTTCTTGTATTGACATCCGAGCTGTGGCTTCGGTCCCCAGTTTGGCAGCCCATACCAGCGCGAAACTTGAATGTCGCCGATAGAGGTACGGATTTAGGAGATTGTATAATTGTCTATTGGTTTGACATAATGAATTGATTTCTCTCTCTGTCCCCAGGAATGTCACTATTACTAGAACTAATTCCGAGGGCAGATAGAGGAGAGAATTCATTCTCCAGACACCAATAGTTCCGTCTAAACTGAGTTTTTTTTGACTTCCTGGATATATGCATTTCCATCCAAGAAGTTTGATAGGAGTATCGGCGCAATCTTGTAGGGGAACAGTAGAAAGATCGAGGTGATAATGCTGAGCCCCTTGGGAGCGGGAAACGAGGGGCAGCAGGGTAGCGGATGTTTTAAGTGCAGTGGGTGTTCCCCATTTCTCACCGACGTCGTCGAGATATTATTTTGTCTATTCCTGAAATAGCTTAGCGTTTCTTGGCACTATGGCTGGAGAAACAAAGAAAGTGTGTAGGTGTGACACCAATTCCCGGAAGTACTGTATTGTGTTTAATTGAGGTTTAAAAGAGAACTAAATAGGCATCGTTAAAGAAATTATAAATATATAATAATGGAATCGTAATCATAAGGTTTAGATGTAATATTAGTATAAAATAACTCGACATTTAAATTACGCACTATGTCGTTAAGTATAGAGGCCATATAATCGGCCAACTATTCTACTTTTATATAAATGCCTACCTTACTATAAATCTATGCAAACTTCTTATTAGATTAATATAACAATTAAAGTAACTGGAGACACAAGCGGTGAATCCTAAAAGCTAATAGGACTAAAGTCCTGAATGCTCGCTATGCACTGCGACAGGGGTACACAGGCAGCCCATGCCATAATTATTTCTATTGGACTACCTACTCCGGCGTCCCGGATTTAGTGTATTGAAACTGTATGGGGAAGAGCCCATTTGCATCGATGTGTCATCGCTAGCCGGCTCGCGTCTTTCGAACGCCGACACGCGGATTTATCGGTCATCGAGCATTGCCAAGGTTCTTGTTCTTGTATGGACGTGTTAAGGCAAAGAACATGTAATATAAAATCGAACCGGCCAACTTTTCATTTTCCATCAATGTCGCTCAAATCTATCATGGAGACCGTTCTAGTCATCGGAGCCACTGGAAATATCGGCGTCTCAGCCGTCACCGCTGCCTTGTGCTCCAAGCGCAACGTTTTGGCCGTTGTCCGCAACCAAGCCTCAGCGGACAAACTCGTGAAGTACATTGGGTCATCGAATGGAATCACCTTCGTCGAAGCCAATGTTCTCTCGGACTCAGGGATAAAGGGTGTTGTTGATAAAGTCCGAGAGGGCAAGCTGCCGGGTTTCCAGCATGTGTTTTCCAGCGGTTGGTTCCCGACAATCCTCTCAAAGATTCCATATTCACTGACATTTTCAAGTTGGCGGCGAATACACTACAACTCCCCTCCAGGAGATCACCACCACCCAGCTACGCAGGAATTTTAACGTCTCCTTTGAAGCCAATTTCTGTAACCACTTCTAATCCTGATATCCCTATTTCTTCTGACATAATTTTTGCAGTCGCCTATCGGGATACCATCGGCTATCTGCTGGAACAAAATAATCCTGCCAGCACATGGACGATTTGCACCGGGGCGCAGGGCGACTTGGCAATTCGCCCGATGCCGGCCATGACGCAAGGTGCCTTGTTCTCCATGACCACGGCCGCCGCCCGTGAGAACGTGTCCACGAACGTCCGTTTCAACGAAATATACCTTGCGTTTCGTGTCGAGGTGGATGAACTCGCGGTCCAGCATGGGGTGACGAAATCATCGGACTTTGGGAATGTGTACGAGTTGATCCTAGCCAATCCCGAAGTGCGCAGTTCACGCATCCGGGTCGACGATCTTGACGATCTCGAGAAGTTGAAGTACCAGAAGAAGTTCTAGTGCTACTTCTCGTTGACATGTACTGGAGTTGCAAATACTCCAGAGCCGGAATAATTCTGCTTTCCTTTCAAGTTCGGGTCCTTTTACCGAGGTATACTATATGTTGAGTAGTAGTAAAGCCATATACCGAGATTGCTGTCAATCATAACGTACGCTTCTTTGTGCTGATGCCCTCTGTTCCGTGTCTCAAAGCAAGTAGCTATACGGAGTAACTAGGCGTATCCATCTGTATACCGTTTAGGGAATTTGTTCATTGAATATAGGCTTCTGCTACCTCAATACATATGTGTGCATACATAGATCCATTAGTACTGTTATTTTAATTTAATTACCAGCCACCTTGGGGTTAGTGTATTTTAAAATTGGATAGTACATAGAAGGGCTTGCATATATTGTTCTATCTGTTATCTGATTGTCCGTTTCTCTGAACTAGTCCGAATGGCCATTAAGCCAAAGGTCCTGCAATAGTTCCTTGGCCGTTTTTCTATCTTCTGGTTTCCATTGAAGCATCTCCTTCATGAACTCCAAGAACACCTCTTTATTTTGACCACTCAGAAATTCTTCTCAATTATTCAAGGACGCATCTTTCGGGATCTCGGGATCATTTTTCCAATGCCCTGTCGGATAATAGTATAAGCCGCATGCATCCACAATATTATTAATTCCACTATAAGGGTATACATGGAGGTATAGCCAGGGATATAACCAGGGACTATACCATGGATTGGCACCTACACAGAAATCCAATACTCGCTGGAGATGTTTGAGTGCAAGGTCGTTCAATGGGATGGCAGAGATTCCTGACTCCCATCGCGAAAGAAACAATAATTTACTTAGTACTCAGTATCTCAATCTTAACTCGAAATTTCGATGAAATATCTAAGGGGGGCCGAGCGCGTGTGCCAAGCCAAATGTATATTCTTTGGATGAAAGTCTCACTCAGATTCCGTAGCGAACAAGATTTTGAACCTAACCCGATTATTGTGCAGAGGTTTTTTGTTTCTTCTGCCGGCACGGCAAATCTCCGAGTGTCAAGCCAATTGCGACAGGATTCTAGATGGAAGTTGCTCATATGGCCCTAGAAACGCGCAATTGCGGCGATGATGTCGTGATTCACGGATGGCTCCACCCGCGTGGTTTGAACCACCCGACGCTCTCAGGTACGTCACTCCTACTAGAAACAGTGTTCGATTTGTTACGTTGAATACTGAGCAGTGTACGTTAAGTGGGCTACTCAAAACACCCAAGTTGCCAATTAAGGCATCCATCGACACTTTAGATTTCACTTGTACGGCTGTAGAACCAAGCATTCTATCACATTGCCGAAATAACCTCCTTAAAGTTTAGCTTGAATATTATATCCCCACTTTCTCCATATAACCTTCCCTGCTAGGTTTCGTGGGCCGTGGCCTCGATATTATTGTGCAATTATCCACCTGGACCGTGCCGCCAGTCAAGCGTGTGATTTTATAAAACTCTGCCTCTTCCTGTCTTTGCATTTGTCTTTAACCTGTTGAGATTGAGAAACCGAGAAGAATCGACATAATGGCCTTGCAAAAAGAAGCTGGACTAACAGTATCGCCTCCTATCTCATCAACCACATCAGAACGGGATGAGAACTATGAGTTTTATAAACAACATCAAGGTCTCGAATACACAAGGGAGGAAGCGAAAAGGGTCCTGCGCAAGATCGATATACGCCTCATTCCATTACTGTTCTTAATCTACATGCTGCAGGTGGGAATATCGCGTGTCTCGCTCGTTGCAATCCAAATACTAATCCCATGCAGTATCTGGACAAGAACAGCATCAACTTTGCCTCTGTATACGGCTTGAAGCAAGGAACACACTTAAAGGGACAACAATATTCATGGCTTAGTGAGTTTTCTATTCCGAGGGCGTATAATTCAACTGACTAATCCGATCAGGCTCCATTTTCTACTTCGGATACCTCATTGCGCAATGGCCTGCGGGTCTAGCATTGCAAAAGCTGCCCGTCGGCAAATTCCTTGCTATCACCACATTAAGTAAGAGATACCCTATGAGAACTAAGAATGTGTATTCAGTACCAGAAGGATGCTAAGAGAAATAGTATGGGGTGGTTTGCTCATGACCACACCCGCATGCTACAACTTTGCTGGAATCGCAATCAACCGCTTCCTTTTAGGAATGGTCGAAGCAGTTGTAACTCCTGGATTTGTTCTGATGACCGGCATGTGGTACACATCCGAAGAGCAACCCCTGAGACTAGAGGCATGGTACTGCACTAATGGTATCGCGACAATGTTCGGAGGGTAAGTGACGAGCAACTACCCACCTCTACCCGATTATATTGGAAATGACACCCGAAAACTAATTGAATATAGACTTATTGGCTATGCAGTCGGACATATCACCACTGGACTTCCACGATGGATGTACGTCTTCCTCATTTTTGGAGCTTTCTCCATCGCAGTAGGAGTTATTGCCTTGATATTTCTCCCCGACCTTCCGTCAACTGCCAAATTTCTCAGCGAGCGTGAGCGAGCCATAGCTGTTGAGCGTGTCGCTATCAACCGGCAAGGTGTCAAAAGCAGTCAGTTTAAATGGTATCAGGTCCGACAAGCGGCCGAAGATCCGAAGACCTGGCTTTTGTTCGTCATGGCAATTGGCGCACAAGTCCCGAACTCGGCGTTAACCAGTGTATGTATTCCTGTAATTGCTAGGTCGATGTGAGGGAAGCTAACAACTAAAGCAGTTTACTTCCATCATCGTAGGCACTTTCGGATTTGATACGCTTGGAACTCAATATCTTCAAATCCCCGGCGGTGCTGTTCAGTTCATCACTCTGCTTCTCGGGGGTTATATCGCAACAAAGTTCGATGGAAAATTCCATTCACGATTTGCATGCATGATCTTTGCCTGCACGGTCTGTATCATTGGATCCGGTCTTCTTGTCGGACTACCAGACACCAACAAATGGGGCCGCCTTGTTGCACTTTGGCTATGCTATTTTCAAGGCTTGGGATTCAGCATGAGTTTGACAATCGTTAGCTCCAACATTGCTGGATACACTAAGAAGCAAGTCACCGGTGCCTTGTTGTTCACTGGATACTGCGTGGGAAATATTATTGGACCTCAGACTTTCAAGTCCAGCGAGGCCCCTGGATACAACAGTGCTTATATTGCGTATGTTACCATTTGTCTTCGTGTGTGCATTCAACTGACTGAGAATATCTACAGGATGCTCGCTGGCTATGCAGTAAAGCTCGCCTGCATTGTCGCTTTGTATATTTATATGTACCTTGAGAACAAGCGTCGAGACCGCGAAGCAATCAATGGCGAGGAGGTTGAGGCAGAAGGTGTTGAAAATGGCATGCTGGTGAGTTTTTGAGTTCCATGAAGCCTTGAGATAAGCTAACTCATATCCTCAAGGACAAAACGGAGATCGACAACAAAGGGTTTAGATATGTTCTATAAGCGAAAACTTTAGCTTTCACTTCAAAATTCTTATTGCTCTCTTCAAAATATGACGGAAATGCTAGAAATAATGAATGTCCTTGGAAATAAAGTGAAGCAAATTTAAATCGAAAGTTAAAGTCAATCCAAATCGCTCAATAACTGATTCAAGATACTAGGAGACTAATAGTGCCTAGACTTTATAAGAGGATCTATACACGCTCTTGATGTTCATACCGGCGTAACGTGGTCCCTTCCTTCTCTCAATGTGAACAGGTTGAACCTTAGACCGCATTATCAACAAACGAATCAAGAACGTCAGGTCTTCGCGTCCAGCGCCTGTAGGTCCCCTGCTAGCGGGGCCATGGCGCTCAATGATTGCTCTTCCATCGAGTCCTTACAGCCAGTTGAGGTACTGGACTTGATCAATCTCCTATATTTCTTTGGGTCTTTGGGTCTTTGGAGCAAGTCCAGCTGTCAGAACCAGTTTGGATTCCACAGCCAGTCAAGGTACCAGGGCCAGTCAGGCCTGAGAGCCAGATGAGTTCTTCGACGAATATGAATACAGATCAGTCAGTGGCAGTCAGGATGCCTCCATTCACCATTAGAACTGGTTTGGCCAACCAGTCTATGAACGAATTCCGACTCCATCTGCAGTTTCCCTCCCATTCATGCAGGCTTAGCCGAAAGCAGTGTGGTTGGTATGGTTTTATGATGAGCGTCTACTTGTTGAACTCCCTCTATCGGGTTACAGCCAAAACCCAGATAAATTTTGTATATACAACTTGGACATTGTGGCTCATGGTTGAAGTCGCTTTGGGCTTACCGGATTGCATCGGACATCCTTCGAACCGCTGGTAACATTGGTTGCCAGCCCGGAAGGCCTCCCATGAAGTATGTAATTATATATACCCAACCACTCGCCTTGCTCATAAGACTTGAACTTCAAAACATGTACGCGTCCTACTTACCTACTTGATATTGAAGGAAGCATCGATAACTTATTTAATAGGGACTCATGGACTTTAACGTGGGTATCATGCGCTTATAAAACAATGACGCCTGATCACTTGACAACTCGTACAATGAAAATTAAAAAAAGGAATGATGGGCTTTCAGCTTTCATCGGGATATGAAACTAGCACAAAGATAACATAACCTGATAGATAAAGGAAAAGAAAGAGAGACAGCATAACAGACACCACCCTCTTTTTCAATTTCCGGATTTTGTCAACAATAAATTTCAAATATCAATGCCACATGGACATTCCAAAAGAAGACCAGAAAAGCCAAAATGTTCCCCCCAAATGAGAGTTGATGCTGAACAAATCCAAAAAGTGAGCTCAAATCTGATTCCATCCAAAAGAGACGTCAATCAAGGAGCAAAGTGAAACCTACCAAATGTGAGTTCAACATCCAAACAATTGAAACTGAATGCAAACCAAAAGTTGTCCGACCAGTAAGAAGAGGGACAAGTCGCTAACGCAGAGTGTGCTTGAGTGACCTGAGAATCGATTTCAATCCCCGCTGCACCTTTCCGAATGCTTCTTTGATTGCACTACGTCGACCAAAGACAGGAGTCGGGAAGGAAAAATATTCCTCATAGGGTGCCCCAGCGACACAAGTTGTGATCTTACGAGGAGGCCTCTTTACCTGCCTGGTGGCTGGTGGGCTTGGGCAATCAGAGTGTTCCGGGTCTGAAATTGATTCGCATTGTCGCAGTGGCGAAGGATTCCGTACCCAAGTCATCCTTCGGGGAAGCTGACTCAACCCCCCAGAGGTATTATGAGAGGCTTCGTCACGGCATTCAGTCCATTTTGACAGTGAGTGAATGGCACTCGACTCTACAAAGCCATTTCCAACGGCCAAACCTGTCGCTTCGTAAGTCCGGGTGTTGCCAAAATCAATCATGGTTTCGTCGCTCGTATCGCTCGAACCCTCCATCCACCTCCCATGAGGTGAATAAAATTTGAAAACACGTCCAGTGGATGCACGAACAAGCTCTGAGCCCCGGAGTTCAAACAAACTTTCGTTTGTGTCATCCAAAAACACAAGCACCGGGTCAATGTACTGTGCGGCTCGGTTCAGAACTGACTGAACTCTCCACATAGAACCTCCCTGTGGGTTCTTGGGTTTTACGAAGATAATGGCTAGCGAATCAGACGGGGAGGTCGCGCTGTGGGTGTAGACTCGTAGTCCCATCCAATTGAAATGATGAATTTCTGCATCGGCATCCATCCATGCTTGACGGTCCGCAAAGATGTTGTCGATAGATTGTTGCGCAACTAAATGGAGCTCTGGCTCGCTGTTGGCTGTAAGCAGTTCCTGGGCTAACTCACCATTGGTGAGAGACCACTCGTAAGTTGAGAGCTCAGTAGTACCACTATCATCGTGGGACTCTTCAAATATTCTCTCCGAAAGGCTAGAGGTCATATCTGGGGTGCCATGTACCCAGCCCCATGGCTCATTCCAGACCTCTTCATAAACAGTTGGAAGTGATGGCTTGTACTTTGGATACGGGAGATGACGAGGAGTGGGATGGATTCCATAGTGGAGGTTTGCCTTTGGCAAGGAGTAATCAAGAAAGTTTGACGTAGCGGCCATGGGCAAATTACCGCTGATCTCGGCGTCTTCTACATCTTCAGCCCAGTCAAAATTGCACCGGCGCAGGAGCTCATCAAACGAAGTGTTCTGGGTTGAAGAGGATTCATGTAAGTTTCTATCACGCCTTGACACAATATTCAGAGGAACCACATGGCAAACCTTAGGAGAAGGCATATTGATGAGATCACTTGTGGTATCCGTTGGTGTAAATATCCAGATTGATATGTCGTGTTGGTATGCAAGTAATGGCAAGTGATGTCTGTAGTCGAATAGTATGTGACCTTAGGATCGTATGTTTACGTGAAGCAAAGGTTAGAATATAAACAAGGTGGTATCTAGGAAGAGGTGGTAGGTTACCGTAGTGTTTGTGTTGTCAATATGGAAGGAACGCGCTGGTTTGCTCTTTCCGTGTGAACAAACAAGATCACAAAAGGCCTCGAGGAAATGGCGAAACTGTGAATGCTTTACACTACAGGATGGGTATCATCAACGCTATTTATTAGATGCATCGGGGCCAGTGACTGGTTTTTAAGACCATGAATCGACGTCCTCTAAGGAAATATAGACAATGGCATTCATTTGATCTTTGTCCAGCTACAACGAGTCTCGTGTTATTGATCATAATAGTGCACTTAGCCCTTTGTCAAGTTCAAGATGACTATCCCAATTAGGGCATTTTTCTTCAAAGAAAGAAAATATCTCTTTGAGCAATCCCAATGATATACGCGGCTTTGTCTCCCATTCCGGTCAGCCTCAGGGGTATACAAGGAATATAATGACATGCATTCAGAGACAAACTCCATTATGTGCATTGCCTCCAAATAATCGTGCCAAGCGCGCCCTACACACCTTCGCTCTGATTGTGAGCCACACCGGATATGCAAATTGCAAGGAATAAGTATCTTTTGTATAGGAATTTCATGTACAAGGTACATAACCACAACATGAGCATAACCGATATTCTCCCTGGCTATTTAGGGCAAGAAAATGGAGATTATGACTATGTTGAGTTCATGTTTAGTGTTCTATACGAGCTAACGGTAGTAGACGAAATGGAACAATCCAAGGCGCCGCTCCACCGGCTAATATTCCTATATAGGGTTAGTTATAATGTTTAGTAGCTATTACTATCGATACGGACGACAATGACCCTTTTAGTTCAAAGGAAGTTTCAAATACGATTTGCGCAAGCAGAAAGTCGAGCCATCGGACGCATATAACATGGGTAATCTTTTTTGGGGGGGGGGGGGGTGCGAGGATGCCTACCTCTAGGAGCTTTAAGCACTGATCCCAGACCACTCGTAGCTCTAGGAACAAGAGCATGATCCTTGATATATGACAGATAAATTAGTACTTCGATAACAGTGGCAGGGATTCTGCAGCGTTACTGTATTGAAAACTGATTCGGGAAGGAGCTGGCGTGGCGACTCTGATTAGAGTAAAAGACAAGCGCTAACGTGTTTCACTACCGAGCTGCGCACACCACCGAGCTGCGCACCCCACCCAAAACGCGTCCAGGAATTAGATCTTAGTTAGTTTAACCACCCACCATGCCACCAATTCGCTCCCGAAGCTCTAGAAATTCAATAGAGCAAGAGGGTAGGATTTTATTAGCTACCCAGGCTTTTAAAAATCAAGAAATTAGCGCTATTCGCGAAGCAGCACGCCGTTTTGAAGTGCCTGAATCAACCCTCCGGTCGCGTCTTCGTGGCACTACTTTTCGCGCTGAAACCCGCGCTAATAGTCATAAATTGACAGAGCTCGAAGAGGAATCTCTTCAAAAATGGATACTCTCTATGGATTCTCGTGGAGCAGCCCCCCGGCCTACTATGGTACGAGAAATGGCGAATCTTCTGCTCGAAAAGCGCGGATCTATACCGGTTCTTTCGGTCGGCCAAAATTGGGTTACGAAGTTCGTTAAAAGGCGCCCTCTCCTCTCCTCTCGGTTCTCGAAACGATATAATTACGAGCGTGCGAAATGTGAAGACCAGAAAATCATTAGCGAGTGGTTTGATTTGGTTCAAAAAACGATCCTTCAATTTGGAATCGATCCCGATGACATTTATAACTTTGACGAGACCGGTTTTGCTATAGGATTAATAACGCCAACTACGAAAGTTATCACGAGGAGTGATTACTACGGCCGGAGAGCACTTTTACAACCTAGAAATCGAGAGTGGGTGACGGTGATTGAGTGTACGGGTGCTTCCGGCTGGGTGCTTCCTCCGTGTGTGATTTTTAAAGGAAAGGTCTTCCTTGAATCCTGGTTTAAAGGCCTTCCGAAAGATTGGCGCCTTGAAGTAAGTCCTAACGGTTGGACTTCCGATGAAATCGGGCTTCGCTAGCTTGAAAAGCTCTTTATTCCTACTACTTTTTCACGTACGAAGGGGAGGTATCGGCTTCTAGTACTTGACGGTCACGGAAGCCATTTAACCCCGAAGTTTGATGAAATCTGTGAGAAAAATCATATTATTCCAATCTGTATGCCTCCGCACTCCTCTCACCTTTTACAATCTCTCGATATCGGCTGTTTTGGGGTGTTAAAACGTGCGTACGGCCGGCTGGTTGAATCAACAATGCGGGTTGGGATAAATCATATTGATAAACTTGATTTCCTCGAAGCATACCTAGAGGCTCGAATTGAAGCTTTTAAAACGGATACTATTAAAAGCAGCTTTAGAGCTGCCGGTTTAGTACCGTTTTCACCTGATCAAGTGATTTCAAAGCTAAATATTCGGCTTCGAACACCAACCCCCCCCCCTAGCCGGGGTAGTGAATCAAGCCGGAATTTTACACCGAAAACCCCCTTTACGGAGAAAGAACTACGTCGACAGGCTTCATCGATTAAAGCTTTACTTCGTACAAGATCTCGAAGTCCACCTAGCCCGTCAGATCGAGCATTAAACCAGCTTGTGAAAGGCTTCCGTCTTACAATGCAAGGTGCTATCTTACTTGCTAAAGAAAACAAGGAATTACGCGCCGCCAACGAGAAGCAGAAGCAAAAGCGCACTCGATCCCGAAGGCAGATACCAGCTGAAGCAGGGCTCTCAGTTCAAGAAGCTTCTCAATTGATTACTGAGCCGATGGCAGTAGTTGAAGCACCCCCCGCCTCCGGCGAAGAAGGCCTTCGCCACCTTTACAGCCACGAACGAGAGCATTACCAACATGCGGGTTATGCAAAAACCAGGGTCATAGAAGAGATGCATGTCCAGATAGATGATGATTTTAGTGTATTTAATTTAATGGAGTTTTGGTTGAGATATATGCATTTGAAATTAATAGGTTAGGTTGGGTGCGCAGCTCGGTGGTGTGCGCAGCTCGGTAGTGAAACACGTTAACCGCTTTAAGCCAGTAATTATGCCTGAAATATGAGGCCAAAGTTAATAATATTCGGAAGAAAGCAGTTTCCAGGAGCCGGGATCTGCTGGCAGAAAGCTGATCGGAAGCACTTGCGTCGAGGCATGACTCCCCCCTTTCCAACAAATCAATGGCCGACCAGAGCTCTCCAAATTACAAAGACTTTTACCTAAAGGCAGAAGGACGAAAGCAGGCGGAAAAATGCGAGAAGCAGGAAGCAGAAGGGAGACGACAAGCAGAAGAGCGCAACCAACAGACCTCTTTCACAGAGCTACAGCACTGCCACGACGTTCTCTCCCGCCAGTTGCGAGTCGAGACACCATCTCGCTCTCATGAAGCAAATCAGCCCTGAGGCTCCCTCCCGCAGGTCTAATGATTTCCAAATTCGACACTACGTAGACCACTGGCGAGTATGGGGAAATCAATGACGTTTTCCATGTCGACGCGCCGGTTTTGCTGACCACTCATCCAACTCGACGTGGCGTGTGCTTGTGGTCTCGATCAATTTTAAAACTAAGAGTGAAGTTCGAAACTCAAATGTATAGGTAAGCAAGGTGCTCATCCACGGGTTGAGGTTGCATTGGACCACCTCTAAATGGTTGGAACCGAGGGGCACTTACTTCCAGCCAATAGCATGATTTTGGTATTTAAACTTTAAAATATCATTGTGGTCCATTACTGCCAGGGATTGAACAGCACACTTGAGCAGTTTTTATATTTGCTACTTGCTACCTGATAATCGATTGCATAAGGTACATGTTAATATGACTAGCTAGACCCGTGGTCTACTGGAACCATAATGAGTCTATCAACGTTTTATATTCCGTATTGTATTCCCAGTAAGAATTGTCAATTTCGATAGTCTCGCAAAATGCCCTGCAAATATGAGCCATGTGTGACCTGCGGCAGATATCCATCAGAAGGCTCTTTTTGCCCGGATACCTGCAGTTATCTCTTGATGGACCAATCTCCCCCTACGCCAACGCCAACGCCAACTGCTGCCAACGGATCCGCTATATCTTTCGCTCTAGCTTTATCTACTATTGTCATGGAACGAAGGCCTCGGGGCAGATCGATTTCCCGAATAGAATCTCCCTCGAGTGCAACGGAATGGTGCCAACCCGGTCAAGATCTCCCATTGAGAACGAATGTATCGACGGAGGATAAATGTTTTCTCAAGGCTTATGAGAATTCATTTGATAAACTCCGGGCCATGAAACGACAACTGTCTCAATGATTCTATAACCCATTCAATTTTCAATTATCGAACTAAGTGGTAAGCACAATCATGTTTCAAGCGGATGAATGCCGCCCAAGCAGAAATACGAAGAGTTTGCAACTGAAATTAGGTGTACCTGCTCAAGATAAAAGGATATTCCCTTCGTATATAGCCTGTTAACGCTGGGGCTCTTTGGAAATAATATCACCGGAGGGATTGCCTCGAAAGTCACGAAAACGGGGCGAATGACAAAGCAACACAATGCGATTCCGATATTAGCAGGCTGCTGAAGTTTGGAGGAAAAGCGCGAATAAAAGTTGGCATTGTCTTCCCAAGGCCCATTTGTGATATACCAAAGTCTGCCAAGAGCAAAATATTGCTAGGTTTATACCACGGTGTTAAATATCTAAAGTATGGATGTGGTGTATTGCTTTGATGAAACGTCCAAACCACCGTTATATCCCTTGATTAGGATCAATATGGATTCCAAAGGCCCAAGCGACATGAGAACAGACAAATCAGCGTCTATATCTATGAAGAGTTTGGCAGTGGAGAAGCAGCCAAGGTTTTGCGGTCATGCCAGGGTGATTAAACACGTGACATTGATGTTGCCATCCTTCTTCAGTAAGGTGACGTGGAACATTCGAGATTACTGCTGGGTGGCGCGGACTAAAAGACTAGCCACTCACCATAGTCCTTCGACATGAGGAAGTTCTCGTATCACCTATAAATTCACCGTCACCCCGCCGTGTGCTGTCAGTAATAACAGCACGTACTGTGTACTGATTTTTAATTAATGGCCTTACCAACCCGCCACTTGCTCTTGGATTGAACACACCACTTAAACAATTTTTATTGGATGCGATATATTGTAACCGAGGTACAACACCAATGAGCATAAGTCAGCTTGAACTTCTTCATATATGTCGCGCTAAACTGGCAGAAGAGGCCTCTAGCCGTAACCCACATCTCAGCGTCATAGTTGGTCATGCAAACTTATTGGAGACACTGGTATCGGGCATAATTACCAGGTGCCCTGAGCTAGGAGCGAAGTAGGTTCCCACACTTCGTTATTGCTTAAAGCAGCTACTGAGGGGGTACGTAATACCTAGGGACACCACGGAAGAAGCTCTTTCGGACAAGACCGAGGGGTTTGATAAAGGCGTGGACGTGCATCCAGAAGTTATCACTGCCTGTAAGGAGGCATCACTTTCTGATGGCGATTTAATTTCAACGAGCCAAACGAATCTTAATAAACGATCGCTTAAGATCCCTGCCAACCTCTACCCGGTCTAATACTCGAGCCTTCCGCAGGAGTTTTTTTCTCCTTTATAACTCGACCCTCTGCCGCAAGCTTCTTCTCCTCATGCTCTGAAACTATGATGGCGTTCCTGCCATCAGATGTCGCTGCACGGTAATATTGGGCTGGCATCAGGCCGTGCAAGATGCCATTGAAGCTCAGCGCGGAGAATTCTTCTCAAATCTTCACGGGAGCTTTTCATTAATTTATGTACAGGCTTTTTCATACCTCTAGAAGTCGCTTTGTCTCCACCACGGTTGAATTACGCACGCGATAAGCTCACTGCATGGGCTATCTAGTTTCCCCTATCCTCAGGCCAACAAGTAGTCGTGAATGACTTAGGAATCTACTGCGAACTCTTGAGTATGGAGAATCCTCTTTGGAACCACAAGTCATCGTGCTTTACCCTCAGGGCCTCGGTAACTCTAATCTATTGAGATAAGCTGTTTAAAATCGCGGACCGAGAATATGGCAAACAAACTATGACTGCAAAGGTTCTGGTCTGGTGGAGGTTCCGCTTTGGTCGTACAACTTCATGTATGTTGTTCCGGTGTATCTTTACAGTGCTTCCCGAAACTGGTGTCACCACTTACACTCTTAGGTTCTTTTGTCGAATACTAAGATTGAATACATGGTGGAAACAAGGTATAATACCCAGAAAATCATGTGACAACTGGTACCATCCATACCATACAAAAGTGCATATTACAGTTAGTCATCTATGTCCGCACAGATTGTTGAAAACGCGGGTTTTGTCATTTTAGTTAGTTAGAGATTCCAATATATCTGTTTTTGACCATACGTTGTCGTACCGACAGATTTCTGTCATCTTTCTCAAACCTCAATTGCCAAGACAAGCTAGTCTCTATTCGGATTTCTCCGGAGTACCCCTGTCAGTGGGCCCTGTATTGTTTCTTTCGCGGGGTAATCTGGTAATGTAGCGGGGTGTATTTGCTTGTAGGTTAATACTACTAGCATCTCGATACCCCACCTTAGAAGCCTTCCTTGGTACGGGCAGATCTTAACAATCAATCACGAGTGGTCAGACTAAGATGGCGCCCAACCTACCCTCTTCAAAGCACGGGCTTATCTATGACATGATCCACAGTAGAGACCTCTCGGTATATGAGCTAAAAGCCTTCATTTGACGCCATTGGCAGTCCTACGAAGAAAACCCATAACAAGGTTTCTATCACTTTCTGGAATGGTGTGTTGACATGGTCGGTACAAGAAGGGAAAGTGCAGAGGGCCACTTCCGGCATGCAGGTATAACCGTAGAAGAGAAATAGTGCAGCTGCGCTGTAGCGAAGTTCGAAAGTAATCTTACTACCTGTCTGAAGCGGGATCTTTTGAATTATCTGAATATTTTTGCGTACGGTGAAAGGCAACACTGGCGATTACATTGAGGCATACTCTTGAAGGCGCTTTCGTAGTTTCGACAGGCTTGGGCTTATGCTTGTAAAAATAAAAGTTTCATCAAAATATATGTTTCTGAGCTTCTCGAAGTCGCTGGATTGAATAGACATCTCTGCAACAGAGTCGCAGAATTCTTAGAAGCAACGTCAATGGTGAGTTGCAAGTAGATCAAGGCTTTGGACTGCTATTTATAATGGGTTGTTACTTCAACATAGAAGCCACGAAGCACTAACACCTGTCCAAAGTAGCAAAAATGGCGCATGAAAAGTCGATGAGGAAAATCCTGGCACGGGAATATGGCCGATCAAAGATCCTTTACACCTTCCCTCGCAGTGCGTTTAAATTTGGATATCCCACATTGAGACGAGTAACTCTTTGTTTCCTGAGCTCCACAGATGCAGTGATCGTCGTTTCCATGAGATATAGTCAGATGTATGTAATTACGCGTGATCGTCTCTAACCAATGATCATCCGCCTCGGATATATTGTTTCTCCACTGGAATAGGACACTCATCTCGGGAATAGGATTTTTGCAGTAACGCTCGAATCTATACTGTATTTTCTAGCAGTTCTCAATATATTCTCACATCACAACCACACTTTCAGCTTTCTTGGCAGTACTTGGTCTCCTCATCAGTTGTGACAGCAGCATTGACTTCTCTTTATCATCGAAAATGCTCCTACTTCTCGGCTCGGTGGCGGAAGCTATTGGCTGTACACCTCTTGTGCGTTTGGATCGTATAGCGTCTTCACTGTGGCTTGACGGGACCATTGTGGCTGAACTTGATTATCTTAATCCTGGGGGGCCATGAAAAGATCGCGTTGCGCTTGGCATCGTCGAGGAAGCGGAGATGCTGGGTACGCTCAAGCCTGGGGAGGCGGTCGGGTGATGGGGCCAAAAACTCGTCCCTGGCTGTGAGGGGAAATCTACACTTTCTCTCGCATGGTTTCCCACCACCCCACTACAGAGACACTATCCTAAATCAGACGACTCCCCCGCCCGCCTTGTATGGATCAGTGTACCTCTGATAATTCATGGTAGATTACGGTAACTAACTGACGGACGATATTTCACTCATCAGCTCACTATAGCTAGGCGAGTATGGCGATATCGAAAGTCGCCAGCCCGGAATGACTGGACACTTGCTAGTCGTTTGCATATTCTAGCTAATTTTCTTTCTTGGCATTTGTAGTTATCTGCATGATTTTTGAGATTGGCGTATATAGTATAGTATACACAACTATTTTCCACCTTATCCTTCACATCACGAATCTACCCCCTGCCATCTAAGAGAACGTGTTGTTAGAGAAAATGAAAAAGAAGTATATGGAGATTCGCTATTTCAGCTGTTAAATCAGAAAGTTTGAGGAATCTACTAGAGGAAGATGAAGTAAACATATTACTGGATTGTTACTG